TTCTTGCTGCTGTTGTAGCATACATAAAGAAAGTTCTGTCCTTCTTTAACACCGATTGGCCGACTATGCCCAGGAGAAAGGCCTCTGGTTTCTTCAAGAAGGTATATTTAAATACCTTTTTAATTCATTATAAATCATCTCCCAGAAAACCTTAATCCTTGGGCACGTCCACCAAAGGTGAAAGAATGTACCTTCAGTTTCTTTGCATTTCCAACATTTATTATCGGGCAAATGGTAGATTTTTGCAAGCTTGACTGGGGTTATGTACCACCTGTATATCATTTTCATAATATTCTCTCTTAAGGCATTACATGCCGTAAACTTCATACCTGTGGTCCACAACTGTTCCCAGTCAGCCATCATTATGTTATGTCCAACGTCTTGTGCCCATTTAATCATAGCAGATTTCACCGTTTCATCCTGAGTATTCCATTTCAGCAGCAAGTTATACATCTTTGACAAAATCTTAGTTTTGGGTTCTAACAATTCTGTTTCTAATTTTGATTTTTCCACCTGGAAGCCGATTTTCTTATCCAAATTGTATGCCTCCATTATCTGATAATAATGAAGCCAGTCTCGCACTTTATTTTTAGTTTTTCAAAACTCTGCAGTTTCAATCTATCTCCATCTTGTTCCAAAATTTCCCAATATTTCGGCCATTTGACCTCCATATTGAGCTTTTTCAGAGCTTTCGCTTCCATCGGTGACAGCCACCTTGGGGTTTTATTTTCCAATAAATCCTTATATCTTATCCAGACATTAAACAATGCTTTCCTGACAATATGGTTTTTAAATGCTTTATGTGCTTTGACCTTATCATACCACAGATATGCATGCCATCCAAATACATTGTTAAAACCTTCTAGATCCAAAATGTCAGTGTTTTCAAGAAGCTGCTGATTCATAGTAAAGTTTGAGGTCTGGCAGGGCAAATCCACCTCTTTCCTTTGCATCTGTTAGTATTTTAAATTTTATTCTAGGCTTCTTGCCCTGCCAGACAAATCTAGAAATATCTCTCTGCCACCTCTTGAAACAGTCCATTTTGTCCACAATTTGCAATGTTTGAAACAAAAACAACATTCTAGGCAATACATTCATTTTTACCACAGCAATACGGCCCGCAGTGAAAGCTTCAAATTTGACCAAATTTCTAAATCTTTTTTCACTTCAGCCCAGCATTTTTCATAGTTATCTTTAAATAAGTTCCCATTTTTGCTGTCATGTTAATCCCCAGGTATTTAACTTTCTTAACCACTGTTAAACCTGTCTCATTCTGAAACCTCTCTCTCTCCATTGGTGTTAAATTTTTCTCTAAAACCTTAGTTTTTAACTTATTCAATTTAAACCCTGCAAATGACCAAATTCTTGAATCAGTTCTAGAACCCTTTTGGTACTAGATTCTGGCTCCTGTAACGTCAGTACTAAGTCATCTGCAAATGCTCTCAATTTGTACTGTTTGGCTCCGACCTGTATACCTTTAACCAACTGGTCCCTTCTAATCATATTCAGCAAAACCTCCAGGACCGATATAAAAGCATTGGGAAATTGGGCAACCTTGTTGTGTCCCTTTTTCTATCTTAAATTCTTCCGTCACCACATTATTTACAATTAGTTTAGCCTTTTGTTCTGAATAAATTGCACTTATACCGTTTTCAAAGCCTTGGCCTACCCCATACCCTGTAAGTTCTTCTTCATAAAACTCCAAGAAATGTTGTCAAAAGCTTTCTCCGCGTCCACAAATATCAAAACTGCTTTAGTATTTATGTTCACTTCTAGTTTTTCCAAAATATCAATTATATTCCTCAAATTGTCAGACAAGTGTCTTCCTGGGAGAAAGCCCGCTTGGTCTTTATGAATCTCTTCCATCAACACTTTTTTCAGTCTCTTGGCCAAAATGTCTGCAAAAATTTTATAATCCACATTAAGTAATGATATGGGGCGGTAGTTCTTAAGCTGCGTCTTTTCAGTCTCTATTTTCGGTACAAGTGTGATATTTGCTTCTTTCCACGACTCTGGTGCCCTTTTCCCCTCCATTATTTCATTACAGACCTCTTTCAAAGGTTGTACTAGCCATTCTTTCAAGGATCTGTAGTATCTAGAAGTCAGTCCATCCGGTCCTGGAGATTTACCCAATTGCATGTTTTGAATGGCACCTTCTATCTCCTGTTCAGTTATTTTGTAGTTCAACATTAATTTATTTTCTTGAGAGATTTTTTGTAATCCATTTGTTTTCAAAAATCGATCTACATCAGTTTCTTTCAGTGGCCCTTGTGTATATAGTTGTTTAAAGTACCTCTGGAAACAATTTCTAATCTCAGCTGGGTTCTGTATATTCCTTCCTTCCACTTCTAAATTTGTAACTGTATTTAATTTTTGTCTTTTTTCATTTGCCAAGCCAACAATTTCCCACATTTATTAGCCGACTCAAATGTCTTTTGTCTCATTTGTTTAATTTTCCATTCTATCTCCTGATTCATCATTTTCATATATTGCACTTGATATAACTTTATTTCTCTCAAAATCTCTTGAGACTTTGGTTTTGTTCTCAATCTTTTTTCACTTTCCTTTATTTTCTCCAATATTTTATCCTTCTTCTCATTTTGGATTCTCTTCTTTAATGCATTCTGTTGTATCAAGAACCCTCTCATAACCGCTTTACTTGCGTCCCAGATTACTTGGTGTCACATTTGTAAAATGCACTTAAAACGTTATATTTGCAGCTGTACAGTGGGTGCTCAGGTTGCGAACGTGATCTCTGCGGGATGCACGTTCGCAACCTGCGGCGGCGCATCTGCACATATGCGGGTTGTGATCCGGCACTTCTGCGCATGCGCAAAGCACGATTTAGCTCTTCTGCGCATGAGCGGCTGCTGAAACCCAGAAGTAACCCATTCCGCTACTTCCGGGTTTTGCTGGGTGCATAACCCGAAAAAACGCAACCTGAAGCGGCTGTAACCTGAGGTATAGCTTTATAGCTGAGTCCGTGGTCACTGACCAATGCAAATGTCCCTGTGGGCTCAAACATTCCACTGGTGTTCTGAGGAGGCTCCTGGACTCAATCTCAGTCTCAGGTGTCATCAGTGGCCGGGTTTCACAACCCTGGATCCAGCAGTGATCTGAACACAGGGACACAGCAGAGGCACCAGAGGGAGGTTCCAGGTTCTGAGCTGACCACTGGAGATGAGGAGGCTACCCTGCCTGAGGCTGTCCAACAGGAATCCCCCAAGGAAACCCTACCCCAACTGCCAGGGCCCATAGGGCCAAAGCTCAGACTTGCCCCAAGCCACCAGACATCTCCCACTGCATATCACTAGTCCAGTGGCCCAGGGAGAAGGCAGGAGAAGCCTGTGGAATGGAGGAGGCATGCCCTTCTTCAGGTGCCAGGGCTGGTTTCTGTACCACCTTCAGCTGGCACACCGGCAGCCACCAAACCAGAAGAAGGTGGGCCTCACCTTCAGGACAAATGCTTTGCTTACATCTAGGCTGGATTACTACAGTGCATTCTGCATGGGGCTGCCCTTGGAGATGGTATGGAAGCTTCAACTAGAGCAGACTTGTAGGAGCCGGGTGCGCTGATCCTATCACACCCATCCTGCGCCCATGATGCAGGCTGCCTGTTTGCTTCTGAGCCAAATTTAAGGTGCCACTATTGGTCTTTAAGGCCCGCAGCATTTGATTTAGTGCAACAGTTTACATACACAACGTAACACCATTAGGTTACAAAGTATAATAAAACTCAACAATCAGAAAGCATACTTTTTAACACTTGTTAAAATAAACAAGTCAGCAGATGTTCAGCAGTTTCATTTTGTGTGTCTGGGACCGTTAGGAACTGAATTGGGGCATTTCGTTCAGCCACCTCATTTTCACCAAATAAACATACATATTTTTATGAAGCAATTTTTCCATCATATAATGTTTGTTCTGCATGTTATTTTCATGATTATATGCTCTTTTATGCATACCTGCCCATAGCATACGCATTTTTGCACACATTACTTTGCTGCCGAACTGCTTGGCAAAATTCAGAGGATTCCAAGGGAAAGTTGCATTTCAGTTCACCAAGTGCAAATGAGGTCGGTTTGCCTTTAAATGCAAACAGAATCAAATTCCTCCCCTTTCCCCTCCCCCTCCCTGTCACACCCCCTACTCATGGGATGGACCACCCTTAAGCCCAGCTTCCTGGGAAGGGAGGGAGGCTGCAGCAGCTCGTGGCTCATGGGGGAAGAGCTATAATTATCTACAGAGGCCTGATTTTATTTTGGGAAGGATCTGGCCCGCTGCCCAGGCCTCTCTTCCCAACAGCTAAACCCAGCAGGGCCAGACCTGTTGCAGAGACCCAGACTGCAGAGCAACATTCATCTTATCCATTCTTGCAGTTGTCCCCAGACACCTTTTTCACGTAGCACATGCTTCCCACAGGGGGCAGTGAGGGCCACCAACCCAAATGGCTTTGAAAATTCATGGAGGAGAGGGCCATTGAAGGCTACTAGCCAGAATGCCTATACAGTCAGAGACAGGGATGCTTCTGAATACCAGATGCTAAAAACTGCAGAAGAGGAGAGGGCTTGTGTTCAAATCCTATTTGCCTGTTTCCCAAAAGAGGCATTTGGATGGCTACTGTGAAAACAGGGTGCTGGGATAGCTCAGTTGGTAGAGTAAAGGTAAAGGGACCCCTGACCATTAGGTCCAGTCGTGGCCAACTCTGGGGTTGCAGCGCTCATCTCGCTTTATTGGCCAAGGGAGCCGGTGTACAGCTTCCAGGTCATGTGGCCAGCATGACTAAGCCACTTCTGGTGAACCAGAGCCGCGCACGGAAACACCGTTCACCTTCCCGCCGGAGCGGTACCTATTCATCTACTTGCACTTTGACGTGCTTTAGAACTGCTAGGTTGGCAGGAGCAGGGACCGAGCAATGGGAGCTCATTCCGTCACGGGAATTCGAACCGCCCACTTTGTGATCGGCAAGTCCTAGGCTCTGTGGTTTAACCCACAGCGCCACCCGTGTCCCTTCAGTTGATAGAGTATGAGGCTCTTAATCTCAGGGTTGTGGGTTCAAGTCCCATATTGGGCAAAACACTCCTGCATTGTAGGGGGTTGGAGTAGATGACTCTCGTGATCCCTTCCAATTCTATGATTCTATGTTCTTATGTTCTCCATCCCTTTTAAGCCAGCCTTGCTTAATTTTTATTTTATTTTTAATAAACCAACCTTGCTCTTGTACCTTTGTTGCACCAGATGTGCAACAATTCAACAGGTGAAGCTATTCCTGATGAGGTCCATTAGTATACCTGTCAGAGTGGCACATCCACCTTGAAGCCCTCGGGCAATTCTGTGGCCTTGCATAGGCACAATTAGCCAGAAGGGGAATTAAAACAGAGGTGGCACCCAAGGGTTTTTAATATATTCAATTTTTGTTTTCAAACTTCAGGGGAGGGGAGTCCACTGATAGGGAGACAGAAGCACAACTCTCACCTGCAAGGGCACGGGACCAGCAGACTTAAGGGTAGGGAGACGCATACATACTTTTGCAAAAAATAATAATAGCTGACTAAAGACTGAGCACGCTCAGTCACTACAAAATGTTGATTGACTGCTGAGAGGTAAAAAAACAGACAACCAGGTGGGAGAAGGAATGGAATAGAAAACAAAGGAGAAGGAAGAGATATTAAAAGGGTAGAAGGAACTCTCTTGCTGTCTAGTGCTGATTGCACTTTAAAATGATCAAAACCTTTTTAAAAAATAAATAAATAAAATCACATGAAGTTAGACACTGAGCAGAGATGCTAACTTTTGTTGTTTCTCCCTGCTCAGCCACAGGCTGGGAAAGGGGTGAGGCTCAGAGGCAGAACATCTGCTCTGCATGTAGAAGGAACCAGATTAATAATAATAATAATAATAATAATAATAATAATAGTTTATTATTTGTATCCCGCTGTCTGGCTGGGTTTCCCCAGCCACTCTGGGCGGCTTCCAACAGAGATTAAAAATACATTAAAACTTCAATCATTAAAAAATCCCCTAAACTTCCCTTAATTTCCAGGTAGGACTGAGAGAGACCCCCTTGCCTGAAATCCAGGAGTGCCACTGCCAGGCAGCGGTGAGCTAGATGGACCAATGGTCAGACTTGGCGTAAGGCCGTTTCCTACATTCCTGTGTCTTAGGACACCTGCTTTGCATCCAGAAGGCCCCAGTTTCAATCCCCAGCATCTCTAAGTAGGAGTGGGAAAGGTGCCAAAATGAAACCTTGGAGAGCTGCTGCCAGTCTGTGCAGACAATTCTAAGCTTTATGGGATAATGGCTCTAATACCCACACACCAAGGTTTTGTTAAGGGACCCCGTTTGAAGGGCTATATGTGATCAAGGAAAAACCTCCGCCCCATGGCCAAGATCCTTATACCCACAAGTAAGGGATTCTATAGCTGTGATTCCTGCATTGCAGGGGGTTGAACTAGATGAACACTTAGGGTCCCTTCGAACTCTATAATTCTAGAATTTTAAGTTCCAGTCCCCAATGGTTTCCAGCAACATCATTTAAGTTTCCGCCTGGTACTAGCAACGTCTGTTAATTGCCCCTTGTGATTGCTCTACTGTCAAAATCTGTTCCCACCGGATGTGGCAGAGGAAGCTTCAATTACAAGTTCCTTAATATTCATTTCCTTTTTTAAAAGTGCACTATTTTACTGTCATTAAAACTTGTCCACCCTCAGAACAGAAGTCAATTAGAAGAGAGTCTTCCTTCTGGCTAATCCTGCAGCCATCAACCTCGGTGGCCTCCACAACGTATAGAAAACAAAAAGATTGAAGAGGATTCTGGCAGAAGAATGCCTTGCCAGTTGTTAAGTCAACACTGCCACCTACTGGGTGAACTCAGATTGCTTGCATCCCTTTTCTATTGACATAAGATAGGAAATGTGCGAATGAGGGCAACCGAAGACGGAAAAGGGCCTGAGACCCAAGCCTTATGAGGAACGGTGAAGGGGGTTGGGGGTGTTTAGCCTGGAGAAGAGGAGACTGAGAGGTGATATGATAACATCATCTTCAAATATCTGAAGGGCTGTCACATGAAAGATGGAGCCAGCTTGTTTTCTCCGGCTCTGGAGGGTAGGACTTGAACTCATGGATTCAAGCTACAAGAATGGAAATTCCGACTAAACATTAGGAAGAACTTTCTGAGGGTAAGAGCTGTTCAACAGTGGAATGGACTCACTTGGAAGCTGGCAGAGGTTTATAAGCAGAGGCTGCATGGCCACCAGTCAGGGAGTCTTCAGCTATGATTTCTGCGTTGCAGAAGGGCTCCTTCCAGCTCTATAATTCTGCGATTCTATGCATCTAACTGGCCACATGGGTCCCAGTCAGACCTGTTTCCACAACTGCTCTGCATGTGCCAACTGGTCACACCTGAAGGCTGTTCAGGTTGGGAAATGAAGGGAATAAATTCGGAAGAAAATTATCTCCCTCTCTCATAACACTAGAACTCATCATGGACATCCCATGAAGCTGAATGTTGGAATATTCAAGACACATAAAAGAAAGGACTTCTTCATGCAATGCTGAGTTAAACTGTGGCGCTTGCTCCCGCAGGAGGCAAAGATGGCCACTAACCCGGAGGGTTTTAAAAGGAAGATTAGATAAATTCATAATATGGCTATGAATGCCATACTAGCCAAAATGGTCATATCTTGCAACGGAACTGAGAGGCAACTGTTAAGATGGGCAACTAGGCAAGCAGCCCTGGCTATGAGACAGTATCCCTGAGTGCATTTATTATTATTATTATTATTATTATTATTATTATTATTGGTATGAGAGCCAGTGTGGTGTGGTTATCAGTGTCAAACTAGGTCCTGGGAGATCAGTGTTTAAATGATGCTCACTGGGTGACCTTGGGCCGGTCATGCCCTCTCAGCCTAACCTACTCATAGAGTTGTTGTGAGAGCCTAATAGTTATTTACACCTCCACCCCACACCTGCCCCACCTGGAATAAATAAATTAAATAAATAAATCCTTATGACTTGTCAGCCACTTGTCGCACAATAGATGACTTACAACACACCTCTGAGCGCCAGCATAGCCCAAAAATACTTTAGAATAAAAACACACACAGCTCATTGAAATCTACAAAGCACACACACACACCCCCATGGCAGAGACAAGGTTCAGCAGCTCAAACTCACAGCAAACGGCATCATCATAGCCCAACAAAGGTCTAGGAGTGGGGGCAGAAAAGATGTCAAGGACAGCACCAGGCAGACCTCACTGGGGAGAGAGTGTTCTACAGGCAGGGTGCCACAACCAAAAAGGCCCTGCTCTCCCTTGCCATCACCCTCTGAGTCTCCACTTAAAGGAAGCTCCCAGAGAAGGGTGTCAAGATGAAGACCTAAGAGTCTGGTTGGGCTCATAGCCAAGGAGAGGCGTTCCAGAAGATATTGGGGTGCTGAGCCATCAAGAGCTTTGTAGGTCAGAAGCCATCATTTTGAATGGGGTGTGGAAACCTAGGTTTCCCTTCTGCAATGTGGGACACCTTCATCCTCCTCAGAGTCTTCCACTTGAGTCAGATGCCTAATGTACTCTCTGACTAACGGGAGAACCATCCGTTAGTCAGATATGCACAAATTATGAATTAGCATAGAATAACTTTCTGAGAGTTCAACTTTTCCCCCTCCAAGCTAGCATCCCTGGATCCTCAGTTCTGTTGAATTAATTTGACCAAATAGTTCTAATTCTCTTTTGATTAAATGTGAAAAGAATTGTTACCATTTTGAATTGTGTTCTGTTATGATCTTCCTGCGCGGGTCTTGCCATCTGTGATTATGAATAACACTTTCTAAAGGTTTGGGGCCCTAGGGGTGAGTTTAGGGAACCAAAAGCTTGGGGACCAAACCGAAAGTGTGATGTTTAAGGGTAAGAAAATTACTATTTTGCTGTCTATTTTTAATCCACCCTGTACCTCCTGAATAAAAGAGCAGACCTTACCTCCCTCGAGGGGGTTGGGTCCAATCCAACTGGGCAGGCAAGTCACTCAAATACTAAACTGCTGAAGGGAACGTCACACAGAAGGTCCCTCTTACCTCTTCGTCTGGTGGGTTCAAGGAGGCATCGTCCCAAGCAGGGAAGAGGTTGGAGAGATGGGCGGTCAGGAGGTGGCAAGGACGAGAAAGAGAAGGGACCAAATTAGTGCAGCGTCACACCCAAGAGGCAAGCAGAGGGGCTTTGCAGGAGCCTCAGAACCCCCATGGCTGTCAGGATGGATGCATTTGGGTGACTAGGGAGAGCTGGCTCATTCTCCTTCCCCCCATGAGAAACACCCCACACCCATCCATTGCATCCATCCCAAAATACATCCATCTCAGTCCAGGGAATCCCAACAGCTGTGGCGCTTCCAGTGCAAACACAGAGTTCCCAAATCAGCTGATCCACCATGCAGTGCCTGACTTTGCCACCTATTTGATCTGGCCCTGCAAGGCTCCATCCTATGATCTCCCAGACTCTGCCCTTTGATTTCAGCCGCAGGGAGAAGGAAGGGGGTGCGATGGGGGCCGACCGCCCCGGGTGTCACCACTGAGGGGGGTGACAAAATGCCGGGGCCTGCAGCACGCCCAAGCCACGTGTCTCTCCTGGGAGTGGCGCTGTGGCTTGGGCACCTGCAGGTTCCAAATGGTCCGCCTGCCATCTCCCCCTCAGTTGTAGGGCGGCTGAGTGGGAGGAGGCAGGCAGACTCCTCGGAGGCCCCGTCCCTGGGCACAGGGCACAAGCGCCGCCCCAGGCGCCCGATTGGCTTGCTCCGCCGCTGTTCAGCCACAAAAGATATGGCAACTCTTAGCATTTGTGTCATTATGATGATGACTACTACTATTACTACTAGTGGTATTGTTTTAGTCGTCGTTGCTATTAATGAGATGACGATGATGATTGAATTATTATAGTTCCACCCATGTACAAGGCTCTGTACACAATTAAAATAAGAAATTCCACCCTGGAGGGTATGCAGCCCCAAACAACAAATTTAAACAAAAAAAAATCAATGCTTTAAAATGTGTAATTCACAATCCACAGCACCGTGTATAATAAAACTCGCTAACCAGCCCCAAAGGCCTTAGGAAAAAAAGATGAGTTTTAAAAAGAGACTTAAAAACGTATGAAGTGAGGGGGCAGCCCACAAATGTTCCAGAAGACGATTCTAAAGATAATGGGAGAATGAACTCTGCTGACCAGTCCTGGCCCTTTGACCATCTTTCAGTGCTGCTCCTGTCTTCCCTTAACCATGCCACTCTGAGCCACAGGAAATTCTGGGTAAATTCAGAATTGCTGGCTCTGAGTGACTGATTGGCTAATACCATTACCAACATAAGAAGAACCCTGCAGGATCAGGCCTATGGCCCATCGAGTCCAGCATCCTGTTCTCCCAGTGGCCGACCAGATGCCCCCAATGGGAATCCTACAAGCAGGACTTGAGTGTAACAGCATCACTCTCCCCTACAACCTAATTGTATGTTGCAAATCAGTTTCTGGTTTTAGTGGGGGGTGGCAGCAAGCAACGAGGATTCTGTCTTAGCATTTCCAGAGGGCTAGACATCCGCTTACAGAGAAGACAATGAAAAGCCTTGTGGTGCCTTGAATGTTGGAAGAGTCACGGAATACTGAATCCAATACAGTGGTACCTCGGGTTAAGTACTTCGTTCCGCAGGTCCGTTCTTAACCTGAAACTGTTCTTAACCTGAAGCACCACTTTAGCTAATGGGGCCTCCCACTGCGGCTGCGCCGCCGGAGCACGATTTCTGTTCTCATCCTGAAGCAAAGTTCTTAACCTGAAGCACTATTTCTGGGTTAGCGGAGTCTGTAACCTGAAGTATATGTAACCTGAAGCGTATGTAACCCGAGGTACCACTGTACAGTCATACCTCAGGTTGAATGTGCTTCAGGTTGAGCGCTTTCGGGTTGCGCTCCACGGCAACCCAGAAGTAACGGAGCACATTACTTCCGGGTTTCACCACTCGCGCATGCGCAGACGCTCAAAATGACATCACGTGCATGCACGGAAGAGGCAAAACGCGACCCACGCACATGCAGACACGCCATTGCGTCTTATGTTCCATTCAGGATGCGAATGGGGCTCTGGAACGGATCCTGTTTGCATCCCGAGGTACCACTGTACTTAATGTTGGGAGATTTAGGGCAGACAAAGTAAAGTCCTTCTTCGCACAACGCATAAACTATGGAACTTGCACCCGCAGGAGGCAGTGATGGCTACCAACCTACATGGCTTTAAAAGAGGATTGCACCAATTTATGGAGGAAAATAACGCTATCGGTGGCTGCTATCCATTGTGGCTCTGCTCTGCCTCCACAGTCGGAGGCAGCAAAGCTTCTGAATACCACTTGCTGGAAACCACAGGAGGGGAGAGGACTCAGGTCCCGCTTGCAGGTTTCCCATTTGGCCTCTGTGAGAACAGGATGCTGGACCAGATGGGCCATTGGTCCGATCCAGCAGGCTTATATTGTGTCCTTATGTCCTCCAGCCCACCTGTGGTGTGAATCAGTGGAGGAATGACAGGGTTTTAATGGGCCATGCTTGTGCACTAACCAGGGGAGGGGCAAACCTGTCAATGTTTTTCTCTGCTCATTATCTTTATCTACGTTATTATTTATTGCATCCCTACGCAACCTTCTTCTCCAGGGAGTGAATGGTTCTCCCTTCTCCTCTCACTTAATCCCCACAACAACCCTGTGAGGCAGTGGCTGGCCCCCAAGTTCCCCACCCAGTGAGTTTTGTGGTCGACTTAGCCTACCTCACAGGGTTCTTCTTGGCATTAATTGAAGAAGAGGGAGACCCACGTGCATGCCGCCTTGAGCGCGTCAGAGAAAAAAGTGGAAAGAACTAAATGTGCGTGAACGTCAAAGAACATTTGCCACTAAAAATGAAAGGGACGGGAAAGAAACCATGACTTTGCACAGGCTAACAGAAACAAAGAAAAAATGTCTACAGCCAAGGCCTGCAAGGGGGGTGCATCAGATATAATGAAGAACCTCAAAATGTTTGACAACTCTTTGGTAAGTCCTCTGCTGTTAATGAAGAATTTAGGGTATCTTCTACAGAATACAGTGGTACCTCGGGTTAAGTACTTACCGGTAATTCATTCCGGAGGTCCGTACTTAACCTGAAACTGTTCTTAACCTGAAGCACCACTTTAGCTAATGGGGCCTCCTGCTGCTGCCGCGCCGCCGGAGCACGATTTCTGTTCTCATCCTGAAGCAAAGTTCTTAACCTGAAGCACTATTTCTGGGTTAGCGGAGTCTGTAACCTGAAGCGTATGTAACCTGAAGCGTCTGTAACCCGAGGTACCACTGTATTGCTTCGGCTGCTGTGTAATGGGACATGCTTCTCTTCTGATAGCAATTTATTTTTTTTAGTGTGTTTATTTCCCACCTTTTTCTCTGAGGAGTTCAAGGTGGTGTGCACATGGTCTCCCCTTTTTCATTTTATCCCCACAACAACCCAGTGAGGGAATTTACTCGGAAGCCCTGCTGTGTCCAGTGGGGTTTACTCCTAAGTCAGGATCATGGCACTACTTAAGACTCCCCACTTGCTAGTCAAGCAGCAGCAAATGGAATAACTAGAAAATGGACAACGCCTTGCTGGGAGGAGCAGCAAGTTTTTGTTAATCTGTGACACCGAACACACACCCCGATTTGGCCCTGGTCCTACATCTTCAGGGCTTGCAGGAAAAGGATCCCAGGAAGGGACAATTTCAGGAAAGGCCACGGAGCCATTTCAGCACAGACACACAATGACAAATCAAAACAGGAACTCTGCTTTCTTTCCCTTCCCTCTCGCCCCCTGGGATTGCGCTCCAAAAACACCCACCTTTCAGCCACCAGAGAACGTCCGTGTGCATCTCGTCCGAGACATCTAGAACAGAGGAAGAGGGAAAGAAGCATTAGGAGCTGCAGTGCAGCATCGGAGAGGAAGGGAAGCTAGCCAGCCAGCCTGGGGATCCTGCTTGCGGGATTATTTTTATTGGCCAGGCTCCTGAACTCAGGAGGAGAAGAAGGAGTCAAAGGCTGGCATCCGCACCACCTCCTTGCCCGGGGAGGGGAGGCACTCTGGCGAAGCCAAGCCCACAGTGGTGGCAGAGAAGGTGGCACAGGCCCCACGCCTTTCCCAGTGGCAACCTTGAGGGTCTTCACAAGCTGTTCTGCCCCTCGAAAGCTGAGAACCAGGGCCTTGTTTTGGCTCGGATCCAGCCCTGCTACCAGCAAACAGAGCCAGCAGCTTGCATGAGGGTTTGGGAGAGGGATATATGTGGGGGCTCCCCAAGATATTGTCAGACTCCAACTCATCCCCAAACTTTGGGCATGCTGGCCCCTGGGGCTGGTGGGATGTAGGGAAATTAACCTTTTAGTGGGGCAGCATCTATTTTCTGGAGCTCCCTGCCTTCTGACATCAGGGGGTACCAGAGCTCTCCTCTTTTTGGTGCCTGCTAAAAGCGTTTTAGTTTAGGCAAGCTTACCCAGGCAGGTAGAATGCTGACGGACGTTTTGATCTGTTTTGGGTTTATTGCTGGTTTTGATTCTTTTAAAATGTTTTAAAGAGTTGGTTTCACTGATAATTTTATTGCTTTACAGTGGTCCCTTGGTTCTGAAATGTCTTGGTACTCAAACAACTTGGAACCCAAACACTGCAAACCCGGAAGTAAGTGTTCCGGTTTGTGAACTTTTTTTGGAAGCCAAACGTGCTTCGTTTTGAGTGTTATGCTTCTGATTGGAGTGCCACACTTCTGTTTTGAGTGTTACGCCGAGGTCTGTCTCAGCGTTTTTTGTTTTTGCGTTTTTGTTTTCGTGGCTCTTTTTTGTGACTGTGTGAAATCCAGTCCAGCTACTGATTGATTGATTGTGTGACTGCAGTACATTGTTTATTGTTTTCATTTTATGAATCAATGGTCTCATTAGATAGTAAAAATTCATGTTAAATTGCTGTTTTAGGGGTTGTTTTTAAAAATCTGGAACGGATTAATCCATTTTGCATTACTTTCTATGGAGAAGTGCGCCTTGGTTTTGGAACGCTTTGGTTTTGGAACGGAATTCAGAACGGATTAAGTTTGAGAACCAAGGTACCACTGTATTCTCTTTGTAAACTGCCTTGAGGGTTTTGTTTTGTTTTTACAAAATAAATAAGTAATAAAAGCAGCAACAGCAACAACAGTAATCTTCCCCTCTTGTCTCTTCCAGGCCCCCTCCAAACAAGGATCCGTTGGCCCCACCTGCCATTGCCTCTGGCACCCCCTAGTGTCGGACTCTGTGCCTTACACACACATACACAACCATTCCCAATGGGCAGCAGCTGCCACTGGTGGCAAAGCAACCTGCTTGGCATGCAGAAGGTCCTTAGTTCAATCCGTAAGGGCATCTCCAATTAATGTTACACTGCACTGTGACCCTGACTCTGCTGACCTGAATGAGTGCCATATGCAGGATCGTGCTTGGAAGAGGTGGAGAAATCCCATCCTTTCCTCATTTTAAGGTGGAGCCACCTGATTCGCACTTCCCAAATCAATCTGCCTACCAAAACACAGTTCATCTTACAAAATTCGCATTTCTCTGAAATTTGCAATGCATTTCTCCATCCAAGCGACATGTGCAGAAGTGCATGTACTTGGTGCAGTAAAGCGTGCATTAAAAGGCATATGTCTGGCATAATGACATAAAGAAATGCATTTCATATGGGGAAGCTGTTTTGCCAAAACAAGTAGATTATGCAATATCACATGCAATAAGGTGTATATTGGGAAGAAATCACAGTAAAATGCTGGTGAATTTTCATGGGGATTTTTTTTTTATTTAATGCAAACTGTGAAAATATGGAATGAGAGACACTGAAAAGGACACTTCAGTATTTTTTCTGCCTTGCCCTTAGATGAACAGGAACTAGACTGAGAGCCAGCCCTACCATAAGGCAGGTTGAAACAGCGACCTTGGGCAGCAATTTTTCCACACGGGGCTGACCAAAGGCCTTCTGTTGACTGAATTTATACCCTGCCTTCTTCCCAAAGGAGCTTGAGTGGGGAGAAGGTGGTGCCAACCTCCAAACTCATGGATGGAACTCAGCTGGACAGGCAGTGGGATCCTTCTTCAGAGTGAGGCAGCAGCCTCAGGCGGCAGGTGCCGTAGGAGTGGCAAACAGCAGTCCTGCAACCCTTCCTCCTGCGCCCCCTAAGCTGCCCTCCTGCCTCAGGCGCAGTTGGGGATGTTGTCAAAATAAGACTCATTTGTGAGTCCAGTCAGATTCTGTATGTCAAATGGGGGCGGGTATCATCTTGTCCTTTGCCTCAGGCGGCAAAATGTATTGGACCAGCCCTCACCGGGTCTGATGACTGCACTACTGTGTCCAGCCCTGCCTACCTCAGCACTGGCCACTCTGACTGGCAGCAGCAGCACCTCTTCAGAGTTTCAGGCAAAGAAACCTACCTAACTTGGGACACCAGGAATGGAACGCAGGACCTTCCACATGCAAACAGGTAATCATAGATTTGCAGAACTGGCAGGGACACAAAGGGTTATCTAGTCCAACCCCTTACAATGCAGTAATCACAGTTAAAGCTGATTTCATGTTGTTGTTGTTGTTGTTGTTATTGCTGTTATTATTATTATTATTATTATGGAACTAATGGGGTGGAGGGGGGGCTTTTTATTTCATCTCTGCAAATCCACCTTGCCTCTGATGAGCGCAGCCTCCTCTGCCCTCCTCAAGGGGGGGCCCGGCCTGGTGGCACGAGATGCAGCCCAGCAGACTCCTGCAACATACCCACAAAGAAAGCACTAAACCTCAGGGGGTCCTTCCCTCGCCGCAGGTTGATGAGGTCATCGGCCTCACTGCTGGGGCCCACACACTGCGGCCTCTGGTCCAGGTGGGCAGACGGCTCTTCAAAACACGCTGGCTGTCTTGGCAGGTCTTGGTTTGAGGTGGAAATGGCATCCTGCGGCAAACCCAAGGCTTCCTCCAGCTCCCCAGGAAAAGCCGCCGCGACCTTTGCTGGGTCCGGAGCCGGCGGGCTGCTTAACATCTCCCTCAAGTCCGGAGCTAAGCTGGAGCGAGGCTTCTCCCTCAAATCTGGAGCTGGCAAGCTGCAGGGCTTCTCCCTCAAATGCAGAGCTAAGCTGGGATGCTTCTCTCCAAGGTCTGGAGCTGGTAGGCTGAGGTGCCTGTCCATCACATCCGGGGTGGGAGGGCTTTGGCCTGGCTGGAGCAAAGGCCACCAAGTTGACTGAGGCCCAAACTTGCTTAAGGGCCTTGGAGGCAAGAGTCCCCAGTTCACGGTGGCCTCTGGATCCGACAAGGGCCTGGGTCTTGCTATGGTGGCGGTGGTGGGCTGAAGAGAACCTCTCGGAACCTGATGGGCATCAAGGCCAGGTTCTGACTGGGTCCAAGCTGGCCCAAGGCTCCCGTGCTGTGGGGTCTCCCTGACGAGGGAGCCCCTGTGTGGAATATCAGTCCCTGGAGGGGCGGACCGGCTGAGGGCTGCCTCCATTTCTTTATGGAAAGGGCACCTGTACTCAGATTCGCTCTCTGGGTGGGAAGCAGGTCTGTAGACAGGCTGGAATTCTTGCGGCAGAGAGTCAGGCCAGGGGGGCACACGAATGGTGGATTTGGGGACTGTTTGGAGGGGGGTCCTCTTGGCTTCGACATCTTTCAGCAAGGAGACCCTTCTTGCCTCAGGCTCCTGAGGGACGGATCCCCTTGGAGCCGGTTCGAGCCGGGCTTGGAGGGAACTTTTTCTCTGTTCGGCGGTGGAAAGGGGTTGCTGGCCAGATGGCTCATGCCCCAGGGAGAGAGCCCGCTTCCAAGCATCCTCCATCTCCTGGTGGATTGGGCAGCGATACTCAGATTCATACACAGGGTGGAGGGAAGGCCTGTAGATGGCCTGGATTGGTTCAGACCTTGCCTGGAGGGAGGTCCGCTTCGCGTCTGGCTCCCTGGGAGGAGAGCTCCTTCGGCGGGTGGGTTCAGGGGGTGGTTCAAGGGTGCCCCGCCTCGGATCTGGCTCCCTGGGAGGAGAGCTCTTCCGGCGGGTGGGTTCTTGAGGGGGCTCATGGGTGCCTCGCCTTGCGTCTGGCTCCCTGGGAGGAGAGCTCCTTCGGCGGGTGGGTTCAGGGGGCGGTTCAGGGGTGGCCCGCCTCGTGTCTGGCTCCCTGGGAGGAGAGCTCTTCCGGCGGGTGGGTTCAGAGTGCGGTTCAAGAGAGCTCCTCCTTGCTTCAGCCTCTGTGGGGAGAGGAAGGGCCAACCACACCTCTGCTTGAGGAGAGTCGCTCTTTGGGAAAACGGAGACCTTGTAGGCCGGCTCCGTCTGGGTCCACTCATCCTTGGGGTTAGGGACGTGTTTGCGGATGAGTTTCCGAGGTGGCTGGCAGGTGTCCTGTGGTCCCAATTCCAGTGCCAGCTGGGGAAACGCCTTGGGCACCTGAAAGGATTCCCTCTTTGGGGGATTTACTTGTGCAGAATCCTCCCTGGGACTTGCCATAGGCCTCAAATAGCTCTGGGTTGTCACCTGGGGCAAGTCACTCGGATTTGGGGAGATGGGGATGCATCTGTTGTCTACTTGGGTTCTCCCTATTCTGGATGCAGCCCGGGACCTCTGGTAGATTTCCTCCCTTTGTGAATTGAGGCTCTGTTGCATCGCCATCAGCATCTGACTGTTCGTCATGGTGAGCTGCCCCGGCTGGATGGAACACTTGCCGCACCGGTAGTCCACCACCGGCTGAGGGGAGATGTTCCGGATGGACGTCCTCCCTCTCTGCGGAGGACCCCCGAAGGAGAGCTCGTTTTCTTCCTGACACCCTGACCTCAAGGCAGGTCCCTGGGAGAGCTCACTCGCTCGGCGGGATGAGGTCCCAGCTGGGAGTTCGCCCCCTTTTGGCGAGGAGGTCCTGCTCCAGAAAGCGTCGCTTCCTCTGTAGGGAGAATTGTTCCGCGGAAGGTCACCCGGTTGTTGGTAGAACGAATTCTCGGAGACCCCACTCCCTCTCCGCAGAGAAGGGCCCGGAACGAGGTGGTTTGGCCCTCTTGGAGCAGACGGCCTTCGGGGTTCCTCGGCCCCCCTCTGAGAAAGGGTGCCCTGGGAGACCTCGCTTCCCTTCCGTGAAGAGGCAGCCGGCGGAACGGACAGTCTCCGAGGAGCCTCGCTGACGCTTCCCCTCTGGGGCAATGCATTCTGGGACAGTTCACTTCCTCGCCGAGGGGAGGAGCTCTGGCCTGCATCGCTCCCTCTGGGGGGCGAGGAGCTTCTGAGAAACTCACTGGCTCTCTGAGGGCTGCTCCCTCGATGGGACCGGGTGCCGGAGGCTCCTTCTCGTCGAGGGGACGTGTTCCTCTGGGTCTCTCTGCTTCGCCGGGGAGAGCCCTGGCGGGGCTCTTGGGCTACGTTGGCTGGAACAGGCAGAACCATCCTGGCGGGCGACCCCTTCTCATTGGAGCCCATGGCGCCGCTGGCTTCCCCTGGTCCTCCTCCGTTGGGGCACAAGCCCTGCCGGCAGTGCTAAGCACAGGTGATCTTGGGCCCTCCATAAAGCACCTGGTTGTTCTGGGAGCATCTTCACGGGCCCCTTCATTTCCACAGCTCGGCAGGGTCCTGGCAAGATCACAAAGCCGTGATGTCATCCTGCTGGACTGTGATGTCATCAGACACAACCCTGAGGACCTGCCTAGAAGCCATGGCCTCCTCTCCTATGCACGGCCCTTCAAAGCACTGCATCTCTCTGACCCTGCAATGTTGGCCCTGCATCCCCAGGTCCAAAATGATGAAATTTCCCTGCAGGTCTGAACAACTTTAAAGGGCTTTTTTTCAACCAGGACTCACCGGAACTGAGTTCCGGCTCCTCTCAGTGGGCACCATTGCCAGGATGGCATTCATGGTGAGTTCCCTCTTTTAATAGAAAAATAGCAGTGACCGTTCCAGAGCTTAGAGACAGTTGAACAGATGCCTTTGAAAGGTGGCGGACTTCTTCTTCCTTGGAGGTTTTTAAGCAGAGGCTGGATGACCATCTGTCATGGATGCTTTACGTGTTATCCCTGCATTGTGTTGTTGTTGTTGTTGTTTAGTCGTGTCTGACTCTTCGTGACCCCCTGGACCAGAGCACGCCAGGCACTCCTGTCTTCCACTGCCTCCCGCAGTTTGGTCAAACTCATGCTGGTAGCTTCGAGAACACTGTCCAACCATCTTGTCCTCTGTCGTCCCCTTCTCCTTGTGCCCAACATCAGGGTCTTTTCCAGAGAGTCTTCTCTTCTCATGAGGTGGCCAAAGTATTGGAGCCTCAGCTTCAGGATCTGTCCTTCCAGTGAGCACTCAGGGCTGATTTCCTGAAGAATGGAGAGGTTTGATCTTCTTGCAGTCCATGGGACTCTCAAGAGTCTCCTCCAGCACCATAATTCAAAAGCATCAATTCTTCGGCGATCAGCCTTCTTTATGGTCCAGCTCTCACTTCCATACATCACTACTGGGAAAACCATGGCTTTTGCCCTGCATTGTAGAGGCCCTATAATTCTAAAGGTAAAGGTAAAGGTACCCCTGCCTGTACGGGCCAGTCGTGTCCGACTCTAGGGTTGTGCGCCCATCTCACTTAAGAGGCCGGGGGCCAGAGCTGTCCGGAGACACTTCCGCGTCACGTGGAAAGCGTGATGAAGCTGCCCTGGCGAGCCAGCACCAGCGCAGCACACGGAAACGCCGTTTACCTTCCCGCTATAAAGAGGTACCTATTTATCTACTTGCACTTAAGGGTGCTTTCGAACTGCTAGGTGGGCAGGAGCTGGGACCGAAAGACGGGAGCTCACCCCACCGCGGGGATTCGAACCGCCGACCATGCGATCGGCAAGCCCTAGGCGCTGAGGATTTACCCACAGCGCCACCCGCGTCCCTCTCCTATAATTCTAAGATGGCAATAACTAAAGCACAACGTTTATAAAGATGCCAGTTTTGAACAACACCAGTCAATGCACTAGAACAGGGGTGGTGAACCTTATGCCCGATGGCTGAATGTGACCCTCCAGGCCTCTATGTTTGGCCCTCAGAGTGCTCCCCAACCCAAGCCCCTCAATGGACCCGCTTTTGCCTGGCTGGGATGCATCCTTGAATTCTGTTCTTACTCCTTTTTTGTCTGGATGGAGGACTGTCTGTGGGTGTGTAGACACTAGCCTACTATACAAAGGTAAATTTTGCCTTGGCTGCTCCACCCAGTTTTCCTCTGGCCACACCCACCACTGGCAGGTGACCCTCAGGAGGTTGCCCTGAGGGGAATGTGGCCCTCGGACTGGAAAAAAATTGTTTCCTCATACTATAGGAAGAGAGCTAACAGAGATTCAGCCCAAACTACTGGTAACATTTAAGAGAAACGCCTTTGAATCATTGAATTGTAGAGCTGGGACCGATAGGGTCATCTAGTCCAACCCCTGCAGTGCAGGAATCACAGTCTCCATTTGCCGGGTTCCTGGAAAGTGTTCCAAAGAGATGGGTTCACCACCAAAAAGGCCCTGCAGCTGCATTTCCCTACATTTTCTGTGGCAAAATGATGGAAGCACTTAGGTGGCCTGGCAGGTGGGAAAAGCGCTCTCCTAAACCCCAGGCTTCGCAATCTGTGCTTTTTTCTCACAACAACCCTGCGAAGTGGGCAATGCCGTTATTCCCACTATACATGTGTGAACTGAATCTCTGTGTTAATTGCTCATTGACCGACTGTATATTATTAGTAATTTTATTGTAATATTATTACTATTATGAACTTGTAACCTACTAAGTTCTACTCAGAGTAAACCCGTTCAAATTAAAAGACCTAAGTTCATCATGTTGTTAATTCCAGTGAATCCGCTCTGAGTAGAACTTAATTGGAGACCACCCATTATTATTCTTAGTTTTTGACTTTTTCTATTTTTTTAAAAAGTTTCACAAGAAAGAAAAAGTACTCAAGAACAAATGAAGATGCACGGTAGGAAACCATCCTTAAATAATTTTTAAAAGTCCACAGTCAAATTAAAAGCCGAGACCAGCAAAGTTCAATACTTAGTAGAATACCATCATTGATGTTTAAAGAAGATTTACTGCAAACACCTGGAGACGATCTTATCATTTATTTGCTTGTTTATTGATTTATTTATCATTTTACTATGTTAATCTAGCGCAACTCACTGGTTGGATCCCTGGCTTTCACCTAGCCAGCCACCACAGCTTCTGACATTGCTCATAACCAGCAGGAGGCGCCTTCACAAGAGCTGAGCATCAGGCGATGATGGGAATCTTCAAGGAAGATCAGCACAAGTCCAAGACTTTTCCGTGGAGACTGTTTACCCCAAGGCTGGCTGGCCCATTCAGGCCCCAATAGCACCACAGGAAAGTGTACATTTGAATTTAAACTGCTATGAGGTTCCCCCCCCCAAAAAAAACAACAAAACATTGGTTTTGTTTGTAAAAAAATTAATGTAACTTGCTTTTAATGTTTTTCTTAAAAAAGGTATTTTAAATGACTATTTTAGACTGCGTTGAAAACCTCTGAGAGGCCTTTTGTCCTAGTAAGCAGAATATAAATTTTGTTAGATAGTCCTGCACGGTTTTTATTAGCTGTATTTTAATAGATTTGCTTTCTACATTGCATTAAATCTATTAGAGTTTAATTACTTTTAAACAATTACCTACATGCTTTTAGCTTTTTGTATTGCCCCCCCCCCCATTGTTTAAATTTGTGTAAATCGCCTTGAGTCGCAGTCTGGGAAGAAGGCATGATAGAATAGAACATAATAAATAATAAAGATCAAGATCAAATACAAAAAAAAAAGTTTTCCTCCTGTCTCTTTTACCAGCTATCTCACAATTCCTGCACCAACTGAGTGTGTGTCCCCCTCTGTGTAGAATTGTAGAATTGTAGAGGTGGAGGGAACCTAAAGCGTCATCCAGTCCAACCCTCTGCAATGCAGGAACTGGTGTGATTGTGGTGTGAATGTGTAAATGCACCAGTGGCGTGCCTAAGGAGTGTTAAGTAGCCACGGCTACTTCTGCTGGGATGTGAGCCCCAGAGGGTTGGGGCAGCAAGAAGATTCAGGTGCACACATTCAGACGTTGCTCTTGAGGGGTGCGAGATCGAGTATGAACACACAAGCGTGAGCTTCTTCTAACCCCAGGAAACCAACTCTGGTTGGGCCACGGCTGAAAAGAGTCTGTGGCAGAGATGGGGCTTTGATCTGAAGGCCCTCAGAGTAGCCCAGTGCTTTATTGCTAAGCATACAGTTATTCTCTTTCATCACCAGGGTGCCACCACTAAAAAGCCCTGCTCACAAGTGCCCTCCCGCCTCTAATCTCACATCACCTAGAACCTAACACCAGCTAGGTCAAGCCAAAAGTCCAGAATCCTTTCGCTCAAGTACTAAACGTCAAACAAATGCTCACTGTAATCCTCCTTACAATGACCCTGTGAGGTTGCTCCATCTTACAGATACAGGGAGGAATTGGATTTGAGCTTCTGGCCACCAAGCTACAACTCAGTTCCTAGTCTTCATTTTTGCAGTATTATTATTTTCTCCAAAGAGGTCACAAGAAGAGCTGTGTAGCTGGATGAAACCAAAAGGCCAATCTATCAAGCCCAGAATCCTGTGACAGTGACCCACCAGTCCTCGGTGTTTTGGGGGGAGTTGAGAGAAAGCACACTTGACATGCTCAAAAGCTCATTTTGTCAAAGCAGCAGGAGCCCCGCCCCCTTTCTCCTGCTTTCCCCCATGGGAGGAGGACTAAAAGGCACCCTTAGCGTGGTCAGAAGCTCCTCCTTGTTGAGATGTGATCAGATGCTCGGAGAGGATATACAGTTTTGTTAAATGACACTACTGATTTCACTTCAGACGCCAAGGCAGCAGAAACCCCGCCCCCTTTTGCTTGATCGCCCGCTGGGAGTCTGAGAGAAAGCACTCTTAACATGCTCAGAATCTCCTGCTTAAGAGACCAAGGCAGCAAAGGACCCGTCCCCTTTAGGCGACCCCCCCCTTCCCGCTGTTTTGCGAGGAGGGGGGCTGCTTTAAAGCTTTCCCTCCCCCGCCCGCCACTTCTTCCTCCTGCCGCGCCCACCGCCTTTTTTCCATACCGGGAAAGCGTCGTCGGCGTCGGCGTCCCCTTTAAGAGCGTCGGCGCGGCCGAGGGCGCCCCCTGGCGGCCCGCGGCGGCGCTGCAGGTGCAGGTGGAGGATCGCGCGCCTCCAGGTGCGGCCGCCGCTGCTGCTGCTCCGTCGGCTCGGCCGTCCCCACCATGGAGCGCGATCGGGGCCCGCGGGGCTCGGCGGTGGACCTGGGCTTCGGGGCGCTCAGCACCGCGCAGCTCCGCGCCCTCATGCGGGACGAGACGTGGCTGGAGCGCATCGTCAAGCTGAGCAGGAAGGTAAGCCCAGGATCGGGACCCCCGAGGAGGAGAGGATCGGGCCCCTGGGAGGGAGAGGTGGGACGGGGGGGGTGTCGCATCCTGCCTCTTTTTTGCACGCATCGCTTGGATAGCATGCATCGGGGTGCATATCCCAGCCCCCTCCCGGTCCAAACATGTAACCGACCCCCACCCCACCCCGCCATCCATCTAATCCCCCCCCCCGCCAATTAAAACACCCACAGCACACAAAGGGGGCACCGATGCCCCCATCAGGCCTGCCACTGCCCTCCTCTGGGGCCGTGCCACACACCCCAAAACCCTATTGCAGAGAGGGTGCCCGCTGATGAGGGGGGCATGGCATGGGGGGGCGCAGTGCCAATCCAGCCAGGCCTGTGCTTGGTGCCCAGAGACGGTGTCCAGCACCACCACTGACGGCCTTTCCACAGAGGCTTGTGGCTATGACCCCCCAAAACACCCCATGCCCATGCCCCCCAAATGTGCAATCCTGTGGGGCAAACCAGCCGCTCCCTGACTGCCTCCCAACCTGGCCGATGTGCCTCTCCATCTTACCCCCCAATCCAATTTTTTGGGGGACCATAATGCCCCCCACTTACCTTCAAAGCTCCTACCAGGACACCCCAAACAAATTTGAGCACAGCTGCTGTTTCCTTGGCACCCCACTTCCTCAGTTACCCACCCCCCCCTATCAAAATAGATGCTACCGAGTGCTTTTGCACCGTGATTTTAATATTCTGCTGCTTCCCCAGACACCTGTCACTTGGACCCCCCTCCCCCAAAAATTAACCGCCCCCTTGCAGCAGTTTTTGCAAAGGCTCCTTCTTTGTTATCTCTATGCCACTGGCGATACCAGTTGAGGGTCGAGGTGTGTGTGTGTGAGGGAGGCTGCAAGGGCCTGGATGCTTTGTCTGGGTGGGTGGGGAGCCTCCATCCTGGGGTGCCCCCTCCTTCCCCTCCAAAACCAGCCCCAATGCTCACAATCGCAAACCCACGCACCCTCCCCGCACACCCCTGTCTGTTTTGTTTTTCTGCACCCTTAGGAAGGGAGTTTGGGATCCATCCAAGGCTCCCTGAATCAGCCAGAGGATTTATTTTTATTTTATTTGGGGGAGGTGGCTGTTGCTGTCTGTATTGTTTGCAGGGTGGGTGGGTGGGCTTGCCAAATAATTGCCAGAGCCTTTCATACATTTGGATCACGGATGGCGTAGGGTTTTGCCTTTCCGACAGAGAGCCATGGAAACAAAGGACATCCTCTTTTTTGTTTTTGGCCAACCCCTACTAAATCTAACTAGCCTCCTCCCCGTTCCAGGAATCCCACCCCCCGCCTCCTAATTCTGGCTCCCCAAAACCTTTACAGGCCCACTCAATTTTGTGTCCACCCCCACCCCCATCCAGACACGTCACAGACTGCTCTTGCTGTCCATTCTCCCAAGAATACGTCGGGTCTGTTTATCTCAGAAAGGCACCTTCGCCTCGCGACCCTGGGAAGCAGGAGATCCCCCCCCCACACCGTTTCCTGGATTTGTCCCGGGTTAACTGCTCTGGAATAACTGTTTCTCTGTGGGGTGCCCCACGAGGGTTTCAGAGGACCCCAGGACCATCCCTGTGTGGTCCCACAACTCCGCCCCACTCAGTGCCTCAGAGAGGCTCCCAAATGGGGCCTGGGTGTAGAAAGGATTCCACATCATGTGGACATTTAGCCAGGATTAAAACTGGGGTGGGTGATGCAAGGCCCTGTCTGCCCACCCTGGTTGTTGGGGGGGGACCTAAACAAAGCCTTGTAGCAGGCATCATACTTGCAATGCTATTTGAGAATTGCTTAAAGAATTGTTGCTCTGTGCAGTGTGTCATCTTGGAAGAATTAGACGCGTCTTCGGGGGGGGAGAGTCCAGATGCCATCTTGCTCTGAGGCTCAGTCAGGGCAGCAGGTTAGGCAGAGGTGGGCACCGTCGCAGTTTCTCATTGGCCCTGCTGCAAACTCAAGAGCGCTGAGCGGATCTAGCTGTTGGATATGGGTTGGTGGAGCAGAGAAGCATCCCGCTCTGACCCATCTGATGAAAGTGAATGTTGGGAGGTTTGGGACAGATAAGAGGAAGTCCTTCCTGCGTTGCGTGGTTAAACTATGGAACTCACTTCCACAGGGGGCCACCAACTCGGGTGGCTTTTAAAGAGAATTAGACAAATTCATGGAGGACAATAAAGCTATCGAAGGCTACTCGCCACGGCAGGGCTATGCTGTGCCTCCAGAGTTGGAAACTCTGTTGCTGGGAACAGCAAGAGGGGAGAGGGCTCTTGCTTGTGGGCTTCCCATCAGGGCGTCTGGTTGGTCACTGTGAGAATGGGATGCTGAGCCAAATGGGCCCCCTTTGGCCTGATCCAGGCCTCCTCTTGTGTTTGTTAAGCAGATGTAGCTGGTTTCTTCCACACAGGGGCTCCGAAGCCACTGTTGCTTGCCTGAGCCACGAGAACTTAAGGTTTCAGAAACAGGAGCCTTAAAGACCCCAGAATGTTCATAGCTTGGGCAAGGACAGGAGAGAGCTGGGAGCCTGCTCTGAGGAGAGATGTTGTCATTGTCTGTGACAGTTGTGATAGTCAGCAGTTTAGAATCTAAACTTTAGTTGCCTTGTGGCACAGAGACATTCTGTCCGGTTATCCTTGTAAAGTCGCAGCTTGCTTCTTATCCCCATATTGCAGAAAGGAAAACTGAGGCTGAGTGGTGATTATTTACCCAAAGGCACCACTAAGTGAGTTCATGGGTGTTAGATAAAAATCCTCTCTGTTCACAGTTTTAGCCATACTGCATGGTTCTTCTTCCTGTTGTTTTATAATTAAGTTTATTGGTTTACTCCTCCATCCATCCTCTCCCCCACCCCGTGGGCTCTCTGTTATGAAGCAGGGCCTTTGTATTGGTGGCTCCACTGCTCTAGAGCTTGGCTTTCCCTGTCTGTGAAGGGACGCCCTTGTTTCCTCCAGCTTTGAATTGTTTTGGTCGCCGGCATATTACAAAAACCTACTTGACGTCTGCCAAGACTGTGTCGGTCTGCCATTAAAGATTGCATTCTGCTCTGGATAGGAGCTGTTTATGGCACAAAAGCTTTTAATAAGTTTAAAAACCAGTCCATCAATTTAATATCAATAACACAACACCATCAATGTGCCTGGCACTTTGAGAAGAGGTCCCTGCCCCATGGACCAAACAGTTGCACCATTTGCAAGAAACAGAGGATGGCCGAGCCGCAGAAAAGGTGCCTGGTGAGCAAACAGGTAGCTCAAGCAAGTTAGTCAAGCCGCATACTGCAGAGGATTGCAAGGCCAATCCTTTGTTGTTGTTGTTGTCGTTGTTGTTATATTTATATCCTGCCTTTTCCCCAGACAGGGATTCAAGGCAGCTTACACAAATTAAAACAAGACAGATAAAGCACAGAAGGCTAAAATCATATAAAAGATGATAGTTAAAAAGTAATTAAGCTCTAACAAAACAATATAAAAACAGATCTAATAAAATACAGATGTGGCACTATTTAAAAGCCCTTTTCTTTAAACAGCCGGTTCCCCAAAAAGCCTGTTGGAATGAAGCGGTCTTCATCTGCTGGCGGAAGTGCAACAAAGAGGGAGCGAGTTTGGTTTCTCTAGGGAGGGAGTTCCTCAGTCTGGGGGCAGCCACTGACAAGACCAGGCACCCCCAAACTTGGCCCTCCAGCTGTTTTGGGACTACAATTCCCATCATCCCTAGCTAACAGGACCAGTGGTTAGGGATGATGGGAACTGTAGTCCCAAAACATCTGGAGGGCCAAGTTTGGGGGTGCCTGGACAAGACCTTTTCCCACATCCCCACGAAGCGTCCCTGTGAGGCTGAGAGAAGAGCCTCTGTATGGCTTCCCCCATCCTGCACACCAACTAGACTAGTAGCCGAAAACAACCAAACTCAGCCTCACCCACCTACCCTAAAATATTATTCCTCCAGCCGTGGAGGCAGAGCATAAGCCATCCTGTCAAATAGCCATTGATAGCTTTATTCTCCTCCTTGAATTTATCCAGTCCTCTTTTAAAGCCATCCAAATTGGTGGCCAGCCCTGCGTCTTCCTGTGGGAGGGAGTTCCACAGTTTAACGCTGTCTGTCTGTCTGTCTGTTGCAGTTCCAGAACTTGCAGCTGGAACGGGAGAGGCGCCTGGCCTCCAACTACGCCTTGGCGAAGCAGAACCTTGCACTGCAACCACGGCTGGAGAACGGCAAGGCCTCCCTGGCCATCAAGTATCAGGAGCTGAGGGAACTGCGGGAGACATGCCGGGACAAGCAGCAGCGGCTGGGTGAGCCCCCTCCCCCCATAGCCAAGCCTGGCAGCCATCTTTCTTTGAGCCTCGCCTGACCCCTCTTTCCGGTTGTCTGCCAGCTGTGGCTCTCTGCACGGAAGGGGAATTCTGCACATGCTTTTGTGACTTATTTGCTGTTTATTTCCTAACGCTTCTAAACCGCCTCCTTGTAGAAAACCTCAGAGCCGTTTGCAAAAAGAATAAAACTGTAAGATTATTAGTAAAAACTGCTAAGACATTAAAAGAAAAATAAAACCAGCAATAAACTAAAAACACACCAACACTGTAAACAACTGACCAGGCTCGTTTAAACAAAAAATGTCTTTAGCAGGGGAAAGAGTGCAGCAAAGGCACCTGCCTGATCTCAATAGGCAGGGAATTCCAAAGGGTAGGAATTAGAGTTGAGCTCCAGGCTGGGCTTTGTCAGATTGGTGTGTCCCATGAGCAGGGCTGCCTGACCTCCAGGGCTCACCTGAAGTCTGCAGGTTGGGCTGGCCCAGGTGGCAGGGGAAGCTGGCTGCAAATTATTGCATAGATTCTCTAGGGTGGGAGTCTGCCCTTCCTTCTCCCCTCTCCCAATTAACCTCCATCTCCAGGGCTCAGTGGTAGGAGGGAGCACAGAGGAAGAACCACCAGGGGCCGCCCCCTGTGATATCACCCTAACTCTCAGCTTTGGGTCCTGAAATCTCAGCTTCTGGGATGCTCCTGACCCAGTGACCCTATCCTTGAGCCACGCTGGCATCCTAGAATAGCATGTCATAGCCTCTTCCTACTCCCCCATCCACCATGCCATGCCCTAGGATAGAAGCTTCCTGTTGTTAATTGCCCACCCATCACCCTAAGATGGCTTACAGCATTAAAACGCAGTATTAAAAACAATTAAAAACAACATTCAACCATAAAATTAAGATGGTTCCTAAAACCATAAACCTCAAGGGTCGAAAGGACCTTTTTGGTGGTGGCTCCCCACTTGTGCGAAGCTCTCCGCAGGAGACTTGCCTGGCACCACCTCAACATACACAAAACATTTCTTTTCTGCCTGACCTTTGGCTGTGAATTCTCTGTGGCCTCCTTCCGTGGGTGGGGTGCTTTATCCTTGCGTTTTAAAATGATGAACACGTTTTAGATTTTTCTCTGTGTTTTGTCCTGGGCTGGTTTAAACGTGTGGGGGGTTTTTTATTGCCTTAAGTCACTTTAAAACAAAAACAAAACAACCCTCAAAGTTTAATAGGTAATAATAAATATTGATAGCCATGCCAGCTGCAGAGAGCAGAAGGGACTTGGGATCCAAAATATCTGGTTGGGGAAGTCTGGTGTATGTAGTGTGGCTTAGCAGGAGAGCCTCATACTTTTACAAGACACTTGAAGTGTGAGAGAGACAAAAATGGCATTAAGCACCCCTGTATGTATGCAAACTTCTGGCAGTCTGGATTGGGCTGTGGACCACTAGCCCCCAACACATCCTACAGGGATGCTTAGGAAGCCTGTGATTCCCATTAGCAGAGCTGCATGAGACCCAATTGCTTGTGTGGAGTCACTCTTGGACCGGAATGATGGGGCATTGAGGTCACCCCTCCAGGAACCTGTCCCTTTTATTTGTTCATTTGAGAAACTGCATTTATTTACCACTATATATCATTTTTTTAAAATAAAAAACACACACAAAGCAGTGTTCAACAATAAAACCATAAAAAGGTTAAAAACAGACAGCAGTCAACCAATGAGGAAGGATGTATTTACAATTGCCTGTGAAGTACTGGCAGAATAGAATAGTTTCCAGCAGGTGTTTAAATGCCGACACAGAAGGCACCTGCTGAATCTCTAATGGCAGAGAGTTCCACAGGACACCAAAGGTTCGGTTTCTCGTTGTTGTCAAACAAGCATCACCAACCCGGGGAATGGCCAGCGATGTTCCTGCAGATAATCTCAGTGATCAAGTTGGGATGTGAGTGTTCAGGCAGTCCCTGGTCAGGAAGGGAATCTTCTCAAAGCAATTTGCAAGTCCCCATGTCACAACAGAAACTACAATGCAGTTTAAAGAGGAGGGTGGGAAAACATCAAAACAAAGCAATTTATTCAGCAACTTGCCCATCCCACTAGTTCTGTACACTAAACAGACTTTTGCCAACCTCCAGAAGTTTGGGACTATGGCCAGATTCACCCCATACATTTAGAGGACTGTGATATCACTTTGAACAGTCATGGTTTCCCCCAAAGAATTCTGGGAAGTGTTGTTTGTTTAGGGTGCTGAGAACAGTTAGGAGGCCCCTATTCCCCTCCCAGAGCTACAGATCCCAGCGTGGTTTTACAATCCCTCTTCCCCAGGAAGGCTGCCAGGGGGTCAATCCCTGACGCCTCCAGGTAGCAGGCTGGGAGAGATGCCTTTCTGAAATCCTGGAGGGCAGCTGCCCATCAGAGCAGACAGCCTAAAGGTAGATGGACCAGTGAGTCCAACACTAAAGGCAGCTTGTATTCATCATTATCTTTTATTATTTGTATGCCAACCATCTGACTGGGTTGCCCCAGCCACTCTGGAGGCTTCCAACAAATTGAAACATCTCACACAGTAAAACATCAAACATTAAAAACCATGAGGACTAGGAACTTACCACGATGCTAGATCACCTGTTGTTTCGCTGACTCGGACTAATGTTCCGTTTCCTAGAGCAGGATGGAGAAGGAAGGTGAAGCCCCGATGGTGCCTTGGGATTAAACCCTGCTTCGTGGGAGGGAAGAGTGAGGGCACTGGGGAAGGAGTGTCTGCAACTGAGGCTGCTTTTTTGCCTGGCAGGGGCCTGTATGGCCAAGTGGACCCCCGAGAACGCTGTGAGCAGGCTGCAAGCTGAGCTGGACGGTGTGGAGGCCAAGGTGGAGGTGAGTTGCCATGATGGGGGGCTAGTAGTGAGGGGAAACACTCGCACTGAAGTGCATATGGCCGTCTGCCCCACAAAACTGTGTTGTAGGGTTGTCAGGGAGTCCATCAGCTGGGGGCACCAGAGCCCAATAAGCCATGTTTTCTGCTCAGCCTCATCCTCCCTGCTGAGTTCTGCGAGAGGAGGAGGAAACTCCTTGGGTGTTTTTGCCATGGTGGGCAATTCCCTTTAACCCTGAGGTCTGAGATCGCAGAACCATAGAACAGTGCAGGGATCGCAGCACAGATGGGGGTGTGTGAAGGTTTGCAAAACCAACCTCCCCTGCAGAGGTTTATCATTTATTCTTTAATTAAATTTGTATACCACCCTTCACCTGTTGATCTCAGGGCGGTTTGCAACCTAAAATTGCAATACAGTTGTACCTTGGATCCCGAACACCTTGCGAGTTGAACGTTTTGGCTCCTGAACGCCACAAACCCGGAAGTGAGTGTTCCGGTTTGCAAACCTTCTTTGGCACCCGAACGTCCGACAGGGCTTCCGCAGCTTCCGATTGGCTGCAGGAGCCGCACTTTGGTTTCTGAACGTTTTGGAAGTCGAACGGACTTGCAGAACGGATTCTGTTCGACTTCCGAGGTACCACTGTATAAGATTTGTGTTCGTTGTCCCACCCACTTTTGGTCCTGGCTCCACCCACCACTTGCACGCGAAGGTTTCCAAGAAGGGAACATGGCTCTGGGCTGAACAGGGTTCCCTGTCCCTGACCTCTCTGTATAAATTGGGCCCCGCAGGTTTCACTTTTCCCTCTTCGCTTTACTTTCATAAAGGGGGTCCGAGGGTCATCTAGTCCAACCCACTTCAAGGAGGGGGCGAGAGGGGCGGAAGGCCCTCCAGAGGCTTGCTTGAATTCTCCCATTCCTTCCTCCCCACACCCTGTTTATTTCCAGGAGCAGATGGAGCAGTTTCTCTGCTGGGACCTCCCCGTGGAGACCTTTGTGGAGTCTTTCCAGCACGCCCGAATGCTCTCCCACCTGCGCCGCACCCAGCTGGAGAAGCTCCAGAGTGCCCTCAAACTGGAGAAACTGGAGAAGGCCAAGGACAAGCCCAGCCCCGGCAGCGAGGAGCCGCCCGCCGTCTCCCCCGCCCTCCCAGTGCCAGCACCGCCTCCGCCACCGCCTTCGGCCCAAGCCCCTCCTCCAGCGCCAAACGGGCCGCCCCCCAAGGTCTTCCAGCTGCGCTTGGCGCCAGCGTTCCTCATCCCCTCGGAGGCCGTGCTCCCCATCCCGGTGGGGAGCGGCCCCCAAAAGTGCTGCCTGCCGGCCCTGGCCACCTCGCACCCTGCCGCTCCCTTCGTGAGCTCGCCCTTGAGCCTGATTGGACACATCCACCTGGCGCAGGCCCACCTGCCTCCCCAGCAGAAGAAGAAGGAGCCGCCACACCGGTAGCCGACCGCAGCTGACGGACCGTTTTTACCGGAGCCTCCGTCGCGAGACGAGACGGGCCAGGGTCCGGGGCGCGGCGCCGCCAGCACCCCCCCGACCTGCCGATCACTCTGCCCGCCCAGACTTGCCCGGAGCTGGGGCGTTGGGGTGGGGCAGGACTATGGCAGCTACAGGGGGGTGTCCTATATGATTTAGACGCTCGGCGCTGTCTCTGTCTCCCATCTCTTGGGGCTGCCTGGCCGGCTGGGGCTATCAAACGTTATTGTAAGTATAGGTGCCGGAGGGCCAGGGAGGGGGGCTGCCCTCCCCCATCATTTAGAAATAAGGGAAAGTCTATATTTAGCTCCACCCCTCTCCTTTTTTGTGGGGGGACCCTATGACCATTCTACACCCATTCGACGCCAGAAAGAGCATAGGAGCCAACTCTCGGGGGCCGAGGTCCCTTCGTCGTCGTCCCCATAAAATATTTGAGGGGGCCCCCCAAAGTTGATAGGCATTGCCATTTAAATGGTGTGCGTGTGCCGCGTCTTGTGATCGATTATGCGGGGCAGGGTTTACCTGAGCCCCCCAATATTTTATTCCATTTGGCACCCCTGAGAGAGAGAGAGGCTTGCAGGCTGCCCCCCATCCTGCTTTGAGGCGGCTGACTCTGGGTGGGAACGCCTGTCCTCCAGACCCAGCCCACAAACAGAACTTCCCCTATATAGCACAAGTGTCTCCATTTTGGAAGCCAGAGGGAAAGACCAAGAAAAGGGGTAGAGTAGAGCACATTTGGGGTGGGGGTGTGGGGTGAAGGGAGTTGGGCACAGGCAGATATTCTGTTGGCGGGGTGTGTTGTTGTTTTTTCTGAGCCAGAAGCTGAATTCTCCTTCTCCCCCTTGCCTCCTCACAATAATTTGTATGTTGGGAGTGAGGTGGGGGGCGGGGCGGCTTCTGAGGTAGAACTGGGAGGGCTAATTTGGGGGGTTGGGGGGCAAGGGCTGAGGTTGCGAAGCACAGGGTAGGACATGAAGCCCAAAGTTAGGCCACGGCTAGAGGATGGGTTTGTGGAACCAGCACACACGGATTCAACAGGGTATGGGGTGTGGGGCTCAGCCAGGGTCTGGGGCGGGGGGGGGGGCGGGGTGGAATTTGTCTTTCCGGAAGACGTAGGGCTGAGCGACACACACACACAAAACTGGGGCGGGGTGGGCCAGGTGAGGATGTATTTTTGAGCCGTTTTAACTTGAATGTGCTTGCAAAAATTTGAATTGTCAGGAACGGGGGGAGGCTGCAGCGAGAAGGAGGATTGAACCAGAAAACTTATTTGTGTTTTTTTAAAAAAAAAATAATCCAGAGAGTCTCAAGTGCTCCCTCATGGAAGAGGTGGTTTCTGTGTCTCTGCATGAGTCACTGGCCCGGTTTTCTTCTCTTATTCAGCCTCCTCAGGAGCTGGTACAAGTGAGTCATTCAGTCACTGCCGAGGGAACCAGAAAGCAGTATTCTGACCTGCCAGCAGATGAGGCTGCCTGCCGCTTCTCTGCATGAGCAATTTGTATGAAGTGTCTCGAAAAACGTTTTTAAAAAGAGCGAAACAAATCTTGAAATTTGCGTCCAACTGTCAAAAGGTCCCCGCTTTTTGTTGATGGGCGGTGAGATTTTCATTTCAGCTCTTGCAGATGGGGCATGCCCTGTCGTCTGGAGACAGACAGCTGGGATGGGTAAGGATGAGTGCAGCTGTCGCTCCTCTGACTGTGCCATCCCTGGTGTAGAAAGAGCGTTTGGGGTGTCCCTGGGTGAGCTGGTGAGAAAGGTACGGCTGTGGGAGGTGACTGTGGGGAGCGTGCTCAGGCAGGGGACGGCTTCTCCCCTCTTCCATGGGGCATGACGTCCCTGTGACTGATCCCACTTTGGGAGAGGAGGACGGCAGCGCCCTCCACCTCTGGCTGGTTGCTGGGGTGATTGTGTAGCAGGAGGGATTGTGTACCAGGGCAGCTCCTCCAATCCGGCGCTAAGAAACCAGCCCCTGATGTAGAGAGCCAGGCGGTCTGGGACAGTGAGAGGAAGAAAGCAGCTGTCAGCTGAGCTGGAGGCCTGGAGGAACCTTCTTTATTTGCTTAAACCCAGGCAGGAGCATGGCACAGCAGCTATGATGAAGGGAATGCACTCTGCACACGCTCAGAGGCACTGTCAGCATTCCACAGGTCCCAGAGCTGAAAGCACATCCAGTTGCTTTGCCTTGCTAGATTACTCCGGTTCAAATGAACCCCTGGCCAGCCTAGTCTTCCTTCTACACTGTATGATCCCTGACCCCCCTCACTGCTGCAGCCGCCAGATTCTCCAGTCACAGAGTCATTGCAACCACCTATTTTCCCTCCGCAAGGAACGGCTGCAAAATTCAGTTCCTGGAGGAGAAAATGTAGAGGATTGGGCACTGAGGGGTTGTGATTCAGGACCATCTGAAACCCCCACCCCCCACCCTAGGGGGCATATTCCCGGGAGCTGAAATGAAACGCTGATTTAATTTTCATAAAATTTATCCTCCGCTTGATTGTAAGAAAAACCTTGAAGCGGTTTACAGTGTTTGATGAGGTCTGAATCCCAAATGTCAAGCTTGGTGGAATTTGGCAGACGCAAAGCCAGTTTGCAAAAATAAAGGGGGGGGGGACTGGATTATTGGTATGAAATGGAATAATAGAATGGAAGAGTTGGAAGGGACCAGAATAGGGAGCCTGTAGCCCTCCAGATGGAGCCAGACGCCGGCTCACATCATCATCGTCCCTGACTATTGGTCATGCTGGCTGCTAGATGCTAATCTAGGGGGCACCGGGTTGACAGGCTTATATCATGGCACTCCGGAGGGCCCCCCTCCCTGGCTTTGCAGTAGTTATGGTGGCCCCTGATCTTGAATGCTGGAAGTGCCAGGACTGATTAAAGAAAGTCCTTTTTTGTGCAGTGCAAGGTTGAACTGTGGAACTCCCTGCTGCAGTGATGGCCAGCAGCCTAGATGGCTTTAAAAGAGCATTAGACAAATTCGTGGAGGAGGGCCATTGATAACTACTAGCCATTATGGCTAGTTAGGGCTTCCGCAGTTAGAGGGCCAGAAATGCTTCTAAATACCGATTACTGGAAATCCCAGGAGGGGGAGAGGCTCTCAGGTCCTGCTTGCAGGTTTTCCATAGGCATCTAGTTGGCCCCTCTAAAATAAAAGGCTGCTGGGATAGAAGGGCCAATGGCCTGACCCAGCAGCCTCTTCTTAGGTCCCTGTGTTGTTAGACTTCATCTCCCTTCATCCCTGGCCAATGGCTATGCTGTCTAGGCCTGGTGGGAGTCTAACAACACCCAGAGGAAGGCCACAGATGTTCGCCCTCCACCCTGGTTTTATAGGCTGGCTCTCTGAAACCTGCTAGTCCAAGAGCCCTGCTGGATCAGGCTGAAAGTCCACAGTGTTCAGTGTTCTGTTTCCACTTGCAGCCAATCAGATGCCTTTGGGAGGCCCACAACAGAATTCCCCATTGGTCATTTCCAATGGGACAACTGCAGCTCAGAGGCAGACTACTCCTGAACCTGGAATGTCTCTTCGGCTGTTGTGACGGATGGCTGACGATATACCTCTCCATCCATGAATTTGCCCAAACTCCATGTTTTCACTGGAAATGTAACAGAGGGTGTTGCTTTAGAATATCCGGGGGGTGGGTGGGTGGGATGGCTCCATTTGCAGAGGAAATCTGACATTCCAAAATTTGTCTGAAACCTTCTAAGTTGTCTCAGCTCCCAAGGAAGGAGAGGAGGAAGGGGGGGCATTGGGCAATTATATTTTAATTCATTTAAATGCATGCAAATGTAACGCGGCTGGTTTTCTAGCATCGATACAGAACAGTTTTCCTATTTGATGGCTAGGTTAAAAAAAAAATACAACCACCTGGGTTGAGCTTTGAAAGAGCCCCACGTCCTGGTTTGGGGGGGGGGTAGGTGGGTGATAATGTATTTCCACCTATATCCAGAAACACCCCCCCCCCCCCCAAAAAAAAAGACCTCACTTTCCTGAGAAAGCCTAGTGGCCTCGTTCTTGGAATATAATTTTGCTGATTTGATTTTTTTCTGCAAGATTTGAGAAACGGGGGGTGGGGGAAGAGAGGAAGGGGCAGTTTTCTGGGGTTCTCCCTGTCTCCGAAACGTCAACTGAACTTTCTTGACACTCTCCCCACCCCCACCCCATTACAAGCCAAAACCTCTCTCTTTCAGGATCCACTGCAAAACTTTCCATGTGTGTCAGGGGTTGGGTGGGTGGGTGGGGGTCTTTAAATATTCCCACGGTCTCAATCCGATTCCGGCAGCTTCAAGGTAGACCCCATGCTGTCTTTGTGGACGTTTTCTTTTCCATGTAATGTTTTTGGAAAAATAAGTGTGGAAACAAGTATATAAATATAAATATATTCTTTGGAATAAATCGAAGGAATACATTTCTGCCAGCGGCGTTTTCAACTGCAGGGGTCATCTGCATTCTAAGACATTGAAGTATGTGGGCGGGCGAGAGACCAGCATCATGGTAGAAACAATGAGATTTTCATAGAACTGTCAAGTTGGAAGGGACCAAAGGGTCATCTAGTCCAACCCCCTGCGGTGCAATTTGTTTTCCAGTTTGCACATGAAAATTGGGAGGATGTGCCCATTAAGTCACAATCCCCTGTGGTCTCCGAAAGTAGCCACAGTGGCAACGCATAGTTGCCTATTTAAGCTCATGCCTATCTCTTAAATCGATGGTCGCAGACCTGCTAACAATGGCAGTCATTGCAATGTGCTGGGCATGTTGGTTGCTAAGCATGCAGATAGGTCTGAGAACAGGCTGAAGATTGGAGGAATGGCTGCTGATGTCACAAAGGCACTAAGGGCTACTTGGTACAGAATCTTATGAGGAACGATTGAGGGAGTTAGGGAACTTTAACCTGGAGAAGACCAAGAGGTGATATGAAAGCCGTCTTCAGCTATCTTAAAGGTGGTCACATGGAAAACAACAACATTGAACACCAGCTGTATTTGTTGGATTGATTTCTGTTCCGGATATGAGACGAATAGGTGGTCTGCTGAGACCACAAGCTGAACATGAGTCAACAGTGTGATGTAGCAGCAAAAAAAGCTAATGTAATTCTAGGCTGTATCAACAGAAATCTAGAGTCCAGATCAAGGGAAATGATAGTCCCACTCTGTTCTGCCTTGGTTAGACCCCACCTGGTATCCTATGTCCAGGTCTGGGCATCAAAGTGTTTAAAGGACATTGACAAGCTGGAGGGTGTACAGAGGAGGGCAACCAAGTTGGTAATTATAGAGTTGGAAGGGACCCTAAAAGGGCATACAGTATACTGGACCCAGGAAGTCCTATTGATGCCCCGTAGATCTGTGAGGAAAACTGGGAGAGCGGACCCTCTGGAAGTTAAGATGCTGATGGACTATGGCAGGGTACATGTGTCTCACAGGCCCTGTGCTTTGCAACACAGCAAGCTTCCCTATAAGCAAAGCTTTAACAATTCAGACAAATGTTTAAAAGGATATTTGTTTTATTTACTTATAAAAATATTTGTATACCGTAAAAATATAGCAAAGCAGTTTACAGCAATAAAAACATAAAAGCAGACAGGAAAAGCATAAAAGTGAAAAACGAAAAAGCTAAAAACAAGCATCAGTAAATCATTGTGGAAAGATATATTCTTAATAGCCTGCATTGGCTTGGTGGAATAAAAAAGTTAACAACAGGTGTTTAAAAGTTGGCCTGCTGAGTATGTAGTGGCAGGGAGTTCCACAGGTCTTGGCTTCTCATTGTTGTCATATGAGCCCCACCAGCTCTGGAAATGATCAACAGGACTCCTTCAGATGTTCTCACTGATCGAGCTGGGATATCTTAAGGGATCAGGTGATCCCAGAGGAACTCTGGACTTAATTGTCCAGGGATTTGTAAATTAATACAATATTCGAGGCTCAGTGTGAAAAACCCAGGGCAGGAGGTGCTTGGGGTGACCCTAACAACACCCCTGTGAGGCAGGAAGCCAATACACCCTCTAGAGAGGGGCTGGTTCCCTGCTGTATTAAGTTCCAACGGATCGCGCCCAGGCCTTGACAAATTAGCATGGCTTGGGCCACAGGCCCGGCGCTCTCCAGGGTAGACAGTAACAGAACATTCAATCACAACAGAAATTCGCATCACCAACAGCTCCTGCAAATATAGCAGGAACAGCCGGCTGGCAGGGTGAGCGTTTGCCTCGGCACAACACAGCCGTGTTTGCTGTTTTGGGGGAAGCACCAGACAAAATATTGGCGAGGCTCTCCCCAGTCAGACAAGCAGTGGCTGCTTCTTGGAAAGACAGAATGTTTTAAAAGATGCCCCCCCCAAAAAAAACAACCCATGAAATGTGTGCTTAATTAACAGCGAAACCTCCAGCAGATATTAAGAGCAGAAACCAGGCATCAATCAAGAAACACAAATAAGGAATTAAAGAGCAAAATAATTCAACACAATAAATACGGCCTAACATTCAGTAATATATTTTTACATCACACGAGGGCAGGGAGAGAAATGTTCAACAAGGGTATGGCCTCTGAAGAATAAAAGGATCTTTGTTGCAGACTCCTGTTCAGGTCTACTCTCAAGTGAGGGAGTAACTTAGTTCATTGAGGAAATGTACAGTACTGCTATATTCTGTTTTGGTGAGATTCCTTTGCTCAGTTCTGGGCACCCCAGTTTAAGAAGGATATTGAGAAGCTAGGAGGTTTGCAGAGAAGGGTGACCAGGGTGATAAAGGGCCTGGAAACCAAGCCTTATGAGGAACGGTTGAAGGAATTGGGCATGTTTCGCTTGCCATTCATATATGTGTTTATGAGGTGTTAGCAGAAGGGTACACCATGCTCCTTCTAGGGTAGTTTCTCCACCATTGGTCCCCACTTTGCACTCAGCTCTCACCTGTGGCTCATATTAGCTGTTAGCATGAAACATTGGCCATACCCCAGGAACAGCTTCAATTGGTCAGCTAAACCAGGTGAGGGTAGCCAATAGGTCTCAAACCCTCAGTGAGTTAGGGACTTCCTTTGCATGTGACAACAGGTTCTGGTGGATTGAACAGACAAAACCAATAGTGGGTCCAAACTGTCACAAAGGCAGTTTTGGGACTTGTCAACCTTCCATCTAGGAGAAGGAAGACTGATCCTAAACTTCCGCTTCCTTGTGGGATATCTGGGAGAAGAAAAGGCTAAGGAGTAAACCCTACACAAATCCAGAGTGAAGTCCCTAAGATGGTTGGATGGTGCCTTGTACTCCTCCTTCCAGCAACTCCAGCAGCCAAGCTGGTGCCAAATGTCTTGCTCTGCTTTCCTTTGGACCATATCAGCGAGGCCAAGAGGCGATATTCTTGTCATCTAGGCAGCCCAGGACCTCCATATACACTGCCCAGACTTGTGCCCTGGGGAGGTCACTTTGGTGCTGCTAATGCAGCAGTGACTTCACCCCCAGAAGCACACTCCCTTGTCTCTCAAGACAGAAGGATGCTAATGATAGATAGATAGATAGATAGATAGATAGATAGATAGATAGATAGATAGATGATAGACAGACGGATAGATAGATAGATAGATAGATAGATGGATGAGCTGTTGGGTAGCTCACTTTCCTTTTCACAAACTTAAAAAAAAAATTCCATGGAGAAAATGCTAGGGGGAGCTTGAATGTCATCACTCATAATTAAATACTCTGTTTCTATTGAAAATAGTTCTATGTGTGTTTGTGTATGCACACATTAAGGCTGTGGCTGTGATTTGGAGTAACCCCAAATAATGCTGATTTGGGTGCACAAACTCTGTTCCCCTTCATTCAGGCTAATGCAGCTCTGTGTGGAACCAGGGACAGAGTGGAGTTTCAGCCTTGCCTTGAGCTCCTGGTGGCTCCCCCATCAGAAATCAAGCATTTCTTGCTGGAATCATAGCTGGAGAACTAAGTTGGCTGGATCCTGTCCCGTTCCCCCCCCCCACTCCCACCAAGCCTTCAGGGACAGGTTATTATGCTCATGAACTAGCTGCTAAGTAACCACTGATGGGGAGGAGGGGGTCCTCTTAGCCCCCCCCCCAGCTGCTTAGGTTAATAGGAAATCAAACGCTTTCCCAGAGAGGGGGGGGGACTGGAAGGTGGGGGGAGAGAGATCTGCTTCCCATTTGCCAGTGGGTAACCCCTGGTTACAGGCAGCAGAGTCGCTGTCTCTAGGATGCCAGCCGGGCCCTGCGATTGGTGGAGAGGACCAGCCAGGCTCTCCTGCTCGCTGATGGGCCGCCCGTTGCCCTGGCAACAGCAGCATCCAGCTCCTCCTGTGTGTGAGAGAGGGATGTCTTGCTGTTCTGCAAACCTCTCCAAAGAGCCCTAGCAACTGCGATGTGCCTTCACCCGACAGTCAGGATCGTGTGGGGTGTGTCGCAGAGGACCCCCCACCCCGGGCTGAAATAAGCAGCACATGCAACAAGGAGTATATACCCACTCCCTTTCTGCAGGCTCTGTGGCATGGCTGGGGGGCCTGTGGGGGGCATCCAGGTGCTTTTATTTGGTTATTTACTATATATATATATTCTAAGGAGCTACGTACATGGCGCTTCCACATACATGCTGAATTTTATCTTCAGCACAACCCTACGAGGTAGGCCAGGCAGAAGGAGAGGGCGAGAGGGAGAGAGAGAGAGGCTGAAGGTCACCTAGTGAACTACATAGCTGAAGGTGGATGGGATTTAAACCTGGGTCTCCCTGGTCCTACATGCTAAGTCAATATCCTTCAACTTGCGTAGTCTTTGGGATGTTTTGGACTCCCAGCTCCCTTCACCTTCCCATGCTGCCTGGGGCTGATGTGAGTTATATCCAACAGTCATGGACAGGCTGGCAGCCCAATCACATTTTTCTTCTTTAATTTGTGGGCTAGCTTTTGTGAACTTGGGGGAGAAGAGGTCCAAAGCACTGAGGAAACCCAATCCTGGGACTTCAGGCTTCACGCTTGAAAATCAAGCTGAAACCAAAGAATTGTAGGATTAGAAAGGACCTCAAGTCATCTAGTCCAACCCCCTGCAATGCAGGAAACACAGCAAAAGAATCCCTGAAAGATGCCCATCCAACCTGTTTAAAAACCTCCAGTGAAGGAGATTACACCACTTTCCAAGGGAGTCTGTTCCACTGTCAAACAGCTCTTACCACCAGAAGGTTCTTCCTAAGGTTTCGTCAGAATTTCCTTTCCTGTTATTTGAACCCATTGGTTCAGGTCATCCCCTCTGGATCAGCAGAAATCAGCTTGCTCCATCTTCCTCAAGCCTTCTCTTCTCCAGGCTAAGCATACCCAACTCCCTCAACTGTTCCTCGTAAGGCTCTGTTTCCAGACCCTTTATTCCTGCATTACAGGGGTTTGGACTAGATTACCCTTTCCAACTCTACAATGATATCATCTTGCTCGCCCTCCTCTGCACAGAAAGCATCAGAAGCAGAACTGGAGTTATGTTGACTATTGCTTCATGCTGTTAGGAGAAGGAATTCTGACAGATGCATCTTTCCCTGCAGTGGAACTAGACTATGAGCTATGAGGATATACTCAAGTGTAGGAAGATTAAAGTACAATCCTCAGTAGAAACCCAAGGACAATAATTCAATTTGCAGTGGGGGGTTGCAGCTGGGAGGCAGGATTTGGCACACAGGCCAGGTAGGGATTAGAGGCCAGATGCTGGCCCAGTGGCTAACCAGCCAAGTTCATCAGGGATAGCATTCAGCAAAGAGCTTCACTTATTTTCTGCCCAAGACAGTCAGAATTGCATTCTTGTCTGTATGCCCCCCCCCCCCCCCGCAGCAGCAGCACCCTGAATCAGATGCAAATACTCAAATGGAATGGATGGGCTGGTTGCCTGGTGAGGTTTTCACTTAGGGAGAAATCAATATAATCATCTATATTTCTATCGGGTACCTTTCATCGTTTTGTGATCCAGTTATCCTACTAGCTCCCCAGCTAGTTTCAGGCTTCTTCATCAGCCACCCCCCAAAAAAACTTCTTCCCTGCCATCAACCTAACAGTGAGAAGAGCTCCCTCACCAAGCCTGGCTGAGCAAGCCACTCCCCCCTTATTTAGCTGTGGGATGACGATATCCTTTCCAAATGAAAATCAGTTTCCTTTCACTGTCAGCTGAACAATGGTGCAAGGACCCCCTCTGCTGTACCACTCGGGAACAGCAACCCAGCGCTTGGAAAAACACAATTTCAACACAAGGGGAGTTGCTGAGCTGGACCAACCACAGCTCAGGGTGGTTGCCCTCCTCTCCTAACTTGCTTCAAAGGGAATAACAAGAAGGAATGGTGAATGAAAAGAATATGGGGAGAAGAAGGGGGCGGGTTTCTCCCCTTCCCACAGCCTACTAAGAACTCACCTTTTACTAGAATTCTTTGCCTGACCCACAACCTTCAACCCACCTGCAATTTCAGTGAAACCTACCCATATGTATTCAAAGAATAACATGTTAGAGTTTGAAGGGAGTCAAAGGGTCATCTATCCCAAACCCCTGCGAAGCAGGAATAACATTCACCAAATACTCTCTCCTCTCTTGGCCTTCTAAATAACCCTACACAATGGTTGCTTACTTTTACAACTCAACACCAATCAAAGGGTGGCACTGTGGTCTAAACCACAGAGCCTAGGGCTTGCCGATTGGAAGGTCAGCGGTTCAAATCCCCGCGATGGGGAGCTCCAACAGGGTGAGCGCCCGTTGTTTGGTCCCAGCTCCTGCCCACCTAGCAGTTCGAAAGCACCTCAAAATGCAAGTAGATAAATAGGTACCGCTCCAGCAGGAAGCTAAATGCATTTCTGTGCACTGCTCTGGTTCGCCAAAAGCTGCTCGGTCATGCTGGCCACATGACCCGGAAGCTGTATGCTGGCTCTCTTGGCCAGTAAAGCGAGATGAACGCCGCAACCCCAGTCATTTGCAACTGGACCTAACGGTCAGGGGCCCCTTTACCTTACCAATCAAAGAGGGGACCAGGCAGCTGTGTTTCCAAAAGCATCTAAGTGCTTCACTTTAAGACTTGGAAGGACAAGGAGACAGTTCCTAAATGTTTCTTTGTGTCTTTATACAGCATATTAAAATAAATTTCATTCACATGATTGGTTTGAATCCTTTGGATATACAGATCAAAACACCGTGGCCACGTCATTACATTCCAAACTGCAAGAGTGAATCCTACAGCAGTTTACCTCATAAAAGAGAATGCATTTCCCCAAAGACTATTAGAAGCCACCACAAAGACTCCAAATGAGAACCTTCTTCTCTTCAGATGCATCCTTTATCAAACCAAAGAGGTTTGTTAAGTGCTCAAGTTGTGGAGCAGCTTTTTTGGGCCCAAGTGCAGGGGACACCCCAGTGAAATAGTCAGCAGAATCTCTATGAAAGAAAGGAAAGGTAGACCTGAAATCCCTCCCTCCCGCACCCAGAGGAAGGGAGAATTTCAAGCTACAGAGATGACACCTGCTAACTGAAGCACCATGCCCAATACATTGACATGCATAAATACCATCTACTTCTCACAGTACAATTAGGTGTGGGAAATTAAACCCACTTGCACTTTGATTTCTAAGGCAAAGTAAAGCACGTTTTAAAGGTTTTATTATCATTGGAAATGGCATCTGGAGTCTTGCTCCCCAGCACTGTGTGGGGGGGGGGTTGGTTGGCAACACTCCAAATCCTTCTGAAATTGTTTGTTATGTTCTCTGGGTGATTACAGTGAGGCATGTAGGAAAGCAGAGATCACCCCAAGTTTGGCCGTGGTGGGAGCCCGCATCAGCCTTCGTGAGGGACGCTTTGTGTACCCCTTGAAGCCAGAGCCTTTGGGGAGGACATGCTTCTCCTAGCCGGTTCTGCCTGCTCCAGGAGGAAGTCCCTCAGGAGTGGCAAGCCCAAAGGGACACCTGGCCATGCCAGCTTCTCCTCCTCCTTGCTCACTTGAAGCTGACCAGGAAGATCAGAGTTGACAAGAAAGTGATGGCAACCAGCAACTCCTGCAGGTGCTCCCGCCGCCACATGTTTTCCATCTCGGCCTTGCGCTTCTGCATCTCCCGTCGCTTCTCGCGGATGAAGCGCTCACGCTCCAGCTGCTCCCCATAGTGGGCCTGGTAGAACTTGTCAAAGTCGAATATGGGTTTGTTGTGGGGCCACGTGGAGGCAAAGGGCCGCGTCCTGGTGGCTGAAGAGGTGGTGGTGGTCGACGACCCTGCTGTCTTGCCCGAGGGCTTCCCGGCGGTGCGCAGGTCCTCCCTGCTGAGCAGGCCGCGGTCGTACTTCCTTCGGAGGGCGACGCTGCCCAGCACCAGGTAGGCCTCGTTGACGAGAGTGAAGCGCCGCGCCGCCTCCTCGCTGCCGGCGTTGCGGTCCGGGTGGTACAGAAAAGACTGCTTGTAGTATGCCGTCTTGATCTGCGCCTGCGTGGCCCCCGGGGGGACCCCCAGCAGGTCGTACAAGCCCTGCGGACCGGAGCCTGGCCGGCCTGTGCCGCCCCCGGATTCGGTCCCCGAAAGGCCCGCCGTCTGGGGCGGGCGGGAGAGCACCGCCCGGGGCGCCCACAGCAGGGGGGCCGCCGTCCCCTTGTTCAGGCCCCTCAACAAGGCCATGGGATGCCGCCGGCTTCAGCGGCCCAACCAGGCCGCCCTTTCACGACTGACCTCCGCCATCTTGACTCGCTTCCGAGGTAAGGAGCCGGCCGGCTAGTGACGTCACAGGGCCAGGACCCAATTGGGAGGGAGTTCCTTGCTGGGAAACGGATGGGGCCGTGGTTGCTGTTGGGCGGGATGCAGACGGACGCGTTCCTCTGCCAATAGCAGGAAACAACGCATCACGGGCGAGGGCGGGCAAATGGCGTCATAAGGAAGCGCATTTGCCAGCACAGCTGGTCGATGGAAGAGGAGGAGCGCGCAGAGTGATGGCGTTCTGGCACTCTATTGGAGGGATGCGTGGCTCGGCTATTCGCCAATGGGAAGAGGTGCGGGGGGGGCAGTGAGTGTTATTGGAGGGCTGTGGCGGAGGGAGAGGACGCTGGGCTACACTGCAGGGCTGTTGTAAGCTCCTCTCAGCCCACACCATAGCGGGAAACTCACTGGTCTACACTGCGGGGCTGTTAGAAACCATCTTCTTTCCAAGCATCAGCCCTCATATCTTCCTGAGAATATCGTAGCTGCACTGGACTGCTCTGCAGGGCTGCTGTAAATTCAGGTCAGAAGTCATCTGGTTATAGATAAATTCTCTCACAAACTCCAAGTTTCAAACAAAACATTTTCAAAGTAATAATAATAATAATAAAATTTTTATTTATATCCCGTCCTCCCCAGCCGAAGCCGGGCTCAGAGCAGCTAACAACAATAAAATAATACAACATTCTAAAATCATTTCATTATAAAATTAATTCAAATCAAATTAATGGCAACCATTGGGCTAGAGTTCTGTGAGGATTATGATTCTCCCTCTTCTTTCTCCCTCAATCCTAAAACCATTTTGACTCTCCCAATGACCTCAAATATTCCTCTGCAGTAAGGGAGGCAAATGGGGAAAGCTTTCCCATTGTCTTTTCACTTACAAATGCTTCAGATCCTGTCTTAAGGGCGTACTTGTGTATGACTAGAGTGAGCCTGTGACCTGGATTCAGGAACTAAAGTATTTACTGTAGTGGCGAGTTCCTTGGGCTCGAGTTGGATCATCAAAGAAAAGGCCAAGATAATGAAGTAAAATAGCAGCCAGGAGGCCTGAGCTTTATTGTTTCAACAAGACTTCAAACTACAACATAAAGGAAGCAGAGAGAAGTCCCGAACAAAGGTGCTTCTCCTTTTAAAAGTTCCCCATAGTTACCCACAACACCCTTGGAAAAACATCATGTATTTGTCATAAATCAGGTGTAGCATCTGAACTGAAACTTGAGTGTCAGACTTGCCCTGTCAGTCAAACTTACTCTACATTCCTGTTTCTTTTTTTAAAAAAAATGATGTTTATTGAGAAATTTTAAAATTACAAAAAAACACAGAAAAAGAAGGAAAAAACAAGAAAAAAACAAATAGCAATTAAACAATAAAAATCGATAAAAGTCAAAATCAAAAAGCAAAAACAAAACACATAGCACATCAAAATCAGAAAGCAAAAATAAGCCACAAAGATTTAAAAACAGATCCAATATTCCCATATCCTTAACTGTCATTACCTTATTTCATAGACCTCCTCACATCTCCCTTTTTTGTATTCTAGTTGTTGATTGTCACAGCAAATCCTTTCCATTTTTCATAATATTCTGTCATTAAATTACCTTAATCTATTTTAACCTTATCTTACCATAAAAACCCTAAAACTTAAAACTTAAATCTTATTTATACCAATTTCTCATAACCATAGCATATTCTTACATAGTTCTTTTTAACATTTCTGCTAAAGCCAAATAATTTCATTCCAACATTTTTCTAATACTCATTAATTTTAGAAAACATTCCTAAGTAGAATTTTTAAAACTTTCTTCCAATCTTCATCCAACGTCTCTTCCTCCTGGTCTCGGGTTTTGTCAGTCCTTTCTATCCCATCCATCTAGTTCATTAACCTGGTAACCTTATGTCCGAGGCCCTTAAGTCTCTTCCATGTCCCTTCCACAGATCTTCTTCATATTTATACCTGTACTTTACTTTGTCTTCTGCTCCTTTCACTCGTGGAGACTCCAGCTTGACAATATTTTTGTCCCTTCTCGACAGATCAGCCCCTTTTCCATAGTCCACACTGAACTCCATGTGGTATTTAAAAGCATGTTTCAAGGTCCCTCCCAAGTTGAGGACCCCCACAACTCCAAACTCCTCCCGGCCCGACGCCAGACTTGAAAAGTCAAAACATCCCTGCATAGGGGGGTCTATCCAGCCCCCCATCTCCAAGCCAAACAAGACTCTATCTCTCCAAATCTGGCTTTTTCCAGGTTCATTCGTCAGATCCAACAACTCATGTTCCTGCTGGGCCACAGTTCCCTCCATCTCTGCCTCCCGGGGTCCAGCCACAACCTCCTTACATACTCTGGTTTCTCTTCAGATCGTATAAATCTTTCGCCTTTTACATTCCTGTTTCCAGGTACAACAAAGAAAGTATTTATGTCTTCCTATTTACTCCCAGTTGAGTCAAGTACACCCCTTTGTCTTTACAATGACACTCTGGCACTCTGGAGCAGGATGCCAGGGTTTATCACCCAGGTAGTGTTGTCATTGGGTACGTGGTCCTACGCTTATGGCTGACCTTACCCATAGATCAAGCCCCTCCTCTGGTAGGCCTCCCTCCTCTGAGCAAGACAACATTGAAATTGTGAGAATCTGCCACAGGATTGATTTTATATGAATTTCTAAACGTACATGCTTAGAAAAAGTCTAAAAGCTAAACTAGACACACTAATAACCAGAGGGTTCTCTACAACCCCAGCTGAGCCCTTGTTAGGGGGTGCTATTGTATAAGCATATCAAAGTTGCTGTCAAAATGGACTCTTCTGATTGGTTGCCGGTTTGACAGCTATTTGAATTATAGTTCTTGATTGGCTAGGCATCTTGCAGATAGTTCTTGATTGGCTAGGCATCTTGCGGATTATTCCCCAATGAATGAGTATGGCAACTGGTCTACCCTTATCAATGAGCCCACCCTGGATGTGAAGGGGAAGGAAATGAAGGGAGCAGACCAGTCAAAGTCTGGTGACCCCCGCCATGGGAACAGGTCTGTGCCCCCCCCATTCTGATTCCGGTAACATTACCATCACAAAAGAATGGCCAAGCTGCCCAGGTAATGGAATCAGTGACCACCATCAGGTATCCTGGCAGACAGGATTTCTGCTATAGACTGCCTCCTATGATGTATGTGTGATGCTTTTAGGGTGGTCTTTGGCTAAGGGGTTGGGCAATGTCAAAGGTCTTTAAACGTTCCTGCACACTTTGTTCTGGGTCTCTCCCTCCTTGCATGGAGGGAAGGGAACTCTGTTGCAACAGAAAATAAAGATATGCCTTGCTTTCCACTTGATCCTGCCTCCATCCATTCTTCTCTGACCAATCAGGGACTTAGGGGACTCAGAGTCCCATGGGAGTTGGTCAGCAAAAGCCAAACCCCAATGTTTACATCAGTGTATACTACATGGTTGTCGCAAGCTACTCTCCCTCTGTCTCAGTCTCACCTCCCACCCTGCACCATTAACCACAGACTGGGGGTGCTTCCAGACACCAGCTTGACACTGCAAACAAGTCATTGGAAACAACTATTTTATGTTTACTTGCTGGATTTCCCCTGGAAAGGATAAATCCGGATTAAATGGGGATGCATGTGATATATACAGGCTGGCATTTTGTGTGTGTGAGGAGCACCAATACCACTGTAAAGTCCCACCTGGAAGCACCCTACTTTGCAGGGCTGTTGTCAGCCACCATGCACTGCCACAAAATGGAATAACAGCAGTCTACACTGCAGGGATATTGTACAGTAAGTGGGTCCCTTCCAGAACACCCTGCCATATCCGTATAATATAGAGCACTGGTTCCAAAAGTGGACAGTACTGCCCTTGGGGGATGGGGGTGGGCAGGGAACATAATTACCTGGGAGGGGCACCAAGAGGAAAGAGGGAAGCTAGAAATGAAAATTACTTTGAAAAGTTGGCATCACTGGATCCAGTTCATCAATTTTGTTGAATTAATTAAACTAAATACTTTTAATTTGATTTTGAATAAATGTGCAATTAATTGTTACTCTTTTGAATTTTACTGTGTTATTACCTTCCTTAGTAGGCCATGAAAACTGCTATTCTGAATAATGATTTTTATAGAGTAGGGGGGCCCTGGGAATGAGTTTTTGGAACAATGGGAGCGGTAACCCCCCAAAAACATTTGGGAACCACTGATATAGAGACTGGATTAAACTGCAGGGTTGTTGCAGGTTACTCTCCCCCTTTAGCCTTACCTACAGAACTATCCATGGGCCACAGTACAGTGTTGTCATAGCCTGACTCTCTCACTCATGAAAAATGTGGGGATAAACCATTGACTATATTATAGGGCCATTGTAAGCCACTGCCAGACACACACACATTCCTGCAATGTCAGGCACACATAAGCAAAGGCTTCTTTCACTGTAAGAGGCAATCCCCATAATTCTACAGGAGATGCAAGGCAGGGAGAGAACAAATTAGCCAGGAGTTTGGGAATGCAGCCTGCTGAAATAAAAACCTTTTAGACATGAAGCCTAAAATTTGGGGGTTTGCTTAAATGAATGTGTTGTGAGATTGTTAGGCTTACACTAGCCAGCAGAAGGAGTCGTCAGGAAGCTGCCTTGATATATCAAGTCAGACTGTTCGGCCCATCTAACTCAGTACTGCCTACACTGATTGGCAGCAGCTCCCCAGGGTTTCAGGAAGGAGTTTCTCTCAACCCTGCCTGAAGATGCTGTTGTGGATTGAAGTTGGGACCTTCTGGTTCTAAGGCAGACACTCTACCACTGAGCTATGGCTCTCTCCCTAAAAAATGTGGGAGCTCAAAGAAGCTCTTTTCGATCCCAATTGTAAATCCCAATTGAAAATATAAGCAAATAGATCACATTACAGAATAAACGTAAGCTTTTGCAGAAGTTTTATTGCTGCACTGGGAGGCAGTGTTTCCGCTACGCAGGTGCAAACATGTCCTTGTTACAATTGTGGCTGCTTGTTTTGGATTTGGCACAGCCTGGCACAAGATGGTTCTGCTGGTTTCATTTTGAAAGAGACAGGAGCAGCTGGGATTTATTTCCCTTGGGTGGAGGGTCGAGAGTGATTTTTTGCAGTTTAAACATGGGCTGGAAAAAAGACGCAGGCATGAGCTTAATAAAAGGTCACCAGAGGAGTTTGCTGGCTAGCGGAAGGCAGTTGCTGCACTGTTTAGCAGGTGGGTTAATGCTGGGGCAACAAAATGTGACAACTAAGTGACACCTCCATGTTCAGGGGCAGTCTACATTAGAGTTCCAGATTCTGGAGATAAAACACTGTGAGAGGGTTTGTGCCTAGTGTGCAGGTTTCCGAGAGGCATCTGAGAAAAGAGCGCCCTGAAACTCCCTTTCACTCAGAAATTAGTGAATGCAAAAACGTAACAACAGCGGTTTGGCTAAGTTTCCCCACAAATGAAGTATGAGACCACGTACCCTGTTTGAAAATGTAGGTCTTCATTTGGGAAAAGCGACCATGTGTTTTCTACCAATATAAGTGGGAGTGGGGTACCATTGGGATTCCCTTTGGAAAAAACGTCTCCTAAAATGCTTGAAATGTGGGCTAAGGCACAAGCAGGGGGTTGTCCAATTGCAACATGGGCGCATCTCAGAGGCCTGGGTGGCACTGATGGAGACAGGCGAGATTTGACAGAGGGAAAAGGGCAGCTTCCAGAACCCACAGTGACTGGGAAAGTGGCACAGTGCCACTGCAGAAGCTGAAGAATGTCCACTATGTGTGCAGAGAGAAAGCAGGCATCAGAAGATCAGAACAGTCCCGCTATATTGAGCTGAGCTAAAGAGGGCCCATCTAGTCCAGCATCCTGTTCTCACAGTGGCCACCCAGATGCCTCTCCTGGGAAACCCACAAGCAGGAGCAGGAGCCCTCTCCTCTCTTGCCATTTGCAGCAACTGGCATTCAACTGTGGAGGCAGAGCATAGCCATCATGGCTAGTAGCCATCAATAGCCCTCCCCCTCCCGAATCAGATAAATAGATACCGCTCTGGCGGGAAGGTAAACGGCTTTTCCGTGCGCTGCTCTGGTTCGCCAGAAGCGGCTTAGTCATGCTGGCCATGTGACCCGGAAGCTGTACACCGGCTCCCTTGGCCAATAAGGCGAGATGAGCGCCGCAACCCCAGAGTCAGCCACGACTGGACCTAATGGTCAGGGGTCCCTTTACCTTTACTTTTACCCGAATTAGTCTAATCCTCTTTAGAGCCATCTAGGTTGGTGGCCATCATTGCTACCTGCAGGAGCGAGTCCCACAGTTGAACTATGCGCTGTGTGAAGAAGTACATAGCCTACATGAGGTCTGGTGGCAAGTCCACTTCCTACATAGGCCAGGATGTGGAGAGTGCTGTGGTTGTGGCTTGCGCCGGGTGGTTTTTGAGCTGTGGTCGCTAGTAAATTCAGGAAGAAATGGGCACAGAATAGCCTGCCAGGGTGAAGGAGGCTTCCCTTCCGGGAATGGGGGCTGGCCAGCCTGGGGTGTGGGCAATTTCTTCCAGGCTGTATCTCTCCTCCAAGCCGCTCTGGACAAACAGTTCCTCAGCTGGGATGAGAGATCTTGCTGGTGCTGCTCTAGCCAACGGCCCCTGCTGGAGCCTCATCATCCTCGGGGGCTACGAAGAACCATTGCTGGCTCCTGCCCTTGTCACTGCCTGGGTGGCCTGCTCAGGGATGGCTGCCGGGTTGGTCAGGATCGAGGTGGAAACGCTCAGCTGACGGAGGGAGCTCAGGACGGCTGAAGGAAGAAAAGCAGGCATTAGATCATCAGCAAAGTCATGTAGCTGGATCAAGCCATGTGAGGGCCCACCCAATTCCTCACAGTGGCCAACCAGATGCCTCTTCTGGGAAGAGACAGTGCTTCAGAAGGCAATTAATAAATCAAGTGTAATAATAATAATAAGTGCAACGACAACAAAAACTTTGCCTCGTCCTCTTTTAAAAACATCAGTGAGCACTTATGAAGAATGCTGTAGCTGGATCAGGTCTAGCCCAGTATCCTGTTCTCAGAGCTGCCCACCTGATGCCCAATAGGAAACCCACAAGCACAACAGAACTCTCCCCTCCTGTGGTTTCCTGGGATTTCGGGAGCATCGCTGGCTCCACTTGAGAATGAGTCGATTCCCAACAGAAGCCATTCACACTTTTGGCCTCGCGAGGCAGCATGGAGATAGCTTTCAGAATGTACACACCATTTCCTAACTTTGCTCAACTGCTCTTTCCTGGGCTATTATTATTATTACTATCATCATCATCATTATTATTATCTTTGTGTATATTTTCTACATGGTGCCCCGCCTCGTCCAAGAAGCCTCCTTATCCAGGACCCCTTTGCTGTACTAGGAAGAAGATGGAGACAGTGTTGAAAGACCCAACTGCCATCACCCTCCTGGAGGGAAGGAAGTGGGGGTCACAGAAACTACTCACTGGGCCGCAGCGCTGGGAGAGAGCAGTACTGATCCAGCCAGGCCAGGGACGTCTGGCCGAGGGTCTCCATGCTGCTTGTGGAGACCATTCCATTGAAGGACTCAAAGAGTGGCCTCATGATGATGCTGAACTGAGAGAGGAGGTGCTGTTAAGGACCAGAAGAGAGTGTGATGAGCTGCCCCACCATCGCCACCTTCTCTTATTTGCGCTGTCTCAAAATCCGACCCGTCCACTGTCTGTTGCTGAATTTGGGGGCTATGAGCCACATGACATTTCTACCACCCAGGTAGCATTTTCCCTGGAGCTAAAACCCACTTTCACCTAACCAACAGCAGAACAACGGAATTCTAAAATGATTACATTTTACTTTTACCTGCAACATGCATTTGACATAACATGTTTATGGGGTTATAGTGGCTCCTTGCTTTCACACCCCACCTCCTGGGTGGTGTCCACAACCATGTAAGGACATAAGAATATACGGTAGTTATACTCTGCTGGATCCAGCCAATGGCCTATCCAGTCCAGCATCCTCTTCTCACCGTGGCCAATCAGATGCCCCAAAGGGAAATCCGCAAGCAGGACACAACCACAACTCCCCTGCAGTTTCCAGCAATTGGTATTCAGAAGCATTGCTACCTCTGAATGTGGAGGCAGAGCAGAGCTAGTAGCCATCGATAGCCCTCTCCTCCTCCATGAATTTGTCCAATCCTCTTTTATAGCCATCCAAGTTGTTGGCCATCACTGCCTCCGGTGGGAGGGAGTTCCACAGTTTTAACTATGCATTATGTGAGGACGTACTTTCTTTTATCTGACCTGAACCTTCCAACATGCAGCTTCGTTGAAAGTCCACCAGTTCTGGTGTTTTGAGAGAGGGAGAAGAACTTTTCTCTATCCACTTTCTCCATGGATAAGAGAAGACTGAGAGAAGATATGAAAGTCAACTTCAAATATCTAAAAGGCTGTCACATGGAAGATGGAGCTCCCCCCCGTTCTGGAGCATAGGACCCAAACCAATGAATTCAAGTTGCAAGAAAGAAGATTCAAACTAAATCTTAGGAAGAACTTTCCAATGGTAAGAGCTGCTCAGCAGTGGAGCAGACTTCCGTGGGGGTTTTTAAGCAGAGATTGAATGACCATCTGTCATACACGCTTTTGTTGAAATTGCTGCATTGCAGGGGGTTGGACTAGATGACCCTCAGGTGCCTTCCAACTCCACAATCCCATGATTCTATGCCATGCATCATTTTATAAACTTCTATCATGTTGCCTGCTACTCGACTTTTATCTCAATTATTGCTTGCCTCTCCACTGCTGCCTATTTCCAATTAATCCTTACCAAGTACTGTGAAGAGTAGTTGTGATCACAGACACACACACACACACACACACACACACACAAAACAACTCCCCTCCCAAAAAGGATACAACCCAGAACTTCCAGTTCTGCAAGGTGCAAGAACGGACGTAGTCATCAAACATGTCCCGCATCTGGTCGAAGCGCTGGCGGGTGATGGGCACCCCCGTGGCAGGCAGCTGCTGCTGGCACAAGCTGCAAAAGGAACCACAAGGAGACAGTTTTACTTTCAGGGAAATGATCTATGAGATCATCTGCAGGGGCGTCGCTAGTCTTTCCTAAATTGGCAAGGCTTGTTTAACAACAAGGAACAGAGCCTTTCTTGTCGTCAGCCCAGTCCTGTGGAACTCTCTGCCACTAGATTCAGCAGGCACCTTCTGTGCTAACTCTTGAAATGCCTGCTGTAAACTTTTCTAAGTCTGCCTGGCCTACGCAGGCAATTAAGAACACATCTTTTCACAATGGTTAACTGATGTCTGTTTTTAACTTTTCAGTGGTTTCCTTGTATGGTTTTATGCCTTTATTGCTGTAAAGGGCTTGGTTATATGTTTTTACGGCAAGCAGTATACAAGTATATAAACAAACAAATAAATCACCAGTGCTCACAAAGCGCTGTGGCTTTGCCCACATGGTTCAATGTGAACCAGCAAACGGGGCAAAACGGGGCTCACATGAAACAGGGAAAGTCAGGAACTGGCCTGTTGGCCAGATTGAGATCCCCACCCCTGAGATGTGCCTTCTGATGTGCCTCCCCCCAAAAACCACATAGAGTCCTACTTGATGGCAGCGTTCAGCTCATCGATCTGATCCCGCAGGTGCTGTGCCTCGTCCTGCAGGGCAGCTCGCTCTTGCTGCAGCTTGCCAATGTACTCAGCCGTCTTCTGCAAGGTGGTGGCTTTGCTGACCTGCACAGCGTCGTCAGGTGTGGGGAGGCAGGAGGGAGAAAGCGGGGTAGGCTTAGAGAGGCCGGGTTCATCAAGAGGCCAGAGAGAGCTTCAAGAGCCCCAGCCATTCAATGTCACATCTGCTGCACCGTTACAGGTGTCACATAACACCAGTTCCGCATTTGTAAGAAATCGATCTTGTAGTGCGGCTGCACCTACACTATGGAACTCCCTGCCTCTTGACGGCAGGCAGGCACCTTCGCTGTATTCCTTTTGGTGCCCGCTAAAGACATTTTTTGTTTAAGCAAGAATGTGGATTAATCTGTTTTGAGTTTGCTGTTGGTTTTATCTGTTGAAAGTTGTCTTCCTTGATAATTTCATTGTTTTATCTATACACTGTAAACTGCTTTGGGATAGTTTCTCTTGCAACCAAGTGGTGTAAAAATCTCATGAAATACAGTGGTACCTCGGGTTAAGAACTTAATTCGTTCCGGAGGTCCATTCCTAACCTGAAACTGTTCTTAACCTGAAGCACCACTTTAGCTAATGGAGCCTCCCGCTCCCGCTGCACCGCCAGAGCACGATTTCTGTTCTCTTCCTGAAGCAAAGTTCTTAACCCGAGGTACTATTTCTGGGTTAGCAGAGTCTGTAACCTGAAGCATATGTAACCTGAAGCTTCTGTAACCCGAGGTACCACTGTAAGTAAGTAAGTAAGTAAGTAAGTAAGTAAAATACAGAGAATGACTCCATTCCAATGCTGGGCATCTGACTGGCACGCAGAAATTCTCTGGTTCAATGCCAGGCACTTCGAGGAGAGATTCCCTGCCTGAAACCTCGGAGAGCTGCTGCCAGTCAGTGTCGACAATACAGAGCCAGGTGAGCCAATGGCCTGACTCTGTATAAGGCAGCTTCCTGTGGTCTTGCGAGCCTCAGGGTCCCCTCCCTGTCCTGTTTGTCTGTTCCCACCCCAACCCCTTGCTGCTCACCTTGAGGCTGGGCTGGGAGCTCAGGGTGCTGACCAAACTGTGAAGGGTGTCGAAGCCCAGCTTGATGTTGAAACGGCGCTTCTGCTCAGCCGAGATGTGGGTGATCCGGCGGCTCTCGGTCTGTGGAAGAAGGAAGGGCAGTTGCTAGACGGGGGTGGGTTGCAGAAAGCCACTCCTGTTTGGAAGGTGGTAGACTGTCCCTCCTCAGATGTTTTTAAGCAGAGGTTGGATGGCCACCTGCCAGGGATGCTTTTGCTGTGATTCCTGCATTGCAGGAGCTTATAGTAGATGGCCCATGGGGTCCCTTCCAACTCTATGGTTCAGATTTTGGTATGCCACGTAAATATCTAAGAGGAGCATTGGACAGAATGCACACCTGCATTGCCAATGTGCATTGGCAAACGCCCCAGGTTCAATCCGTGATGGTATCTCCAGGGAGGGCTGGGAAATATTATTATTATTATTATTATTATTATCATCATCATCATCATCATCATTATTAATTTCCCTTTATGTACCACCCTTGATCACAAGATCCCAGGGCGGTGTACAACATTAGGAACAGAGCATGAAAATTAAAAGATAATAAAAAGCAGAATAATGGGCAGAATAATAACAATAACAACTCCATTTCTTTCTCCCTGTTTTTCTTGGAGTAACTTCTGCTAAGGTTTTCAGGATCACAATGCAATATGAAAAAGGAAACAGATACAAAAGAAGACAAAAAAAAAACAAGCAAAGGACGGCCAGAGGATTAAGTGCATATACCGAAGGCAATTGACCCACCTGGAAAATATATATATCATTGAATGAGAGGATTGGGAATGTGAATGAGGGAGCCAGGAAGTATGTCTTATAGCTCCCATACTTCCCACGAGGCTGGTGAGAGGAATTAATTCAGGTGACCAACGTTGGAACACGAAACAGAGTCCAAACTCCCACCAAAGAGTACATTTGTATTATTGTTATTTATTTTTTGCACTTATGTCCCACCTATTTCTCCAAGAAGCTCAAGCTCTCCTCTTCCTCATTTAATCCCCACAACAACCTTGTGAGGTAGGTTAGGCTGAGAGGCAGTGGCTGGCCCCCAAAGTCATCCAGTGAATTTCACAGCCGAGTGGGGATTTGAACCCAGACCCTAGTCCAACATTGCACCACAATGACTCTCTTTTCATTGGGAGGTGACTTGTCACGTTTTCTGCTTTGATCACTACCTGTCCAATGGGATGCAAGTGCTCTTCATCAAATGCATGCACAGACCCCTCTGTTTCGCCCCCTTACCTTGCTTGGCTCCGTCTTGTTCCGACTGTAGGGGCTGGGTGAAATCATCCCCTCCACCAGCAGCACTGGGGATCCTTGCCCCGACATCCTCCGGTTACTGCCTGAGGAGGGAGGAGAAAGAGACTCTGCTGTTCTTAATCACATCTGAGCATGCACAGAGTGCTTCCCCTTCACCACTGACCCACAGCATAGTGGAGGAGGGCAGCGTAGCTCCGGGATATGGGGCTTGTGTTTCATTTTGTCGAGAGCAGGAAGGATGGCATTGTCCCCCGAGCATCAGAGGAACTGATGAATGAGGAAGCAAGATGTGTTGGTGCATAAGTGCTGCCAAGCCTTCCATCCCGTGCTCAGGTCATATATACATGGTCAATAAAACCCTATGTATTGGTCATTCCCCAAGGGAGCAGTGGGATTACCTGTGGGGAGGGCGCTGGATCTGGGCCCCTCTGAGCACACTGACCGCTTCTTTACAACTGACCAGGCTAGAGCCTCGAGCGAAACACCTTCCTCGCTTCTTATTTAATGTTTTCCTGCTCTTCCAAAGCTATTTCCTTTGATCGCGTTTGTTTCTATTTATGAGTTGTCACAAGCCAAGTTCCACACAACACTGGGAGGTGGGGGGAGCTCATCACGTGCGCATGAAATAACACACGCGACACACACCTGTGACATCACACCTGTCGGGAAGAGGCCGCGAGGCCCAGGGAAGCCTGCCAACACCATGGATAGGCCCAATAGGGCCCCCTGCTACCACAGGGAGGTCTGGTGGGACCCAGGCCCTCAAGATTGGAGGGGCTCAGCCCCGTCCCCGCATACTGGGGGGGGGGGGGAGACAGGGACTGAGCTGTCCTCAGTCCCACAGAGTTGGCATCTATGATCACAAGATTACTGGTAATAGCCAGGCTTTTATTCAGCTGGAACTCAGTTCCGGCAGTTCCCAGGTGGGTGCCAATGCCATTCTAAGAGAACAAGGCATTCATGGTGAGTTTGGGCACCAGTTTTTCTAGAAAAACAGCACTGGTAATAGCTATTGATTTCCTTATAAATCAGTCACTGTACATCTGCGGTAGGGAAAAGTTTGTGCATGTCTGGTAAGAGGGTAAAGGCGGATGTTTCATGCTATAAATTTCCTTCACCCTGACACATTTGTTCAGTGCTTTTTTCCTTAAAAAATGTTTAGGGGTACTCTCATTTTGACTCAAGAAAACCACCATTTTATAGTTCAAACCGGGGGAAATAAATACAGTAAATGGACAAAAGTACACAGATTCACAAAATGGTTAGGGGTATGTGTACCCTTGTGTAACCCCCAGGAAAAAAGCACTGCATTTGTTAGCAAGAAGGCGCAGCAATATTTCTCCTGCAATATTCTTGGCTGAATGTGATTGTGTTACTAACTTCCTCAGGGGTTGTGCAAACTACTATTCTGCATAAAGCTGTTTATAGGGTAGGGGCCCCTGGGGGTGAGTTTATGGGACCAAGGGGGCGGTGGCTCCAGAAAGTTTGGGAACCACTTCTGTATCCTAAAGACATCACAGTCTCCAGTGACTTTCATTCCAGGGAAACTGAACCCAAGGAAAACACAGGAACCCCCTGGAGGGTCTATGAGGTTGTGGGGGAGCAGGCACCAATATATGCAGGTCAACACAACTGCCTGCATTTTGGGATCCCTTCTTTGGGGGCATGGCTAGGGACTCTCCACAGGCCACAGCGAGGGCCATGAGGAGTTCCACACACACTTCAAAATTGGCCCCTTTTGCTGACTTGCTACAGAATAGACCCTTTACACACACAGACAGACGTATAATCAGAAGTTAATAGAGCTGGAGGGCTGTGCTGGGGGATGACTGCCAACTCTGCGCCACTCACCACAGACAGGGGTGGGGGAGAGCCGTTCCGTCTTGGGGACGAGCGGGGGTCCCGATGGCAGCGCGGCCGGGACGGACTGCGAGGGGCTGGAGGCGGGGGACAGCCGAGGGCTGAGCTGGGTCATTCTGGGCAGGAAGTTGGCCGGCTCCTCGCCAAAGGCATTTTGCTACAAAGGAGGACAGAAAGAAACGGTTAGAAGGCACCGGCTCGGTGGCAAGGGTGCCTGCAGAACTCACCACCACAGGATGTTGTGGTGGCCAGTGGCATAAATGACAGGAGCCTGTAGAGGGTGGCTCTGTCAGTTCATAGCCCTCCTGGCAGCAAGGAATGGAGCTTCCAGGTTCAGGGAGAGTATACCTCTGAATACCAAATTCCAGGATCAAATTCCGCTTTGCGTATGAGCTTCCCAGCCCCGACTGTTGGAGGCAGCAGGCAGAATTAGATGCACCCTTGGCCTGATCCAGTGGGGTCACAGACCCATCCCTTCCCACCCCAAAGCCAGTTTGGAACCCAGAAAGGAAATGCGGACCCCTGCTATCAACAGTTGACTCCTACCAGAGGTTCAGGCACCGGAGGAGCAACGGTGTGGCTAGGACCAGGCAAAGCCTCTTCAGTTGGCTCTGGTTTAGCTGCAAGAAGGAAGGAAAAATGTGTTGAAGCCAACTAGTTGGAGGACTGCGGCCATTCCTCGCCAACCTTCACCCCCTGAGACTTCTGCCTCCCTGTGCCTTAAGGTATGCAGAACAGGTATGCAGAAAGGTATGTGGAGGGGGGGCTTGTACAGCCTCTTCTAGCTGTCCCTCTGCAGCTCATGCCTAGACCACCACCCACTGTTTCTCATTGTGCTGTAGTTTGCAGCTCCACCTGTCTTTGGCCAAGCAAACTGCAGCATGATGACACACTTACCTTTTTATTATATCTGTGGGTGTATCCTTGATTAACTGGAGTACCTTTTTTGGTCAATCAGAATTTAGCCTAGTGGTTCCCAAGGTGGGTGGTACTGCCTCCTGGGGAGCAGCAGGAGCTAAGGCGGTGGGAGCTAAGAGCTAGGTCAGTGCTAAGAGGCAGGTGGGCAGCCGGGGGCTGGAGGTATAAATGGCTTTCAGGTCTTGAAAAGCAGGTATCACTGGATCAAGTTCATCCTCTAAACAGTTTGAGCTGGATTTTGAGTAGACGTGCAATTAATTGTGACTGTGTTGAATTTGATTGCATCATTCTCTTCCTAAGTGATTTGGGCAACTCGCTATTCTGAGTAAGACTTTTTATAGGGTAGGGGGTACTGGGAAGGAGTTTACAGAATCAAGGTGGCAGTGACCCAAAAACGTGAGATAGCTGTTGCTTTAACCAACCAGTCAGTCAAACATCGCAGCCCTGAGCTCAGTGCACGTTAAAGAGCAGAAGGGACCCCTGGAAAAGAAATCCCGCCTTCCCCCTACCTGAGATCAGCAGCTGTGTCAGACACGGGTTGGGCATTGCCACAAGTGGAGGTGCTGGGATTCTTGAGGGCCTCTTGGTCTTGGCATTGGCCCCCTTCGCCCTAGGCCGGTCACTCCCCGACTGTGGCTGCCCCCTACCAGCAGCAAATATGGGGGGACTTTGCACACCAGTGTGTAGTTGTGGGGTGCTGAGAGGAGAGTGGTACCCTGAGGACAGATCCATGCTGTACCCCGGGACGTTCTGGGAAAAGCAGGGAGTGGAGAGCGATGGGGATGGGGGTCCAGAGTAGAGCGGGGAGGGCGGGTAGTGGAACTTGGGGTTGGGGGCAGGAGGGCGCCCTGGCTCCTGGCTCAGCAGAGGGGCACTGGGCATTGGGGTGGGGCAGTAGGGCCCGTAGGGGTCTAGGCTGAGCCATTTGCCAGGATACGTATATGGGAACATGGACTTCTGCTTGAGGTCGGGGCCAAGGCTGCTGGGGGGCGTCGAGGAGGGCGGAGCCGACAGGAGGTCATGGTTGAGGAAGGCGCCAGGCGAACCGAGGTGAGCAGGGCACCCGCTGGCTGGCTGTGGGGAGACAGAAAAGGGAGGGAACAGAAAGAGGTGGGTGCAATTTGCTCACTCTCAAAAGAAACTGCAGGAGAGTCATTCAGCAGCTCTTGTCAAGCTTCTTTTTGCAATGCTGAGGACTAGAAGCTTGCCAACTGGAAAAAAACACAGCAAATTAGGGGGCCCCTGGGATATTAAGGTGCCTCAGGGAGAAAACTCAAACCATTGAAAACATCAGGAAATTAATGTTATGAGTTTGAGGTGGGGGTCAGTCTGGATGATGCCCTGACTTCCTTCCTATTCTTGGGGTCCTGTATCTCTGGGGGACAAGGTGTGAGAGCAAGCTTGCCAAACCAATATTTTTGTTTGGTCAGTGGTTGTGGCTGACTAGTTAAGCACAACAGCACAACCAGAGATGTTGATGTGTGATGTGGACCAAAGGGGTGGGACTCCCCACCCCCACCCCACCTGCTAGGTAGGAGAGCAAGAACAACAGGAGTCCGTTTGAGCTAAGCTAGAAGCCGGCTGGAAGCCAGAGACACAGAGACCAGCTTGCTCTGTGCTGGATCCAAAGCGGAAATTATTGGAAAAGCAAGATCTGTTGTGGGGTTAATGCTGTGAGCCCCTGCATCCTAGGCTCAGGTTCTACATGTGTAAATAAAACTTCAATCTCTGCTGACCTTCAGAGGAAACTGAACTCTAGATGAGTGCCTGGAACCCCTGAAGTCTCTCACTGCTCAGAGATTTGGGTGGCATGTAACAATATAAATAAAGATCAAATCTTGCCGTTTCGCCATGAGGTGGGACAACTCTGTCAGCCTGTTTATAGCAGGGCCATCTGACTGGACAGCAAATAGCTCAGCTTCCTGAAGGAAGCCAGACCACCTGTCCATCCCAGGAGTCCACATACAACAACAACCCATACAAATTACCAAAGTCACTCTGCACATGTACAGATAACCCATACCAGCAAGAGGGCTTCATCACCCAGGAACTTCTGCTCAAGCTATGCCTCTGACCAGGGCAGGGATTGCAGGACAAGAGAGCAAAATGAGCCTAGGGCAGAGCCATCAGCTGATAAGACTGATGGCAAGCAGAGCTTTCACACCTGGTGCCGAGGACTGGGCAGGACGGGAGAAGCGGCAGGGCCTGGGGATAGTAAGGTGTCTGCAGGGCTAGAGAGGAGGGTGGTGCCGGTGGTCCCGAAGAGGGTCTCTGATGCAAAACAGGGCTGGTCCTGATAGTTCAGGGACGTCTGAGCTGGCAGCGGCCGAGGGCTGGAAAAGAAATCTGGGCAGGGGATGAGAAAGAAAGGTCAGAGCAGGCCAGACAAATGGCTGCACCAAACATGCCATATTTTGCAATGTGATGAAACCGTGCCAATTCCAACAAATGACATTTATATGTATTTGCATGGAGAGGACCAATTCATGGAGACAAATTCATGGAGGAGAGAGCTATCAAGGGCTATTAGCCACAAGGTCTATGTGTTGCCTCCACAGCTGGAGGCAGGAAATGCTTCTGAACACCAGTGGCTGGAAACCATAGGAGAGGAAAGTGCTTTTGTGTTCAGATCTTGCTTATAGGTTTCCCAAAGGCATCTATGCCATCTCCATGTCCCCTGGAAACCTTTCAGGCAGGAGGGGGACAAATATCAAGGAAGGCCATGATGTTTATTCTTAAGCCGTGATGATGATCAATTTTCTTTTCTTTTTCTTTTTCTAAAATTGTAAACAAAAAAGTGCACACATAACGAAAAGAAAGAAAACAAAGCATCCTGCTTGGCAGGGGGTTGGACTCGATGGCCCTTGTGGTCTCTTCCAACTCTATGATTCTATGAGAAGACTAAACCATAAAGTGTCACAGCCTGGATGGACAGAAATACAAGGATTCAGCACAGCACCAAAGGGATACTAAAGGATTAACTCATACAAAGAGTCCCCCTGCAATTAATACAGATTTATAAAAATAAAAGTATTATCCACTTGTGAGTTTCACCATTACTGAGAATAAAGATTCTATATAGTCTTAAATGAGCCAGATATTTGCATATACAAATAGTGTGGAACAATCATGTGCCTCAATATTTGTACTGTATAAGAAATAAAATCATGCCATATATTTTTAAAATGTCATTTGAATTCTTCCCTTTAGATACTTTTTATGAGATGCACAATTTTCTCTCTCTTAACGAAATGAAGGGGGGGTTTGCTTCCAAAGAAAGAAAACCAGAGATTTAATTCACCCCCTCCAACCTGCCAGACTCCTTGCTGCATGTAAAGGAACAGGTGAATTTTGTGTAAATTAAGGACAACCAGGAAGTTTCCTTAGGGTACCCCAGTGTTATCCCAAAGTTTTGGGTGGGGGAAACTGTGCTCCTGCTTGCGCCAGTCCTGCGAGGGGGGCCTCCTCCTGCTGCTGCCACCCTTGCTGCCTTCATCCTCTCACCTGGCCAACTACCAGTTTGGACCGGCTGTATTTTCAAGCAGCAGCAGCAGCAGCAAGAGTGTCTGCAGTTGTGAAACACAAGCATTTTTGCTGCATGGGCAGGCAAGCCCGTGTCAGGGCCGCCCACGGGTCACTCAAGCCGCACCCGACACCTTCCGGGGTCCTGACCGCAGCAGGGCGGGGGGCACGGCGTTGCCACATTTGCAAGTCGAACCACCCCAAACATGCAATGCAATCGCCCTCTGCCTTGCACGAGAGCCTGAGGATGCAGAGGTCGGGGTCAGCTCCAGCAAGATTCAGTGTTGGTGGATGATGGGAGCTGGAGTCCAGCTGCATCTCTAGAGGGCCACAGGTTCATCATCCCTGATCTAGCCCAATCTCACAGCATCCCTCTGGGGTGTCAGGGATAGAAATAACTTTCTCGTCACTTGCAGGGGGTTGGACGACCCTTTGCCCCTTCCAGCTCTACAATTCTATTCTGCTATTATGCTAGCAATGTCAGAGAATTCTCCTGGAAACACAAAGAGGAGTGAAAATTGCTGCAATCTGAAAATTTGTCTGAGGTCAAGAAAAGAAACCATGCAATATCGTAAAAGCGGTATTCACTACTGATGATTTTTTTCCCCGGTGCACAAATGTTAAGTAAATCAGTAATGTCGTTTTCTGCATTGTTATGACAACTCCGTTCCATGGAAATTAATCACGCTGATTTTAACCCCTGCAGATAGGGAAACGAATTAATGTAGGTGTTAGCAAAAGCTGAATTGCAGTGGAATGCAAACAGTGCTGGTTGTGATTAATGTGGTATGGGACAGAAATCACTGCCTCCGGACAGCTAGACATGCTACTTGATCTTTGAAGGAGAGTTGCAGGGGATTGACATAAGAATGTATGAATATCCCTGCTGATTCAGGCCAATGGACCACCTAGTCCAGCCTCCTGTTCTCAAAGTGGTCCTCCAGATGCCCGAATGGGAAACCCGCAAGCAGGACCTGAGCACAAGAGCCCTCTCTCTCCCCTCCTTTGGGTTCTAGCAACTGGTACTCAGAAGCATTGATGCTTCAAACTGGGCAGGCAGAGCATAGCCATCCTGGCTAGTAACCATCAATAGCCCTCACCTCCACGAATTTGTCTAATCCCCTTTCAAAGTCATCTAGCTTGGGGGCCCTCCTGTGGCAGGGAGTTCCACAGTTTAACTCTGCTCTGCACGAAAAGATATTTTCTTCTATCCGTCCTGATTCTTCCAACGTTCAGCTTCATTGCTTGTCCTTAAGATCTAGAGAGAAAAACTTCTCTCTCTCTGCTTTCTCCCTGCCGTGCATAATTTTGTAAACTTCTATCGTGTTGTCTCTTACAGTGGTACCTCGGGTTGAGAACTTAATTCGTTCTGGAGGCCCGTTCTTAACCTGAAACTGTTCTTAACCTGAAGCACCACTTTAGCTAATGGGGCCTCCCGTTGCTGTCGTGCGATTTCTGTTCGGATCCTGAAGCAAAGTTCTTAACCCGAGGTAATATTTCTGGGTTAGTGCAGTCTGTAACCTGAAGTGTCTGTAACCTGAAGCATCTGTAACCAGAGGTACCACTGTACTCACCTTTTCTCTAAGCTAAAACGTCCCAAACGCGGCAACCTTTCCTCGTGATCATTCTGGAAGCCCTTTTATCAACATTTTCCAACTCTGCAGTGTGCTTTTTGAGGTGAAGCAACCAGAACCAGAACACACACTATTCCAGATGTGGTCACAGAGGTCTTCTTCTGTGTGCGAAGCAGGTGCTCTGTGCCACTGAGTGATGTCTCTTCCCCATGAATTCAGGCAGGCAGCTTGGCTTCGTTGGGGCAGGGGTATGAATTGAGCTAAATCCTTCCCCAGCTAGTGATGGGGAGGCCATGAGCTCAGGTCACATCCTAGCACCAAGTTACCTAATTTGTGCTTTCTGAACCAGCCGCCTTTTGAAATGTGCACACCTTTGAATTCTGCAATGCAGTTCTCCAACCAACATTTTTTTTGAAAAATGCTTCAAAAGTGTAAATTAGGGGAAAGCATGCTCAAAAGCGCTTACATTCATTGAAGTAATGCATGCAAAATGCATTAGGGAAAGTTGTTTGCAAGAATGTGCCTATCTTGGAGAAATAAGAATATAATTGAAACTGCCAATATAGCGCAACTGCATTTGAAATACTGCGGATGGTTCTGCTCCCCTCCCCTCAAAAACAAAAAAAAAAGAAAGAAAGATATTGTAGAGCTGGCAAAAACTTCATGAAAGGGCCACTAAAATGGTCAAGGGTGTGGAGCAGCCCCCTTGCAATATTCGGGACTTTTCAATTTAGAGAAATGGCAAGTGAGAGGTGACATGGCGGACATTTGTAAAATTATTCCTGGCATGGAGAAAGTGGATACAGGAGAGTTTTTCTCCCCCTGTCAAACATAAAATAATAAAAATATCTTTTTAAAGACTTTTTTTTTAAGATAGGTGTGCAAGAGCCCTGAGTCAGCTTTGAAATGTTTGAGCCCCTCAGTGGGTGGGTGCGGTTTCTCCCTCCCAGGTCTCCATCCCTGCCCTCTTGCGCTCGCCTTGCGTGCAGCCTGTGGCTAACCACATCCCGTGGCCTTCCCGAATCCGAGCCCCGTGACCCTGCCGTGCCCCCCTCTCCCTTCCTGCCCCTGCGCCGCAACCCTCTCGCTTCCTCAGAGTCAGACGACCCCCAAACTGCTGCGGCGGCACTTTCAGGGCTCCTGCGAAGGGACACACGTCCAACACGGGCTTGTTTTCTTCCTCATTCCGGAGTGGAAAATTCGCAAACCGCAACCCCACATCAACCCCTCTGTGGCGGTTTTTTCCACCGCCTTTGCTTGGGCTCCTTGACCCATTTCAAGTCCTGACCTTTAAACGCAAAGTCACCCATTTAAAACCCTTTTGGGGGTTTTTAGCCACTTGCCAACAATTGATCGCGCCTGCACGAGTAAAAACTAATTGTCCCTTATTTTGTCATTTATTGGTTTCGCACAATTTACGTACTGCTTGATTGTGGGGGAAAAGAGAATTTTTACATCTCAAAACAGTTTTCAAAAAGGAAAAAGACAATAATATTCTCCCTAAGAAAAATGGGTGATGGTAATTTAGGGCTTTCAAAAAGTTGAAATAACAATAGACTAAAAACTAAGGCTTGCATCAACTTTCTAAACATCTGCGTAGGCTTGTCTAGAAAAAAAATGTTTTTTCCCCCACAGGCACCAGAACGAGTCTTGTGAAGGTACCTGCCTGATATCAATAAACAGGGAGTTCTAAAGTGTAGGAAATTAACTGATTTACTGACACAGTCCTTTGCACAGTTCCCTGCTGGGCCTCCTAGAACAGGTCTGCAGCAAAGGTTGCAGGCCAATGTTAGGTGGCCTACCAAAGGGAGACAAAGGGAACGGAGGATGGAATTGCTAAGCTTCCTGCATTGCAGGGGGGTAGACTAGATGAGCCTCAAGGTCCCTTTCAACTCTACACTTCTAGGATTCTATGAATATGGCAGCTGATTTGCCTTTAAGGGGGCAGTGCAGTCAGCCCCTCGTGCCCGGGGACAAAGGCGAATGCAAAGTGCCGCGGAAGTGCGGTGAAGTGAACCCAAGACCGGGAAAATGAGAGAAACTGAAATTGACTGATTTGTCTGTTCCTGCTCCCAGCCCCTCCAAAAATAACTCCCCTCCATAACACACAATATGCCCTCCTAAACACACACACACACAGGCATCCTGGGCCAAGCCATTTCCCCTTTTTGTCACCCCATCAAACAGACACCCTCCCCCCCAACACACCTCCCCTCCAGCACATTTACTACAGCCCTCATTGCTTCATGCAAACACAACACCGCCTATGCGGTTTTCTTCTCCACCCCCCCTACACCAAAATATCCACATATATAACTTCTCTCTTCCTTTCCACTGCAACTTCCCCTTTGCATGTAAACACCAGATCGTCAGCATTTGCCTTTTTCAAAGAGCTGTAGTAGCACACATAAATAAACCGCCACGCTCTCCCGTTTCTGCCGATTGCTTCCTTGCACAACAGCCCTGCAAGGTAGGGATTCTCTGAGCCTACAGAATGTGCCTAGTTCCACGTTTGCAAGCAGGAAATGTACCTTGAGACCTCAATTGCCACCGTAAGAAAGCCTAGCGGGTGTGAAAATGCCTTTCATCTCGCATTCGTCCCTTAGGAACGCATTAAGCTTCCTGCATCCCCACCCCACCCCAAGTCAGACCGTTGGGGGTCCATCTAGCTCAGTATTTCCAGCACTGGCTGGCAGCAGCGCTCTCGGATTTCAAGCAGGGCTCTTTGCCTGGGTGTCTGTGGGATTCTTTCTCCCCAGTGGGGATTCAAAGGGAAAGGGAAAGCTGGGAGCAGGCTGCTTTCTCCTCCAGAAAGAACCGTGCATGGACATTTTGCCTCATCTCTCACATTCTACAAACACTAGGGGGGGAATTCTCTTTAAAAAATAATAATAACAGCTGGGAATCTTGGACTAAGACCTGGGAGGCCAGGAGTCGAATACCCACTCAGCAATGACCTTAGGGGCCAATCACTGCCTCTCAGCCCAACCTACCTCACAGGGTTGTTGTGGGGATTAAATGGGAGAAGAGAACTATGTATGCCACTTCCAGTTCCTTGGAAGGACAAAAGATGGGATAGAAACACAAGAAACAAGAAACACAGGCCAAACCTGCAGAGGACTTTGCTATTGATTTTAGCTCATGTGCTAAAATGTGGGACAGAATGTAAGTAATAAGCACTGGTATGGGTTTGGGGGCTCAGTCTGGATGATGCCCTGAGTCCCTCTCAATTCTTGGGGTCCTGGGCTCAGTGAGGGTTAGAATCTAGCAGAGGAGATTGCTGAACTGGTTCCTTGGTAAGACAGTGACCTTGGCTGGCCTCTTCAGTGTCCCCATCAGCATCCCCAAAGAATGAGCTCTTTTGCAAGAGCTACCACTAAGTGATGGGGCCCTGCAGGCAAATGGGTGGGCCTTTCCTTCACTCCCTCACCTAGTTGCTAGGTAGGAGAGCAATAGCTAGGAAGATGTGTGTGAGCTGAGCTGAAAGCAGCCTGGAAGCTGGAGACACAGAGACCTGCTTGCTCTGTGCTGGATCCAAAGCTGCAACGAATGCAGAAGCAAGATCTGTTGGGGTGTTGATGCTGAGAGCCCCTCCATCCTGTGCTCAGGTTGTACAGATGTGCAAATAAAACCATATATCCTAAAGACACCACAGTCTCCTCTGACCTTCATCCCAATGAAACCAAGTCTATGTAAGCAGCTGGATTCTCTCAGCACTCAGAAATTGGTGTGGCATTTAGCAGTATTTTAAAATACTCTTATAAGTCACCACAATACTAATTCTAACAGTAGGTGACTAAGAAATTAATGGATTGATTAAATAATAAGCCTCATCTTTAGTCCCATGCCACATACAAATAAGCAAAACGAGAGAACTTTGTCTATCATGGAAAGAGCAGAGATTTCATGGCACCGCAACTTCCAAACTGGATTGCGCCATGCCCCAAATTACAGCTCAGGCAGCCGCCTCTCAAGTTTCCATTCCGATCACGAGTTTGAATCCTCTTCTTGCATCAGCCAAGATGTTAAAAGAGAGACTAAAGCAACCTCTTGGCTTTATAAAACGTGCGTGGTGGGGGATGCACACGTTAAGATTAAGCCACGGAAGGCCCTGCCCTACCCCGTTTTGCAAAAAGCAGGAATGCAAAATCGTCACCAGGTTATATTAACACCGAGAGGGAGGCAACTGGGAACTGGCACAGAAGCAAGGCAACTCACAATTTGTGGTATATGCCCCCTCCTCAAAACCACATGTGTCATTGCCAACGTTACAATCTTTTTGGCACCAGGTTAAAGCCTCCCGATTTGCCCAGCCAGGGCGAAAGTGATTTTAGCTGGAATTCTTATGTTAAGAATGTGAAGAGAGCTTGCTGGATCAGACCAATGGCCTACCCACTATCCTGTTCTTATAGTGGCTGACCAGATGTCTCAGTGGGAAGCAGGATTCGAGCAAAAGGGAACCCTCATGTTCAGAGGCAATGCTGCTTCTGACCGCGAAGGCAGAGCATAGCCAGCACGGATACTAGCCTTCAATAGCCCTCTCCTCCTCCATGAATTTGTCCAATCCTCTTTTAAAGCCGTCCAAGTTGGTGGCCATCACTGCCTCCTGTGGGAGGGAGTTCCGTAGTTTAACTCTGCGCTGAATGTCTGTCCTGAATCTACCAATGCTCATCTTCATTGGATATCCAGGAGGAGAGAGAGGAAGGAAAACTTTACTCCTATCTCCATGACATGCATAATTTTATAAACTTCTATCGTGTCACAGTGTAGTGCAGTGGTTAGAGTGTTGGACTAGGACCTGGGAGTTCAGGGTTAAAATCCCCGCTCAGCCATGAAATTCACTGGGTGGCCTTGATGGGGGGCTGTCGCTGTCTTTTCTCAGCCTAACCTACCTCACAAGATTGTTGTGGGGATAAACTGAGGCTGAGAATAATGTCTACCACCTTGAACTCCTTGGAGAAAAAGGTGGGATAGAAATGCAGTAAACAAACACATGCCTTTTCTCGAAACTAAAACGTCCCCGACATGCAAGAATAAGGAATAAAATGTGATGATAACATATTCACCAAGAAATTCTGCCAGACCCACACAGGTGATCAGGTGACTGCCAGGTACACAGAAGAGCTTGGCAAGCCTTTAGTACAGCTCTGGTTGGCACCTGTGGCCCTCTAGATTTTGTGGGGAGACCCCCCAAACTCCCAGCATGGCCAGTGGTTAGAGATGATGGGTGTTGGACTCCAGTAGCATCTGGAGCGGTGACCCCCAAACCTCCTTGGACCTGGAGCATATCTGGTAATCTAAGAGGCTGTTGTGGGTACCAAACACACACATGTGCCCATTTTACAGAAGAAAAACTGACAGCGGTCAGAATTACTCCCCAATCAGACAAAACTCAACCGAAATGAAACACAGACAAGAGAAGCGGGCAACTATACCGGACAACACCCCCGCCCCAAAGCTTTGATCCCCCCAAAGCATGCTGGGAGGGACACAACTCTCAGAAAGTGTAGCCGGCTTTCCAACTGCCCTCAGTTCCTGAGCCTTTCAAAGTGGCCTCCTGGGCAACAACCAGGAGAGAACGCTTTTCAAGGAGCAGAGCTGGAGCTGACTGTAGCGTTAGGTAAAATGGAGCAGGTCGTTCCAGCAAGAATGCTGGGCAATGGTGGCGTGGGCAGGGCCCATCCTGCCTTTAAGCCAGCAGCAAAGTCTCTCAGGCTTTTGCCAGGAGGACCCAAACCGACAGATTCAAGTAGCCAGGAGATTCCAGCTAAACATATGGAAGAGTTTTCTGTCAATAAGAGCTATGTAACCGTGGAGAGCTCCTTCACTGGAGATTTTTAAGCAGAGGCTGGATGGCCATCGGTCAGGGATTCTTGAGCTGTGATTCTTCCAATAATTCTCCCTTCCAACTCTACCTTTCTCTGATTCCCACTGCCAGCTGCTCTGGGATTCAGTGAGGGAGGGTGTCCAGAGAGCAGGGGGCCGACTGCAAGCAAGATTAGGCAGCTCCCCACCCCCTTACCCACCCCCTGCCTCCCACCCCAGTCTCCTACCTGCAGAAGGGGTCCACCCGCGGTCGGTTACCATCCCTAGGGTGGTCTGCCACGGACCTGCCATGGGGACTTCTACATATGGCTCAGGTTCCTTCTCCAGCCTCGGTTCCTCATTCACTCTGCCCTTTGATTGACAGGCAGGAGCCCAGGAAGCCTCTGGCTGGCTGGGGACAGAGGTGGTGACCTTACCCCCAAGCCCATTGCAACAGCCCTCCGTGGGGCTGGCCCAAGTGCCTTGCTTGGACTTCCCTCCACCCACCCAAGCCACGCAACCTCCCAGAGCATGTGGAGGCAGGATGGAGGCATTTTCAGCCTTCCCTAAGAATGTGAAAAGAGCCCTGCTGGATCAGGCCAGTGGCCCATCTAGTCGAGCATCCTGTTCTTACAGTGGCCAACCAGATGCCTGTGGGATACAGTGGTGCCCCGCAAAGCCGCTAAGCCGCTAATAGCCGCTAAGCCGCTAAGCCGTTAATAGCCGCTAAGCCGCTAAGAGCCGCGCTTCGCAAGACGAAAAAACCGCAAGACGAAGAGACTCGCGGAACGGATTAATTTCGTCTTGCGAGGCACCACTGTATTAGCAAGCAGGATTTGAGCACAAGAGCCCTCTCGCCTCCTTCCTTTTCCAGCAAATGGCATTCAGGAGCATTACAGCCTCTGACCAGTATAAACAAAAATGGCTATCGATAGCCCTCTTCTCCAATTATCTCTTAAAGCCATCTAAGTTATCAGCCATCACTGCCTCCTGCAAGAGCGGGTTGCATAGTTTAACTCTGATCTGCATAAAAAAAGAACTTTTTTCTGTCTGTCCTGAATTTTCCATCCTTCAGTTTCATTGTTTGTCCACAAATTCTAGTGTTAGGAGAGAGGCAGAAAAGAAAAATCTTTATCCATTTTCTCTATGCCATACATAATTTTATAAACTTCAGATCCTCTTAGTGTCCCTGTTTTCCAGGGACAGTCTCGAATTTACAGATGCTGTCCCGGTTTTTGATTTGATAATGGAATGTCCCACTTTTCCTTAGGACGTCCCTATTTTTATCAGAGGGTACAGAGTTATGTGACCCCAGAGCCAAGCCAGAGCAGTTTTTAAAAGTATTATGCTTTATTATGTTTTTTTTATATGTTGGAAGCCACCTAGAGTGGCAGGGGTAACCTAGTGTGATGGGCTGGGTATAAATAATAAAATTATTATCATTATCGAATAGGGTGTCCTTGTTTTCATTGGAGAAATGTTGGAGGGTATGAAACTTCTATCCTGTGGCCTCTGAATTCGCCTCTTAACTCTTGTTTTCTCTAAGCTGAAATGTCCCAAACACTTTTCCACACCTTTTTCAACTCTAATTTTGGAGGGGATGCGAACCGAACTCCAGGAGTTTGCAAAGGCGTCCAGCACTTCAGGTCTGGAACAAGAAAAGACCAAGAAGGAACGGATACTTGTCAGGGAGGCGGGGGCTATGATCCCTGAAATCCAAGCTGCATAGGTTTCCTGCAAAGCCCAGTGGATCACAGCACCTTGCTAAAGCAGAGGGTCTCTAAGGAAATTAAGGCAGCTGGAAAGCTGGGCATCTTGCCAGCATTTAGAAGTGAGGGAGAAATTCAGTTTTGTTTGCATTTTCCTGATAAACGACCAGAACTTCTCAAACTAGCCAGCAAACTGGAAGGCAGCTATCTTTTGAAATTCACACATCTCTGAATTTTGCAGCCCATTACTGCAGATTTTTTTAAAAAAGATTTTTTTAAAGGAGGAGCAGAGAGGCTGGTGCAAAAGACCAGAGGACTCATCACACACACAAATTTTTATTACATATTATCTTTATCATTATTTATATTCTGCCTTTTCCCCAGACTGGGGACTCAGGGTGGCTTACTGTTAAAATAGAAACAGCCAAAAACATTTCGGGGGGGGAATTAAAAAGCAATTAAACTAGCTGATTTATTTAATAACATTTATACAACAACAACCCTCAAAGCAATTTAGAAAAAGGTGAAAGGATAAAATCAAGAAAAAATTCACAGCAATAATTTCGAGCAAACAAAAAGTTAAAATACTGAAACTGATTAAAATTCACACCAACTTTCTATGCATCTGGGCAGGTTTGTCTCTAAACAGGTGCCGAAAAGAGTACAGCAAAGGTGCTTCCTTTAAATCAATAGGCAGGGAGTTCCAAAGTGTAGTTGCTGCCAAGTGGCAGGATCAAGAGAATGGCCTCCTCCCTAGATCTCACACCCTGGGAAGGTTTGTATTCTTTCAGACAGCCTGGTACTGGGCACACACACACACACACACACACACACGGTTGATCCTAACCAAATCATGAACCTTACTGTGTGATTTTGGACCAGCCATTTGCTCTCAGCCTAACCTACCTCACAGGGTTGTTGTGGGGATAAAAAGGGAAGGAGGAGAACTATGGAGGAAAGGTGTGGTATAAATACAATAGATAAATAAACTCAACCCCCCTTCTTCAGGTCCTCAGCCCTCTGTTGCTCGACAGCCCCAGCTGCCCCTCTTTCCCCTTTCTTGGGTCAAAAGTTTCCCTTCCTCTCTCGTCTCGCCCCCAGTGCGGTTTCACATTCCTGTAACCCAAACTCTATTTGGGGAACTGCTGCAAGACATAGGCACTCTATTCTCATTCAATATATTGACCGTCCCATTTTTGCCCCCTCTGCTAGTCTGGCTTAAACACACACACACACACACACACACACAGAGAGAGAGAGAGAGAGAGAGAGAGAGACATTCCTCAGAGCTCCTCATCGCTTCTCCATCCATGCTTTAGTCAAACCTCTGTTTGTCGTTTAAAACCATCCTTTTAAAAACCTGGCTTTTCTTTTGCTCTCCGCCCAGACTTCATGGAAATCCAGGACTGTGACGCGGCACTACAGATCCTGCAACTGGAGCTGTGGGACGACAGCCTTACATTTCTATGTATATAGGAAGGAAAAAATCTGCCCCTCCCAATGGCCCCCAAACCAGTATCTGTTATTCCTTGGGAGTACAGAATGATGCATTTTGTTATCAAATACGGTACGGAGATATTCTCAGTATTGGCTCTCCGTTTGTGGAATGCCTTCCACAAACAGCTAGTGCTGACCCTGGTGGGTTTTAGAAGCCACTCAATGACATTTTTATTCCGCTAGGCTTTGGACTAAATGGGTTGAGAATTGAGCCATGTGTCCTCGTTGGTATGTTGTACGTGTGAGGGGTTATTTGGTTTCAGCTATCTTTTTACGTGTTTGTTTTTAGATGCCCTGAGATTATTTTAATGAAGTGTGGGCTAGAAACCACTCTAAATAAATAGCAAAATGGTGCCTGTTTCCTGTTAGAAAAATTAAAAGAAAAAGAGAGAGAGGAAACCATTCATGCCTCCACTACAACCCACCTCAGAACAGAAATGGACCCTTCTAGAATATTTGAGGGGTCACTAATGCATGGTTCATCACTAATTCTCAGCCATAACATCCAAAGAGCCTGGCTTCTGAGTCAGGGCAAACCAAGCCCAAATTTTTCGTATAACACTATGAAGTCCTTTTTTGCCTTCTCTCTGCTAAAAATCCCTAAATGTTGTAACTTTTCCTCATAAGGAAGTTGCTCCATCCCCTTGATCGTTTTGGTGGCCCTTATCTGAACACTTTCCAGCTCTAAAACATCCTTTTTTGAGGTGAGGCCAACAGTACGCAGGCTTTCAGGTGTTTTCGCTGAGTATTTTTGTGTAACGGCATCATGATATTGGTGTAATTGACTGACGTAAATGACTATCAAGCAGACTGACTGTTAAGTTGTGGGTGAACATATCAGATGACACAGCGATTCTTCAAACAGCTCTTGTTTATTCACAGGCCAGGCCAGAACTGAACTGAAGGGTTCAGCCAGCCTGCTTATAGAGAGCTCCACTACAGTGCAACAGTAACCACTTTCTGTAACCATCCAATCACTGAACGTCAATCCCTCATTTGCATATGAGGACCTGAGTGAAAACTATCTACAGTATACCCCTGCTGGCCTAGGGTGAAAACTTCAGTACATAACACTGACCACGCTTTTATGTTTTCAAAAACTAAAAAGAAAAGAGGACAGACCTGAAGTGATACCTCGAGTTACAGATGCTTCAGGTTACAGACGCTTCAGGTTACAGACTCCGCTAACCCAGAAACAGTACCTCCGGTTACGAACTTTGCTTCAGGATGAGAACAGAAATTGCATGGCAGCGGTGCGCCAAGGTACCACTGTATTGCAGAGACTCCTGTTTTTGATGCTAACTCCTAATGTTGCAACCAGGGCTTTTTTTTCAAGCTGGAACTCACCAGAACTCACTTCCAGCACCTCTCAGGTGGGTGCCATTGCCATTGTAAGAGAACAAGGGAGGTGATCATGGCGAGTTCCGGCACCTCTTTTTCTAGAAAAATAGCCCTGGTTGCAACCCACAACTCATCCTCAAACAACAGACCTACGAACATGAGAAGAGCCTGCTGGATGAGGCCAATGGCACCCTCTTATCACAGTGGCCAACCAGAAGCCCCAATGGGAAACCTGCAAGCAGGATTCAAGCACAAGAGTAGCATTCTCCCCTCCTGTGGTTTCCATCATGGCTCGTAGCCACCAATAGCCCTCTCCTCCATGAATTAGCCTAATCTTCTTTTAAAGCCATCCAAGTTGGCGGCCATCACTGCCAAACTTTCCTCTCTCCACCTTCTGCATGTGCCAGACGTCATTTTAAACACTTCCATCGTGTCACCTCTAATTCACCTTTTCTCAAAACTAAAAAGAAGTGTGTCAGTCTTGCGCTGCTCAGGGGCCCAGTGTGCAGTGCTTCCAAAGCTGCCCTCTGTTTTAATCCCGCTTTCAAATAACCGCAGAATTGCAACCTTAGAAGTGCTCAAGGGGTCCCAGCGTGGAAGCAACCGGTTCCACCCAAAGTCGCTCCAATTTCCCATACCTCCCTTCCCCCGTGAAGATGACCCCCACCACCACTCAACGCATTAATTTCTGACCTTAGAAACAAAGCTGGCTCCTACCAGATATCTCCATGAAATCGTCGAGGGTCGGCTGCAGCGGCGCCAGGTCTGGTTGGATCATGTCTGCATTCCCAATGTAGGCTGCAGGCAAAAGAGAAGAGAGAGGAATCAGCACATCACCAAGCTTTTCTCTTTCCTAAAAAGCGTTGGCGTGGTGTTGCGGTTAGAGCGATGGACTAGGACCCAGGAGACTAGGGTTCAAATCCCCACTCGGCCATGAGCTGGGAATACCATCATGAGCTCCTTGGAGAAAAAGGTGTGATAGGGATGTAATCAATAAATAAATCAACACACATTCTACATATCTGGGCAGGCTTGCCTAAACAAAAATGTTTTTAGCAGGCATCGAAAAGATTACAGTGAAGGCAGCTGCCTGATATCATGAGGCAGGGAGTTCCAAAGTGCAGGTGCTTACAGATCCAGATTGGCTGTTACGTGGCACCTGTATCAGGGCCATTTCCACAGATTGAAGCGATCAGTAGGTACATGTGCAGACCCTCCAAGTGTCTTGTATTTTCCAGGGACAGTCCCAGATTTGCAGAAGCCATCCTGGTTTCTGATTTGATGCTGGAATGTCCCGCTTTTCCTTCGGGCATCCCTATTTTCATCAGAGAAATATTGAAGGGTATGGTAGGATGTCCCTATTTTCATAGGAGAAATGTTGGAAGGTATGAAGCTATGCAAGCCAAGGAAATAAGTAACTGTACAACCTTTAGAAGACGTCTGAAGGCAGCCCTGTACAGGGAAGTTTTTTAATATTTGATGATTTCTTATGTTTTTATATATGTTGGAAGCCTCCCAGAGTGGCTGGTGTAACCCAGTCAGGTGGGCAGGATAATAATAATAATAATAATAATAATAATAATAATAATGGAATAAGATGTCCCTTTTTTCATTGGAGAAATGTTGGAGGGTATGACATATGGACTAAGGCGATCTCACTGGTAAACTGGTCCCAACCTGTTAAGGGCTCTATATACTAATAGTATCTAGTATATTCTAATAGTATATACTAATATACTATAGCATATTACTAATAATATAATATAATTATATATAGTAATAGGGACGCGGGTGGCACTGTGGTGTAAACCACTGAGCCTTGGGCTTGCCGATCGGAAGGTCAGTGGTTCGACGGGGTGAGCTCCCATTGCTCAGTCCCTGCTCCTGCCAACCTAGCAGTTCGAAAGCACATCAAAGTGCAAGTAGATAAATAGGTACCGCTCTGGGGGGAAGGTAAAGGGCGTTTCCATGCTGCTCTGGTTTCGCCAGAAGCGGCTTAGTCATGCTGGCCACATGACCCGGAAAAACTGTCTGCGGACAAACGCCAGCTCCCTTGGCCAGTAAAGCGAGATGAGCGCCGCAACCCCAGAGTCGTTCGCGACTGGACTTAGCTGTCAGGGGTCCTTCACCTTTACCTTTATACTAATAGTAACACCTTGAACCTGGCCCAGTAGCAAATCAACAACCAGGGCAGGTCTCTGAGCACAGGTGTGATGTGGTGACAAGGCCTCACTTCCTACAACAGCAGCAAGAATACTCATTGCAAAGTATTGGAAGACACAAGATCTACCCACACTGGAGGAAAGGCAGATGAAAATGATGGACTACATGGAATTGGAGGAAATGACTGGCAGAATCCGTGACCAGGGAGAAGAGTCAGTGGAAGAAGATTGGAAGAAATTCAAAGACTATTTACAGAAATATTGCAAAATTAATGAATGTTAGAATGATGTTGGATTGAAGTTAAGGGGTTTCTAGCTGTACAGGCCAAAAGAATATGGAAAAATTGGTTTTAATATGTAAAATGTAAAATTTAAAGTTATATTATATCAAGACTAAAGATTAGGACTAAAAAGGAGGGAAAGGAATTGTTGGATTAACATATTTAATTAGAATATAAAAGAGGGAGGTAAGAGGAGGTCCGGGAAACAAGTAAATGTAAAAGAAGTGAGGAAAAGATGAAATTGTTTTTAATTGTTTTTTTTTCTTTTTTTACTTTGTATTTTTTCTTTTTATTGTTAATTTTTTCTTTACTAATGTGGTTTTTTTCTTGTGAAACTTTAATAAATATTATTAAAAAAAAAAAAAAGACAAGGCCTCACTTCCACCAGCAATTGTGCTGCGGCATTCCGCGCTAACTGTAGCTTGTGGGTTCCAGCACACAATTACCTTCTTCCGGTGACAACTGAGGGGGGCAGCTGGCCTGGGTCATGGTGAAGAGGGTGTCGGAGATGTCCGAGATGAAGCTGTCCAGATCAAAGAGCTGCCTCCCATCGGCCTCCTTCTCCTCGTCCCGCAGCAGCATCGGGACCACGTTGGAGAAGAGGTGGTCGCACCAGTTTTCCGGAGACTTCCAAGGTTCATCCTGAAGAGGAGAGGCAAGCAGGTCTGGGAGGGATCCACCCAGGACCATTCCCCACCCCCAAATGGGGACCAGGAGGACCCTCGTTCCCCATCCAGCAAGCCTGACTGGTTAGGGTCCCTGCGTCGCAGGGGGTTGGACTAGATGACCCTTGGGGTCCCTTCCAATTCTGCCATGCTTCTTAACTCACTAGTTTGTGGCTGGCGGTTTCCTCTTCCCGGCTGAACCTGCGGAGCTGCAAGGGAAACACAGGCGACAAAATGATTGAAACGTTTTTAAAAAATGAATAAAACCAACGCTAATCTAAAAACCAGAATAAAACGCACATTAACGTTCTGAGTGTCTAGGCAGGTTTGTATAAACAAAAATGTTTCAGCAGGGGCCAAAAAGTGTGTAGGGAAGGTGCCGTCCTGATATCAACAGGCAGAAAGTGAGATCCATTAGAATCCCAGTCTGCAATAAAGGAATCAACATTCCCTGCGCCTCAGAGGAAATGGCTGAATGCCGAAGCATTGCAGTTAATGAATTTAAAGTGGATTGGTGACCTTTTCCTTCAAAATGGTAGGATGGGCTATGTATGGCAGCACCAACATTTCCTTCATTTGGTGCAGATATTTTATTTTCGCGAACTCGACTTTTAATTGTTCTCCAAGAAATGGAGGGGAGAAAAAACGAAAACCGGGATCAAATCAGAAACGGGGGCAGTTTTTGTAATTCCGGAGGTGGAGCTACACTTGTGCTTTATAATGTTAAGAAAGGGTTAAGAAAATGCTTCAAAATGTAATGGTCATATTACCGTATTTTTTCATATATAATACGCCCCCGTGTATAACACCCCCCCTATTTGGGGGGACCCCAAAATAAGAAAATGGGGGGAGAATTGCCCTGGGTTGTTGAGCTTTTTAAGGGAGGATTGCTGAAAATTGCTCACCCGCCTGACCTACACTGCCACTCACATGTGTCGCAAAAGCCGCCAATCACCCACCCAATTGCCGCAGTGTCAGCCAATCAACACCAGCCCTTGCCGCAGCCACCAATAACACGCACAATAGCCCCTGACAATCTCCAGCTTGCGGCAACAACCAATCCCATGTCCCCCCTAGCCACTATCCGTGTATAAGATGACTCCCAATTTTTAACATTTTTTTAATAAAAAAAAGCTTGTCTTATACATGGAAAAGTACGGTACGTTTCATTTTAGAATGTTAATAATGCGTTATTAAAACTTGACAGCAGAGGGCTCTGCAGAGCTATACTACTAGCTATCTAAAACCTGGTTGACCTTGTGGAAACAAAACGAAAGAGAAACTAAATGGGACTCAGGTTTTAGAATGACATTTCTAATAGCATTTTAAAGGGGACTGTAGATCTAGCCTGGGTTTGTCCCTGGAAAATAGGGACACTTTGAGGGCAACAGCCACTAACAGCCGTATCATGCCATCACTGGCTCTTGTGGGAGGGAGTTCCATCGTTTAACTATACGCTGCATGAAGAAGGACTTTCTTTATGTGTCCTGAATCTCCCAATAAAGTTGAGGGTGGGGGAAAGAAACCTGACCCTTTTCTTGTAGTAGATCCGCCACTTGTGATACTCCTTCATCACCACCTCAATGCGTCGCTTCCAATAGTTCCCTTCCAGCACGACAGCCTAAGAAGGAAAAGGAGAAATGGAGGAGAGGGAGAAGAGAAGGAGCGGAGAGAAATGGTTAAGAGCTTAAGACACAGCTGATACCGAGGGGAGCCAAGTTGGGGGCTTGCCTGGGCCTCAAGAGGGTCTCTAGCGCCCTCACAGCATTCGATTGGCACAGATTGTCCAGGAATATCAGACATAGAGACATGGCCTGAAATAATTCTCCGTGTGCATGTCTGACCTCATCCAAACCCTGGAGACTTTGCCTAGGACCCCCACTCCCATAAAGATATATTTGAAGTTTTATAATTATGAGGGAAGGTAACATTTATAGACAGAAGATAAGCAAGAGAAAAGATACCAAACAAAGAAATAAGCAAACAAAAAAGCATTACGCTGAGGCAATGAAATGTGAGTACAGCAGAATATTTTTCAGGTTTAACAAATACAGTGGTACCTCGGGTTAAGAACTTAATTCGTTCTGGAAGTCCGTTCTTAACCTGAAACTGTTCTTAACCCGAGGTACCGCTTTCGCTAATGGGGCCTCCCGCTGCCGCCACACGATTTCTGTTCTCATCCTGAAGCAAAGTTCTTAAACCGAGGTACTATTTCTGGGTTAAGGGAATCTGTAACCTGAAGCATCTGTAACCTGAAGCGTCTGTAACCCGAGGTACCACAGTACTTCTACATATGCCACAATAATAACCGATGTGTTGAACACAAAGTGTATCCAACAAAAAGTTAACCTTAATTCCCTTGATTTTTCATCATGTGTGCACCATAGGAATAGAATAATAGCAGTGAAGGCAGAAAATAAAGCATACTTTGCTGCCTCCATTGGGGCCTCCTTGTGCTGTCCAGCAGAGATTCCCCAGGCAGTGCACGGCCTCTTATAGTCTGGCCCTAAGGAGGTGGCTGAACCGAGGGTAGCTCACTGTGACTTGTTTGCAAAGCATTTCAAAGATAAAATTGATTGCATCTACTGGGATCTTGACTCTGCTATTACAGTACAGTCGTACCTTGTTGACAAACACCTTGCGACTCAAATGTTTTGGCTCCCGAATGCCGCAAACTCGGAAGTGAGTATTCCAGTTTGCGAATGTTCTTTGGAACCCAAACATCTGACGCAGCTTCCGATTGGCAGCAGGAGCTTCCTGCAGCCAATCGGAAGCCACGCTTTGGTTTCTGAACATTTTGGAAGTCGAACGGACTTCTGGAATGGATTCCGTTCAACTTCTGAGGTACAACTGTACCTTCATTACATATCTTTAGGCACCAGGTGAAAACATTCCTCTATAAACCAGGCCTTTGGATGTGCTTGCGGCAGGGGGGGTTATTGGTTTGTTTGTTTGTTTGTTTGTTTGTTTGTTTGTTTCTATTATGTATTTTGTGTTCTCGCTTTGCATTTTTATGTTGCGAACTGCCCTGTGATCTTTGGATGAAAGGTCTTATGCAAATTTAACAAATAACTTTTAAAAATCAATATAATCAGAATACAATATAAAATTAAAGAGCATGAATGTGTTGCATTTTATTGATTGTATTTTCATGCAACCCATTAGCTGGGGGACTATCCATTTGCATGTGTCCAATATTCGTAAAGGAAAGGAAATCAAACCACACACACACACACACACACCCCCCCTCACAAACACACAGTTTTCACCACAGAGATGGAAATGTGTTTGGGATACTCACCTCTGGCTTCCGGTGCTCATCTGCCTCTGAGCCATCCAGGGGGGTGACGAATCCACAGACGGGACTCTTCCGCCGTTCCACATCTGTGGCAGAGAGATACTTCAGAGCAAGGGTCCCGATCCTGCTCCTCCACCACCAACCCCTCCTCCTCCTCCTCCTCCTCCTCCTCCGTGCAGGAACTCTCCAACCCTTCCCCACCCAGCAAAAATACAGCCAGACTTCTGTTGAAGCTCAAGATCCCTTAATAGAACCATAGAATTGCAGAGGTGGCAGTGACCCCAGGGAACATCTAGTCCAGCCCCCTACAATGCAGGAACCACAGCTAAAGAATCCCTGACAGATGGCCATCCAACCTCTGTTTAAAAACCTCAAATTAAGGAGAGTCCACCACATTCTGAGAGAGTCCATTCCACAGTCTAACTTCCTGATATTTAATCAGAATCTCTTTTCTTGTCATTTGGGCCCTTGTTTATTTAAAAAGTGGCCCATGAAGTAAATAAAGGGAAATCGTAGAAGCCCAGTTTTCAGTTCTGAGTGCAAGTTAAGCTCCTTTTAGCTTGGGTTGCAATGCAGACCCAGAACCCCCAAACTGGCCCTCAACTTCCTGTGGCCGAATCCAGTCGTCCCCCAGTCTTCCCCAGCCCCAGAACTTACACTGGATGTACCAGGCTCTCCAAATGGCATTGTTGAGGCGTATCTTGTCCCGGCAAAGCAGCCGCAGCCCCTTGAAATTCTTCCATTTGGGGGACACCAGTTTCTCACTAAAACGTCAAGCAGCAGAATATGAAAGTGGGGTGGGTGGAGATACATGCAAAAGGTGAACGTAAACGGATGCTGTCAGATTTGGGGGATTTAGGGTTAAATTATAGAAATGCCTCAAATGTTTAAGGGGGCTTCTAGATGACCTGTCACATGACTTTATTCTCTTTGCAGGGAGGTTAGATGGTGCCTGCTGCTTCTTGAGCATTTGATTAAAGTTGATTAAAGTTTGCTTGAAGTGCAGTTGCTGTGGCTTCATCCAAGGGGCATCCAAGGGGCTTCAACCGGGAGCATGTCACTCCACACCCTGCCCTTGGGCCTTTGAGCTAAGTTTGAGGGGTCAGTTTGGATGATACCCCGAGTCCCTTCTAATTCTTCGAGTCCAGTGAGGGATAGAACCCAATAGAAGAGGCTGTTGAACGAGTCAGACAAGTTTCTTTGTAAGACAGTGACCTTGGCTGGCCACTTCAGTGTCCCCATCAACATCCCAAAAGAATGAGCTCGGTTGCAAGAGCTATCACTAAGTGCAGACCCTCCGTGTCCCTATTTTCCAGGGACAGCCCCAGATCTACAGAAGCTTTCACAGTTTCTGATTTGATCCTGGAATGTCCTGCTTTTCCTTAGGATGTCCCTACAGTGGTACCTCAGGTTAAGAACTTAATTCGTTCTGGAGGTCTGTTCTTAACCTGAAACTGTTCTTAACCTGAAGCACCACTTTAACTAATGGGGCCTCCTGCTGCTGCCGCGCCGCCGGAGCACGATTTCTGTTCTCATTCTGAAGCAAAGTTCTTAACCCGAGGTACTATTTCTGGGTTAGCGGAGTCTGTAACCTGAAGCGTATGTAACCCGAGGTACCGCTGTATTTTCATTGGAGAAATGTTGGAGGGTATGGAGTTATGCAACCCCCAAGCCAAGGAGAGAAGCAACTATACAACCTTTAGAAGACATGGGTAGGAGAGCAATAGCCAGTAAGATGCATGTGAACTGCGCTGGAAGCAGGCTGGTAGCTGAAGACACAGAGACCTGCTTGCTCTGTGCTGAGTCCAAAGCTGTGACGAATGCAGAAGCAAGATCTGTTGGATTCCGATGCTGAGAGCCCCTCCATCCTATGCTCAGGTTGTATAGATGTGTAAATAAAACCATATATCCTAAAGACACCACCATCTCCACTGACCATTCCAAGGAAACCAAACTTGGAAAGTGTCTGGAGTTTCCCACTGCTCAGAGACTGGGGGGTGACGGCATGTAACAACGTAATGTTAGCGTCCTAATTTAATAAAGAGGAAGTGAGCTGGCGCCAGGACTTGGCTTGCTCAGGCATCTGTCTGGGGCTCCCAATCCAGAAGGGGGGGCCCAGACCACAGCAAAACGCACCTAGCCCCCCACCCCCCACCCCGGCTTGCTTTTCCACTCCAGCAGTGCAACCTGCTTGCTCATCCGCCTCTCCCCCTGGCCAAAGGAAAGGTGAGGGGGAGGCTCAACAGATGCCCCTGCCTGCTGGCTCAGTGGCTCTCTGCCTAGCAAGGTGGGAGCAGTGATGATGAGGCTGACGAGCGGCAGCAGTTGGCAGCCCTGGCAGTGTGGAGGTAGCAGGGGAAATTGAAACCCTGAAGGGTGATGGCAGCTCAGCTTGTTTTTTCTTTTCCTCGTATCCAAGTTCCCAGGAAGAGTCCAGATGCTGTTTGCTCTGCTGCTGAGAAGAGGGGCCGAATGGGGCCAGGCACAGATCTGTGTGCAGAGACCCGCACTCAGAGCAACCCCTCCTTGTCTCCCGGATAGGAAAGCAAGTAAACAACAGGTGGGGTGGGGAAAACAGAGGCCAAGAGCTGGCGGTGTGGGGGCAAAACCATGAAACTGTTTGGTGGCCCTGGTTTGGCCACTTTCTCAGCCAAAGTTGCCTTACAGAGTTGTTGCGAGGAGGAAATGGGGGTGGATAAGGGAGCCTTGCATGATACTCTGAGCATCTCAGAGGAAAGGGGCGAGGATTAAAAAAAAAAGTCCTATAGAGAAAGATCAGGACAGAAGGTAGGTCTGGAGGCTTAAAGCCTAACTGAACATCTCCAGCTACATTGTAAGCTGGTCTAACACATTGTTCATTTTGTTTTCCAGCAGTACATAATAGGATGCCCAGGTAACCTCACACTGAAAGATGGAACCACTTTACATTGAACAATAATGCATGCAGTTAATATGACATGCTGAAGAAGGAGAAGAATAGAATTATAGAGTTGGATCATCGAATCAAACTCCTTGCAATTCAGTGCAGGAATCACAGCTCGAGAATTCCTGACTGGTGGTCATCCAACCTCTGCTTTAAAACCCCCAAGGAAAGAGAGCCCACCACCTTCCAAGGGAGTCCGTTCCACTGTCAAACTGCTCTCACTGACAGGAATTTCTTCCTAATGTTTAGTCGGAATCTCCTTTCTTAAATCCACTGGTTCTGGTCAAAGTCAGAAAAGGCGTTCTTATTTTCTTGGGCAGTTGGGAAGTTCCCATCATACGATATTGTTAAATCTGTTTTAAAGGTAACTTTAAATCTGCTTAGGTAACTTTATTTCTGTTTTTTGCTCAGATACAAATCCACAGTATGACCACATTTGGAATACTGCGTAGGGTTCTGGTCGCCTTGCCTCAAAAAGGATATTGCAGAGTTGGAAAGGGTTCTGGAAAAGGCCACCAAAATTACCCACAGGAAGCAGCAACGGCCACCAACTTGGATCACTTCCTATGGCTGTCCTAAGGATTTAGTGAGGTAACTGAAGCAATTTGCACAGCGCAGCTGCATCCATTACCCTGCCGGGCACTCTGCACATGCTCTCTCACTCTGGAAAGGGCTGGGGCCTGACCAGCCAAGCCTGCCGTCCCAGTTTAAGGAGCCTGTCTGTACTCTGTCATCCGCTGGGAATTTGGACTTTTCCAGGGCAAACATGTTAAGCCCGTGACAAGCAGGCAAGTTAACCAATGGGAAGGCAGCAGCTCCCGGGCGCCGGGCCAACCGCCCCAGGGGCCAAGGCTACCCAGCTGTTGGGAAGCCAAGGGTTGCCACAGTGCAGACTCTCCCCTTTAAAGGGGACAGCACACTGAAGCACCCTGGCTGCAGGGCCACAGCCCAGATCACAGAGCCTGCTGCTCTGGAATTGGCCCTGGAAAGGGAGACAGCCGGAAGTCTCAGCTCTGTCACAGAGAGGCAGTGTTGTGCATTGGTTAGAGCAGTGGTTCCCAAAGTGGGAATGCTAAAGGGGTGCTAGGGGGCAAGGGGGTGGCAGCGGGTCCTGGAGGTGTAAATGTCAATCGCTGGCTCAAGTTCATCCATTTTGTTAAATTCATTAAATGAGATTGTTTTAATTGGATTTTGAAGAAATGTGCAATTAATTGTTCCTGTTTTGAATTTTTTTGTGTTCTTATCTTCCTTAGCGGGCCGTGCAAGCCAGTCTTCTGAATCAGGCTTTTTATAGGGTTGAGTAGAGGGCACTGAGGAGGAGGGGTTTATGGGGCCAAGGAGACAACGGCCCAAAAAAGTCTGAGAGCCACTGAGTTAAGAGTGTCAGAGTAGGATTTAGACGACCCAGGTTTGAATTCCTGCTCAGTCACGAAGCTCATTGGGTGTGGGCCAAATACAGTGTCTCTCAGCTTAACCTACCTCGCTGGGTTGCTGTGAGGATAATGTGGAGAGGAGGAGAACCTTGGAGTATTGCTCCTTGGGATGCAAACATGATAAATACATTTTTTAAAGGAGATTGCAACCAAGGCAGCTTTTCAAGATAAGTATTTGTGCATATGCAGCCCAAATCGGCTCTGATGTGCATTCACTACTTTGCATTCACCAAAGAGAGTTATGAGAAGCGCATTGGAGGGGGGGGAGAGAGTCCAAGAATTCCCAGTGGGATTTCACACTCCCTGCCAAGCGGGATGCAGAAATCCTTCTGGTTCACAGAGCAGAAACTTAGCACTTGGAAAACACCCTTTCCCCCACATGTCTGGGACAGCATCCGGGTGCCAAGCGACAGGGAGAAGGGGGGGTAGGGAGGCTACAGAGGTGGCCCCATTCTTGGTGGGGAGGGACACAGCAGATCTGGGCTGCCCCAGAGACGCAGACACAGTGAGGGCAAAAAGGGACAACAGCATCAGCTGTACAGGGAAGAGTCGTGAAAATGGGTGTGTTTGCCCAGGATGCCGCAGTGACGTAGAATCACAGAACTGTAGAGTTGGGAGGGATCCTGAGGGTCATCTAGTCCAACCCCCTGCAATGTAGGAATCTTTTGCCCAACGCAGGGCTCGAACCCACAACCCTGAGAGTCAAACGCTCTGCTGACTGAGCTCCCCAGTCAGATCTGGCCCACACATCATGGAACATTCAAGCAGAGCCATTCAGGAGAGCTGAGATATCCAAACCCCATGGCCCACAGCTTCTCATGCAGAGGTTCCAAGGATGAGCCAAGAAAGGCAAATATCCTTAGCTATGATTCCTGCATTGTGGGGGGTTGAGCTAGATGACCCTTGGAGTCCCTTCCACTCTGCAATTCTATGAATCTATGCAAGGGCAGGGAATGTCCCCTGCCTGAAACCCCCAAAGTGCTGCTGCCAGTCAGTGTGGGCAACACTGAGCTCGCTGGACAGCTGGGTCTGACTCAGTAGAAGGCAGTTTCCTATGTTCCTAAGCAGCCCTCAGTTGGGAATCATGAGGACTAGGATCTTAGCTCAGCAGCAGAGCACCTGGTTTCCTTGCAGAAAGTCCTCTCATGAGGCCCCAAACTCTGTCAGGATTGGGCTCGGGCTGAAAGGCTCTCAACTCAGTTCACACTGAAAGGCAAAAACGACTGAATCCACTCTTTCAAAAACAAGACATAGGAAAGCCAATTTCCTTCCAAATTTGTGCTTGGTCAAATCTTGCAGAGTAGTTCTCTCTTATACCACACAATGTGTATAAGAATCACACATATTAGAGCAAAGGGTGCATAAAAACCTTGCAACTATCAGGGGGAAACAACATATTAAAAATGCATCGTAATAAAGAAGATTGCTTTGCAAATACACCTCTCTCTCACTTGGGGGAAATTGTGTACAGATATACATGCCTCAGGAGAATTTCACACAAAAACATCAGTGCACTTTCACGAGGACTTAAATTCAGATCTCCACATTTCCGCAGCCGTTTGCAATAACTTGAGGGGGAGTTGGGGGAGAAATGAGAAACTGGGGGAAGCAAAACTGACCGCTTCAGCAATGCCTATTTACCATTTATAAAATTTATACCGCCAAGGATCTCCACGGCTCCCCCCTTTTATCCTCGCAACAACCCTGTGAGGTAGGTTTGGCTGAGAGGAGGTGACTGGCCCAAAGAGCTCCATGGCCGAGTGGGGATTCAAACCCTGCTCTCCCAGGTCCTAGTCCAACACTCTAACCTCTACCCCACCCTGGATCTCTGCATCACTGCATTGTTGAGTGCTACTAGCCATCACCACAGCCTCTGTTGGAAATGAAGGCCATTCAGTTAAAGTATTCCCTGAGTGAACCTCCCGGCACCAATCTGAGTTTTAGCGTATGGAGTGGGAGAAGTCATCTCCCTTCTGTCCCTCCCCTCTATGGCAATTCTTAGAAAAACAAACAGCAAATGCATTTTCCCTGTGTGTGTGTATGCGTGTCACAGCTCAGTTTTTCTGTCAAAGCAGACACCAAAGAAGGCCGTTTGCGGAGTGGACGGCTGAACACCACGGGGGTCCCTTTCCCGTGTTCCTATTGACCGGATCTGCCTGCGCTTGGACTGCCCTGCTGGTCAGAGTAAACAGGACTTGAGCACAGCATGTCCAAAAGTCAATGGAAGACTTGGCATTGTCCTCCCACCCTCCTCGTTCGACAGCAGGCAGGTCTGCGCTAGCAAGAACACCCCAGTGGCATTGCTTCAGCAAGCTGGGCTCAGGAGGACTCTGAATTGCATATTTTCAGACCCTCCAAGTGTCCCTACAGTGGTACCTCTGGCTGCAAACGGGATCCGTTCCGGAGGCCCGTTCGCAACATGAAAAGCGCACAACCTGAAGCGTCATATGTGCGCAGATGCGTGGTGCGATTTGGCACTTGTGCGCATGCGCAAAACGTGATTTAGCGCTTCTGCGCATGCACGAGCGGCGAAACCCAGAAGTAACCGTTTCTGGTACTTCCAGGTCGCCACGGGACGCAACCTGAAAAAATGTAACATGAAGCAAACGTAACATGAGGTATGACTGTATTTTCCAGGAACGTCCCAGTTTCTGATTTGATCCCAGAATGTCGCGCTTTCCCTTAGAATGTCCCTATTATCCTTGCGCAGGGGCCATGCTAATCTTCTCTGTATCGTTCCAATTTTAGTATATGTGCTGCCGAAGCGAGCACTGTTGGAGGGTATGTATTTTTGCATGGCCTGGAGAACGTGGATGTAGTTCTTCTCCCTCTCTCTCCCTCTCTCCTAACACTACAACATTTCTCTGATGAAAATAGCGATGTCCTATTCAACAACAACAACAACTTTATTATTCCTATCCCGCCCATCTGACTGGGTTGCCCCAGCCATTCTGGGCGGCTTCAAACATATATAAAAACATAACAAAGCAATATACATTAAAAAAACTTCCCCATGCAAGGCTACCTTCAGATGTCTTCTAAAGATTGTATAGTTACTTATTCCCTTGGCTTGGGGGCCGCATAACTCCACCAACATTTCTCCAGTGAAAATAAGGATGTCCTAAGGAAAAGCAGGACATTCCAGGATCAAATAAGAAACCACAGGGACACTTGGAGAGTCTATAGAACTCATGGACATCCATTGAAGCCAAATGTTGGAATATTGAGGGCAGATAAAAGAATTTTTGTACTCAGGTCCTGCTTGGCATCTGACTGACCTATGTGAGAACAGGACTCTGGACTAGATGGGCCGCTGGCCTGATGTTCTTGTGGAGTAACAGCACAATACCACAGCAGCAACCAAGGCAGTGGCGTAGCGTGGAGGGACAGGTGGCAAGACTCAGGTGGTGGCAGGGTCCCACCAAGGACGCCACACGCATGTCCCACTCCTTCTCCTCAGTTCCACCCAGCAGCAGCAATGAGAGCAATGAGAAGCCGGTTAGGGGGCACAATATTTGCCTTAGGAAGCACAATACCTAGGCCTGGGTGCCAGCAACCCACACTATGCCACTGAGCCAAGGGCCTTCCTGGTCAACCCTGACAGGTGATAACAGGGAACAAAAATGTTTAAAAAGCACCCTTTTTAAGACACAGGTCAAATGTTCCTTGGTCATGTCACAAGGGTTGGAGACAGACGATAGCTTATGAAGTACCCACTAATCTAGGTGTGGGGAACCTTTGTTCCTCCCAAGTTTCCTGAGCTGTTGAAGCTCAGCACTCTCTGGAAGGCCAAAGTCCCACCAAAACCCTAAGGGTTTCCAAAACCCTAGCTGTTTTGACAAAAGCAGCAAAGGGACAAAATCTAAGGCTCACGCATTTCAGCTGGCGTTGGTGGCTAGCCCTGATATGGTCGGGAAAGCAGAGAGCTCAGCCCCTAACTCTGTGCCAGGCTTTGCAGGCAGCATCAAAGAAGAGAGGCTTTCTGTCCCCAACAGCAGTCATGTGGCGGAGAGTTCCATAGGCTAATCGTGCATCGTGTGAAGTAGTCCTTTGGGAGTTCCTAGAGGAACCTTACTGCCCCCTGCTGGAGACAGGCCACGGGTGGGGGTTGAAGAGAGGTGATGGGCTCCAATACAAGTTTGCTCTCAAGACCAGATATGGACTCGCTTGGAAGGTGGACTCTCCCTTGCTGGAGATTTTCAAGAATCCATCAGGGATTCTTCAACTGTGGTTCCTTCATTGCAGGGGGTTGGATTAGATAGATTTGGGGTCCCTTCCAAATCTACACTTCTGTGATTCTACTGTTCACCTCATAGCTTTCAACTCTACAAAGAAGCCCATCCATGTTATACAATCATTTAGCGCTCCGTCGTCTGTACAGCCTAAACTTTCCCCTAGTTTGGGATTTGGAGGATTTTGGAAGAGTGAGAGAGAAAAGCAAGCTTGGCTAACAGTACAAGATGTATGACAGTGAGAACATTTACCAGTGAGAGCTATTGGCATACAGGGGCCCCAACGCTGCAATTAATCTGCGCCTGCCCTCCCAGGACATGAAAAGCCCCATAAGAATATAAGAAGCGCCTTGCGGCATCCAGTCAGTGGCCCATCTAGTCCAGCATCCTCCTCCCACAGTGGCCAACCAGATGCCCCCAAGAGAAGGCTGCAAGCAGGACCTGAGCCCAAGAGCCCTCTCCCCTCCTGCGGTTTCCACCAACCAGCACTCAGAAACACCGCTGCCTCTGACCATGGAGGCAGAGCATAGCCATCATGGCCAATAGTCATTGATAGCCCCCTCCTCCTCCACAAATTCATCTAATCCTCTTTTAAAGCCATCCAAGTTGGTGGCCTTCACTGCCTCTTGTGGGAGGGAGTTCCATAGTTTAACTAAAGTATCGCTTCCGAACAGTTCCCTCTCCCGGGCGAAGGAGAAACCTGAAAGAACATAAGAAGAGCCGGCTGGACCTGGCCAAAGGGGGCAAATCCTGTCCACCATTCTGTTCTGACAGTGGCCTACCTTTCAGAAACACAGCAGGGGCTCAGTCGGTACAGCATGCGACTATTAATCTCAGGTTACAGGTTCGAGCCCCACGTCTGGCAAAAGGATTCCTGCATTGCAGGGGGTTGGACTAGGTGACTCTTTGGGTCCCATCTACAATTCTATGGAACTACCATATTTTTCGCTCTATAAGACGCAACAGACCACAAGACGCACCTAGTTTTCGGAGGAGGAAAACAAGAAAAAAAAACATTCTGAATCTCAGAAGCCAGAACAGCAAGAGGGATCGCTGCGCAGTGAAAGCACCAATCCCTCTTGCTGTTCTGGCTTCTGGGATAGCTGCACAGCCTGCATTCGCTCCATAAGACGCACACACATTTCCCCTTACTTTTTAGGAGGGGAAAAGTGAGTCTTATAGAGCAAAAAATACGGTACATCTGCGAAACCCGCAAACAGCATTCGAACATAAGAGCCCTCTTTCCTGTGGTTTCCAGGAACTTCCTCCAGCCTCAGATATTCCTGAGGGCGAGCCATTGAGTAGACGGCCACCCCAGTTGCACCCCAGACCTGTCAAGAAACAGACTTGGCCACCAGTAGCCACCTGAGACTCACCTGTAGGCCAGGCTCATGCACTCAAAGAGCCGAGTGAGGGTGGGGTCGATGCTTGGAGGGGCAAGGGCTTCCTGCTCTGCCTGATGGTGGCGCCGGCGAGGCCCCACATCGCTGTGCGGAGACGACACCATGAAATGTCCGCTGTGGATGACCTGGGAGCAAGTAGGGTAGCCCGCCCCGGGCCTAGTGCCGCTGGGGGCTGGGCTGTCGGAATCGGAATCCGAGTCGTCTCTGGGTCCCATCTGTGGTTCCAGGTAGAGTCCTGAAGAGCCCGGCTGGAGGGATGCCATGGGGAGGGGCAAAGGCCAACTGGCCCAGAGGGCTCCTTGCAAGCAGCCTCTGCGGTCCAAGCTGGTGCCCCACCACACGTGGGCACCTGCTGACGATGGCGCACCTTAGTTGGCCAAGAGCCCGACCTCTCGCTCCCTCTCCTGCTGCCACCTGCTCTCGCCTCCTGTGGCGGCTGCATTTATAGAGCAGCCCGGTTGGCTCCACCTCCTGGTGGGTGGGCACAAAAAAGTTGGGGGGAGTTAACCCCTCATGGGCTTGGTGCATTCAGAAACGAACAACTGGGAAGAGGCAACTTTCAAAAAGAGCCGCCTGAAACTCCAGCTAAGTTTGCCAGCTCCTGAATTGCAAAGGTGACCCTCTGGTCTTCTGCCACGATTGGATGAAATGGCACGTCGAGGAAACTGTCCCAGCCATTTTCTCACTTCAGTTGCTGTGTATGTGGGGGGCAGGGACACCCCTCTACACGCACACACAGAGACAGCTGCTGCCAATGAGCTACTCAAACAGGGTTTGTTTGCCTTGGCTGAGAGTATGTGCAGGAGAGGGAATTATACCCAGTGTTTACCCACTGCTAATGTACTCCCCTTCCCAGAGTTCCCAGCGAGTAAACACCGATTAAAGGACAAAAATAAGCAGCGTCAATGGACATGAAAAGCTGCTCCCCACCAGCAGGAAACAAGAACGGAAAGAGCAAACAAGGGGGCTCTTGCAGTCTTTGGGGGGGGAGAGGCCACAGATGGTGCCTGTGTGTTTGAGCACCCACAGAGGAAAAAAGGCACCCAAGCAGATTCATAGGAGACCATAAGAACATAAGGAGAGCATACCCTCCAACATTTCTCAGATGAAAATAGGGATGTCCCATTCCCTATTTTGATAATTTTACTATTCATACCCCACACATCGTACTGGGTTGCCCCAGCCACTCTGGGCAGATTCTAACATATATCAAAATGTAATAAAACATTAAACTTTTTTTAAAAAACACTTCCCTGAACAGGATTGCCTTCAGACAGCTCAGGGTTCAGATAACTCCATACCCTCCGACATTTCTCCAATGAAAATAGGGACATCCTAAGGAAAAGTGGGACATTCTGGGATCAAATCAGAAACCAGGACAGCTTCTCTAAATCAGGACGTCCCCGGAAAATAGGGGCACTTGGAGGATCTGAGAGAGCTTGCTGGATCAGGCCAAAGGGGGCCCATCTAGCCCAGCGTCCTGTTCTCACAGTGGCCAACGAGATGCCTCTCCCCTCCTGTGGTCTCTGGCATTCAGAAACATTGCAGTCTCTTGACATGTGGAGGCAGAACATAAGCATCACAGCCAGTAGCCATTGATAGCCCTCTCCTCCATGAATTCGTCTAATGCTCTTTTAAAGCCATCCATGTGGATGACCACCCTGCCTCCAGTGGCAAGGAGTTCCACAGTTTGACTATGTGCTGTGTGAAGAAGTATTTTATTTTATCTGTGCTGAATCTTCCGACATTCAGCGTCATTGGATCTAGTTCTAGTGTTGGGAGAGGAGGAGGAAAACACTCTATCCACTTTACCCACCATTTTTCAGTGTGAACACTGGAGCACATTGTCAACAATTCGCAGCAGCCTTCCCCAACCAGGTGGACTCCAGCTGTTCTGGACCACGACTCCCACCAATCCCCTGGTCATCACGGGGGCACCAAAGATGGGGAAGGCTGCTTGGAAAGCATATGTGAAATTGACAAAAACAAGAGGAAGTGATGGTGGATGAAAGCCAGCAAGGCATCTTTGTTAATTACCCTGGGCTTCTGGACTCAGTACTGAGATGGAGAGATGGTTCATTTCAACTAAGGGCTTATCCACTTCTCCTGCTGCCCCCCCCCCCCCGAGAAAACCACTCTTTAGTGCTTAGTTGGACCAAACAGCCATTCTGGTTTCCTCCAGATTAATGTTTGCTCCAATTTAGCACTAAAGAGCAGGTTTTCCCTGGGAAAGGAGCAGGACAAGGGGGAAAAGGTTTGGAAATCACGGAACAAGTGGAAGTGTCAACAAGCATATCCTTTTTCAGAAGGAAGGAAGGAGGCAACACAGATCATAGAATCATAGAATCATAGAGTTGGAAGAGACCACAAGGGCCATCGAGTCCAACCCCCTGCCAAGCAGGAAACACCATCAGAGCACTCCTGACATATGGTTGTCAAGCCTCTGCTTAAAGACCTCCAAAGAAGGAGACTCCACCACACTCCTTGGCAGCAAATTCCACTGTCGAACAGCTCTCACTGTCAGGAAGTTCTTCCTAATGTTTAGGTGGAATCTTCTTTCTTGTAGTTTGGATCCATTGCTCCGTGTCCGCTTCTCTGGAGCAGCAGAAAACAACCTTTCTCCCTCCTCTATGTGACATCCTTTTATATATTTGAACATGGCTATCATATCACCCCTTAACCTCCTCTTCTCCAGGCTAAACATGCCCAGCTCCCTTAGCCGTTCCTCATAAGGCATCGTTTCCAGGCCATTGACCATTTTGGTTGCCCTCCTCTGGACACGTTCCAGTTTGTCAGTGTCCTTCTTGAACTGTGGTGCCCAGAACTGGACACAGTACTCCAGGTGAGGTCTGACCAGAGCAGAATACAGTGGCACTATTACTTCCCTTGATCTAGATGCTATACTCCTATTGATGCAGCCCAGAATTGCATTGGCTTTTTAGCTGCCGCGTCACACTGTTGGCTCATGTCAAGTTTGTGGTCAACCAAGACTCCTAGATCCTTTTCACATGTACTGCTCTCAAGCCAGGTGTCACCCATCTTGTATTTGTGCCTCTCATTTTTTTTGCCCAAGTGCAATACTTTACATTTCTCCCTGTTAAAATTCATCTTGTTTGTTTTGGCCCAGTTCTCTAATCTGTCAAGGTCGTTTTGAAGTGTGATCCTGTCCTCTGGGGTGTTAGCCACCCCTCCCAGTTTGGTGTCATCTGCAAATTTGATCAGGATGCCCTTGAGTCCATCATCCAAGTCGTTGATAAAGATGTTGAATAAGACCGGGCCCAAGACAGAACCCTGTGGCACCCCACTAGTCACTCTTCTCCAGGATGAAGAGGAACCATTGATGAGCACCCTTTGGGTTCGGTCAGTCAGCCAGTTACAAATCCACTGAGTGGTAGCATAGTCAAGACCGCATTTTACCAGCTTCTTTACAAGAATATCATGGGGCACCTTGTCAAATGCCTTGCTGAAATCAAGGTAGGCTACATCCACTGCGTTCCCTTCATCTACCAGGCTTGTAATTCTGTCAAAAAACGAGATCAGGTTAGTCTGACATGACTTATTTTTCAGAAATCCATGCTGACTATTGGTGACCACAGCATTCCTTTCTAGGTGCTCACAGACTGTTTGCTTAATGATCTGCTCCAGAATCTTCCCTGGTATTGATGTCAGACTGACTGGGCGGTAATTATTTGGGTCCTCTCTTTTCCCCTTTATGAAAATAGGGACAACATTTGCCCTCCTCCAGTCTGCCGGGACTTCGCCTGTTCTCCAGAAATTCTCAAAGATGACTGCCAGTGGTTCTGAGATCACATCTGCCAGTTCTTTTAATACTCTTGGATGCAGTTCATCTGGCCCTGGAGACTTGAATACATCTAAACTAGCCAAGTATTCTTCCTTAGTTATTCTGGGCTGTGTTTCCTTTGCTGAATCATTTGCTTCAAATTCTTCAGGTCGGGCATTGTTTTCTTTATCGGAGAAGACTGAGGCAAAGAAGGCATTGAGGAGTTCAGCCCTTTCTGTGTCCCCTGTTTGCATTTCACCATCTTCTCCTCTGAGTGACCCCACTGTTTCTTTGTTCTTCCTTTTGCTACGAACATACCCATAAAAGCCTTTTTGTTGCTTTTAACCTCTCTAGCAAGCCTGAGTTCATTCTGTGCTTTAGCTTTTCTGACTTTGTGTCTACACGTGCTGGCTATTTGTTTGAATTCCTCTTTGGTGGTTTCCCCCTTTTCCATTTTTGTACACATCCTTTTTTTAATCTTAACTCAGTTAAAAGTTCTTTAGATAGCCACCCTGGCTTCTTTAGGCACCTTCCATGTTTCCGTCTCATTGGTATTGCCTGACGTTGTGCTTTTACTATCTCCCTCTTAACAAACTCCCAGCCATCGTGAACTCCCTTTCCTTTTAGTATTACTGTCCATGGGATCTCACCCAGCACTGCCCTAGGTTTTATGAAGTCAGCTTTCTTAAAGTCAAGAAATTGAGTCCTAGTATGCTTGGCTGCTCCTTTCCGCTGTATAGTAAACTTCAGAAGAGCATGATCACTCGCGCCTAATGATCCTTCCACTTCTACGCCACTAACCAGGTCATCAACATTGGTTAGGACGTCTGGTTGAAAACGTCTCACCATTGAAAACGTCTACAAGCACATACAGGACAATTGCATCTTATGCAGGGGTTCAGTCCCAAGGGTTCCACATTTACACAAAAATCACATCCAGGCAGCGAGCATTTTGCACGGGTTCAACTGATGCACAAATGCCAACATGAGAGTCATTTTGGACACAGAAGAGGGCAGAATGGGAGCGGAACGAGGTGGAATAGGCTTATGCGAACCCCTCTGACATGTGTGGGGGCCAGGAATGCGACCCCCACACAAATCAGGGGTTGCCTGCAAACCCTTGGAGCCACCTCATGGCTAGCAGGTGAGGGGGAGAGAGAGAAAGAATTCCCCCATCCTTCCAGAACCAGAGAGCTCGAGAGCTCTTTTTGCATTGGGGGACCCCAAGATCAGGCATATATATAACTTTTTAGCTCTCTGCCTTGCTTGCTGGGCAAGGCCCACTCAGCACGCTGGCTTTGGGGTGCTCATGCGTGATCTCACGGGAACTCGGATGGTCCCACAATATCTCTCAAGAGCATCCTAGTGCTGCTGCGCTGAGTGGACCTTGGCCCTTTTGCAAGGTAGAGAGCTTAAAAGCTATTTTCGTGACAGGTAACCCCAAGCGCATCCAGCACGGAAATAGCTTTCAGGCTCTCCGCCTTGCTTGGATTTCACTTGTGTGATTTCAACCTTGGTTGAATTTGCTCAAATTACATGCATGTAAGGTGTGGTCGTTCCTGTACTACTTGGCAACAGTCACAAAACTCACCCAATTGCTGGGACAACCAGGTTTAGAAATTGGGTCACCACCAATCTGGCTGTGTATCTGCCATCCAGGGCAAGAATGCTGCCCGCCCCGTCAGGCTGGCGGTGCTGACAAATATTCTGCAGTAAGGAGCAGAAGAAGACATAAATTTCCAGAAGGGCAAAACATGTGCTGTTAAGTCTGCAAAAACAGCAAGGTCTTGTGGCACCCTAAAGACCATGTCAGGGTTCATATTAGTGGCCTAAAATGCAGCGAGGTGACCCTTGTCCCCCGTTTCAAGTCACATTTGCATGAGGAGGGGTGCAAGGAGGTCTTTGCCCGATGCACATTGCCTGTTTGATTTCCCCACACCTGCAAACACCCACACCCTGGAACTCCTGTTCACAAAAAGAAAAAGAAATCATTTGAGCATGTGCAGTGGCTGTCTCAAATGGGCACACCTCAGCTTAACAGGGAAGTGACAGTGCCTTACGTTTTCAAATTGGATGGAAGCTGATTTGAGGGAAGACACATCAAACTGCAGCATTTCTCTAGAAAGTACAAAATAGCGAAGAATTGTCAGTACACATTTTCAAACGCCAGCAGCAGAAGGGTGTTGGAGCTGGAGGAAATGGTGAGATATACACCACCTAATGCATTTATGGCGGCTTCACCCAGGGAAAGCTAACACAGGGCCCTCCAGATGCTCCGAGACTACAGCTCCCAGCAGCCCATGTGGCCAATGGCCAGAGATAATGGGTGTTGTAGTAGTCCAACAACATCTGGAGGGCACCATGTTGTGGGACAGAATCGTGACAAAGTATAACCTGGGGAGCTCCTCTGACTTTGATGGCTGCTGGGAGTTGCACCAACATCTGAGGGGGCCATAGGCTTCCCACCCCTGCTCTTAGGCTCCCCAACTGCGGCCAAATATTTTTGCCTCTGCGAAGAGCTCATCAGGGATTGAACCCAGGTTCCTTCTGCATGCAGTATGGAGCCTCCATGTTGTGATCAATGCCTGGCAATAACAAGACCGCTCCTCCCTCCTAGCAGTTGTCGTTTCAAAGCAGTTGATAGCTGTGGAACTCCCTGCCACCGGAGGCAGCGATGGCCACCAACCTAGATGGCTTTAAAAGAGAATTAGACAAATTCATGGAGGAGACAACTATCAATGGCTACTAGACAGGAGGGCCATGCTGTGCCCCCACACCCAGAGGCAGCAATGCTTCTGAATATTGGAATACTGAATATTGCCTGGAAGCCAGAAAAGGGGAGAGGGCCTGCTTGGCGGCTTCCCACAGGCATCTGGGATGCTGGACTGGATGGGCCACTGCCTTGATCCAGCACACTCTTCTTCTTCTGGTCTCATGTTCAGGTGTGGGCCAGCTGTCATTGCCGCACCTCGTGGCCACGAACGCTTGAACCAATTATGAGCTAATTCCTTTCTGCCTGTCCTAAGACTCTGCTGATGTGTCACTGGGAGGATGGATCGGGGAGGGGGGCATGTGGGCCCTGGCAGAGACTGGCGACAGATGGCAAGTGGAGGCACAAAGGAGCCTCCGCAGAGCAGAGGGGGCAGCCCTCTGGAGCAGCTGGAGGGGGGCAGTGGAGAATCAAAGGGAGCCCTCTTTTGTCAAGAAAGCAGGTACAGGGACCTGTCACCCAGGTGAGGGCAAGCGCAAAAGAGGCCTCCTCCAGCAGGCTCCAGGGCTATCATTATGGGTGGTGTTGCCATGGCGCCACTTGAAAACAGACGCCCCCCCGCAAGGTCCCGGGGTTGCGTCAGCAGGACGCACATTGGCTGACTTGGCAAAAGACCAGGCTTGAAAACGTACCCCCTGGCAGTGCCAGGCATGTGCCTCTCCCCATCGCCCCTCCACTCCAGCCCCACGTCTCCTAAGCGTGGGGCTGCAGGAGACCAGCCTGGTGGGAAATCAGAATACAGTGGTACCTCGGGTTAAGTACTTAATTTGTTCCAGAGGTCCATTCTTAACCTGAAACTGTTCTTAACCTGAAGCACCACTTTAGCTAATGGCAGCCTCCTGCTGCTGCCGCGCCACCGGAGCACGATTTCTGTTCTCATCCTGAAGCAAAGTTCTTAACCCAAGGTAATATTTCTGGGTTAGCGGAGTCTGTAACCTGAAGCGTATGTAACCTGAAGCGTATGTAACCTGAAGTACCACTGTATACAGTTTGGAGCCAGCTGCTTTGGGAATTTCACCTGCAGATCATAGAATCATTTAACTTTGGAAGGGACCGCAAAGGTCTTCCTAATGTTTAGTCAGCATCTCCTTCCTTGTAATTTGAATCCACTGCTTCAGGTCCTAGCCATTGGAGCAGGAGAAAACATGCTTGCTCCATCTTCCCTGGAACAGACCTTCAGATGGCTACAGATGGTTGAATAGGGCATAGCGAGGATTTATAGCAGGGGTAGGGCACCTCCGCCCTGTGGGTCAAATCTGGCCTGCCAGGCAACTCCATTTGTCCCGCGAGACCATTTGGGGGCAAGCCACACCCACCTGCTACACACCCCACATTGTACAGTAGTACCTCGGGTTACATACGCTTCAGGTTACATACGCTTCAGGTTACAGACTCCGCTAACCTACAAATAGTACCTCGGGTTAAGAACTTTGCTTCAGGATGAGAACAGAAATCGTGCTCCGGTGGCGAGGCAGCAGGAGGAGGCCCCATTAGCTAAAGTGGTGCTTCAGGTTAAGAACAGTTTTGGGTTAAGAACGGACATCCAGAACGAATTAAGTACTTAACTCGAGGTACCACTGTATATGACACCAGGTGGGGGGCATGTAAAGGAAAAATCGGGCTTTTGCAGGCACTGCTGACCCTTGCAAAATGCTTGACAAATGGCTGGTTGAGCCAGCTCTTTAAGCTATCTCCCTCTCCCTACACTCCGCCAGTCAGCTTGGAAATGCATCAGTCACCTGATGCCATTACGGCATCAGATGATTTGACAGGTGGCCAGGACCACCCACCTATCAAAGCAGGGTCCCGCCTACCTGTCCAATTTGGCCCAGGGCACTGGTGGGGGAGAGAAAGATCTGGCCCGGTCTGCATCTGTAAGTAATCAATATTTCAGTGCAGCAGCACCTACACTTTGGAAGCTACCAAACAAACAGAGTTGCTGTGAAGACGGAAGAAATGAGGACTGCAAAACGTTATGAACACGGGAAGAATGACAATAAACTAATAATTTGTGGAGGAGAGGGCTATCAATGGCTACTAGCCAGGATTGCTCTACCTACAGTCAGAGGCAGCAATACTCCTGAATACCTGCTGATGGAGACCACAGGAGGGGAGAAGGCTCTTGGGCTCAGGTCCTGCTTACAGGTTTCCCACAGGCATCTGGTTGGCCACTGGGCCATTGGCCTGATCCAGCAGGCTTTTCTGATATCCTTAAGACTAATAAATATATTATCCGCACAGATTCTGCATGGCACGCTGCTGCACTCTCCGCGACCAGCAGGTGGCAGAACACCAGAGCACATCTTGCTAGTTGTTCCCGAGACGCTGAGTCTCCCTTCATGCTCTTTGGGGACATAGATCAGGGAGCACCATCCCTAGGATTCTTGCGCTCATGGCAACATGCATGGAAACGAGACATGTTATGGGTTGCCAATTTCTCGACCAGCCACTGCCGCTGCGTCTTTCAACCGTGGCTTGGTGTGGGTAAACGTCAGCCCTGGGGAGCTCTTGACCTCTGGTCAGTTGGCAGCCATGGCGAGGCAGAAACCCAGCTAGTCTCATTTTGTGTCCCCGCAAACAATTCTCTGTATTTGGCCTTTGACTATCACGATCCATACAATGCATTCAGTTTCCCATTCCAGAAATCCCAGCACTCTGCCTCTGAGCATGTGCAGAGTTTTTTTTTTAATCAAAGGTGAACAGGCTCATTTTGCAAAGGCAGCTCCTAATGGTGGGGGTGTAAACAGGACAGTGCGGCCAGCGACTGAGACTGGCCAAGGTGGTAGGGAGTGGGGAGACTTAAAGATGAAAGCTATTGCTTCTGATCTGACCAGGCCTTGCTGAAATGGGGTTTTGAGAAGGCTGTTGGGTTATTCGTACACAGGGCTTGTGAGAAAACACAACTTAGAATACAGTAATAGAATTGTACGGTTGAAAGGTACCCCCAGGGGTCATCTAGCCCAACCCCCTGCAATTCAGTTTAGGGAAGCAACAATTGCAAAGGCAAGTCACCTTGTTTAACCCCTTCTTTTCTTTCTCCCCCATGCTGACCAAGCTCACCTGCTCACAGTCAATGTACACATACATATACACATGTACATGCATGCACACACACATACATACACGCATACATACTCACACACGTGTGTTCCTGAGCTTTTAACAGCCACAGAAACTAGCCACAGCTGAAAGCTTTTCCAGGCCTAGAAACGACTGCCCCGCCACTCCCGCCCCAAGGCAGGTTCCTCTTTCAGGCTCGCTGAAGCTTAAAAAAATAAGCCGGGGCCCACTGAACCAGACGGGGCTTGCTGCAAACTAAACCTGTCCAGGAACTGAGCGTGCCTCTGAGCGTGTAGGGAGTGCAGGCGCCCCGCGCAGCTGGAGATCCGCCTAAGAAGGCGGGGCGGCGTTCCTTTTCTCCCAAAGCGAAAGGGGAGTTAGGTGTGGGCTTCGCGCGGCTCGGGCTCCTTCGGGGGTGGCCCCGTCGCGGGTGGGCGGCGACGCGGAGGCGGCCGTAGCGGAGTGGGCGGACGGACAGACAGACAGGCGGGCGGCCGCTCCCCGCTTCCCTCCCTCCCTGCTCGGGCTCCCGCGCATGTGCCGCCGCCCCCCCTCCGCCGTCGCGACTTGCTGCTCCTCCCTCGATCGCCGCCCAAGAGAGCGGAGCCGGAGCCATGAAGGATCGGACGCAGGAGCTGCGCACGGTGAGCCCCGTCGGGGAAGGGGCCGCGGGAGGGAGACGGGGTGGAGCCCCAGCACAAGGCTAACAGGGAGGGGTCCCCTCCAACCGTGGCCCCTCCAGCCTTGCCCCCTCCATTTGAAGCTGAGCGAACCTCCCCGTCGAAAACGGAGCCAGCGTAGAACCGGAGGGGGACGACAGCGATCCCTCTTCATAGGGCGGTGCCGTCCATGGATGCGTGCGGCGGGGGTCGTGGAACATGTTGCCCCCCTCTCAACTCTCCAGGGAACGGACGACAAGGCTGTGCCCGCTCCTCGCGCCTCCATATCGCCTCGTTGATTCGTGGGTGTGGGGTGGAGAGATAGGGGGCTGGTTGGAGGGGTCGCCCCAGTTCTGATCTGCAGGAACAAGGGCGGCATCTCGGGTGCGGATCTGGTCTTCGACCCTCTGCCCCACGCCCGCCATCTCTTTTGAATTCTCTTGGGGGTGGATGTGGGGGGTTGACGAAGATTAGACCCCATCCTAGGGGACGTAGCAGCGCGCATCTCTGGGACGTGCGGCGTCAGAGGGGAGAGGGGGCTCCTGAGCATCGGCAGAGTGCCTGCTCTATCACCCTGAGGGCGTGGGGTGAGCCAGGCTCTGGTGACGCTGTTGGCCACCACAGCCCCAAAGGGAAAGGTTGCTAATGGGAAGTCCCATCGATGGGGCCAGCTGGGGTGACTTTTCTTCCGGGGAGGGGGGCTTTTACTCACAAATAGAGGCTCTTTCTGTCTTCACGGGGAGGGGGGGCTTTGCTCCCGGGGAAGGGTGCTCAGGAGTGCAGCCTTAACATGGCTGTTCTTTACTAAGGGGGCTTCTTAAATTCTGCCAGCTTATTTCAAGCACCTAATTGTATAATTGTTTAACTGATTTTGGTTGAAAGCTGTAACTTTTTTTAATGACAAGAAGGGAGCCGTGGTATGTTGTTTTCCCAAGCGGAATTTTCTTTCTGTGTTTTTTTGCCTCTGGCAACCACAGGCATTTCAGGTGGCTGCTCCCTTGGTCTTCCGACTTCCTAAAAAGGAACCTGCTTGAGCCAATGCATAGCTGCCACCCTCTCCAAAACTTAGTTGTTTTTATTGTCGTTTTTCCTGTAATGTGGGGATGGGAGACTTCGGATGCTAGACTCCAACTCCCATCAACCCCAGCCATGGAGGATGATGGGAGTTGGAGCCCAACAATGGGGGGGGACACAGATGTCCTCCCCCCCCCACCCTTCCTGTAATGTACAGCAAATTTCTCCAGGGCAGGCAGGGACAAAGATTGAAATGGAGACCTGTGAGAGACTGTGTGCTTGAGGGCTAGCACCTTAGAAGCCAACTGTTGAGCATGCAACACCTGTTGCTACCGTGCAACACTCTGGTTGGTTGTGGATTTAAGGAAGGGGTGGTCTGGGGATGGATTCAGGACGTTGTTGCTTATTTAGGAGAAGCTAAGAAAACCCACCCACTTTCCAGTGAAACGGAAGTCCTGACATTTGTGGGTTTCGCTGCATTCTGATGGCCCCAAAGAATCGTCAAATTGTAGAGTTTGAAGGGACCACGAGGGCAGTGGCGTAGCGTGGGTTATCAGCACCCGGGGCAAGGCAAGTAATTTGCGCCCCCTAACCCGTGGATTTTAGTAGGGGCAGAGAGCTGCGAGTGTGAGCGCGCCCCCCCCCAGATGTTGCGCCCGGTGCAGCCGGCCCCCCCGCACCCCCCACGCTACGCCACTGCACGAGGGTCATCTCAGTCCAACAGCCTGCAATGCAGCTATTTTTTTGCCAACGTGGGGCTCGAACCCATAACGCTGAGATGAAGAGCCTCGTCCTTTACCATCTGAGCTATCCAGGCTCAACATAGGCCAGTGGTTAGAGCACCTGCTTTGCATGCAGAAGGTCCCAGGTTCAACCCGTGGCGTCTCCAGGTAGGGACAGATGCCAGCCCAACATCCTAGTGAGTTGCTGATGGTCAGTGTGGACCAAGGTTTCTTGGGATAGATCAGTTGGCAGAGCATGAGACTCTTAATCCCAGAGTCTCAAGAGTTGTGGGCTCCAGCCCCACATTGGGGGAAAGATGCCTGCATGGTTGGACTAGATGGTCCCTTCCAACTCTGACTTTCTATGACTTCACACCACATGGCCCCCTGTGCCCTCCAGATGTTCTTGAACTACAACTCCCATGAGCCCCCGCTTCCCCATCCGTGATGCAGACAGCGCTGACCTCCGTGGTCCAGCAAGGCATTCCAACAGAGGTGCATAAACCCACGAGCCATAAGGAAAGCCTGCTGGATCAGGCCAATGGCCCATCTAGTCCAGCATCCTGTTCTCATAGCAGCCAACCAAAATGAAGCCCATAAGCAGGACCTGATTACATGAGCCCTCTCTCCCTTCCTGGGGCATCCAGAAACTGGTATTCAGAAGCATTGCCGCTTCTGACCGTGGAGCATAGTCATTGTGGCTAGTAGCCATCGATAGTCTTCTCCTTTTCCATGAATTTGTCTAATCCTCTTTTAAAGCTGTCTAGGTTGGTAGCCTTCACTGCCTCCTGTGGGAGGGAGTTCCATAGTTTAACTGTGTGCTGGGTCCTTTCTTTTAGCTGTCTGAAATCTTCCAGCGCATTAGAGGGTTCTTGTTTTTGAGGATGGGCCAAGACTCGATAGTTGCTGGCAGGGATCTTGGCTAGATGGGTTGAGGGTCTTCTTTTGTACAAATCATCCTTGACTCACAAATCATCCTTGTAAAAGAGGTCATGGCTGCTTTTATTTCTCATACAAATATTGAGGCACGGGGCGGGGGTCACTCAGCGCCCCTGGCATATGCAAATATCTGGCTCATTTAAGACTACAAAGAACCTTTAGTCTCCATGATGGAACTCACAGGTGGAGAATACTTTTATAAATCTTTGTTATTTGCAAAGGGAATCTTCGTGTGAGTTAATATTTTATCGACCCTTTAAAGCTGTGCAGTATCTTTGCACTTTTGTCCTTCTAAGCTGTGACACTTTTACGGTTTATATTTTTGATTCCTTTGTTTTCTTCTCCCCATCGCTCTTATTTTAATCTTTCAGTTTGCAGTGCACCTCCCTAGGAGAATCAAGGCCCCTCCCTGCTGCCTTCCCTTCCTAGGTGGGTTTAAACAAACCCCAGTTGCTGTCTACTCAGTGCCCCCCTCTTCTGTGCTCCAGCCCTTCTATTCATCCAGAATAAATTTCTGCTGTGGAACGGAAAAGCCACAACTTGCTTCGAGCAAGGCCTGAGGGGGAGGCGGCTGGGAGAGCATGTTGGTTGTGGCATTCAGATCGAGGAATGAAGCTTCGTAGTAATGAGGCATCCCAGAAAATGAGCAAGGCTTTTTCAACTCGGGGGAAGGAGGTCTCTGCTTGGCCAAAGGTGAACCAGAGGGCACCTGAGGGTCCAGCCTTCAGCCTGCGTCACCTTTTGGGGCCTGCAGACTTCCCAGGAAATAACTTAAGAATCTACTGGAATCAGGCCAGTGGCCCATGTAGTCCAGCACACAGTTCTCACCTTGGCTGGCCAGGTTTCCTAATGCAAACCCCACAAGCAGAGTTTGAGCCCAATAGCCTTCTCCCTTCCTTTGGTTTCCAGCAGCTGGTTCTCCAAAATGTTACTGCCTCCAATCATGGAAGCAGAGCAAAGCCAGTCCTGGCCTAGTAACCCTCAATAACCCTCTCCTGCACAAATTTGTCCAGTCCTCCTTTAAAGCCAACCATGGTGGTGGCTATCGATGCCTCCTGTGGCAGTGAGTTCCATAGTTCAACTAAAAAAGGTACTTCAGTCTGTCCTCAGCCTCCAGCTTCCAATGAATGTTCATGCATTCCAGTGTTATGAGAGAGGGAGGAGAGCTTTTCTCTATGCACTTTCTCCACGCCAGGCATAATTTTATAAGTGTCTTATCATATTGCCTTTTCTCTAAGCTAAAAAGCCCCAGATGCTGCAACCTTTTTCATCACAGGGGAGACCCTCACTCGCCTATCAGGCATGGCCAAACTTGGCCCTCCAGCTGTTTTGGGACTTCAATTCCCATCATGCCTGACCACTGGTCCTGTTAGCTAGGGATGATGGGAGTTGTAGTCCCAAAACATCTGGAGGGCTGAGTTTGGCCATGCTCTAGGTCATTGTAGCTGCTCTTCTCTTAACCCTTTCCAGCTCTACAATACCCTTTTCAAGGGGTGGCAGCCAGAGAGGTTTCCCTTGTGTCACTGTGCACCTTTAGGTGGCCTTTGGCACCTCGCAGGTGGAAAACGTGGAAAGTTATGGAAAATATTCTTCCTTCTTTCGTTTGCCTGCCTGCTCTCTGGCTTATAGGGGTAGACTGCCTTTGCACATGGCGGCTCTGCTCTTTGTTGCCTCATAATGGGTCTGGAGTGGTGAGCGCCGCTTTGCACAGACACCTGCGTGATCTGGGACTCTGCTTTTGCTGCCAGCGATGAATTCAAAACGTTCGCTGGCCGCTGGCTTCGTGACTTGCTGTGCGTCTCCTCGGGGAGAGCAGATGCTTGACCTTTGCTCCGCGTCTAATGGGACCTGGTTGGCTTGTTTGAAAAAAAAGCCCGTTAACTGGGCTAATTGGCCAGCTCTGCCTCCTTTCCTTTGGGGTGTGCTATTCTTAGCCCGGGCTGCTCAGCGAGGCGACTGTTCCCTTTCGGCTGCTGTGCCAAATGTCCCCCTCGAAAGCAGCGCAGCTGAAGAACCTGGAAAGCAAAGGGGAGACGTAAGGAGAGATAAATGGACCACTCCTGGCAGCCTCCCCACCCCTTGCACGCCAGGCTGGATGCCAGTGATTCCAGCAGGAATTTGTGGTTGCTTCTCGGCTGGTTTCAAAGTGAGGAGGTGCATTTTCAAAGGCTTGTTTATTATGCATCTCATAAAATGTATACACACCACTTGATTGTAAAAAAAACAACCCAACAACCCACCTCAGAGTGGTTTGCAAAAAAAGATAAAAGAAAATCGAGGAGGGAAATGCAGTACTTCAAAACATACAAAATGTTAAAATACTGAAACAGGTTACAATTCATATCGGTGTTTCTAAGTGTATGGGTATGTTTGCCTAAACAAGAATGCTTTTAGCCGGTGCTGAACGGAATATAGTGAAGGCGCTTGCCTGATGTCAAGAGGCAGGGAGTTCCGAAGGATAGGTTCTGCCATACTAAATGATTGAATTCTTACAAATGCGGAACAGGTGTCCTGTGGCACTTGTAACAGGGCCAGCTGTGCCAGTTTAAGCGGCAGAGCGGGCAGAAGTGGGGTAAGGCGATGTCGTAGGTAAACTGCTCCCAAGTTGTTAAGGGCTTTATATACTAATAGTAACACCTTGAACTTAGACTCATAGGAGATCTGCAACTGGTATAGATCTCTGAGCACAGGAGTTATCATCTTCTTCTGCTTTGGCGATCACTCGTAGCCGAATAAGATTGACTTCCATAAACACAGTTTTAACAATGAGTCCGTAAGTGACTGTGGAGGCCAATTCTGGATCCACACGTCCTTCCACAGTGGCGACGTTGGTTTCCGGGTGGGAGTTGATCACGGTGTGGATTTGCCAAGCTTGCCTTCCTCTCAGCACATTTTTCCCTTGCGTCCTGAGTTCGAGCATCTTCAAAGCCCATGACACCTTTGGCAAAGGAACAGGAGGTATATGCTGACAAGAACTCACCCCAGTTTATGCTGCATCAGAATTGCTAACAGCAGCTTCCGGAATCAAGCACGAGGGAGGTCCCACATTGAGGGTTGCATGTCTCTTTGAATTTGTGTCCAATATTCGTTCCAGATTAAAGGCCTTTTTTCTGGATTTGCTTTCTTTGCTTACTCCCCCCTCCCCTGCCAGCACCCGGATACAGTCATTGTCAAAGTCTTGCCGCAGTCTAGCCAGTGTTTTCTGTGATGTGGTGATTTTCTTCCCACCACTACTTTTTTAAAAATTTAATTGGAACACCAGCCTGTCTGGTATGGACACACATCAAATGCCTGTGAGATTTTTTACACACACACACACACACACACACACACACACCCTGTACTCCTGTGTGTTTAAGTAAACTGTTTCCAAGTGCTGGCCATTTTATTGGTTATTAATCACACTTGTGGGGGGGTAATGTCTATGTCAGTTTCTCTTCTCACCAGGGGGTGGGGTTAATTAGGGATTTCCTTATATTTTTCATTTTTAAAATGGGAGAAATAGTGCTATTTAGTTATTTTTTCAAAAAAAGAAAAGAGAACATTAATGCAGGGAAGCAAGTACTGTAATTAACTCCCCCTCCCCCACCAGTGGGAACTGAAACTGACAATAACCCAGTTTGCACATCACAGTAAACCCTAGACAATGATTGACTGCACTAATCTGGGTTGTTTCCTCCCTACTAGCACACAGATCTGCAATCCCAGGCATTGTTTTATGTTCAAACTGGGGGTCTGGGTTTGTTTTGCGCCAAAGAAACCACAGTCTGTAGCCAGCCTACTTGCTGTCTCTGATAGTGGAAGCAAATTGTGGCTATTGTGGCAAGTAGCCATAGGTGGCCTCATCCTCTGTGAATTTGTCTAATCGTCTTTTGAAGCTGTCCAAGTTGGTTGTCAGTCCTACATCCCACGTCAGTGAGTTCCACCCTTTAACCATGCGCTGCCTGAAGAAGTACTTCATTTTCTCTTCCCTAAATCTTCCAGCATTTATGCAGAGAATGTTCTCCCCATCTCCCTTCTCTATGTACCATGCATAATTTTGTATGCAAGGGGCTTTTTGGCAGTGAAGTGCGCGCTCTCTCTCTCTCTCTCTCTTTTGGGGGGTGGTCTTGTCTCCTGTGTGCCACATAGGAGGGTCTTGGCAGCTGCTCTCTGTGGAAAAAGGCCCCGGTTTGAAACAATAGCAGATAAAAATGGCATAATAGGAGAGGTGGAATTAATTGCAGGGAGGGGGGTGGAGACGCTGGGAGTGCAGGTGTGTTTTCCATAGTGGTGTCGAACGAGGGGCCGCCCACCCATTTGCAAACACCCACCCACCTCTCAAAGCATACCTAGTTCCAAGGATCCTAGCTTAGCTGATGTTCCTCTGCATTCATTCTTTTGGATGCTTTCCAGAACTTTGCTTTTAGGTGTCACACTTGTCAGATTTGTTTTATTTTTATTTACTTTCTAAGTATGCACCCTGCCTTTCAGCATCCGATCTTTCAAGGCTGGGGAGTCTGGAGGAGAGTCAGACTGGGAGAAAGGGGGTGGTCTCAGCCACACAGCATGATCTGGGAGGGTTTAGGGTTCATCTATATTATGTATAGTATTTAGGGATGCGGGTGGCGCTGTGGTCTAAACCACTGTGCCTCTTGGGCTTGCCGATCTGAAGGTTGGCGGTTCTATTCCCCGCAACGGAGTGAACTCCCGTTGCTCTGTCCCAGCTCCTGCCAACCTAGCAGTTCAAAAGCACACCAGTGCATGTAGATAAATAGCTACCGCTGTAGCAGGAAGGTAATCCGCGTTTTCATGCACTCTGGCTTACATCACGATGTTCCGTTGCGCCAGAAGCGGTTTAGTCATGCTGGCCACATGACCTGGAAAGCTGTCTGGACAAACGCCGGCTCCCTCAGCCTGAAAGCGAGACAAGCGCCGCAACCCCATAGTCGCCTTTGACTGGACTTAGCCACCCAGGGGTCCTTTACCTTTACCTTTTTATATTATGTATAATTTTAGGGATTGTTGTTGATATGCACTCCGGCATTAAGTGTTGGGAAATGACAACAGGCATAATAATCCCTGGCATCTCCAGGCAAAGGCAAGTGACCTGTGCATGCCTGCTCAGTCTGCTGTACAACAGGTGCTGCTGCTACCTGTTCATAGAATTGTAGACTTGGAATGGACCCTCAAGGCTGGTGAGGGGCGTGGCCTAAGAAGAGAGGGTGTGGCTTGGACAGAGGACCTATGGACTGTATTTGGCACTTGCTTATTATAAGCTTGGCCATTGTATAACCCCATTACTATCATTAATCTCTCTCTGTGTGTGTTTCTTTATTTTGAACAAAATTCTTTTCTGGCTATACTTTTACATTTTCAAAAATGTAAATGAAAGTGTGTTACCTCTAAGGGGGCAATGCTAATTTTAAAAAATTAAAAGGGTGGGGGGACATTTTGGCAACTCCTGCCCCCAATAAAGCAGAAATCTATACTTTTGTTTCAGCTTTTTTTTTTTTTTTTACACTTCATGGGTAGTAATGAGGATTTGTGTGAAAATGAACAAGTGCATAGTGCTTGATTAATTATTGTTGTTGGTTTTTTTTGAAATAATAATAATAATAATAATAATAAAGAATTGCTTGCAATTTATTCTTCCCCAAACTGGACCTTCCCCACCAACATCAGTTTATAGGTGAAAATGGAACAAGCAAGATGAACATATTGGGGGGCGGGGCGGGGGAGGTATCCCATATCCCTGATGGGGTCTATTGCAATTCTGCTTGCATCATGCAGAAGAAGAACAATGATTTATTAGTGCTTGGGAGCTGCCTGTCTGGAAACGGCTGCTGTCTGCGCTGAGAGTAGTTGAATGAACGATGGGCACTCAGTGCAGAGGTGCAGTGGATGATGCCCTCCCCCCACAGGAAGCAAATGGAAAAGAGGAGGCAAGCCCAGAGCAGAGTCACAGCCGGCGACCTCTGCTATGAACTACTAATTTGGGCCTGTGAGAGCCTTTAACTTTTTATTTCCCCATTTGAAGATGGTGCATCTACTATGTCGATATGGTTAGGATACTAGCTTGCACGGTATCCTCTGATGCCTCTCTTCCTCGGTTGGTGCTGGAGAGCATCTGCTTTCCATGAAGAAGGATGCAAGTTCAGACCCCAGGGCCATCTCCAAGGGCTAGGACCGGAGAGGAATCCCCGGAGAGCTACTGCCACTCAGTATGGACGATAGTGAGCAAAATAGGCCAGTGGGTCAGCTCAACATAAAGCACCTGTTCCTGTTTAAATCAGCCTTTTATTCAGCTCCATGAGGACTGGAATCTTGCACTGATTTTAATGAAAGGGGCAGAGCATTAGACTAGATCAGTGGTTCCCAAAGTAGGTGGTACTGCCCCCTGTGGGGGAGGGTGGGATTACTACATCAATTGCTATATACCTGTACAGTGGTACCTCAGGTTAAGTACTTAATTCATTCCGGAGGTCCATTCTTAACCTGAAACTGTTCTTAAACTGACGCACCACTTTAGCTAATGGGGCCTCCCGCTGCCACCATACCACCACCACACGATTTCTGTTCTTATCCTGAAGCAAAGTTCTTAACCCGAGGTACTATTTCTGGGTTAGTGGAGTCTGTAACCTGAAGCGTATGTAACCCGAGGTACCACTGTATATGGACATTTCCAGCACAATCTCAATATGTACTTGTAGCTTAGTAAAGAACACTTTTTGTTCAGTAAACTAGATGTTTGTGACCAAAATATTGCTGCTAAGAGGCAAGGAGTCAGCAGGGGGCGCTGGCGGTGTAAATGACTCTCTGACTTTGAGAAGTTGACATCGATGGGTCAAGGTAACCAATGTTGTTGAATTAATTAAATACCGTAGTTGGATTTTGAAGAAATGTGCAATTAATTGTTGCTGAATTTTAGTGTGGTGTTCTCTTCCTTAGTGGGGCGTGCAAACCGCTGTTCTGAAGGGTGCTTTTTATGGAGTAAGGTAGGGGGCACTGGGGAAGAGTTCTTGAAAACAAGGGAGCAGTGGCACAAAAAAGTTTGGGAACCCCTGGTCTTGATGGTCTCCAAAGGAGTCTGCAAGGTGCAAAGTCCCAGGGGTTTCTCTCCTTCAGAAGTCTGTCCCACAGGCTTTCTTTTATTCAGGGCATTTTGTGTCTTCCAGGCTAAGGACAGCGACGATGACGATGACGTCACTGTCGGAGTGGATCGGGACCGCTTCATGGACGAGTTTTTTGAGCAGGTGAGAAACCCCGTTTAGTTGCACGAATTTGTCAGGTAGTCAATTCTTTGGCCTCTTCCTGCAGATTCCGCCGCCGCCGCCGCCACTAGTCGCCCCTTTGCTTCTTCTTTGAGCAACTAGGTGCATTTGGGTGGGGCGGGGGGGTTGCACCTGGCAGCTCAGAGCAAAATGAGTTGAGTCCTGTGCAGATCATTGGGGAACAGTTGAGGAGAAGTGGGGAACCTTTTCGGTTTATACCGCTGTGTCTCATATAGATATTTTACAGCATTGAAAACATTCAAAAGTTAAAAACAGACTTCAGTTAGCCACTGCAGAAGGTTGTACTCTTAATTGCCTGCATAGGCCCGGTGGAATAGAAAAGTTTTCAGCAGGCAAACGTTGGCACGGAAGGCACCCACTGAATCTCTAGTGGCATGGCGTTCCACAGGAATGGGCCAGTGTTGTGAACAGCCCTGAGATCTACAGTTGAAGGGTGGTACAAAGATTTTAAGAATAAAATTATTATTTATTTATTTATTTATACCCCACCCATCTGGCTGGGTTTCCCCAGCCACTCTGGGCAGCTCCCAACAGAATATTATTTTTATTAATATTAATAATAATAACAACAACAATAATAATAAAGCAACAGAATATCAAACATTAAAACATCAATCATTAAAAGGGTTTCATTGCTGTTAAATGAGCCTCTCCAGTTCCAGGGAACAACGTTCCTGCAGAGATTCTCAGGGATTGAACTGGGATAGAAGATTTCAGGTGGTCCCTGGAGTAAGTCTTAACTGAATTCAGTAGTGCTTATTCCCATACAAGCTGAGTTAAGACTGAAGGTTTAGCTGGGGCCTCCTCCCTGGTTGCTGTGGGATGAAACCAGAGGCCTGCTTCTTACAGAGAACTATGAAGTGAGGGGAGCAGTAGCAGCTTGTTGAGGGCTTTCGAAATTAAAACAGGGACTTTGAAGCAGGCCTTGTGGCAAGTCCTTATTTTGGCCATGCCGGGGTTTGATGTTGGAAGATGCCCTTGTCAAAAGCCAGGGCCTTCCAAGCTCTCTGCTCACTCTGGCCCTCCTTCCTCCAGGTGGAAGAGATCCGGGGGTTCATCGACAAGATCGCGGAGAATGTGGAAGAGGTGAAGCGGAAGCACAGTGCCATCCTTGCGGCCCCCAATCCCGACGAGAGTGAGTAAGGCTGCCTTGCCTCTTCTTGGCTGAGGTGGGGGGGGGGAGCTTTTGCCGGTGGATGGGGGCAGATGTCTCCGCTCAACAGTGAATATCCTTGTTTCGTGAAAACAAGCCCCTTTGTTACAGCTGAAGTTGCGACCATAGAATCATAAGAGTTGGAAGGTACTTCCAAGATCATTTAGCTCAAACCCCTGCAAAAGCAAGACCCCCTGACAGATGGCCACCCAACCTCTGCTTAAACACCTCCAATGAAGGAGAGACCACCACCCTTTTTTTTTTTTTGCAAGGTGGCACTTTCCCTTTAAACCAGGTGGTGAAGGAGTTCTGTTGGTTAGTTCGGTTGGTTAGTGTCGACATGCAGAGGACCAGGAGGCCAGCTGGGCCGTCTCCTTCCAACCGTCCTGCTGCGAAGACCATCAGCCTCTGCTCCGACATAAATCAGCGACCCGGGCTTCAAAGCCAGGGCACACTATCAGCAGATAGAACTGCGCACACAGAATAGGTGTGAGGCTTGTGAAAGCATACTACAACTACAGATTTATTAATCATAAATCAGGACAAAGAAACATGTCGTCCCTCTCTCTCTCTCTTGTCTTCTCAGAGAGAACGGGAAAAAGCAAAAGCTATACACACCACGGAAGTTCCCAGCAAGCTGTGCTGGAATGTAAACAGGCATGTGACACACAATAGTTCCATACGTCTGCTCCTTAAGGTGGAATGGAAATCTCAACAGTTAGAGCATGGTGGTGATAATACCAAGGTTGCAGGTTCGATCCCTGTACGGGACAACTGCCTATTCCTGCATTGCAGGGGGTTGGACTGGATGATCCTCAGGGTCCCTTCCAGCTCTGAAATTCAGTGGTTCTATGGTTTCCATTTTGTAGGGGGGTGGTCCACTCCCTGCAAGAAGCTCTAGTTCCTCAGGTTACCCACCACCACAAAAAAGACTTACCCCTCACCTCTTTGCATAAGGCATCGGCAACGGGGGGTGTCTCTTGTCAGGTTTTGCTGCCCTGCGTGGATCTCTGTAACTTGTTTAACCCCGGCCCTCCAAACAATTGAGCGTTCTCTCCTGTGGCAGGCTGGGGCGCTGCATAAATATCAATTAACTCCCTCGCCTGTGAGCGCATTAGGGGAAAGTGCTCAGCAATTAGCTGCGCCTTAATTTAGCCAGTGGAGAGGGAGCGTGACACTCCTGTGGGTCTAGCAGGGGGCCTGCTAGTGCCACCATGCCAGGCGTTACAGGTGGCGCTGGAAGGGCAGGGCAGGATCAGATTTCCTGCCCGACCCAGGATGCCAATCCAGTTGGCCCAGATGCAATCAGAACAGTTGCTTAGCAAAGGGTGGAAGGGATGAGGGAGAGGGGGTACCATTGAGGGGCACCCCAGGGTTATTTGGCATATTCATGGGCATTCGATGCAAGGAGCGGCTCCTCCCAACGACCTGTCTATTGAGCATGCACAAAAAGTTTGTGGAGGTCAGACTGTCCCCACTCTGTACTGAGCATTTAAGAACATAATTTGAGCCTGCTGGATCAGGCCAGAGGGAGCCCATGTAGCCTAGCATCCTGTTCTCACAGTGGCCAACCAGAAACCTGCAAGCGAGATCCAGTCACAGGAGCTCTCTCCCCCTGCCCTCCCCTCCCCTCCTATGTTTTCCAACAACTGGTGTTCAAGAAGCAACATTGCGGAGGCAGAGTTAGCAGTCCTGGCCGATAGCCATCAATAGCCCTCTCCTCCATGAATTTGTCCAAACTTCTTTTGAGCATAGTTGAGCTATGAAAAGTCCTTTTAAAAAAATCTGTCCTGAATCTCTCACCATTCCGCTTCATTGGATGTTCAAATGTTCAAGTGTTATGAGAGAGGGAGGAAAAGTTTTCTCTATCTGCCTTGTCCATGCCATGCATAATTTTATAAACTCCTATCGCATTGACTCTTAGCAAACTCTAACCTAAATCGTCCTAACGCAGCAACCTTTCCTTCATAGGGGAGTCGCTCCACCCCCTTGATCATGTTGGTTGCCCATTTCTGAACGTTTTCCAACACCGGATTAGTGATTCCACAGGGGGCCTTCATCCCACATCCATTCTGATTTGCTTCCAGGGCGTTTATGCATCTTATCATTAATCCCTTGTTTGTCCCACATTTCCAGCACGTTTCCCCTGTCACTTTCCTAACTGCAAAAAGTTCAGTGTGGTTGAAGTGGATTTGTGGTGCTAAGGCGACAAAACGCCTTGGTCCATTTCTGTTTCCTGGGATGCACTTCTGAAAAATACTGCAGGCTCTGTGAACCAGAAGAGCTTTGCATTAGGAGAAAGGATGGCTGGTGTTTGCTTCTTTAAGCCCCCTTAGTGTTTTCTCCTGCCTGCAAATATTTATTTTTATTTTTATTTTTATTTTCACAAGCAGCAGTAGACCATATTTAACAACACCACTCCACCGCCTCCCTCGCCAATAAAGCGAGATGAGCGCCGCAACCCCAGAGTTGGTCACGACTCTAATGGTCAGGGGTCCCTTTACCTTTACTATCATTGCACAAGTTGCCACCTGTCCTCAGGTGCCTATAACCATTTTCTGTCGATACTGCAAATTACAGTGGCAGAGCCCCTGCTTGGTGTGCAGAATGCCCCAGCTTCAGCACATACACCCCTGTGGCATCTCTGGGAAAGGCTAGGAATATTCCCTACTTGAAACCCTGGAGAGCTGCTGCCAGTCTGTGCTGATAATACTAAGCCTAAAAGGTAAAGGTAAAAGGACCCCTGACCATTAGGTCCAGTTGTGACCGACTCTGGGGTTGCGGCGCTCATCTCGCTTTATTGGCCGAGGGAGCCGGTGTACAGTTTCCGGGTCATGTGGCCAGCATGACTAAGCCACTTCTGGCGAACCAGAGTAGTGCACGGAAACACCGATTATCTTCCCGCCAGAGCGGTACCTATTTATCTACTTGCACTTTGATATGCTTTCGAACTGCTAGGTGGGCAGGAGCAGGGACCGAGCAACAGGAGCTCACCCCTTTGCGGGGATTCGAACCGCCGACCTTCTGATTGGCAAGTCCTAGGCCCTGTGGTTTAACCAACAGTGCCACCCGTGTCCTGCTTAGATGCTCCAATAATCTGACCTGGTGTGAGGCAGCTTTCTGTGCGTGGGATGGGGATCTCTCCGGCTTTCCTGCCTCCGGTGCAGCGTGGCTGCCCCCAGCAGCTCCTTCTAGGCATATCCCTCTTCCCGTTCCCTCCCCTCTTGCCTCCTGTATTCCCTGCGTGGGTGAGTGCCGGAGGTTTCTGTGTTGGCTGCCCCCTCTCTCGCTTCTGACTCACTGCCGCACTTCTCTTCTCTCCCTGCTTTCTCCTCCTCCTCCGGAGATTGTTGTCATCGCCCACACAACCCATTCCTTCCTGCTTACTCCATCCATACCCCTATTAAAAGTGCTCCCTGAGTGCTCTGCTGTCCTTCATTCCAAAGAAACAGAGCCCTGGGGAAGCCCTGGAGTTTCTCACCGTTGGGGTGGCGTGGAATGCTGTTACTCCGCAAGCTTTGCTAGGTGGCTTGCCTATAGCCCTTCCTCCCTCTTCTCCCAGGATAATATTCCCTCCACATAATTGCTTTCTCCGTTCACCGCTGGGAGGGTCAGCTCCTTCCATGCACAGTCAACATCGATCTTGAGAAATTGCAGCCGCCCTGCCCACCCGTTCGAAAGAGAGCTGGCTTCTCCGGGGACCTCGGGATGTTATTAATGAGCTTTGGGTCCAGGCGAGTCAGGCGAGAGGATGGAAACGGCCAATTTCCCAGGCTGAGTCTCATCCTCACCATCGCTGCAAACATCTCCGCTGTGGCAAGATGGAAATTGCACCCCTTCGGAGATGTTTTGTGCGTTGGAAAACCCGGAGATGGGAACGGGCTGCTTAAGGAAGGGAAGGGAAATGCCTTTGGGGAGGGGGTGCTGTTGTCAAGCTGAGTGTGGCGCTTTATTCTGGGGTGGTTGAGGGCACTGAGCCCTGCACGATGAAAAGGTGGCAATCCTCTTGTCTCTGCCAACTTGCAAACGCAGACCTTTTTTCGGGCTGCCCCTTGGCAGCAGGGTTGCTCGACATTTTCCTTTCCTTTATTAGCTGTGATTCTAATTGGACTAGATGAACCCTGGAGTTCTACAATTCTATGATTCCATTCCAGTCTCTTCTCCTGTAATTTTAGTTAGCAGCCGCCTGATAGGATGGAAAGAGCAAGTCCAGGGGTCAGCAAACTTTTTCAGCAGGGGGCCAGTCCATTGTCCCTCAGACCTTGTGGGGGGCCGGACTATATTTTTTTTTGGGGGGGGAGGAATTTGAACGAATCCCTATGCCCCACAAATAACCCAGAGATGCATTTTAAATAAAAGCACACATTCTACTCATGTAAAAACACGCTGATTCCCAGACCGTCTGTGGGCCGGATTTAGAAGGCGATTGGGCCAGATCTGGCCCCCGGGCCTTAGTTTGCCTACCCATGAGCAAGTCAGTGGATGCTGCTGTCCTCTGGAGCAGGCGGGGGAATGACGGATCTCCAGGTATTGTTGTATGAAGGCACCCTTCAGCCTTTGCTGTTGGCCTTGCTGGCCTGGGACTGATGGGAGATGGAGTTCAACAGCAACTGGGGGGGGGGGGCAAAGGTCCCAAACTCCTGTGCTGAGGACTGAATCTCCTCGATCCAGCAGGGAAAGGGTAACAGAGCACCTGCCTCAGCCTGATCAGTATAAGCCAGTTTCCTATATTCCTGTTTAAACCAGCCATTAATTCAGAGCAATGAGAGCTAGAGTCTTGGGTTGTTTTTAGAGAAAAGGCCACAGCTCATTGGTGGAGCATCTTCCTGTCTATAGGCCCTGTCCTATTCTATTGCTTCCTGCTGACTGTGATTTTTTGAGTAATTGTAGGAATGTGATATTATATTAAGACTGCATCATCGTAATATAAAACACCCAGGGCCGCTGCACTAACAGAAACCAGCATCTGGGATTCCCTCTCTCCAAGTGTGTGTCCCACACTGTCCCCAAATCTTTGTGGGGGGACTCAGAAAAGATTTAGGGGCTCTGCGTGGGAAGGGAGTGAGTTCTGTCATGGAAGGAAAATCCTCAGACTCAAGGCTAGGCTCTTGAAGTCTTCTGAGAGCTCAACAGAGATTAAAGATAAGGCATTCTCCGCTTGCAATGAGGATTTGCCCTTTAATTATTTTCTTCTCCCTGCAGGGTGGGAGTTAATTACTGGCTTCTGTGCATTCCGCCCCCTCCCCTTTTTCTTGTATAGCAAAATAGCAGAGCTGCCTGTCAGAGTAGACAATACTGGCTGCATGGGCTGACTCAGTGTGGGTGAAAACTTAACGCTGCATGGCAATCCCCGATGGCATCTCTGGGCAGGGCTGGAGGGAGCTCTGCCTGGACCCCTGGAGTGCTGCTGCCAATGAATGAATATTATTATTTATTTGTGTAGCCAAAGCCCTTATGAGAAGCAAAATAGAGTTAACAGAATATAATATGTTGTGCATTTAAAATAATTGTGCAAACCAGATCTTCTGTCAGATAAGAGTTTGTTCCCCCGAAGTATTTAACTTGGCTTCCCCACAAACTTTTCTCCTGAAAATCGCTGCTCTAAAGGCAAAACAGGCCACTTTTTCAGTAAGTGTCCCCTAATAAAAAGTTACCGTATTTTTCATCCCATAGGACGCTCCATCCCATAGGACGCACCTAGTTTTTTTGGGGGGGAATAAAGGGGGGGAATTTCCTTTATTTCCCCCCCCCCAAACCAGGTCAGGGAACAGCGGGATAGCGGCGCTGAGCCTCCCCGCTGTCCCCCGAGCCTGTGGGGCTGGCCGATGTCTGCCCGGCGCGAGGAGCGCTCTGCTTCAGGGTGCCTTGCGCGCCGGGCCGCAGGCTGCTATCCGCAGCCTAGGGAGCCCAGCGGGAACTCCCGCAGGCTCCCCAGGCTTGCTGATAGCTTCCTGAAGCCTGGAGAGCGAGAGGGGTCGGTGCGCACCGACCCCTCTCGCTCTCCAAGCTTCAGCGAAAGCCTGTATTCGCCCCATAGGATGCACACAGATTTCCCCTTCCATTTTTGGAGGGGGAAAAGTGCGTCCTATAGGGCGAAAAATACGGTAATCAGATGCTTACACTGACTTGTGGCAGTGGGCCATACTGAACCAAGTTGAACCAATGGATACAGTACAAGGCAGCTGCTTGTGTTGCTAAGCCCTAAGTAGCGTCAGGCGCATAAATGTATTCTTATGCAAGGGTAAATGGGCATGAGTTATTTTCTCTTTTTACGAAGCTCTGGGAATCTGAGAGAATGGGGTTTCTTTATTTTTTACCAAGGATTCTCAGGATCCCTGTCAAGCTGCAACTCCTAGATAGTTTAAGGGCACCCATGACAGTTAAACCCATTTAAAACTGCTGCAGTGTGAGGCAGGAATGAACAAATCTTACCAGTTTTATTGATTGATTGATTGATTGATTGATTGAATGAATGAATGAATTTATATACCGCCCTATACCCAGGAGGTACAGGAAAGTTCATAGAATAAAATCAAGATATAAAACAACAAAATACATAATAAAAATAAAAAACAACCCAATAGCCCTCCCCTCAAAAAACCCGCATTTTAAAAGGACATAGGATGTAAATCAGATCAACCAAAGGCCTGGTTAAAAAGGAACGTTTTTGCCTGGCACCTAAAGGTGTATAATGAAGGCACCATGCGAACTTCCCTGGGGAGAGCATTCCACAGGCAGGGAGCCACTGCAGAGAAGGCCCCGTTCTCGTGCTGCCACCCTCTGGACCTCTTGAGGAGGAGCCACACAAAGGAGGCTTTTCTCAGTTTCCCCTACTTCGGTTGGGATTCCACATCATAAGAGTTAGAAGGGACCCCGAGGGTCATCTAGTCCAACGCCTGCAATGCAGGAATCCTGCCCACAGCCATCCCTGAGTGGGCTCGAACCCACTGTGCCACAGAAGGGTTCAGTTTGCATTAAAAAAGAGGAGGGTTCTCGTGAAAATTCAGCACTATTTTCATGCAAATTAGTACAGCATCCCTTTCTCGCAATGGCCGCCCAGATGCCCATCATGGGGAAATCCCCCAAACAGGACCCAAGCGTGAGGCAATCCTTTCTTTCATCTGCCCTGAATCCTGCATCATTCCTCTCCATTGGATGTCCCTGAGTTCTAGGTTAGGAGAGAGGGAGGGAAACTTCTCTCCTTCCACTTTGTCAGGCATAATTTTATCACCATCTATCATGTCGCTTCTTAAACGCTGCAGCCTTACTTCATAGGGGATCATCCCCTTGATCATTTTGCTTGCCCTTCCCTGAACCTTTGCCAAATTCTCCCAGTTGGTAAAATGCTCAAAGGCTGGCAAGGGGGTTCTTTGTTGGACAGGCAGTGCTGATCCTGCTGAGGACGTCTGAGGCCCTGCACAGATGCTCTGAGCTCAGCGGAGAGTCTTGGCGCGAGGCTGCCAGTGCAGAGACCTCGCCGTGCCCCTGTCGCCTCCTCTGTGCCACCCAGACTTGGCTGCTCTGCCAGCGTTGCTTGGTTACGTTGGCGATGTTCAGAGTTCCAGGTGACGACAATTATCTCCTCTCCGGGCCAAGGGAGGGCGGGTTGCGGAGGGGGCAGGGAGGGAGCAGGCTTGCACCTGGCACCTCCAGCGCCAGGCAGCTTGGGGAAGCTGCAGGAAAAGGGCAAGCAGAGCAATCTAGGAGGGCTGGATCGCGCCGCCCCTGCGAGGGAGGGCTGCAGCGTTTGGGCTTAGGCAAAAGTTGATGGGCAAGATGGGAGGAAGGATAACAGAGGTTTGTGCAATGAGGTCTGGTGTGGAGAAGGAGTTGGAGGGAAGGTCTTCTCCCTCTCCCCCATTCTTTAAGTACAGTGGTACCTTGGGGTAAGAACTTAATTTGTTCCGGAGGTCTGTTCTTAAGCTGAAACTGTTCTTAACCTGAGGTACTACTTTAGCTAATGGGGCCTCCCGCTGCCACCACACAATTTCTGTTCTCGTCCTGAAGCAAAGTTCTTAACCCGAGGTACTATTTATGGGTTAGTGGAGTCTGTAACTTGAAGCGTCTGTAACCCGAGGTACCACTGTATTTGTTATTTCTTTATTGCATTACACGGATCCCGTCCGTAACACAAGGTTCCACTGTACTATTCCCCCATTGTTTCCTCTGAATAGCTCAAGGTGGCATAACTGGTTCATTCCCCTCCTCACTGAATCCCCATTACAGCCCTATGAGGTAGGCTAGGACCAAGGTCCCCACCCACTGAGCTTCATGGCAAGTGGGGATTTGAACCCTGGATTCCCAGGTCCTAGTCCGACACTCTAACCACTATACTGCGCTGGCTCTCTACATATTATGCACTCTCCCCTAACATATGCATTTTGAGTACGTCTTGTTTGGATAACTCTGTGGAAGGAGGGTGAATTTCAAAGGAGAGCCTCGTTTTGCGGGTTTGACGTTGATTTCAGGAAGTGCAAACAAGGCGTGTTCGTATTAAAATGTGGACCACAAATTGAACATGCATCCGATCCCAAAGGGAACTTGGCAGAAAAGATCTCTAGGGTGGCAGGATTTGGCCAGCACAAGGGTGGGGGATAAATTTAAGCAGTGCCCAACTCTCATCGCAGTTCAAGGGACTGATTCCAGCAGGGCCAAAATCCAGCTGTGAAATCGGGGTGCAATTATGGCCATCCACAAGCATTCCTAAGAACTCAAAAGAAAGTCCTTCTTCACTGGGCACATAATTAAACTATGGAACTCTCTGCCACAGGAGCGGAGAGGGCTCTTCCGCTCGGGTCCTGCTTGTGGGTTTCCCATTCAGGGAATCTGTTTGGCAACTGTAAGTACAGGATGCTGGAGTAGGTGAGGCCATTGGCCTGATCCAGCAGGCTCAGATGATGATCTTACCTTCTCCTGCCTCTTCTGCCTTCCAGAAACCAAGGAGGAGCTGGAGGAACTCATGTCTGACATCAAGAAGACAGCCAACAAAGTGCGCTCCAAGCTAAAGAGTGAGTATCTCCTTGCACGGGGGCAGGATGAGGGTGCTACGCACAGGGGCTGGTGGAAAATGATCTGCAAGTCAAGGATGCCCTAGGAACCTCTGCCTTGTTTTTTTCAAGATTTTCAACCTTCATGGCTTCTAGGATCCTTTTGGCTGTGCCTGGAGCTCTCAGAACCAGGGCAGCTCCTCTCCTCTCTCCTTTGGAGATAACCAAAGGAAATGCAGATTTGCATCCTTTATTTGGGCTGCAGGGTTCACATTTCATAGCCCAGATTTTTGCTTTTCCTTCTAAATTAAATGAGGTGTTCTGACTTTCCTGGGGCAGTTTTAGGGATGCTCCTAGATGGTCTTTTGCCTTCTGGGGAGCTATTTTTAACCTAGTCTGAAATGGGCATCAGGCAGGCGAGGAAGGAGAGAGAGAGAGAGAGTCCCATCTGTTTCTCAACCCCCGCCCCCTTTCTCTTCCTTCTCTGAACGTCTGATCTGCTTTTCTCTCCCCCTTAGGTATTGAGCAGAGCATTGAGCAAGAGGAGGGGCTCAACAGATCGTCAGCAGATTTGAGAATAAGAAAGACACAGGTAGGTGGCCCTGATACCCACTCACTGCCTGGTCTGTGAGTTTCTTTTAAGCCCCCGTTAAAGCCTTATGATCCAGTGGGCACCTCTTGTGGCAGTGAGTTCCATATGTTAACATCCAATGGTGTGAACTTCGGGGCACCTGGAAATATTACATGTCACAATATGTTGTCCATAGTCATAGAATTGTAGTGTTGGAAGGTACCACCAAGGGTCATCTAGTCCAGCCCCCTGCAATGCAGGAATCTCAGCTACAGAATCCCTGGCAGATGGGATCCAACCTCTGTTTAAAAAGCTCCAAGGAAAGAGAGTCGACGGCACTCTGATATAGTCCTTCCTTTCTCGTCTGGCTGATTGGTTCCATTCGAGTGACCCAAAGTCTGGCGTTGGTGTGGTTTGTGACAAATAATATTTATATTTTGAAATATAAAAAGATGGAGCTGTATTCGATTTCTACCCAAAGTTAGTTGCCGTTAATTTCAGTGTGTCTACTCTTGAGTACAAACTTGGATGGCTTACACCCCTTGGATGCTTATATTTTGATCTTCGCAGTTAAAAATAATAATAATGATCAGTTTTGTTACATTCCTTCTGTTTTATGGTTTGTACGACTAGACACCTCCTGAAGATTTTTTCTGCAAGCCTGTCCTTTAATGCTTTAAAAATAAAATTCTCTCTTTCCACTTCCTCCACACCATGCATAATTTATTTTTAAGGAACAGTAAAACTTCTGTCACATCCTTTCATTGAAAAACACCAAATCTTGGCACTGGGTATTTTCCTACCACTGGCAGGGGCTGATGAATGTGGCCCCCCGAACCCTCTCCATCTGGCCCTTGGGACACTCAGTGGCCCAGCTACACCCTCTCCTCATGTGCCTGAGCCAGACTGGGATGTGCCATCAAATTTGTGATGCTGCTACTTGCTTCTGTGGACAGAGGATGGGTTGGAACATACAAATGAAAAAAATTGCATCTTTTGCTCCGCCCACTTTTGCCTCAGCTCTACCCACTGCTGGTTTGAGCCTTGTTGGAATTGGTCCCTTGCGCTGTGAGCTGGGTGTTAACTTGGGTGTGGTCTGTTCAAATTTCTCCTCAGTGCTGTCCTGTTAACCCAGGAATCTTTCAACCAATATTTCTGAATTCTCTTTAGGGGTTTTTGGGGGGCAGGGGGGGCACATTCCATTTGTGGTTCCCATTTCAACATGTTGCTGCCTCGTTCGCACTTCCGAAACAAAGCCAAAGGCAAAATTTCATCTCCCCTTTGAATTTCCTCTACAGCCAAGCAAGGTGTACTCAAAGGGACTGCATTAGGGAAAGTGTGTACCAAATTAAAATGTATAGAGTCAGTGTGGTGCAATGGTTAGAGTGTTGGATTAGGACCCAGGAGAGACCTGGGTTCAAATTCAGCCACAAAGCTCACTGGTTGCCCTTGGGGGGCCAGTCACTGCCTCCCAGCCTCACAGGGTGGTAATGGGAATTAAATGAGGAGGTTTTTTGAGTCCACAGCTCCCGTAACCAACTAGATTCTTTCTGCGGCACCTCTGTGGGGCTCAGGAACCCAGTTATGTCACCCACTGCCTGCCGAGCTGGCAGCCTCTCACCCTTTCTCAGCCCCCTTTTCCTTGGGATCCCTCTGGGCAGCTGCTGCAGCCCTTGGTCTCTAAGCTGCTCCCCTGCCCCCAAAGAAAGGTACCTCTCAGGCAGCCCTGTTTAGGGAAGATTATAATGACTGGTGTTTTAATGTATTTTTAATCTTTTGTTGGAAGCCGCCCAGAGTGGGTGGGGTATAAATAATGCATTATTATTATTATTATTATTATTATTATTATTATTATTGATGCGGGTGGCGCTGTGGGTCAAACCACAGAGCCTAGGACTTGCCGATCAGAAGGTCGGCGGTTCGAAACTGCGCAACAGGGTGAGCTCCTGTTGCTCGGTCCCTGCTCCTGCCAACCTAGCAGTTCAAAAGCACGTCAAAGTGCAAGTAGATAAATAGGTACCGCTCTGGCGGGAAGGTAAACGGCGTTTCCTGGCGCTGCTCTTGTTCGCCAGAAGCGGCTTAGTCATGCTGGCCACATGACCCAGAAGCTGAACGCCGGCTCCCTCGGCCAATAAAGCGAGATGAGCGCCGCAACCCCAGAGTGGGTCACGACTGGACCTAATGGTCAGGGGTCCCTTTACCTTTACCTTTACTATTATTATTATTATTATTATTTTATTTATTTATTTATTTATTTATTTATTTATTTATTTATTACCTCCAAGAGGCAACCTTTGCCTGCAGAGCTTAAGGCCTGGGCTGCTGCAATAAACAGCTGTGCAAACCTTTGGGAGGCAGAGACACAAGAGGGCAACAGAGGAAGGAGGGAAAGAAAGAGGGGCAGAGGCCAGTGTTGCCCACACACCCCTGACCATCATTCAAGGCACCCCAGGGTGCCACGGTACGCTGGTTGAAAACCACTGGCGTATGCCATCCTTGAGCCCCCTGGAGAAAGAAGAGGTGGGGATATAAATTCAATAAATAAATTAAATTGATGCAACATACAAGAAGGTGTGATATTTTAGGGGAATCGCTTGCAAGAATGTGCCCGTTCGGAAAAACGGCATATGAAAAGTGCTGACAAATTCTGTTAAAAAGATGCAAAACAAGAGCTGAACTCAGGGTTGAGAAATGAGCAGCTGAAATGGAGGGATTCATCCATCTCTGATCCAGTTTCAAAGCGGAAGGCTGGATTAAGGCTGAGGGGGCAAAGTAGCTGGTTTGGGGGGTGGCTCCTGGTGAGATGCCCCCCCCTTTCCCATGGGGTTGGGGAGGAAGAGCCTGACTTTTCCCCTCTCCCCAGCCTTTGTGGATGCTGAAGGGCACCAACAGCTCATCTTCACAACAAACAAAGCCAGTTCCAAGTCATCGCCCCCCCAACCTCCCCGTCACACGATGATGAGCAGCCAAGTCTGATCTCCAAAGAAACAGCGCTCTCTCTCTCTCTCTCTCTCTGACTCCCCGAAACACAGCAGATGGGCGATGCGCCGGGGAGAGCAAGTGTGAAAATGTTTTGCTGTGCAGCCGCCTGTTCCTTAATCAGAGGCAAGGAACTGCGGTGCATGAGCCGGGGCGGAAAGCAGGAAGCAGCGGGTGGGTGGGATGCTCTTCCGTGCTTTAGTCTTTTATTTCTCTTCTGAATTACGCAAGGGTATCGGGAGCAGAACAAGGTGGGGCCATCTAGAGGAGCGAGGCGCAACCTGGTACCCTCCAGGTGTTGTGGGCGGGGGGCTGTGGCTCCCATCAGCCCCCCAACTGGCGGGGCCAAGGGGTCAGTGATGGTGCCAGGGTTCTGACTTCTACGGGCAATTGTTGAGGGTCCGCGCCTCCCCCCACAAAGGGGCGTCCTGGACCTGCTCTTCCTCTGCCCCATTGCAAACACCATGAATTGCAGGATATGTTGTGTGTGAAGTAGATTTTCTTAAGGAAAACTTACTTTTCTTAAGAAAACCTACTGATGGATAGTCAGTGTGGTCTTAGTGGTCAGAGTGCGGGACTAGGACCTTGGGAGATCAGGGTTCGAATCCCCACTCAGCCAAGAAATTTGCTGGGGGACCTTGGGCCAGCCATGCGCTCTCCGTCTAACCTACCTCATGGGTTTGTCACGAGGATAAAACGGGGTAGAGACCTACGTACTCCACCTTGAGCTCCTTAGAGGAAATAAATGCAATAAAATAAACAGAAGTAAATCAATTGTCACAGAATCCTCTTGGTGCCGGTGTTTGAAATTCCCGAGGCACATTTTGCGTCTGGTGTGGGTCCAGTTGTGACCACGTGGAGATCTCTGGATGCCTGGTTGTCGGTGCTGCAGCGGACAGACTAACATGCTTACCGTTCTGGAAAATGATGGCAGCCATGTTTTCTCTTCCCCCACTCGCCCAGCATTCCACCTTGTCCCGGAAGTTTGTGGAAGTGATGTCAGAGTACAACGCCACCCAGTCGGACTACCGGGAGCGCTGCAAGGGCAGGATCCAAAGGCAGCTAGAAATAAGTGAGTTGCTTCCATGCTCCCCCTTCTCTTGAGAATTGGTCCTGTTGTTCGCTCTCTCCTTACAGGGAATCCACTGCTGCCAAATGTTTCATTCCCGTATTTTCTGTGCTGTTCTTCTGACTATTCAGGCCTTGTCTTTGTCTTTAGTGACACACACACAAGCATTATCTTATTCACTGTGTATGGGAAACGTCCTATTTTTCAGGACTACTGTGCCTTTTATTGGAGGCTTCCTGGCCAGCATGGTGACAATATTGGTTAGTTCCTGTTTCTGGAAGTGAGGCTCAAATTACTGATTTCTTCTCATTGTTTCTCCCAATGCTTAGCAGAAAAAGTAGTATTTCACTATAAAAGAAAGATAATGAAACAACAACTTCATTTATTTATTTTATACACACCCACCCACCACTTGATTATTTAAAGAAACCTCAAAGTGGTTTACATAAAGGTAAACCAATAAACCCCTTCATGGATCACTGCCTTGCCATGGCAGGAAGACAGAAGTGCCTGGCGTGCTCTGGTCCATGGGGTCACGAAGAGTCGGACACGACTAAACGACTAAACAACAACAAACCAATAAAATGGAGAAAAAATCACAACCATACTATTATGATGATGATGACTATAATTAATAATTATTATTATTCATTATTTATACCCCACCTATCTGGCTGGGCGGCTCCCAACAGAATATTAAAACACAATAAAACATCAAACATTAAAAACTTCCCTAAACAGGGCTGCCTTTCGATGTCTTCGAAAAGTCAGATAGTTGTTTATTTCCTTGACATCTGATGGGAGGGCATTCCAGAGGGCAGGCGCCACCACCAAGAAGGCCCTTGGAGCTGGAGCTCAGTGTCCGGGCTGAACGATGGGGGTGAAGACGCTGCTTCAGGTATACTGGGCCGAGGCCGTTTAAAACATACAAAAGTTAAAATATTAAAACAGATTAAAATTACCTCTAAATATGTAGATGCCAGGAATTTTAGAGCCCCCAGCCACGGAACCATAGCTGACCAATTAAGGGGAAGTGTATTTCAATTTCAGTAAAGCTCTTGACAAAGCCCCCCATGATATTCTTGTGTAAAAGCTGGTAAAATGTGGGCTGGGGGGAGCATGTAACTGTTAGGTAGATTGCAGAGGGTTGTGCTAGATGACACTTGTCCCTTCCAGCTCTATGATCTCCTGATCATCAGGCCGTGCTTGCTGTGACGGATGGGAGCTATGATCCTCTGATTTCCACAGGCATCTGGTTGGCTACTGTTGGAATTCCATTCCTCCCGTGCTGCAGATGTGTGGGATTGTTACATGTCACATGTCTGTGTTTACATTCCAGCACTGATTGTTGGAGTCTTGCAAGCAGAAAGTGAGGTACGCTGTTTCTATTCTGTACAGTCATACCTCGGGTTACAGGTGCTTCAGGTTGCGTTTTTTTCAGGTTACGGACGCGCTGAAACCTGGAAGTACCGGAACGGGTTACTTCTGGGTTTTGGCGGTCGTGCATGCGCAGAAGTGCTAAATCGCACTATGCGCAGAAGCGCCGAATTGCAACCCTCGCATATGCAGACGCGCCACTGCGGGTTGCGAACTTGCATCCCGCATGGATCACATTCGCAACCCGAGCGTCCACTGTACAGCTATTGCTTTTGCAATAACAAGAAAGACAGAGAGAGGAGCCATGTTTTCTTTGTTATGTTACGTTTGATTTTGTGTGTGTTAAATTAGGCTTAGATGTTACACCTCAAGACTCAGTCTGTTTGGGCTCTGCTAGTCATGAGCTCATGTCCTTGGATATGGGTCACATCAGCGTGACGGGACACCGGAGTGATGAATTCCGGGCAATGCTGTGTTGTGGGGGAGGCACCGGCCTCGGCGTTATCACCCAACATTTGGGAACAGGATGCTGGACTAGATGGGCCATTGGTAGTTCAACTCCGTATGGAGGGCACCACGCCCCTGTTGTAAGGAGAAAGCGTTGCAGGAGGATTTTGGCTGACTAGGATTGAATGGGATTAAACATTTTAGGGAGATCTTGGCTATAAGAAAAGGGCGGTTTTAGGTAACACTGTGCTGTGTCTGGCACACCTTTTCAAATTCTGCTTCTAATTAATTGGAAGGAACAAACACCACCTCGGCAACACTCAAAAGCTCAGCCATTTGAACCACCCTCACCCCAGACACACCTTCCTGTCTGGAAACTTTCTTAGCAAAAACGAGATCTGCACAGCAGTGTCTGGCCTAATGAGCACAGCAACTCATTTCTGGTAGATCTTGCCCCCATGAAGCAGTTGCTGAAACTGAAGGTCCCCACCTCCCCAAGTCCCCTCCTCTCCAGGCAATCTGAGACTGCGCCTGCACGAAGCCAACTACTCCTCTTCCCTCTTCATGCCTCTTCTGGTTCAGGGAGACAAGAGGGAAGGGGAGCTGGTCACAGCAGGAGGGGGAGACACCTGTGACTCTTCATTGCCTAGTTATCTCCCGCTTGGACTACTGCAATGTGCTCTACATGGGGTTACCTTTGAAGGTGACCCGGAAACTACAACTAATCCAGAGTGCGGCAGCTAGACTGGTGACTGGGGCCGGCCGCCGAGACCACATAACACCAGTCTTGAAAGACCTACATTGGCTCCCAGTAGGTTTCCGAGCACAATTCAAAGTGTTGTTGTTCACCTTTAAAGCCCTAAACGGCCTCGGCCCAGTATACCTGAAGGAGCGTCTCCACCTGCATTGTTCCACCCAGACACTGAGGTCCAGCACTGAGGGCCTTCTGGCTGTTCCCTCATTGCGAGAAGCAAAGCTACAGGGAAGCAGGCAGAGGGCTTTCTCGGTAGTGGCGCCTGCCCTGTGGAGCGCCCTCCCATCAGATGTCAAAAGAGATAAACAACTACCTGACATTCAGAAGACATCTGAATGCAGCCCTGTTCAGGGAAGTTTTTAATGTGTGACATTTTAGTGTGTTTTTGGTCTTTGTTGGAAGCCACTCAGAGTGGCTGGGGAAACCCAGCCAGATGGGCGGGGTACAAATAATAAATTATTGTTATTATTGCCTGACTCCTTTCTGCCACAGACTCTCCCTGCTCACTAAACCCTGTTACCTCTTCAGCTTCCGACACCTTCACTTCCCAGTCTTCTCCTCTGACCACTCATTGTTGTCCCACCGACAGCCCCCTGGCTCTGAGCCTTCTCCTTTGGGGCTCCCCAGCTGGTTCCTCCCACCATTCCTCTGCGTTCAACAGGTCTGCGACTCTTGCTTTCCTTCCTGCGGGTCATGCCTTACCTGCTTGGCTTCTCAGGGCATGCTGCAGCCGGCCCCTCTGCCTGGCCTTTGGGCTTTGTGGCCAGCAAGGCATCCCTGGCGGCAGATAAGTTGTTCAGTGCCTTGAGGCGACGTGCGCGCATGTGGCTTTTTTCAGGCTGCCAGTGCGAAGGGGGTGGGCATGTGAGGAGCTGGCGGGAACAGGTAAGGGGGTGGAGGTGAGACTGGGAGAGATGAGAATAGAAGGACTGAGTGGGAGAAGTTGGGAATCAGAGGAGAGCCGGTTGCCAGGAGGGAGGGAAGGCGGGCAGCCGGCTAGAGGAGATGGAGCCAATCGGCAGCCTTAGCTGGAGATGAGCTGATGGGGGGGGGGAATCTAGGGCAGAGCACAGGGAAGGGGCAGTCTGCAATCTTCACTTTTACTTGCTGAGGGTAAAAGGAAGGTTGTGAAGATGAGCAAAAGTGCCTTTTGAAGGCAGATCCTGTAGGAACTAAGCAGAAACATTGACTAAACCTCAAGGATCGCCTCTCCCCATATAAACCAACCCGGACTCTGTGATCATAATCGCAAGAGGCCCAAAGGGTGGCAACACGAGAACTGGCCTTTTCTGCAGTGGCTCCCTATTTGTGGAATGCTGTCCCCAGGGATGTTCGGCTAGCACCTTCATTATACATCGTTTGGCGCCAGGCTTTGGCTGATCGATATATTTTAAAATGTGGGACCAGGGTTGGGCGGTATTTTGTTCTAACTATTTATTTGTGATTTTATATTGCATTTTTATATCATGAACCACCCTGAGATCTTCTGATGAAGGGCAGTATATAGACTTAATGATTAAATAAAATATTAAGAAAGAGAACCATGGCCTGTCCTCAAACCCAGTGGTGTCATGGTAAATTCAGGAGAGCAGGGTCCCTTCATGAGAGCCACAGCCATGTCCCTTCTAAGATTATAGGGCCTTCTAAGGTAACAAAAATAATAAGAAGTAATGGGATTGCATTGCAACAAGCAGTGTGGATCGCCATATGCTGCTTTTCAGCTAGCTACAATTTTCTGCGCACGTCCCTGGGTGCATGGAGGGCTCCAACACCTTCTTTTGGAGTGATTTTAAGTTGTGTTAAGTTCCATAACTTGCACCCCATTCTCTTGAAACTGAAACATCCTTAGTGTTTTCAGAGTTCCTAAAAAATGCTTAGCTTTGGAGCATATGGAGCAAGTCCTCCTTGTTGCTCTTCCACGCGCCTTCTCCTGAGGGACCCTGGAAGCCCCTCCTATAAAGCTGTCTCCCCTTCTTTCACTGCTTGCCAGCACAAAGGCTGAGAAGACTTATTCTCAGTGCCTAGAAAGCTTCCCTTTTGTGCTGATTGGGCAGCTCCAGGATGCCAGAGTCTGGGACCCTGCAGAGTCTTTTTGCACACACAGACATATATACATACATACACACACACACCATGACCCCAGACCACTGCTCAAACCACAGCATGTTGGAAAGAAAGGGATGCATTGACTTCTCTGTGCCCTTTGCAGCTGGCAGAACCACCACCAGTGAGGAGCTGGAGGATATGTTGGAGAGTGGGAACCCTGCCATTTTCTCTTCTGGGGTATGTGTGTCATCGTCCGCCCCCGTCTCCGCCCGCCCCCCAGCTTTGTGATCTTGCTAGTCTTAAGTCTCAGATTTGGGGTACCAATGAAGACTTTCTTTGTTCAGATGGGGGTTGCTTTAGAAGTGCCACCTCTTTGACCTGGCAGCGGGCAGATCTACACTCATGGTTTTTAACGCTAAAGAAAAAGTTAAGGAATGGTCCTGCGAACCATACAGCCGCTATTAAAATGTGACACCAGAGGGCGCTGCAGAGCAACTAGCTATCACAAACCAGGTGGTAGACTTTGTGGAAAAGAGGCGAAAGGAAACCAAATGGGGTTTTTTTCTGTCTTGACTGATGTTTTAGAACAATATTAGTGTTCTAATAACATTTAAAAGGTGAGCGTAGATCCAGCTAGTCTGTGGGCAACTATTTTGCCACAGTGGGGAGAACACCAAGGGCGTTTGCTGAGACCTCGGCCCTAATTGCCATCCGGTGCAACAGAGGCTGCTCTCTACCACTAGAGTTGCAGCCTTGCAAAACAAAACCGCAAACGTTTCTCAGGCAGAAGCTGCCAGCCCAGCCGCTGAGGCAAAGCCTTGTTAGTTTTTCTCTCTCCTGCTTTTCACATGGCACTCAAGGCCGTCTAGGCAGGCCCAGGTCTCCTGCCCAGGTATGGACTGCTCCCTAATCTACTTCGTGTCAATAAAATTACTGCACCTTCAAACCATGCTGACAGGCTGTGTTAACCATCTGTGGCATGGAAAAAAGAAAACAATAAAGCCTGCTTAAACACCTAGAGTCATTTCTCAACTTGCCCCCACATCAAGTGAGTGTCAGTCCCTGAACCCTGTAAATTTTATTCAGCACCTGCCCCTCCCCCCGGACTTATTCCTTGGACTTCTGCAGACATAACACAAATGCACTTCCAACCCTAAGTGCCTAGAACCATAGAAACACAGAATGGTAGAATTGGAAGGGAACCTGAGGATCATGTAGTCCAGTGTTTCCCAAACTTGGGTCTCCTGCTGTTTTTGGACTACAACTCCCATCATCCCTAGCTAGCAAAACCAGTGGTCAGGGATGATGGGAACTGTAGTAGAAAAACAGCTGCAGACCCAAGTTTGGGAAACCCTGGTTTAGGCCAACACCCCCCCCCCTTTGCAATGCAGAAATATGCAGCTGTCCCATACAGGGATCGAACCTGCAACCTTGGCACCATCAGCACCACGCTCTAACCAACTGAGCTGTCCGTTCTGCCTAGGAACGCCATTTCATTTCCTTTTTCACGGAAGCCGCGATTCTCAGGGAAGCGACTTCTGCGGTCTGGCAGGATCGTGAGACTCTCTCCATCCGAGTCATGCAAGACCGGGCGAGGCAGGGGGGTGGTGGAGAGAAAGATCTTGGAGATCTGGAGCCTGGGGGTCCCCGATCCCAATGGCTGCTCACGCCCTGCCTTGTTAATTAATTTTAATTAATTTTTATAATGAAATGTTTTTAGAATGTTGGATTATTTGATTGTTGTTAGCCGCCCTGAGCCCGGCTTCGGCTGGGGAGGGCGGGATATAAATAAAATTTATTATTATTATTATTATTATTATTATTTCATCCTCAGATCATCATGGACTCCAACATCACGAAGCAGGCGCTGAACGAGATCGAGACTCGGCACAGCGAGATCATCAAGCTCGAAAACAGCATCCGGGAGTTGCACGATATGTTCATGGACATGGCGATGCTAGTGGAGAGCCAGGTAAGGGCTGATCTGGGGGGCAGGAAGGAAGGGGTGGGAAACTGCAGAGTGGACCCCTGGGACTGGCAGGTCGAGGAACCAATGGCTGGCCCCGAGGGCTGTGTCACCTTCAGGAGCCACCTGCCAGTCATGGGCGGGGCCAGAGGCCAAAGTGGGCGGAGCAGATTCCAGTTGCTGTGGAAACCCCAGGAGGGGAGAGTGATGCTCTTGTGCTCGGATCCTGCTTGCCAGTTCCCCACAGGCCACACTGAAAACAGGATGCAGGACTGGATGGGCCATTGGCCTGATCCAGCAGCCTCTTCCGATGTGAATTGATTCACCCTGGCCTTGGGCACCTGGTATCTGCGTGTTTCAGGACTTCTCATCCTATCCTTGTGATGTGTTTTAACTGTTTTTAACTCTGAATTTTACATTGTTTGCACCCATCCGGGGACCTGTTGGTGAAGGGAAAGAAAAGACCCCTGCGCCTGAAACCTGGGACAGCTGCTGTCTGTCAGTGTAGATCAGGGTTTCCCAAACTTATTTTTTAAAAACAATTTTGGATTGGTTTTTCAACAAATACAAGAACCATTAAACACTTATCCAGCAGTACAGTGGCCCTTTGGTTCTCAAACTTAATCCGTTCCGGAAGTCCGTTCCAAAACCAAAGCATTCCAAAACCAAGTCGCGCTTTCCCATCAAAAGTAACGCAAAATGGATTAATCTGTTCCAGACTTTTAAAAACAACCCCTAAAGCAGCAATTTAACATGAATTTTACTATCTAACAAGACCATTGATCCATAAAATGAAAGCAATAAGCAATGTACTGCAGTCACACAATCAATCAGTAGCTGAACTGGGTTCCAGACAGTCACAAAAGCAAAACAAAAAGAGCCACAAAAACGCAAAATAAATAGCAAAAACAGACAGACCTCAGCATAACACTTAAAATGGAGCATGTTTGGTTTCCGAAAAAAGTTCGCAAACCGGAACACTTACTTTCGGGTTTGCAGTGTTTGGGTTCCAAGTTGTTTGAGTACCAAGGCGTTTGAGAACCAAAGTACCACTGTAAATCTAATGGTATTTGTTTTATCCATTGTCTCTTGGAAATTGTTAGGCTGCAAGCAGCTGCCCCCCACGCTGCTCCCCCACCTATCTCCCCTAGATATCTTTGGCAAAACACATGGCAGAGGGTTGCAAATTTCATCTGCTCCCACCTCCCGGCTGCGAAATGCAGCCAGTGAATTGGAGCACATCCGGTTGGGTGGGGGTTAATGGGACCCCCAATTGTTTCCAGGTGGGCCAATTACTTTGGGTATGTCGAAATGGGTTTGTGTGATCTTTTACATATGTTTGTGGGAGAGGGAGTTATTTTGTTGTTGTTTTCGTTTTAACTATTTACCTGTGTTTTTACCTTGTGTTTTTATCCTGCGAACCACCCTGAGATCTTGTGATGAAGGGGGACGGATATATACATCAAATGAATAAAAATAAAATAAAATCTGAGTTAGTGGGTAGGATATTCATTTGGGCGATTAATTTAGAATGATCTTTTGTAGATACCACATAGGATCATAAAGCTGGAAGGAGCCCAAAGAGTCATATACCTGTAGTCCGACCCACTGCAATAAATGAATTCTGATGGGGGGGGCGGGAATTGAATAAATTGGAGGGGGATTTATTTACTAAGTAGATTTTTGTGGGGATCTGGCTATGGTGCAAATCAGTTGATGGCTTTGTTGGATTGGTCGGAAGGGGAGTTGCTTCCCTTCCCTTCTGTGATATTTAAAAATAAATTAGCATATGTAAATCAAGGTCCGTGGGCCCCATCAATAGCAGGCGCCTTGCAGTGCAGTACCTTGAAGAGGTTTCCTCTTTGAGGTGAGAACCAGGGTTTTCTGCAACTTTCGTCCTACTCAAGAGTAGACCCACTGAATGGCATGACTAATGTAGGCCTGTTGATTTCAGTGGGTCTTCTCTGAGCAGAGCTGAGCTGATGACAACCCTCTATTCCTGGAGCTCAGCGCCTGCCCCTCCTGACCCCTCTTTCTATCCCCCCCATGCTGCCGTGCACACCTGGAGAAGGGCACCCAGGCATTGGCAGGTAATGTCCCCTCCCCCCCAGCTCCCTGCGCTGAGGCTGCTGCATGCCTGTGCTGTCCCTGCATGCCTGGTGATATGTGTCCCCTATGATGCCAGTGGGAAGCGAGGACTAGAACAGGTGGACAATCGGAACGAAACCGGATCTTGGAAGACTCAGGATAAAAGGAAGGACTTCTTCACACAGCGCTGAGTTAGACTGTGGAACTCCCTCCCGCAGGAGGCGGTGACGGCCGCCAACCTAGATGGCTTTAAAAGAGGATTAGAGAAATTCGTGGAGGAAGAGATGGATGACTATGAGCCATGGAGGCAGTGATGCTTCTGAAAACCACAGGAGGGGAGAGGGCTCTTGTGCTGGGGTCCTCCTTGTGGGTTTCCCATTGGGGCATCTGGCTAGCCACTGTGAGAGCAGGATGCTGGACTCGATGGGCCCCTTTGACCTGATCCACCAGAGCTCTTCTTCAGTTATTTCCTGCTCTGAGTAGGGCTAGGTGTGGGATACAGCCCTCTGAAACCAGAGCCCTGCTTGACGTCTCTCAGTTTATGTGCATGTAGTGGAAGGCTCACTATGCCTCTAGTCCCTGCTGCGGACCAATTTGCTCTCCCCCCTCCATGGGGAAACAGGATCATGGAGCTAGGGAAAGGGAGGTTCAGCCTCCTTCCTCAGCTGTGTCTTGGAGCAGCTTGGTCCGGGCAGCCTGTGCTCCCTTGGGAGGGCACCCGTTTCTGGTTTTGCCAGCCAAGGTGGGTCAAGAGGAGTAAGACCTGGGAATGGGATGTGCTGCATCTGTGTTCCTTCCCGCATGCATTTGTGGTCCTTATCGTTGCTGCCTTCCTGGTGTGCTGCTGGAACATGTGTGGTCTTTGTATCACTGACTTTGTGGAGCCTTTCCCTCCTGTCTCTTTGAATGTTTTCTGTGCAAAACCGGACTCCCTGTTGCCTGTGATTTATTCTTTTTATTTATTGCATTTGCATCCTACCTTTTTTTTTTCCTCCATGGAGCTCAAAGTGGCAGGACATGCGTCTGCCCATTTATTCCCTGCGAGGTAGACTAGGCTAAGAGGCAGTCACTGGCCCAAGGTCACCCAGTCCTAGGTCCTAGTCCAACACTCTAACCACTATACTGCACCGGTTCTCAATTTAATCCGTTTCCTCCTTCTTCTCTCCTTCTGACTCCCTACTGGCAGGTCTGGGACTGAACGCTTGGAATGGGAAGTGGGAGAATCTGCCCTCTAGCAAACCCCCAGTGAAGATGTTTGTGAGCAGGCAGGAGGGAAAAGGGGAGCAGGTGGAGGCCCCTGCCAGTGGCTTTGTTAAAACAAGAGCAACGTATGTGCGTCCTCCGCTGCGTAGGGCGAGATGATTGACCGCATTGAATACAACGTGGAGCACTCGGTGGACTACGTGGAGAGGGCCGTCTCGGACACCAAGAAAGCAGTCAAGTACCAGAGCAAAGCCAGGCGGGTAAGTTAGTGCCTTGCAGATAAAGAAACATTGCAGGCAGCAAAGGCCACCAATAGGGTTGGGCGATATCTGCTTTTCCACATTGCGGTGTATCACCAGCCAAACATCGCGGTCTGGTTCCATAGATGGTATTTAACTCCAAGTAGGTTGGCTAAGATTTATAAAACAGATTCAGATACGTGGTGGAAGTGTGAAGAAGCAGAGGGAATGTTTTTCCACACGTGGTGGACATGTAAAAAGTTAAAAGTGTATTGGGAAATGATTTATAATGAATTGGAAAAAAATGTTGAAAACACTTTCCCCCCAAAAAACCAGAATCCTTTTTGTTGAGGATAACTCAGACTTGTAATTCCTAGGGTCAGGAAAGGTTATTTATGTATGCAACAACTGCGGCCCGTGTTTTGTTAGCCCCCAAATGGAAATTGAGCGAGGTCCCAACTAAAGAGGACTGGCAACTTAAATTGACAGATTATGCAGAACTTGTAGATTTAACATATAGAATAAGAGAGCAAGAAGAACATTCATTTAAAGACTATTTATTGAATATATGGAAAATAACTATACAGCTGAAAATGCTGGCAGCACTAAGACAAATTCAACAGAGTAAGTAATTTTTGACGGATGTAAAAGTGGAAAATTGTTTTGAACGGTTGTAGTAAAATATGCAGGGAGGTATGATACAAAAAATGAACCGTGGAAGGAGAAGGAGGGAAGTCCCTGGATATTTTAAAGTTTGTTTATTTTGAAATGCAAAATCGAAAACTTAATAAAAATTATTTGGGGGAGGGGAGAGAGAATTGGCCAAATTGGCTATCCACAGCTACTTGCCAGAATGCCTCTGATCTCCCTCCACAGTCGGAGGCAGCAATGCTTCTGAATGTGAGTTGCTGGAAACCACGGGACGGGGAGAGTTGTTGCTGCGCTCAGATCCTGTTTGTGGGTTTCCCTTGGGGGGGCGTCTGGTTGGCCATTGCGAGAACAGGAGGCTGGACTAGATGGGCAAGTGGCCTGACCCAGCCTAGAGCTTGTCTGATGTTGTCCTCCTCTCTTTGCAGAAGAAGATCATGATCATCATTTGCTGCGTGGTGCTGGGCATTGTGATCGCCTCAACGGTTGGCGGGATTTTCGGCTAGAAGCCCAGGACTCTTTTTTTGGAGGGGGGGCGCAGAGGTGGAGAGTGCCTGGGCCCAGCCAGCCAGCCGCAACGCCCAGACCCTGCAGCAGAAGCAGCAGCAGCAGCCACCACCGCAGGGGTGAACTGGCCCACCAGCACTGCTCCCGTCTCTTATGCATGATTGTTCGTGTTAATGCTGCGTGTCCAGTGCAGTGGGGTGGGGGGTGGGAGGAAGGCCACAGGCACATGCAAATTCCCCACCTGATCTCCTCAGAGGGACACCCCCTCCCTTCGCTTCCACTGGCCAATGACTCACCTCCTCTGTGTTTTCTTTCCATCCCAGTGAGGTCCCTCTCTTTCTTCTCTGCCTTCAGAGGTGAGTTTGCCAACAAAGGTGTGCAAAATTGGACCCTGCTCTCTCCCAGGGGAAGGGCCAATATTTTCCTCTTTCTCTTTCCAGCCCCTGCTCTCTCCAGCCACAGAATGGGCAGGCTGGTCCCTTCTGACTCTGCTCTGAGCCACTTCTTTTTCCTGCCAGGTTCTTGCCCTACGCCATCAAGGCCTGTCTACTTATTTAAAACAGGATGCGACCTTTTCACTTAAGGCAGCCGCGGGGTGGTGCGCAACTCTAGATTTAAATCAAATGCAATGTTTTTTATTTTTGTAAAGGACACTTTTAGAAGCAGGCAGCAGCCACCTGTCAATAGAAGCAGGCTCCGTCCCCATTATTTTTAGATGTTCCCTCAAGGTTTTCAGGCCTATGCTGAATAGCGTCTTGGTTTTTTGGGGGGTGGAGGGGGTTGCAGTTTGCAGTCCATGAATCTTCCTGTCCAAATGTGCTGTGGCTCTCTCTCTCTCTCAAGCCCTACACAGCAGCAAAGCTCGTGTTTTGAATTTCCAGGTGTGAAACGGCGCCTCTTTCCAGAATTTCCAAAATGTTCCAAGTGGCACCGATTCAACACTTCACATGTGGGCAGCTTTACCCTCTCAGGGAAACCCTCCATGGACTTAAGATCTGTAACTGAGTTTCTCGAGCTGCTAATCTCTGGCTTCCCCAAATGTTGCTGGCCTCCCAACTCCCATCATCCCTGACCATTCCTGCATTGCAGGGAGTTGGAAGAGATCACCCACTGGGGTCACTTTCGACTCTGCACTTCTGTGCCGGCTGCTAGGAGTCAACACCTGGAGGTCCACAGGTTCCCTGCCCTGTGCAAGACAGTGCCTAGCATCTCTCTGCACGAGTCTGTGTGCACCTTGCCAGACCAGTTACTCCCTTTGCCAAAAGCACACACACCCGGTTGTGCCTGCTAGCAGTAGGTGAGGGTGGCAAGCTGCTCCCAGGGGTGACTGAGCAAATAGCTCACCCTGTTGGAAATGCAGACCCTGTGTTGAATCCATCTGTCCCTGTGCCAGGGGGACAGGAGAGAATCTGTGGGCTGCACATGGGTGGGAAACCAGATGTTCCTGCCTTCCCAACTCAGAACCGCAGAACTATAAGGCACCCAAAGGCTCATCTAGGTCGACTCCCTGCAATGCAGGACTCCCATCAGCCCCAACCAGCATGGCCGTAATGGGAGTTGCAGCCCATCATCGAGAGAGCCATGGCTGGCTCCCGTCCCTGCGACAAGGAGAGGGGTTTCTGCCCTCCCCCAGAGCCCATTAAGGGTGGTGCCAGTTACATATGCAATGCAGCAAGTGCCAACCCCCACCCCGGTCTTTTAACTCTGCTCTTCCAGCTGCTTCCCAGCACCAGCAGGTCTCTTGGAGAAAAGCAACACTGCCATTGTCCGGATCCAGAGCTCGCCCTCTCCTCCCTTAGCCATCGGAGTGCAATGAGACCTTTTTAACAAGGCGTTTGCTGCCTCCTGAGAGAATGTGCTCTGCTCACAAGCTGAGTCCCTGGAACGAGCAGGATGAGGCCTGCTCCGCTCCCGAGAGGACCTCAGCTGCACCTACTGCAGAACTACTCCAGGCTCTGACCTGCCAAGAGTCCCACATGGCAGTTGCATCAACAAATGTGTGGTCCTTCTGTAGTCTGAGGTTGTCTCCCTCCCTCTCGCTGCAGGACCACAGACCTTCCTTCCCCCTGCATCAGCTGGGGCAGGGGCCAAAGACCCTCTTTCTGAAGAGCACGTGCAATTTACATTTGTAGACTTTGCTCTCTGCCATCCGCTTGCTTCTTCCCCACATTTCCTGGCCCGAAATCTTCTGCAAGCAGCCTGGCGTGGCAGCATTTGGCCATCTGCTGCTTTGCTCCTCCTCCAGACCTTCCCCGCTTTCCTTGCATGTCGAAACCTGAGCCATCTGTGATGTGTCTGTGCTCTGGAAGCTGTTCTGCACTCCAGACAGCAAACCTGCCAGTTGTTGGGGTGTGTATGTATATGTGTATTTTGTTTTTTAATTGAGAGCCCTGAAGTGCCACCACCAGTATTCCGCCTCCTCACAGGGAAAGGACATTTATTGATCCATCTTTGCGGAGGCCTCCCCTGGAGTCTCGTAGCATCGCTGTGTTGCTGTGTGAAGCCAAGTGTCCTTCTCTCTCTCTCTCTCTCTCTCTGCCCTCACAAGCTGCCTCGCTCTCCTGCCTTCGTGGATGTGGAACTGTCCGTCCGTCTGTTGCCTTCTTCTGACGTTCTGGCCTGCTTAGTTTTCCCTTTACGCCACAACCCCCTCTATAAAACTTCAGGTGGAAAAGCAGCTTCCTTTTCTGGATGGGATTTTATGTAGAATAAAGAAAAAGTGTTTATATCTGTGAAGAGTTTTCTGGCTCCTCTGTGTGTGTTTGGAGGGGGGGTGTTGTCCTCCTGTTGACTATGCAGCCACCTCGTTTTAACACTCTGTCCCTCTCCAACATACAGGAAGGCTAGCAACATGCCTTGATGCTTAGGAGTTAGGGAAGGTGAAGAGATACAGAAGTTATTCTCGAAAATCCAACTCTTACCGTGCTCTGGCCCTTGAGCCCTTTCTGTGTGTGTTTTCCACACTTGTTTGTTTCTTATGAAGACTAGGACCTTTAGCATGGAGAGCTCAGCTTTTCTGGCAGCTGAGAGGCCTACATGCACTCTATGCACCCAGGCAGTGTGGTTTTCTCCATGCGACTTTAAATGTTTTATGTGCCCAAAGGAGCGGGGCTGCTTCCAAAAAGTTTATAGGGCAGAAGAAGGGGTTTGGACAATAGTAAGAGAGCAGGATAAATGCACACATAGGCCTGTGTTTCAGGGGCAGGGAACCTGTGGCCCTCTAGACCCTCTTGTGCCTACATTTCCCAGCATCCCTCTGTCCATCAGCCATGCCACTCAGGACTGATGGAAGTGTTCCAGCAACACTTTGTGGCCCTCAGGACCCCCTGCACCCCTTACACTGCAGCTAGGCAGAGTGGCTTAATTTAAGTCTGTGAATTGAGGGCAGGGGGTGGAGTTGAGCACAGAGAACCCCGCGTACAGCCAGCCCCACTTGATCTAGCGATCCACCATCTCAGGAAAGGTATTCTTTAAATATTTTAATAGCTGCTGCCACAAAGTTCCATCTTTGGGTGGGAAATATCTGCAGCCCTCTTCCAGATATTCCTGGACTCAAACTCCCATCTGTCAGGGATGATGGTGGTTGTAGTTCAGCAACATGGGGGGGGGGAGCCACCCCCAGCGCCTTCTACCCTATGTTTCAAAGCATTTTAGCCAGACTCTTTTCTAGCAGTGGGGAATCTCATCTCCCCACTGCCTGTGATGGAGGGCTCTGGAAAAGACGAGCCACCGTCTTGCAGCAGAAGGACCCCCCGCAGCAAAATTGGGCAGATGCTACTTTTCTGTCTCTTCAAAGCAGTCCTTTCTGGGTCTGGTGAAAGGATGAGCCCAGTCTGGAGGGAGTCAAGTGTCCTGCGTGAAAATCCCCTGGCTGATAACACATCCCTCTTTAGAGGCCGCAGACTGGTGCCGAAATGCTCCATGCCATTAAGGACGGGTCTGATCAACAGCGCTGCGATCAGAAGTGAGGTCGCCGCTTCCGGCCAGTGTACTTTGTGTCTGCCCGGACATCCCTGCAGGGGTAGCGTGAAAGAGAGAAGAAAGGGTAACGAGGTATGTGAGGAAGGGGGGAGGATTTGACCATCTTTATATTTACCTTGTCAGGATATTACATCTGGTTGCCCATTCGCTACCTGGCCAGGTACAAGGTGTTAGTCAAGTCCTTAACAACTTGGGAACTTTTTACTTCTAGTGTCACTTTACCCCATATACATCCACTTGACTGCTTCAGTCACCAGAACGGGCACTCTTACAGATGCCATGTAATACCCATTCTGCATCTGTAAGAACTCTGTTCTAGTGTGGCAGCACCTGCACTTTGGAACTCCCTGCCTAGTGATATCAGACATGCACATTAGGCCTACCCAGATGTTTAGAAAGTCGATGCAAGCTTTAATCTGCTTTCAGCCTATTGTTTTAGCTTTTCAAAAAGTCTTCAATTGTTGTTGTTAATTTTATTGGGGATTCCCCCCCCCAAACCACTTTGAGGGCTTTTTTAAAACGATCAATCTGTGTATAAATTTTATGAAAGAAATAAACAAATGGATCTACTCTGGGAGGGGGCCACCCTCTGCCCCCGCAAGACAAAACACTGGGTGGCTTCTAGGGGCTGCAAATCGCTCCTTTCCCAATCCATTAGATCGATTGGTTGATAAGCAGGGCAGGAGGGGAAAACCCATCATCCTCAGCTGAGGAAGGGTGTAATTTTGTGTGTGCATGCGCATGGGTGTGGGGGATAGTTTCCTGGAGAACATCTTAATAGACACACTGGTACATAGCTTAAGATGAATAGGCAGTAGAAAGGAAGGGGAGTATAGGCAGCAAAAATGGTTTTAATGTTGGTGAGGGGGGTGTTGCAAAAAAGTAGCCCAGGTCTCTGAAGATGTGTGAAGGAATTTGCTAATTATTTTTATAAGGCCTTACTGTTCCTCTCTGTAGCCTGGGATGTTACTTTTTGCTCTGCCTGACAAAGTCATTGCCTGAAACCTAATGGCAACTTCTGCCTGTTACATGGCCTTGAAATGCTGCATGTGCTCTGATGTGTTCATTTGCAAGCTTGTAAAAATTTGGCCTGCTCTTACAGGCCTTTTGAATTTACTTCCCTTGCTTAAGCTGATAAAGCTGTGTTTCACATCCTAACTAGCCAAAAACTACAACAATAACACAGCCGCTGAACGCATGCAGCCTACAGATTGAGGGCAAATGCAACCCTTGCTTCCTTCACGAAAGTTTAACCACCCCAGACCTCCTGCCTACACCCAAGGGTGGCCCCACACACCCAGGATGGAGAGGCCAGGCTTACCTGCCCTGCCGCCGCCTCCGTTCCTTTTTTTCGAAGACCCAGTCCCGGCTCTTCTTTGCAGACTTCCCTTTGATGTTCTTGAACCGTGTCCTTGGAAGAGAACAAGGGTGAAGTCAGGAACCAGCCCCTGTCTCCACCACCACCGTATCGGTCCTGCCACTGACTGGCCATGGGGCACTTTTAAAAATAAATGAATCACTATACTGCCAGTGAAAATGTTTTAGGAGTATCCCCTCCGGCAACCACCACAGGTTTTAAAAAACAAATGCCACTAAAACCATACATGACAATCTTTGGCCTGCTATTCTGGGGATTTGCTGGGCTCTCATAGGAGGGCTGTGACACCTGCAGGGCAGGCTGTATGAGGCAGGAAAACATGGCGACCAGGAGCTTCCGGGTGCCACGATGAAAAACCTCGGGCTCTTACTCTCTGTCTGTCCCCAAGCTGCAGAGGGTGGGTCTCGCCTTATGCAGCTGCAAGGGCGGAGACATTTGCTGATGGGAAGGGGGGGTGTGCAAAGCCACACAGTCTGGAAAGGGCAGCTGAATTGCTTTAGATCAGTGGTTGCCAAAGCGGGAAGTAGAGACCCCTGGCAGGGGGTGGGGATAACCTAGAGGGGAATAGGAGGTGTCAATGACTATCAGACTTAGAAAAGCTGTTATCACAGGATCAGATTGCTCTGTCTTGAACTGGATTTTGAACAAATGTGCAATTAATTGTTAGTGATTTGAATTTTATTGTGCTATACCACTATTGTTCCCATTGCAAGGTTGAGAGACTGAGGCCAGGGGGAAGAGGGCTCTTGTGCCTAAATCCTGCTTGCGGGTTTCCCAGTTGCGGCATCTGGTTGGTTACTGAGAACAGGATGCTGGACTAGATGGGCCACTGGCCTGATCCAGCAGACTCTTCTTACGTTACGGTTATCAATAAATCCCCTACGTTAAAAAGTGGCATGATTTCGTGCAGTTAAGCTGTGACAGCAGGCTCGCCCTTCCTCCAGGTCCTCTACAGCCCCCCCAATTCAAGGTGAACAGCGCTGTCTCTGTGGCCCCAGGCCTCTCCCAACTCTGACTCAATACCTTTCATTGGTAAACTTTGCCCTCGCAGTCTCCTGATCACTGCATTCTGTGCCAAGACCCTGCCGGGGGAAAGCGGAAAAACACACACACAGCACATCAGTTTGCCTCAGGGGAGAGGAGAAAACCAGAGCGATGCAGCTGCTTTTATTGTTCAGAGCAAACCCTCTCCTGCATCTCTGGTGCACCCCATGGCCCACCCCCAATAGCCCCACAGATTGTTACCTTTGGCAACGCATCTGCTGCACCAACAAAAAGACAGAGAAAGAACCTGGGGAAAGAGAGACACAAAATAATGAGAATCTGAAAAAAGAGAACATGTATTTTTTTAAGGAGATACTTGTGCACCAAGTTCTCCTGGCAGCCCACAAGGAGTTACTTTATTCAGAGAGGAGCTACTAGCCTGCCCACCTGCCCCCTTGACTGTCAACCCTCATCAGTAGCTGCTTTCCAATGTTGCCAGAAGAGTTTTTTCTTAGCTCTCCACTCCAGGAGGTTGTGTTCTCCGGCTGGAGAGCAGCCGGAAGATGAAATGCCTTTCTGAGCAATTTGCCTGGGAAAGGAGAGGCCTCGATTAAAGCCTCAAGGAAGTCAGCAGTCACACAGAAGTGAGCTAGATTGCTTTGGGTGCCTCCTTCTCCTTAGAGGCCTCCAATGACTACCAGGTTTGGTGTACACAGGATTCAAATGCGTCCCTCATGTCAGATTGCTCGCCATCACAAGCAGGGCAGCGCAGCGCAGAGAGTCAGTTTCTGGCAACCTCCCTGCATTGCTCTGGCCCTGCAAAAGCCTCTCCAGGCAACATGGAAGGCAGAAAAAGGAGCCCTCCCTGGTCTCCAAATGGAAGAGGACTCACTTCTTGGCTTTAGCGCTGTTGGGGTAGTCAACCACCATGCCGCCTGTGAAGCCGGCCTTCATGGCTTGGGAGGTGATGAGTTCCAGCTGGCAGGAGAAATAGAAGACAGGTGAGTCTGAGCAGCTGGGGCAGGGGGCTCCCTCTTCTAACGGGACCTTCATAGCATGCCAACCCTGCCCATCCTTAACTCCTGATTCTTTGTCTCTCTACCTGACTGGGGTTTAGGAACCACAACTTCAGCTAAGGCCACATGCATTCAGGCATGAGGAAGAATCAAAAGAGTTGGAGAAGACACCAAGGGTCATCTAGTCCAACCCCCTGTAGTGCAGGAATGACAGCTAAAGAATCCCTGAGAGGTGTATTCTACTAGCATGGCTAGTAGCCACTGACAGCCTTCTCCTCTATGAATGAGGAAGGGGAGAACCATGTACGCCAACTTTGAGAAAAGGGTGAAGTAGAAACGCAAATAAATTCCAGTAGAGCCTCATCCGGCTTCCCTAAACACCATCAACTTGTGGGAAAAGGCAGGCTGCATGCTAAAGGGTGCCAAAGACACCAGGTCCCTGCAAACCACCTCCTATATGAGAGTCCTTGGGGGTGTCAGATCTCCAGGCACAGCACAGAACCAAAAGCAGCAGGCCCTTGCGGATCTATGCAGAGCTTCAACCTCCCGAAGCCTCCTTCAGCCTGTCCCTGGCAGCTCCGGGCCTCTGGCTGCGCCAGGCCTACCCCCGCCCCACAGTTCCCACAGGGACCGCACCTGCTGAGAGTTTTCTGGGTACAGCTGGAGGACGGCACGGGCTCCTCGGGCCTGTAGGAGGAAAGGACAATCAAAAACAGCCTATGCAGCCCTGGCCAAGCGTCTCTGTTGGGAGTCTCTAAATTTCTTAGGCCTGTGGGCACGTTTCGATTATTGAGAGGGGGGGCCACTCCCTCTTTCGTCCCTTCTCCCCCACACTCCGATGCAATCCCAGGATCAGTTCCAGATCTCACAGGACAATCTAGCTTCCCATGAGATCTAGCAAGAGCGCTCCCAACTTGCCAACATATACAGCCATATCTCAAGTTGCGTTTGCTTCACGTTGCGTTTTTTCAGGTTACAAATGCGGCAAACCCAGAAGTGTTTACTTCCAGGTTTGCCGCTTCACGCATGTGCAGGAGCGATCTGTGTGCTTCACGCGTGCACAGGAGCGCTCTATCTCGTCACACACCGAAGCGGCGCTCTACTTACAGACTTTTTGGGGTGCGAATGGCACCCCGGAACAGATCACATCCGTAAGTAGAGGTACCACTGTAGTTGAAACTGCACAAGTTAAATGTACAAAAGATGCAGGAATACTGTGATATCCTTTACCCTCATAGATGGTTTGGAAGAAGCAGGTTTGAGAAGCCCTTACCAAAGCAGTATAGAGAGTCGAGAAAAACCGATACAGCCGCTTTGGGGGGCTGTGGGTCTTCTTGTCAGCATTGCATAGCCACTGCACTGCAGAAATACTGCAAGGAGAGTAAATGGGAAGTCCGGTCAGCTGGTCAGCAAAGAAACACCTGTCCTCAATGACTTTTCTCAGTGGAATCTCATTCTGCATTTGCTGGTGAGTGAAACTCCCAGCCAAGTTCTCCTACCTGATACAGCCATCAAAGGTTCCTGGCCGGAAGGGGATGCCCTGGCCCATGTCTGCCAGCATCAAGTCACCCTCCACTTCTCTTTCTGCAGCTACATCTGTGCAGGATTAAGAGTACAAGAGGATTTTACCATTCCTGCCAGTTTTGACCGGTCCAAGGCAGGACGCCTCAAGCCAAAGGGGTATGTAAATAAGGGTGTCAATCTGAACGTTTTGCATGTTTATTATTGTAGATCATGGCAACGGTACGGTTGGTATCACTCAATATAAAACATTCTCCTAAATGAACTTTCCTCATCTATAGTAGTTCTTATTTCAAACAGGTCCTGGAAGGCATCAAGGAGACAACCTGAGCTACTAGTATTTACTATAAAGGTCAGCACAAGTAATCTAGTTACCAGCAAGATTTAATAAACAGCTCCTGTAAAAGAATGGGTTCCACACAGACAATAGTAAGTTAGCTGGCTAGGATTATACTCTTTAAACTACCAAATAAGCAGACTAAATGAAATGGAAAACAGGCAGGACTTTAATAGGGAAGAGACAATAATTACAAAGAAATAGAGGTATTAAAAATACTCAAAGACTCCTTCCCATTAGCATACACAGGCCAAGTGGACACACATGTAGGATTCAAATGCATCTCTTGTAATGGATACAGAAAAATTCTACTCACCCAACATGGCAGAGCTGATGTCCATGCCAACCCAACAGTGTCCCTCCTCGGAGATGTAATCACCACTCAGACCAGAGCCACACCTGACCGGAAGAGATGTACAGGTTAAGAAATAATGAAACGCTGACTGGTTTTCATCTCTTAGCAGGAGCCAAACAGGATTCAGGGATTCAATAGCACTTGCCCAAGCCCCTTTCACAGATCTGGGGACAGGAAATCACTTTCTCTGCCCAACATCTGGACTAGACAGACCACGAGTCTGGCTCAGCATAAGGAAGCTTCCTGAAAGGAGAGCCCTGTGGCTGCTGCATAAGCCCAAAGGGGGCTCATCTGGTCCAGCATCCTGTTCTCACAGTAGCCAACCGATGCCCCCAAGCAGGACCTGAGCACAACAGAACTCTCCCAACAACTGGTATTCAGAAGCATTGCTGCCCCCGACCATGGAGGTAAAGCATATTATCCTCTGTGATTCTGTCTAATCCCCCTCTAAAGCCTCTCAAGTAGGCAAGCTTCACAACCTCCAGTGGGAAGGAGTTCCATAAGAACATGAGACTGCTGGATCAGGCCAATGGTCCATCTTACCCAGCATCCTGTGCTCACAGTGGCTAACCAGATGCTCCAACTGGGAGACCCACAAGCAGAACCTAAGCACAGCAGCACTCTCCCAGCTTGTGAGTCTTCCAGCATACTGCTTCCAAGGGTAGAATGTGATTGTAGCCATCAGGGGCAGTAGCCATTTGATAGCTGAATCCTCTTCCACAGCCATCCAAACTGGTGTCCACCCCTACTTCTAAAGGGAGTGAATTCTATAGCTTTAACTGAATAAGGACTTTTCTTTGTATTTATGTTCCCGTGATGGACAGGCTCCTTAACTATTCAGGACCCCAATCCAAACTTACTGTCTGGAATAAGCATAACCTCCTACATAAGACGGACAAAACCAAAATTGACTTTTGGAAGCTGGGTGCAAAAAAGAAGCTGCCTGATCCTCCCACGCTGGCAGTTTAGAGGAAGAAGCAGCGACACACTTAAAGGTACAATGCAGCAAGCTCACCCAACATCCAGCAAGAAACAGGTTCGGTCCTCCGGGAGACCCAGCAGCTCCACAGCCCGTTCGGACATCTGCGACTGGATCTCGATCATTCGAGAGCTGGAGAATGGAAATGCCCCCAAACAAGCAGTGAACAAACCCCAGCTCCTCTTGGATGTCTGCAAGGCAGCTTGGGTGGGGTAGGGGAGTGGGAGAGTACACACAGGCATTGCATCTATCCCAGATGTTTAAGTGGTAAAACAGGTGTTCCAATGTTAAGATGGACAGGACAAAAGCCATATCACACCAATGCCATGCAGCAGAAAAGAATTGCGTCTGTCTGTATGGATGGGGGAGATGACAACCACTGACAATTGTTGGGGATTGGATTACTAACATCTATTTACAGACCACTGCAACTCTTCCATATATCCTGCTCCTCAAAAACCATTTAGCTACTACCTCCAAAACAGTCACATTGTCTTTCTTTTAAATCAAGGACATCCTCTATGCATTTTTCCTCCATCCATTTTGACACTTCCAAGGACCCTGCCTCTTAGAGCACACCCAGGAGGCACCACCCACTTTAAAAACCACTGTTTTAAGACATGCTTTAAAAGCTCTTTAAACAAATAGGTTCAATAAAGAGATTAGCTGCTTTCCTCAGCCCACGGCTGCCTTACTTGTGTGTGTATTTTCGGGCTTCAGTCTCATCGTAGAACTGGGAAAAGAAAGAGAAATGGGGGGTTGCATTGAAGAAAGAATGTAAGCACCCTTATGGATCTGACTAACAAGAACATAAGAGCCTGCTGGATCAAGCCAATGGCCCATCCAGTCAAGCATTCTGTTCCCACAGTGGCGAACCAGATGCTCCAAAGTGAAACCCACAAGCAAGACGTAAGCGCAACAGCAACTCTTCCTTCCTGTGGCTTCCAGCAACTGATATTCAGAAGCCTCAGACCATACAGGCAGAGCACAGCCATCATCACTAGTGGCCTTGATGAATTTGTCCAATCCTCTTTCAAAGCCATCCAAGTTGGTGGCCATTGCTGCCTCCTGTGGGAATGAGTTCCATTGTTTGAATAGGCACTATGTGAGCTACTCCTTCCTTTTATCTGCCCTGAATCTTCCAACATTCAGCTTCATTTTCACAAGATGGACTGCCTCCTGATATGGGAGGTTCTTTCTGATGATCAGAGTTAACAGCAACTGAGGAATTTCTCGGCTCATAAAAAAGAGAGATCTATTCCCCGCCACCACACAGATCAGTCGGCAACCTGGTGCCCTCCAAGTGAACTGTGTTACAACGTCTATTAGTCCGGGTGACAGGTGCTGTACTCCAAAACCATCTGGAGGACACCAGGTCGGCATAGACCGATATAGCTGACCCCTGGTCGTCTTCTGTTTCCCACATTGGCCGCCCAGATGGCTCCAAGGAGGATGGAAGGAAGCACCCTAGCAGCAAGACATGGAGGCAACCGCTATAAAGTTTTACCCAAAGGTAGACTGCCTCTGTGCTTGGAGGCTCAATTCTTGGTCCTGGGGGCTTACAGGTACGAGCGCTCCACCGGCCCCTGGTAGTCCTCGCCCCCGCCTCCCTCTCCCCTCCTTGTCTCTCTTACTAGTTCTGGGGGGCCGCGATGCTCGGGCCTCTTGCCGCTGGCCGCCATGCTTGCGCGCTTGTCTTCCACGTCACACTCGTGCGACACAGAAGCGGTCGCGGCTGCAGAAATTAAGAGAGAATTGTTGGGAGGGCCATCCCACTTCCTGGATAGCCGATTTCCGGGTTCTTCCTTCGTTCCAGCTGAATTTCCCATTTGATCAGGAGGGTTGCGGACCGAATCGAGACAAAGGCGGTGTGTTTATCACACTCGGCTCGCTTTACCCGGAGGCTACGGAGGTGTTGCATAGGCTGAAGCGTGTTGTGTAATTGTATTCTTGCCGTCTTGGTTCTTTGAATGAGCCTCTGAGTGCAAGTCAAGGGTATAGAGGCTTTTTTCTGCTGGGCGAGGTGGCCTTTTGCCCATCGCCCCCCACCTGGGGGGGGAAACAATCACACTACCTCTCAGCCTACTTTATAAGGTTGTTGTGGGGATTAACATAATGGGAAGGAGAACGATGCATGTCACCTTGAGCTCCTTGGAGAAAAATGGTGGGCTATAATAAATACATGAAGTGCGGTTGCTTGATCTGCTGCCCACTGTGGGCTGCAGCAAGCCCCTTCGTGTACCATATCTGTTTTCGGAATCGCTTCTTATAAGAGATTCCAAAGGCGGTCTTCACCTTTAAACCGTGCTTGGATCGGGCAGCCTTTCACAACGGAGGCTCTACTGTCCTCTATTAACGTAGCAGGACACGTGGCGATCCGACCGCCTGCGACTCCAAGCACCTCTCCCCCCTTCCCTTCCGGGATGTTTCCCTTGGGGGTCGGGTAGCCCTTCAGATAGAGGACGATACTTCTCCGCAAAGCGACATGCAACGCCACGAGAAACCAAAAGTATGTATAAGGAAATTTAGAATTAAAGTCTCCCCAACTAATTTCAATTAAAAGAGAGCTCGCAGTTTAAATTTTAAAAACCACCCCTCCCCAATTAAAACCAGTCAATCAATAATGGCTTGTGCCGTGACTCCTAGCGTTTGCGGGCTGGGACTGACATTTTATTTGTTATATACATTTTGCATGTCTTTTTTGTACCCCGCCTGGAAATCGTAACATGATAGGCGGCATAGAGATGTGTGTGTGTATTAAAACGAATGAAGCTTTAAAAACATGGATATCGCCATTCATTCAAGTATACAAGGACAGCTGTCGCTTCTTCCCCTCGGGGGGAAAAGGACGAGGAACCCCCACCCACAAACGAAGTTTAATGGTAACCGCAATTTCTCTCTCCTCCTCTACACCCGAATCCTCTTTGCGGCTCAATCAGCGCACAGTGCGTGGCCAATCCCGCGAAGGCTACTTTTGCGCGCGCGCCCCTCCGCCTCAGAACCGCTTCGGCGCATGACTGACGGCGGCTAGCGAACGCGCACGCGGCGGAAATCGCCACCCATTGGTCGGCGGCGATGCCACGCGCGTCCCCGTCGGCCTTGGTCCCGCGCGCTGAGGTGGCTGAGGCGAGAAGGCGGCGGCGGCGGCGGCAGGGAAGATGGAGGCGGCGGCTGTGCCGGGTTCGGCGTGGCTGGCGGGGCTGTCGCTGGTCCTCGGCGGCCTCGTTCTCTGGCTGGTGCTGATCCTGCTGAGGCGGAGGACGGAGGAGGCGGAGCCCAGCCGTAAAGGGACGGAGCCCGTCACGATCGACGGTGAGAGCGCGAGACGAGGAGGGGCGGGGCTTAAGGCGAGCCACACCCCCTTCGGGAGTCCTCACTTTGCCCCAGCTGCAAAATGGGCCGCTAGGCTGAGTCGTGCCAAAATTTCAGGATGAAAGCAGTGCCTCGTATATCATATTCAGTTATATTGGTTGCATAATATGGTTTAGGTCAATAATGTGTTGTGATATAAAGACAGTTTAGGTGAAATTCAATATAATTACATAATTTGGGCTAAGTTTCATATAATTTAGCTCAGTATGGCGAACACTGGTGGGCAGCAGCTTTCCAGGGTTTCAGATAGGGAGCCTTTTCCTTCCTTACCTGGAGACACCAGGGATTGTACCTAAGAGCTTCTGCAGGCAAAGCAGATATGAGCCTTCTCCAGCTATGTGGATTACTGGCTTTTTCATAGCATTGTAAGTTGCGTTTTCAAGCTACGTTGTTATATTTGGAGACTTACAATCTATTTTGAAAAAATGGTCCTGCATCTGGCCTTGCTCTTCTAAATTCTGGGAGAATGCTGATTGTCTAGTCCGTCTTACCTATTTTTAAAATAAGACTTTCTTCAATTGTATTCTGTAGATCAGGATGTGAACAGTGAAGCAGCCAGCAAAACATCAGTCCCAAAAAAGCAGAAGCAGCTTCAGCGGATCCGCAAAGAGAAGCCCCAGCAACACAACTTCACCCACCCACTCCTGGCTTCGGCACTCAAAGTGAGGCCTGGCAGGCTACAGCTTGTGTTCTGTGTTTCGCGGGGAAAGGAGTGGGCTAATCTTATGTAGGAAGTTTGCCTTTATACCAAGTCAGAGACCTATCTGGCTCAGTATTGCCTGCATTGATTGGCAGTGATAGTCCAGGGTTTTTAGACTGGGAGTTGCTCCTAGCCCTACCTGGAGATACCAGGAATTGAACCTTCTTCATGCAAAGCAGATGCCCTACCAGTTGGTCTTTTATCTAGTGATGGGGTTTTCCCCTTCAGAACCCTTCTGGGTTTTTGGAAATACTGGATCCTCCTTACTCCTCACATACACGCATGCACATTGCAGAAAAACATAGGAGCCAGTAGATTAGACATGCAAAAACTCACAGTAGTAGGGAAGATTATGACCTGAGAGAGGCGGTGGTGGTGTAGTAGTTAGAATATCATACAAGGATTTGGGAGACAAGGGTACAAATCTGCACTCAGCCATGAAGCTCACTTGCTGACCCTGGTCCAGTCAGCACCTCTCAGCCTAACCTACCTCACAAGGTTGTTGTGGGAATTAAATGAGGGGGAGAACCATGTACACCATTTTGAGCTCTTTGGAGAAGAGATGGGATGTAAATCAAATCAACAAACACTTTTGCAGCATGGCAACCAGCTCTTGGCTCCCTGTGCCCCAGGATGGAGCACCTCTGTATTCCTTTCCACTTTTAGCTTGTTGAGAGGCCAAAGGTTGATCCTCTTTGCATTCTTCAGGGCCACAGCGGGAGCATCACCTGCCTGGATTTCAGCAGCAATGGGAAATACCTGGCGTCCTGTTCTGATGACCGCACCGTCCGCATCTGGAGCACCAAGGACTTCCTGGAGCGGGAGCACCGCTGCATGCGAGCCAACGTAGAGCTGGACCATGCCACTTTGGTCCGCTTCTACCCGGACTCCAGGTGGGGAGGCTGTGCCTGGGCATGGGACATTCAGCTTTGCTCCTCCTCCTCTTTACAGCTGAAATTGCAGACTAGCTGATCCTTTCCAAGAAGATGGGGAGGACGGATTAGAATTACCAGCAGCTCAGGTTGATCGGTGGAGTCACCAGCCCTTTTTTAAAAAAGGAGCTAGTAGCTAGAGCTAGTTTAAATTCAAGTTCAGCATGCCCCAAAGCAACTAATTCTAGTTCATGTCTGTCTCCTTACAAAATGAACCGGTTCAGTTCACAGTCATTTCGTTTGCCCAAATGATACTCTGCCAAAAAAAAAAAAAACCGCCTTCAGAATGTTATAAGCTGCTGTGCTAAAGTATAAGATATATTTAAGAAGAGTAAGGAAACATTTTTCAAAACCACAGTGGAATGTGATGTGTTTAGTTCCCCCCCCCCCAGCAATTATTATATTTAAGCTTAAAAAAAGTTCAGCCAGCAATTATGGGAGGTGTAGCTCAAAGATTTTGGAACTAACTTTGCAAACTTTGCAAACTAGCTCATTCCAAGCAGTGAGGGTGGGGAGGGGGTCAATTCCTAAAAAACAGTGATAGTAAATTCTATCCTGGAGTAGGGGGTGTCAGCACTGACCACCTGCCCAGGTTTGCTCCTGCTGGTCCAAGCCACTGTCCTTCTTTGCTGTAACGGCAGAGATGGAGTGGACCTGTTGTCAAGCTTTTTCATTGCTACTCTCGTCCCCTGCCAGCCTTATGTTAACATTGAACTGGCATTGGAGTTTGATTAGGGGAATTCTGAAGGAGGACAGCACAGGTGCCCATACAACACCCAGCCAGCTTTACTTCAGGAGCAATAATGGAAACACTGGCAAAGCACCTGGGGCTGGGGGATGGCCTTGAGGCTGTTGGAGCAGCTTGTACTTGTGCTGCTTACAGGCACTGCCTCTCCTTTCTTCAAGCAGAGCCTTTATTGCGTGGCTGGCCAACGGAGACACCCTCAGGCTGTTCAAAATGACAAAGAAGGAAGACAGCAGCTTCACATACGCCGCACTTCCAGAAGACTTCCCAAAGCTGCACAGAGCCCCTATCATCAACATTGGAGTCGCAGACACGGGTATGGAAGAGGGGAGGGGGCTCTCTTTCTTTTCTAGGGTTTGGCTTCCTAAGTACCCAGAGCTGAATTGGCCGGGGAGAGCCAATGAAAACCTAAGAAAAAGCAGCTGCATCAGGCCAAGGGCCTGTCTAGTTCAGCATCCTGTCCTCACAGTGGCCAGCCAGGTGTCCCAGTAAGAAACCCACAAGCAGGTCTGGAGCACAAAAGCCCTCTCCCCTCCCATGGTTTCTGACGTTTGTGTGTGTTTTGCCAATTATTTTTTATTGATTTTCCAAATTACAACCCAATTTTCACAAATTATTACAAATGAATACAATTTTAATGAAATGATTTCCCACTTGCCATTGTCGGCACGCCCTTGACTTCTAATATTACTGCATTAACTATTTTAAATTATCTCCAATTACAATGTGTTACCCAAAATTATCCCTTAATTATCAGCTGTACTCTTAGCAATTTCCATTCATGTTGAAACACTGTTTAAAGCATTTACATACTTTTGTGAAACTTCCAAGTGAGAATATAATCTTTCTTTTCATTTTATTCTGTGTATGACAGTTCCAATATATCATCTTCATTGGCCTTATCCTCTGCCCTTTATACCAAACGTCTCCATATTCAAAGATGACCTTGAGTGGCATTCCTTTCTGGGTGCTTGCAGTGCTGCGGTTGTTATTCAGTGCATAGCTGGTATCTCAATGTTAACCATGGCTAGCAGCTCTTTGCCATTGATCTCTTGTCTCTCCTGCCCCAGGGAAGTACATCATGGTCGCCTTCAGTGACACCACCATCCTCATCTTGGACACGAAGGGGGACGTCCTCGCCACCATCAACACCAACCAGATGAACAACACCTTTTCAGCTGTGTCACCATGTGGAAGGTAAGGGTTGTGTCCGCTACGCAGCTGAGCTGCTCTCTACCACCTTCCCACCCTCAGGGCAGTCAGTTGCTTGTATTCCCCCATGAGCCAGGAAAGCCAAGGGCACGTCTCCAGAGTTAGCTCTAATCTAATGCCAAAGAGTTAATAGAGTCATAGAGTTGGAACGGTCCTTGGAGGTCCTCTAGACCTTCATTGGTGTTGAGTCTACAAGGCAGGAGGCAACGACAGGTTTCCTGCCGCATGACATCCCAGCCTCTGCTTAAATCCCTTCAGTGAAAGAGGGTCTGTTGTTTCCCAACCCATTGTGTCTCATTCCCAAGATTCCTCTTATGTTAAAGATGCTTCTCCTCACATTGAGCAGAAATCCGCTTCCCTGAAGTTTCCATCCACTGTAGACCCAGTCCTGCCCCCTGGAGCAACAGCAGACAAGTTTGCTCCATTTTCTAAGCTCCTTAGATATTTGAAGACTGCTGCCCTTTCTCTTATCTCTCTCTCTCTCTCTCTCTCTCTCTCTCACACACACACACACACACACACACACACAAAACACATTTACAGAGAGAGAGTTTTCTCCTCTCCAGGCTAAACAAACTCAACTCATTCAGCTGTTACTCACAGGATTTGATTTCCAAACTCCTCACCATCCTAGTCACCTTCCTCAGGAGAACGTTTGTCAGTATCCTCCTTAAAATGTGTTGTCCAGAATTCAGATGTGGCCTAACTAGGGTGGTGTTAGCTTTCTCTCTCTCTCCTAGCTTTGTGTCATTGGCAGATTTGATGAGCGTCCTCTCTACTCCCTGATCCAGATCATTTATAAAAAAATACAGTATTAGCACAAGGCAAAGGAGAAAGCCCTGTGGCACTCCACACAAAACACACACACAGTTAAGACACAGCAGCCATCAATGAGCACACACCGGTGTATGGTTGCTTCATGTGGCTCCAACCTCAGTAGTGTCCAAACACCCCTTTTCTAACTTATTTATTTATAGCATTTCTATTCCTCCAAAGAATTCAAGGTGGCACACATGGTTCTCTCCCTCATTTAATCCCCACAACAACCCTGTGAGGTAGCTTAGATTAAGAGGCATTGAGCGGCCCAGGGTCACCCAGTGAGTTTCATGGCCAAGTGGGAATTTGAATCCTGGTCTCCCAGGTCCTAGCTCAACACTCTAATCTCTACACCACACTGTCAACAAGAATATAATGGGAGACTTTGACATGTTTCACCGAAGTCAAGGCATACTATTGAACTTTTCTCAGGTTGCTTTCAACATATGTACAATCTGTGTGCAAAAGAGATGAGCTGTGCAGATCAGCAGGTACAGTATACACATTCACACAAACACATGAATGTGTGTAGAGAAAGCTTATACATGCATTTAGTGTAACATGTGAACAAGCCTTAACATGTGCTGTTCCCAGGAATATGAGGCAAGAGTGGTCTGGAGCAACTGGGAAGAGGCAACTTTCAAGGCTGGTTGGTGCAACTGATTTGGCACAGCTTGGCTTGGGAATAACGGGGCACTTCCCTCCCCTGTGGCTTCTTCCCTTTCCTCCAGGTTCGTTGCATCGTGTGGCTTCACTCCCGATGTGAAGGTATGGGAGGTGTGTTTCAGCAAGAGTGGGGACTTCCGGGAGGTGACCAGGGCCTTTGAGCTGAAGGGGCACACTGCTGGTGTGTATTCCTTCTCTTTCTCCAATGACTCCAGGCGGTAAGTGAGGAACCCTCTTCCAGCTGCACTTCCCTCTGGTAGTTCTGTGTCCTGTTTGTCACTGCTGACTCCTCCAAGGAACGCTCCTGGTTATCTGCTGCACTGGGTGGGTGTGGCCAGGAGGCCCTTTGGACTAGCCTCTTCTTGCCTGCATCTCCTCCCCTATAACTAAGCCAGAAGGAACCTCCTTCCAAGGTTTGAAGTTACACCATAGCACTGTCCTCCATGTCCAAGGACAAGTATCCTGGTTTGGTTATTTCATGAGACTTCTATGCTAAATGGCTGTAGACAGTTGTTGTTGTTAATTTATTTATTACCCGCCCTGCACCTTAAGCTCCTGGGACTAGTTACAGCATTAAAACACAATATTAAAAATGACTGAAAACAAGTTACAACCATAAAAATAAGGTGGCTCCTGAAAACATACACCTAAGGTGTCAAAAGCCAGGGTAGCAAAGAGGTGCATCTTCAGCATCCTCTGGAAGCTGTATAATGAAGGCAACAGATGTGGCAGGGAGTTCCACAGCTCAGCGGCTGCCCCTCTTCCAGGCCACCACCCTCCAAGCCTCTGAAGGCAAAGGAACTACCAAGAGGTCTCCCTCTGCTGACCCAAAAGCGTCTGTAGGGAAGGAGGCGACTAGTCTTTCAGGTGTTTTGCGCCTGAATCATTTAGGGCTTTAAACCACCAATGTAAGCAATATGAATTGGCAGCCAGGTGAGTAACGATTTAAACCAAAGCTGAATTTCACAGCTTGACTCTGACACCCCAAAGCCAGGGGGAAACAGGTTATAAAGCAGAGGTGAGGAACCCAGCCAGCCATCAGCAAGAAGCTGATGGAGCCTTGGTGGGACATCCTCTCAGCCTGAGGCTGCATTCTGCCACAGCTACAGCTTCTTGACAACAATTCTACAGCTCAAGACTTCAGCCGGAGGGTAATGTCTTCTTTCCTCCCCCCCCCCCAAACCCAGGATGGCAACGGTTTCAAAGGATGGAACATGGAAACTATGGGACACAGATGTCGAATACAAAAAGCAGCAGGACCCGTACCTGCTCCTGACAGGTCGGTGCCAGGTGGCGGAGCCCTGTCGCATCGCCCTGTCCCCTGACGCCCGAGCCCTGGCCATCTCCAGCAGGACCAGCATCTTTGTTTACAATACCCGGAATGGCGAGGAAGAGGAGCGCTTTGAGGGCGTCCATGGCGAGCACATCACAGACTTGGCCTTCGATGTGAGCAGCCGCTTCCTGGCCTCCTGCGGAGACCGGGCTATTCGCATCTTCCACAACACGACCGGCTACCGGGCTGTGGTGGAGGAGATGAAGGCCCTGCTGAAAAAGGCCACCAACGAGTCGACAAAGCAGAGACTGCAGCAGCAGGTCACAAGTGCCCAGAACGCTCTGGACGCCATCTATGGCAAGGGCAACTGAGCCCTTCCCAGAGCAGGGGGGTGTGGGGATGGCTTCTGCTGGGCAGACCCAGGGCTAGGATTTTCATGTCAGAGAGACGGCTAATAAAATATGTTTTGCACAACTGACGCTCTCCCAAGGTTTGATGAAGCCTGTCACCACGAGAAGGGCAGAGGAGCATTGCTCATTTCCAGACTAGGCCTCTAATACAGGGCATGAAAATATTTTTTTTCACCTGTTCCCACTTGGGTCTGAGCCATCCCAAGAGCGGGTCTGTCCCTACATGTCACAAGAGAGCAGAACTAGCTTTATTTTTTTTAAGGGTGTAGACCTTGCTCCAACACAGCATATATAGCCCTAAAAAGCAGGTTAAAGTGCTTTGCTGTAGGGGCAGTGGATCAGCTGGCCTCACACTGATGGTGTTTAATGCAGGGCAGAGGTGGGGGTCCCTTAATTCTTTCTTGATCTACTTTTTATTTTATTGAATCATCCTAGTCCGCTGATGGGTGTTTAATTTACAGAGTCAACCATACAGAGGAAGGAAGGAATTTTTAATAGTGAGAGGGCTTAAGCTGCAATCCTGTACATGCTTACCTGGGAGAAAGTCCCACTGAACTCACTGTGGAACTTCTGTATACACAAGTAAGGATTGCACTGAAGCTCACTATGCTAACCAGGCATACTTCTGAGTAAACATTAGTGTTTCACTGTCTGGCTCACACCACATAGTTTAAGTCTGCTCTTATTTAAGAACAAAAGACATGTCTGCCTAGATTAGGCCACTGTCCTGCTATCCTGCTGGGGTCTACTTTTGATCATTTTTGCTTTCTTGGAAGCTTTTCATACTGTCACGTTGGACACTTTAACCAAGAACAGGCAATCTATGGCCCTCTGGATGCTGTTGAGCCTACAGTTCGCATCACACACACCCCGACCATTGCATTGGCCATTCTGACAGGCTATGGGACTAGGAGTCCAACAACATGTGTTCCCCATGCCAGGCCTAAACTCTCCGCCAGACTTCCACTGCAGATAGTTACATTCCCTCCAGTCCTACCAGTGGAAACCATTTCTCCTGCTGCTGGGGTTGCTGCCTTCAGCATACGTTTCCAAAGACGCCTTCTGTTAGGCAGCGGTACTGGCATGCAGTGATCACATCCCACTAGAGTATCTAAATGCTGCCCAAGTTGAACGCACCTAAGGGTTGGTACCTGGCACATTTTTAAAAATACATCCATGCAGCTCTAAATCTTTTTGTAGGTTATAAATGTGAGATTGACCCACATTCATCAGCTATCACCTTTTAAAGAGCGATGGTCCATATCTTATTTCTGCTGTGTATCTGTTGCTGTGTCCTGGATTTCTTACCCATTTAATTGTCACAGATACAGTGTGAGTAACCTGAGGCTCTGAACCCTTCTGCTATCTGCTGGGCTTTGTTACGATAGGGAGATTCGGCCCCGGCGCATGAGCTCTTTTCTAAAATTGGTCCCTCTCTAGGTGATTGTGTTTTGACAGATTTTTTCCATAGTGAAAGGGCAGAATGTTCACTGTCGGTTTTTTTGTTCTATGATTTTGAGATCTTCAAAAGATTCCACTGGATATGGTCAATCTAAGTCCACCAGACTTGATACCTTATTTTGCTTTATTTATATTTCATTGCCCACCCCATTTGACTGAAAGAGCTGCCAAGGTAGCAGCCAATTGAAAGCTACAATCTCTGCATGCTTACTTTGAAGTAAGGCCCATTGAACAAAGGAGGAGTTGCATAGCATAGGATCAAGCCTCACATAAATGAACAGTTCTTGGCTGGCTCTGCAGGGTAACCAGTCACAGCTAAGACATCCTTGGGGGTAGGAGGGCTGCCTTGGCCTAGCCCAGGTGTAGGGAACCTTTGGCCCTCCAGATTTTGCAGAACTATAATGCCCATCATCCATGGCCCGTGAGTGTTGTAGTTCAGTAACATTGCGGAGTGCCACAGTGGACCCAGCCCTGTCTTCCCCTTAAGAGGCATCAGTCTCAGCTTATTTTCTCTAGGTGCTGTGAGATGGTGGGATGTGCCCAAAAGTGTAGTAGTCGGCAGTTTGGGCTCACCATATATGCAGAAAGAGTTTTCACTTCTGATGTTCAAGAGCTGTACCTTATCCCTGAAAACAGACAGAGGATTCATATTATGACACAGCTGTATTTGTGAGGAGGGCATTGGTGTTCATTCAGATTTCAAATGGGTACCATGCAAAGCATGCTCCACCACTGAACTATAACTTTTCCCTTAAAAATGTTTCTAGTCCTCATGATAACAACCAAAGAAATAGGAAGCTGACAAGTCAGGCCACTGGTCTATCCATTCTACACTTGATCTTGGCCAAAAGGCCAAGAAGCGATTGGTCTATCCATTCTACACTAACTGGCAGCAGCTCTCCAGGGTCTCAGATAAAAAGAAACCTTTCCCTGCTCTACCTTGCTGAGGACTGAAGTGAGCACCATCTGCATACATGCCTGTCTGTAAAGCTGCTTTTCCCCACGTCTTCATTTTCACTGCTTAGGTCTCAGTTTCAAAATTGAATAATAAATAAATAAACAAGACCGCTGCCGCTGGGCATGTACAGAGTGCGTTAAAGCTCCGCCCTCCCGCATGCGCACGGGAGTGGAACCGGCTTGCGCATGCGCAGTGAAGGCAGACTCGCTCCCTCGGGCGGGGCAAGAGCGCTGACGCGTTACGCACGGCGGGTGTGGGGGCAGTCGCGCGCATGCGCAGCACGGCTGGGCAAAGCAGCTGCTGCTGCGGGAGCTGGCGCTGCCGGGGCCACGGGCGCCATGTCGGGTCGCTCGGTGCGGGCCGAGACCCGCAGCAGGGCCAAGGATGACATCAAAAAAGTTATGGCGGCCATCGAGCGCGTCCGCAAATGGTATGGGGACGGGGGGAGGGGCCGCGGGGGGGAGGGGCTTGGCGGCGGGTCAGCCAATCCTCGGCGGCCGCGGCCTTGGTGACAGTGGCCCAACCAACCGACGGCAGCCGTTTGGCGGGATGGGCGGGGCCTTCCCAAAGTGGCCAATCGCATTGTGCTTGTTGTAGAGGTGGGGTTGCGGGGAGAGATGTGCTTGGCGGGGCTGCAGGCCAATCATAGTTCAGGGGCGGGTGATGCCAGGCTGCTAGGAATGGCGTGACGCTTGGCCAGTCGCTCCGCAAGGGACCTGGAGGGGCGGGGGACCAGTTGTCATGGGGACTGGCTAGTCTACCTGCCGCGGACTGACCCAGTTTGCTGGAGAGAGAAGCTCTTGCTCAGTTTGCGTATGCCGCTTAATTTGTACATGCGTTCCTTGCTTATTTACATATTTTTTCTGAGCTCCTTGCCTGCATGGTTTCTACAATCTTCCCAACAGCCTTGCGAGGCAGGTCAGGGGGAGGTGGAAACAGTACTTAGGCATTTTATTCCTTATCATTGCCTCAAATGGAACCTCCAGAGAAAGGGGCAATCTACCTTCATGCTCTGCTTTTCATGGAAGGCATCAGGCTGCTACTGCTCCGAGTTCATGCCGGGAGCTTTTCCCAGCCCTACTTGGAGATGCTGCCAGGGATTTGAATCCTGGGCTAAAGGCTACTGTTGCAGCTTTATCTGCGATTATGGGGGCAGCCAAAGAAAGGGCCTCATCTGATGACCTGAGACCTTCCTAGATGGCTGCTTTCTTACCAGGATGGTAGCCTGGATGGGCATATCTGGGTCCGACACAGCAAAGCAGTTCTTACACTCCTACTTTGTGTTAAGTCAGTAGCATCAGGTTCCTTCTAGCCAAGGTATAACCCTGAGTGGGGCATGGGGACTGCTGTTTATCCCATTGCCAGAGCTTGCCAGAGAGAGAGCTCTATAAAGCAGAGACACTGAATCCTTTTAAATTCCCCTGTGGAAAACCTTCAGGTGCCAGTGGAGACCAGAGGCAAAAGACTGGGGTGCCCTCTTGACCTTTATTGAGTAGGCTACATTCTGGCCATGCCAAAGTCAATAGGTGCCTCTCTCCATCCAAGGCAAGTGAGAGGCATCGTCATAGTTCAAGGACAAATTCCAGGCAGGTAGAAGTGCTCTGAGAGAGCACGGGGCACGAGTAGGAGCAAAGGGCAAGGGGCCAAATTTAGCACACAGACCTACAGTTCCGAACGCATGCTGCACAGTTTCTCCCCGGCCTCATTGCAGCCTCAGAAGGCAAAGGCAATTGCCCAATGGGAAACATGTGGCAGGAGCGGGTGGTGATGTATCATCTTCTTCATCGTTGTGGTTGCACCTAATCTCTTTCATTATCCTGGCTCAGGGAGAAGAAATGGGTGACGGTGGGAGACACATCCCTGCGGATATTCAAGTGGGTGCCTGTTGCCGACAGCAAAGAGGTGAGGGGATGAGCACCAAGCCCTTCTGGGGAGCGAGAGAAAGAGGGCTGTCTTCCAACACTAAACAGGGGCTTGGAGGAGCGCCCTCTTTCCCCCTCCCCATTGTAGGCAGGAGGCAGACCAGGGTGGCTGTCTGGTGTTCAATGACGGCAATTTTGCCTAAGTGTTCATTTTATTGTCTTGCTTTACCAAATGAAGAACACCCTGCATTTGTTTGGCTCCAGTTTTCCATTCTACAAATACCATTTTGAATTTTATTCCTGCCTTCTTGGGTGCCCAGTTTTGCGTATGCCACAAACATCATCATCATCATTATTATTACTATTATAATTCATTATTAATATCCGCCTTTCCCCCAGACAGGGACTCAAGGCAGCTTACACAAATTAAAATATATAAAATAAAATAAGCTTACAACATATAAAATATAATCATTAAAAACTAATTAAACTCAAGTAGGATTAAAACAACAGGGGTGGGGCGGGCAAATGATTGAAATACAGATAATAAAAACAGCACAGCACTGTTAAAGCCCTTTCCTTTAAAAAGCAATTGGTTTTGATGACAATTCCCTCCAAGATTGGAATGGGGAACCTGCAGCATTCCAAATGTTGCCATCTCCCATCACCCTTGGCTGCTGGGACTCCTAGTTGTTGGGCTCCAGCATCTGGATGCCACCCTCTCAGCCCTGCTTTAAGCCCGAGTACCAGACCCAGGGCAGAATCTTCTTTCGCATTTGTACCCCCACAACCTCCAGACTGATGAAGCACCACTAATAATTTTAATAATTTATTACGGCCGTAGGCCCATACAGATAAAAACAAGACATAAATAACAACCTGTGCACATGGGAAAAAACAGCCACTAAAACACTACTATAACAATAAACTACTATAAGATGGAATGGCATACTACGCCTTAATTAGCTTGTGGTGCTCCTTGGCAACGCTTTTGAGTAAGGACAGCGACCAGGAACCTAGCCACTTTCAGGGTCGTATGGGTATCCTTATCCTGCAAGATTTGGGCAAGGTGGAATTTTGGTGGAGTACCCTCTAATTTCTGTATGATTGATCCCAACAAATTTGCCCGTGGCACCTTGAATAAGGGGCAAGTGAACATAATGTGCTGAAGCGACTCCGGCATCTCCTTATCACATTCGCACATGGCGGAGGTTTGGCCCTTTGAGAATCTATGTCTCAGGGCATTGGGGGAAAAACATTAAACCTCGCTTTGGTGAAGGCCAGCCTATGGGCAACAGTCGAAAGGGAGGAGAGGTATGAAGGAACGCAGTAAGTTAAAGTGATACCAATGTTCTGGGGCGAACAAACACCTCCCCCCAGCATATAATTTCGCTGTAAATCGATGTCATCCAGTCTTTGGCGGATCAGTCTTTGAGCAGTGGTTTGATCTAGTTTTAGGGAATCCAAGGGAGAGATTCCATAGCTCAGGAGTTTGGCATGAATTCTACTGGTCCAAAGGCTGGAGAATTCATCTCGCCATAAGCATTGGGCAAGGTAATGGTCTGGTAATCTATGCCACAATGATAACCAATAATTGAAGACTTGCTTCCACAGGCAAGTTTCTAAAGATGCGATCTTCAATTCTAGTCGCATGGCTGCGTTGCTTACGCACAGGGGGAGCATTAGGAGCCGACGTAGGAATTGGTTTTGCAGAGTCTCAAGAGGATGTGAGGGCGATCTGGCTGCGACATCTGTCACCCCATTGATCGCCAGGGTTGATTCGGCTGATCTGGCTGGCTAGGCGGGTGTCCCCTTCCTCCCTCACCGCTCCATGTGCGTCCCTCCCGAAGCTGCGCGCTCGGTGGAAGAGGACGACCATCCCAGATAGAAGGAGTGTACCGTTCTTCGGTCAAGGATGAAGCACCACTGATGAGTATTGGGGCAGCCTTTATGGTTTGTCCTGTCCTAGTACTGGCAGGGGAAACTCACAGCCTTATTTTTCTCTCCCTTCAAGAAAGAGAAGTCCAAAACCTGCAGCACTCCTGCTTCCCGGGAGCAGAACGGCTTCCCAGCCGAAGGGGCGGCCAACTCTTCGCTCCTTCTGGAGTTCCAGGGTGAGTAGGCTGGAGAGCAAAGGGTTGCATTCTCTTGGGGGCAACTTTCCGGGGTCACGAGACAGTGGTGGGCAGGCCCAGAGACCAGTGGGTCGAGCAATTCATCTGATACTCCCCTTTGCCTGGTAGGATTTTGGCCATGCCGGAGTCAAAGGTTTCTACACACTCACACATCGCCATTCTCTCTCCAGGCAAGCCAAGAGGCCTTATCACGGTTCAAGGACACATTTCCAGCTAGGCATTAGCACTTGAGGAAGGCTTGTGAGGCAGGTGGCCTGGGCAACCTGGGAAGGAAGTGTAGCTTAGTGAGGCTCTGGAGGGCTGGATGGAGAGGCCCAGAGTTCTGCATTTGGCTCTTATGTCCTCCTCTGCTTCGACCTTGGCATGCCAGCCAAGCAGGAGACGTGGACCTGCTACAGTGACCTGTAAAACTTATGCCAGGAAGCAGAATTGCATCATTTCTCTGATTCTACATCATTGTGCCATCTCCCCCACCCCCACCCCAATAGTTTGCATAATCTACTCTGGTTTCAGCTGGCGTTCTGGAAAGGGGCAGACAGTGATTGCTCAACCAGCACCAGAAAGTCTACTCAGTGCCCCTCGCTTTTCGTTCTTGAGACATTAGCCAGATGTTTCTGAGAATCTCTTCACATCATAAGGGTTAGAAACATTGTGCTTGCTTTTTAAAATGAAAGGCTGAAGTTCTCTGGAAACAAGATTCCACACCCAGCTGGTGGGTTTCAGTCCTGCCGTCTCGCAGAATTGCAGTTGGCCCGCTGCCCTGACCAGAAGACTTTCACAGCTTCTGGCCCTCTGTCTGTGTGGGTGTCGTCATCCGGTTTGAGGGTTGGACTTTTTAATTCCGAGAAAAGGCGAGTAAGAAGCGACAGGATTGAGGTTTGTAAAATTCTGCATGGGCTGAAGAAAGTGGATGGAGAAAACATTTTCTCCTGCTGTCATAACACTAGAACTCACAGACATCCAGGGAAGTAGAAGATTCAGGGCAGATAAAAGGAAGGACTTCACACGAGTTAAACTATGGAACTCCCTCCCACCGGAGGCAGTGATAGCCACCAGTTTGAATGGCTTTAAAAGAGGATTAGGCAAATTTGTGGAGGGAAATAAGGCTTTCAGTGGCTACTAGCCATGATAGGTATGTTCTGCCTCCACAGAGGGAGCAATGCTTCTGAATCCCAGTTGCTGTGAGAAGATGCTGGATGAGATGGGCCATTGATCTGATCCAGCATCATCTTCTTGGCAGAGGGCCCCAGCTCAGTCTCCAGTGGGATCTCAGTGAGCTGCAGCATTTGCCTACCAGCCAATGGCTACTAGCCATGATGGCTGTGCATTCAGAGGCAGCGATGCTTCTGAATATCAGTTGCTGGAAACAGCAGGAGAGGAAAGTGCTTGGATCTTGCTTGCTGCTTTCTCTCAGGCGTCAGACTGGCTATTGTGAGAAGAAGATGCAAGACATTGACCTGACCCAGCAGGGCTCTCTTCATTTCCTTAGGGTAGGGAAGCTTGCATCTGCCCACAGTGGGAAGCCCCAAGAGCAACCCATTCCATTCCAAACCAGGTGGCCTCTCAGGTGTGGGGAACGCAGACACAGGAACCGGCAGTGCTGCTCCTGGCTCCAGCTCCTGAGGCGGCCTCTCCCTCCCCATGCATTTCAGATGAGAACAGCAACCAGAGCTCCCTCTCGGACACCTACCCACTCAAGGCGGACAGCAGCCTGGCCTCCAGCCCCAGCCCCCAGCAGAGTGAGTCCATGAGCCCCAGCCACGCCTCTGATTTCCGGGCTGACGACTCTCAGCCGCCCACGCTGGGGCAGGAGCCCTTGGAAGGTGAGTGGCTTAGCCCAAGGGGACTGCGGTGGGGCAGGGGAGGCCCATCGAGGGCAACCACTGCCCTGGAGGGGAAGGGGCAGGTGGAGTGGGGCATCCCCTAACAGGCAGCTTCCAGCTGGGAAAAGGAACATTTACTATCTTCGTCTGGTAATTCTATAGCCATTCCTTGAGAGGAATAGCCTGACCACCTTATTCTATGCATTGGCAACCTTGATACAGGGCTGTTGCAATGCGCTCTCTGTGAGGCTACCCATCCACTACCGAGCCAGGTTCAAGGTGCTAGTATTAATTTTCAAAGCCCTGAACAACTTAGGTCCAGGGTACCTCAGGGATTGCCTGCTTTCCAAGGTTGATCATCAAGCATCCTTGGTCATCCCCTAAGTTGATGAGGTTCATTTCCCAAGCTTTTAGTGTCGTCATCTCAGTCCTGTGGAACTCCCTGCCACTAGAGATTCAGTGGGCTCCTTCTGTGCTAGCTTTTTAACACTTGCTGAAAACACTTGTCAACTCCTGTTTCCAGAGCCTGCCCTTCCGCCCTCTGAAGTAGCCGATGAGCCTCCAACTCTCACGAAGGAAGAGCCGGTTCCACTGGAGGCTCAGGTAAGGATGGTGAGCCAGAGTTAATCAGCTCTCTCTGGGATCTAGGGCTCGGGGGCTGGAGCATTCTAGATCCACGCCCCAGAAAACTGGTGTTGGTTCAAGGAAAAAACGAGGTATATAAAAAGCAGAATTCCTTAAATGCCAAGATCCAAGTTTGGGGCACATCCTCTTTGGTGAGTGAACCCCAACAGAAATGTAAAATCACAAAACATGCAGGAAATAAAAGTGTGGAAATATAGGCTGTTAGAGCTTTCAGGTATGAGTTCCGAAATTTCCTTCTTCCCCCAGAATAGGCTAAAGACCACATGCCTGATAAGCTAAAAAATAGTTTGCTTACAAGCTCTCCAAAGATCAGATTCGTGTGCTTCAGAAAAGGTTGCACAGGCTGTTACAAAGTGGTGAAAGTTCTTAAATTATTGGTACAGGAAATCAGGAGTGGTTTTTGAGAGCCATGTGGCCTGAGCTCAGGTAGACTGAGGAGGAACAAAGGCTTAATTACCTGGTCCCTCCCAAAGTGAGCTAAGCCTGACAGGACAGCTTACTCTATGGTCTTAACCCCTTCATGCATTAATTTGACTTCAGCATGTTGCTTATATGAAGCTGGTTTCCCCCCATGGAGATTCTGGAGAGGGTTTCCATTTGGGGAGCACAGCTGCAGCCTTTCTACTAACTAACTGAATTTATAGCCCACTCTGACTCAAAGGCTTAGAGAAAGTGACAGCAGTATGGTAGGTTTTCTTAATGCTCATGGCTCTGAATGAACCAGAGAATCATAGAACTGTAGATTTGGAAGGTACCCCAAGGGTCATCTAGTCCAATCCTCTGCAGTGAAGGGGTCTCAGCTAAAGAATCCCTGACAGAAGGCCCCCGAACCTCTGCTTTAAAACCTCCCAGGAAAGTCCACCACCTTCCAAGGGAGTCCGTTCCGCTTTTGAATGGCTGTTACCCTCGGAAATTTATTCCTATGGTTTATTAAGAATCTCCTCCTTTGTAATCAGTTGGCAGCCCTGTGCTAGAGAGAACAAGTCAGAGCCAGGCTCGGTATGTAAAGCAGCTCCTTGTGTTCTTCTCCTGCAGGTGCCTGGCACAGAGGAGGATTCCGGCGCGCCTCCGCTCAAGCGATTTTGCACAGACCAGAATGCCACGTGCCAGGTGGCCTCCGAGAGCTAGCCAGCTCGCCCGCTTCTGCCCTGTCCCAAGAGCCACCCCACCCCCAGGATGCCACTCTCTCAAAGTCGGCATCCTCTTCCACCTCCGCTCCCCTCCAAGAATCAACTTGCTGTTCCCACGGCCCTTCCAGAGGCCGCCTTTCTCCCCCTACCACCCTGTGCAATATTTTCCCGATGCCCCTCGGAGCCAGCCAGCCACATCCTCCCAACCCGCACGCCTAAAGGACAAGGCGTTGCCGGGGCTGCTCCTGCCCGCTTTTTAATTTGCCCTCTTTGTGGCTCCGGGGGGCGACCCCTTGGGAAGTTTCCGTAGGGAAAGAGGAGTTGTCAGCACTTAACGGGCAAACCGCGAGGTCCACGCACCCCCTCTCCTCCTGCAGGGAGCAAATGACTCTCTTGCGAGGAGGGGCAGGGCCTGGCGGGGAGCCCAGCTGGGATGCTGTGCAATAGTTGTGGGGTTAAGCCATTAGCACTGGAGTAAGCCAGGTCTCTGCCCACCAAGCAGTGGGCCCTCTCTGGAGGTGGGATATGTCTGAGGAAGCCAAGGCTGCCTTGGCTGGGGTCAGGTGGCCAGAAGGCACCCTCCCCTGCCAGTGGGGCTGGCCTGGCCTTGGGGGTCAAGGAGGCCACCCTGGGCACCAAAGGGACCCTGCAGCCCTCATGGCAGGAGCAGCTGCCACCGACCCCCACTGCCTCTGCAGACCTGTCCCCTCCGTCGCGATCCGCATGCGGAATGGAGTTTGCGATCGAGGCCCTGCTGTGGTGCGGAGTGCCCAGCCACACAGGGAAGCAAAGAGATATTTTAGCACTGAAGAGAATATTTTTAAAATTAAAACTATTTGAAGTAATCCCTCTGTGTGTGTGTATGTGTGTTGGGAAGTGGCGGTGAGTGGCTTGGGCTTGGAGATCCTTTGCTAGATGGACCAGGCCCTGGCAGGTGGGGGAAAGGGGCAGGAGAAGAGTCCCAGCACAGCCATGGCCACTTGTGCCCTCCAGATGTTCTGGACTAAAAGTCCCAGGCAGCACAACCCTCACCCAGTCCTCAGCATTGGCTACTGTGATGATTAAGACTACTCCACACCCAGCAGGGACGGGAGAACCTTTGGAACATCGAATATCACTGTGGAAAGGTTGCAATGTTCAGGGTTTTCTTTGCCCAGCACACATTAAATGTGAAGCATTCTCCCTCAGGAGGCAGGGGTGGCCATCAACTTGAATGGCTTTAAAGGAGGATTAGACAAAATCATGGAGGAAGAGAGGGCTAACGATGGTTACTAGCCACAACTGCTATGCTCCTGGGGTGCCAGTTCCTGGGGGCTGAGCCCTTTTGGGTCCCCTGAATATTTTTGGCTTGGGGGCTGGGCCCCTCAAATGTCCAAAAAGCACAGAGGCAAAATGTGGAGCTGAGCACAGCCAGTGGCCGGCTCCTCCTGCCGCGGAGAGGAAGGAGAAGCCTTTTTTGGACTTATTTAAAGAAATATGAGTTTGATGAATTTGCGAGTGGGATTTGAAGTATGACCAACAGAAGGTATTAGAACTTACTGTAATATTGTTATGACATAAGAGATGGAAGACAGGGTGCAGCAAAGGAGCGGAGAACAAAATCACCATGGAAAACGGTATGAGAAGTCGACAAAACCATAAACAAAATTATGTCTAGGAGTGTATATGTGGAATTTTTCTCTTGAAATTTAACAAAAGAATGTTTTTTAAAAAAATACAAAAAATCTGTAGAACAATCCTAGTAAGACAAGAGCAAAGAATGCTGGCAGCATAACATGTCCAGGAAAACCATAATACTGTCAAATGCCTGGGAAGAAGTTTTATACCTGGTACAGAAAATACCAGGAATTCACTTCATCTCAAGAAACAAATGCTTTCTCCCCATGTAGATGTACAGAGATTTAATCTAATTAGTTGATAGGATTTTCTATGATTAATTGACTTTAGGCTGCCATCTTAAACTAACTGGGGGAAGGGGGTCCTATTTAACACACTAAAGGTGCTCAGGAGTCAGAATTGTAGATTTGGAAGGGACCCCATGGGCCATCTAGTCCAACCCCCTGCAATGCATCTAGAGAATCCCTGTCAAATGGCCATCCAACGTCCGTTGAAAAATCTGCTCTTAAGGCAGTGTGAACATTTAGTTCTGGGGTGCTTTTGAAACGTTTCATAGTAGGTACAACCAGGCTGCCTGGAAGGGGAAGGAGGGGGCAGTTTAAGCAGATGGCTCTTTGCTGCAATTTGGGAAGCACGTTTTGTATATAGATATGTGGGTGTTTGAGAAACCAAGTCAGGCTCAGCTCAATCACTTACCTGCAATATCAGCATTGGACTACCTCGCAGGGCTGTTGTAAGTCAATCTCTCAGTATACAGTCCCTCCCACACCCGAGTCTGCAGCAGGGATAAACCAATGAGGTCCATCGACTACAATCCATTGCTTTTGCAAATCATTCTCAGCCTGACCCCCAACCGTAAAATGTTGACAGTCATGGACTACACTGCAGGCTTGTTGCAAGGTACCCTGCTCCTTGCTAGCCTGCAAAGCTTAGCAATGGCATCTGTGTCGGCAGAGTTGATAAAAAAAAAAGTTGGGGAACTCAGGGGAAATTAAATGCTCCACACAAAAAGAATCTTAAAAACAGCAACTCCTCCTTTGGTTTCTCTAATGTGATCCCGGAAGTGTCCTATCTGGAAAAGTCAGAGGAACTCTTTACTTTCTCTGTGGCCGGCGCCATCTTGCCGTCCCCATGGAAACGCGGCCTAGCGGAGATGCCGAAGCCTTTCCAAAAACCCCTCAGACCATGGCGGAGATCGTGTGGAACGAGGACCCAGGCGGGGCAGTATATCGTTCCCGGGACCCCATCAGCAACTTGCGCGTCAGGTCGGTACATTCTCGCCCCGTCTCTGCCCCACTTCGTCATTTTATCCCCCTCTCCCCCCAAAAAAACCCTCGCCCCTCCCCTTCCTCTGTCCAGCTAAAATAACCCCCCACCCCCATCTATGAATCAGTATCACCCACAGTGATCAATCAGTATCACCTGTCAATCAGTTACTCAGACAATCAAAGCAAATCCATAATCCTCGATACCCATGGGGGGGGGGGGAGAACAACACTCCCATCACTCCACTTGCAGATCTTCCTGCCTCAAAGAGTCTTCTGCAAGCTTGAAAAGTAGCAAACTCATTAGGAGAAAAGCTTCCCGTAGTTTGAAGGGTTTTTAAAATATATATATATATCTGTGGCCTCTTTTCTTTGGGGCAGGATCTGCTTTGATTGGTGTGGTTGTTTTTTAAGTTTCTATTAATTTATTGCCATTGCTCCCAGTATTTATCTGTTTTTTTATATACCGCTTCATTAAAAAAAGAGGAAGCCTCAAAGCATTTATGTGTTTGTTGATTCCTGCATTTTGCCAGGGACTAGATGATTCTCTCATGACTCTTAAATTGCTTTGAGTAATTTTTATGAGGAAAGTGACTTATTATTTATAGGAAGAATAAGGAACAATGATAAGAAACAATAGGAAACATGGGCACAAGAGAAGCTGCCTTATACCGAGTCAGACCAATGGCCCATCTAGCCCACTAGTGTCAACCCTGACTGGCAGCAGCTCTCTGAGGTTTTCAGGCTGAGAGGATTTCCTAGCTATATCTGGATATGCTGTTGGGGATTGAACCTGGGACACAAAAAACCCTTCCCATTAAGATTAAGAGTCCAGCCCTCAAGAGTCTGAAATAAGGGGCCTATTTTTGCCTTATACCAAGCCAGACCAATAGTCCATGTAGCTCAGTAGGGTCTACACTGACTGGCAGCAGTGGCTCTGCAGTTGACACCATGCTTAGGGCTTACACTCTGCACCATGATTTTCAGCCTTCCCAAACCCTTTTCTGTACTCTTCTCATGCTCCAGATATTGCTTTCTGCCTCTACAGAGTTCAGATCCAGCGTGTGACCTCCACCAGCCTCCTGCTGCAGCAGTTGCACCTTCCTTTCAGCCAGTCGGGACAGCAGCTCATCAGCTTGGCCAACCTCGGCACCCACAACACAGCAAGTGAGTGGGCTACTGTTTCTTCAGGCTGCTCAGCTGATGGACCTTCACCGCAATGTCTCATGCTGTCGCGTTGCTTTTCTGGCTAAGTGTAGACATTCAGCTCTCTTACCTTTTGTACTGCGGTTCAAGTTGGCTTATTTTTATGCAGCACTCGCACCTTGTCTGACTGTCCTCTGCAAGGCAGTCAGAATTGCTGTGTCAGTTCAGATGCTCTAGATGACAAGAGACCAAAGCAAAGGATTCTGGGAGTTAGGTCAAGCACGTTGAGCAGCTGTGTCAGCAACTATGTGCGCTCCATGTGGGGTTTCCCTTGTGCTTGATTTGGAAGCTGCAGTTAGTGTGTAATGCTGCAGCTCGATTGCTGATAGGAGTGAGGTCTTGTTGGCCTAGAGCAGCTGTGCCTAGAGATCGGCATTGGTTGCCATTCTGCTACTGGTCTAAGTTCAAGGTGTTACTGTTCGTATATAAAACCCTGAACCTGTTTACCTACAAGATCGCATTACGTCATATATGCCCACCCAACTGCTTCAATCTATGGAACTGGCATTCTTACGGGTGCCACACAACACCCGTTCCACATTTGTAAGAAATCAATCTTTTTGTGTGGCAGAGTCTGTACCCAACTGTCCCCTGTCCTTCTGTGTTCCAGGTAACCATTGTCCTGATGAGGAGAAAGAGGAGGCTGTGATCGGCTGGCAAGAGAAACTCTTCAGTCAGGTGAACAGACGGGGGAGTCTTCCAGGTGGCAAAGAGTTGCATCTCTGCATTGCAGAGATTAGACTAGACGACGCTTTGGGTCCCTTCCAACTCTACAGCTGAATGATACTTTAGGACATCTCAGAGTCCCTTGGAATTCTCATTTCATTTATCCTCGCAACCGAGACACCTGATAAAAATTTATGCCTTGTCCAAGCATTTCTTGGTTCTTAATGTTTCATTTTACTATTTCATTTTTCATATTGTTTCTGAATTTTTATTGACAGTGTGCATTTTCATTTTATTTGTGCCCTAATCAGTTGAGATTTTTTTTTTAAAAAAGGATAATTTTGGGGTGCGGGTGGGTCTGCTCTCAACGATGCACTACCGCTTGAGTTTTTTTCTGTGCTTTCCCCAGTTTGAGGTCGATCTCTATCAGAACAAGTCTGCCTGCCAAAGCCCTCTTGACCAGCAGTACCACCAGGACGTGCTGAAGCTAGAAGAGTCTGGGGGTCGGAAGAACCGTCGGATCTTCACCTACACAGACCATGACCGCTTCACCAACCTGGAGGAGGTACCCTCCCAGGAGGGTGGAGATGGGATGGAATAACCCTTGCCATGGAGTATAGATTCCTCTTGGGTGTCCTGGGTGGTGGGAGGGAAAGAACTGTCCACCTCCCGCAAATGGGAAGCAATGGGCCAGGGAATCTAGTTTATAACCCACATTCAGCTTCATTGGATGTCCCCAAATTCTAGCGTTACGAGAGAGGGAGGTATCTGGTTGGCCTCTGTGAGAACAGGATGCCAGACTGGATGGGCCCCCTTTGGCCAGATCCAACTACAGAGCTCTCTTGATGTTCTTAAAAGTGACTGGCTGCCTTCCTGTGTTCCAGCACAGCCAGAGGGTCACCACATCTGTCACGGAAGTCCCTTCGTACCTGGCAGAGCGGATGGCAAATGTGAGGAGGAGGAGGCAGGAGCGGAGGCCGAGGTGAGTCGGGTCAGCCATGCCTCTGGGTCTGGTGGGCCCTGATCCTGGATCCATCACGGTGCGTTCAGACTAAAGCAGAAGGGGGCCTGCTTCCTTGTGGGTAAGCGTCTCCTGTTTGCCTCTCGGCAGGGAAGGGAGCATCCTGAAAACCCGACTTGTCACCTGGGAACCCTCGGAAGAATTCATCAAGAACAACCACGTCATCAACACCCCTGTGCAGACCATGTACATTATGGGGGATTTGGGACCTCATGGCAAGTAAGTTGGTGCTTGTGGGTTGGAGCCCTCTTGGCCCCATCTCTCACTGTTGGGTCTGGTTTGGAGCTCAGCACTAAACCAGCAGCTCACCTTGGTGTGGGCCATAGATCTCAGGGCAGTTCAGAACATAAAAATACAAAATAAAAGCACAACATACATACTAAAAACAAGAATAAACCAACAACACACAAACCAATACACTCCCTTTCCCCACCAATATTAGAAGTGCTAATCTATTGTCCAGGGCTCGGGTTCCACAGTTCCAAAAAGGGGCTACTTCATGTCACACCATCCTTGCTGCACCATAGCGCCCTGTGCTGCCAGGCTCTGCTTTTCACCCTGACCTCTTCCCCGCAGACTCGGTTGCCGGGAGCATGAGCACGTCCTCTGTACAATCCAGGTGGACAGCAACGGAGTCATCACCGTCAAGCCAGACTTCACAGACACAAAAGGGCCTTACAGGTGAGCAGTACAGGCCTGTCAATCAGTCAACTGGATGTTTGTTATAGTCCCCCAACCATCATACTATAAAATATAAAGAAATACAAAATCTGATGTTATTCTGAAAAATGATCAAGAAATAGTATTTAACCTTATAACTGTTGCAAAGATCACAATAGCTAAAAACGGGGGGTGGGGGGGAAGCATATCTCCTACTATATCCCAATGGATTTGGAAAATTTGGTCTATAGTAACTATGACTAAGCTAGTTTATTACAAAAGAATACGTATAAACCAACCTAAGATTTTTTGGTGAAATGAATATTTTTATAATGTTTTGGAACAGTAAGTTTGATGATGATGTTCAAACTTATGCCGTTTTGAGCATTATGAGTGTTTCTTTACACTTTTTTCCTTTGGTCTGTGTTAATTGCTACTAGTAGTAATATTTAAAAAAACAAACAAAATCACAGCCTTGGAAGATGGAATTATATGATTCATTGGCGGTTTTAAAAGAGAGGTTGGATGGGCACCTGTCAGGGTTTCTTTCGCTATGATTCCTGTATTGCAGAGGGTTGGACTAAATTACCCTTAGAAGTCCCTTCCAATTGTATGATTTTAAGACTCATAGCCGAACCCCGACCTCTCTACCTTCTTGGTCTTTGCAGGGGCAGGGAGTAAAGGGGGGAGGGGCGGTTACTCCGGGTCTTCTCTGAGCTTTGCTTGCCTTGTTTTTGGGGACCCGTAAAGGATCGAGCTGGAAGGGGAGAAGCGGGAAATATGGAAGTTCACCCTGGAAAATGCCTCAGCCCCTGTCAAGCCAGAGGAGCAAGAACGAGAGCAGCGCGTCTTCAAGGATGTAAGCACCACCTTTGGCTCCGGGTGGCGGGGGGTGGGGAGCATTGGCATAGGTCAGCTTTCCCCAACCTGCTGCCGCCTCCTACTTTGTTGGCGACAACCCCACATAAATAAAAGATGGCGATTGACCCTGTGGCCTCAACAGAATCCACCCACTATTACCCCAAGGAAGTGTTTCCATGCTATTTAAGTTCCTGACTCCCCTTGTTAGAGTCCCAGAACGAAGGTAGGGTGGGGTTGGAAGCCCCCCCACACACACTGTCCAGGTTTCCTCACCCTCCTTTCTCACTTCATGCTTCTTTCTTTAGTTGTACAGCCGGCATAAGGAGTACCTCAGTGGACTTGTGGGCTCTGACTTTGAGATGGTGAGTGACTTTCACTTGCCCTGGTGGGTCAGTCGTCTGGTCCTGTTTCCAGAGGGGCTATGAAATGCATTGCTGCAAGCAAGCTTTGGGAATTAAGCCCTCCTTTCAGTGTGCTCTCTCTCTTTCCCCTCCCTCCCTTTCAGACCCTCCCTGGTGCTCTCCGACTCTTCGTTAATGGTGAAATTGGTAAGGCTTTCGCTTCTCCATGTTCAGAGGTGTTCCCCAGGGGTGGAGTGGGGAGGATCCCTCCTCATGGGCCAAGGGGGATGGTGGGCTGCCCCTGAATATGCTCTTCCTTCCCTTGCGCCCACCGCTCAGTATAGACAATGTTCCCCCTATGGGTGTGATTCCTGCATTGCAAGGCATTTGACTAGAGTTGGTCACTTCCAACTCTGCAGTTCTATGATTCCATCCCCTGTGTGTGCCCTGTAAATCTGGAGATTCCACCAAACCTCCAGAACAGACTTTGGGATAGCACAGAGTGGGGGTGGGAAATTCCTGTTACACTAGCAGAAATCTTTCATATGCTTCCAAAGCACAGTGCAAGCAACAGGCCAAGAATCAGACTAGACGTTCACATTTGCATGTATGTAACTTTGTAGAAAATATTGAACAAGAAAACATTAACCTTCACCACCACATAGTTCAGAAAAGAGGAATACAGTGATATTTATACAGTGGTACCTCGGGTTACAGATGCTTCAGGTTTAAGACGCTTCAGGTTACAGACTCCACTAACCCAGAAATAGTACCTCAGGTTAAGGATGAGAACAGAAACTGCGCAGCAGCGGTGCGGTGGCAGCGGGAGGCCCCATTAGCTAAAGTGGTGCTTCAGGTTAAGAACAGTTTCAGGTTAAGAACAGACCTCCAGAACGAATTAAGTTCTTAACCCGAGGTACCACTGTACTTCAAACTCAAACAATGCATCGACTATTCAGCTTAGTTACATTTTCACGTGGCACAGCAACACAGCGTACCTAATGGCCTCTTGCCACCACTTGTTAAGCATTTCCCCACTTTTACCGTCTTGCTTAGCTACATAATTTGCTCAGTGCATGGTTAGCTTTCCCACAATCCTTCTCAACATACATTGGTTCTTTATTTTCCCCCCATAACACCTTCCTAGATAATTCCACTGCCTCCCAGTGGGCGGTACTGACCACTTTAACAACCGCTGGTCTAAGGGGCATTTGCACGCCTGTGCTGTAGCCCTCTGGCTGAGACACCATTGACTGCCAACCAGAAACAGCCTCCTCCTCTGTGCTAGGGAGAGACACGCTGCTCAGCACCCCACAGCATGGCTCTTGGGGGTGGGGGGTGGGGAGCTTGGCAATTAAGAGTTAGGATCCCTGGCTTGGGAGGAAGCCACAATCTGTCACCACCTTTCCTTCAGTTTCAGCTCAGGGCTATGAGTACAACAACCTCTACATTCACTTCTTCCTGGAGCTGCCCAGCTGTGAGTAAACAGGAAGTGGTTGTGGGATGGGAGGAAGTGGGGTGGCATCATCCATGGCATGGGCCACAGCTGCCCCACCAGAGACAGCTGAAAGCTGAGTGGGGGCCTGGACCCCCAGCCTTTGAGAGTACGGGGGCACTGTTACAGGCTGCCCGAAGCCTGTCTGCCTCTCTCTACTGACCCTAACTTCTGCTGTTTTGTCTGGCCTTCCTCAAATCTGGTGCCACATTCCACACAGATGCATGACACCTTTTTGGGGGGGGGGGTTCTTACCCTTGTACCGGAGACTATGCAAACCACACCCACATTTGCCATCCGGATATGCAAGAGGCATTGTCAGGATACACAGATTCCTCTTTTTTTTAAAAAAAAATAATATTTATTACTTTCCAACAATTTAAACATTACATAGAAAAAAAATAGACAATACAATACAATACAAAAACAATACCTAAAACTAAATTAACAAAAACAATTTAAACTAAAAAAACAAAACAGAAACAATTTAAAACACATCAAGTAGTTTCAATATCTTATCTTTCATTCACTTATTTCCATGGCCTCCTCACACCTCCCTTTTTGTATTCCACTTCTATTAGTTGTTTCAGCAATTCCTTTCCATCTTCCTCTGTTTTCTATCCTATAATTGTCTTAACACATTTTAACCTTATTTTCCCTTTAATTCTCTGTTAATCTATTTATACTTAATTCCTTATGACATTTCTACTAAAGCCATATAACTTCATTCCAACATTTTTCTAACATTCATTAATTTTACAATATTTCTGTAGATAGTCTTTAAACTTTTTCCAATCTTCTTCCACCGACTCTTCTCCCTGGTCTCGGATTCTGCCAGTCATTTCCGCCAATTCCATATAATCCATCAACTTCATCTGCCATTCTTCCCGGGTGGGTAAATCTTGAGTCTTCCAATACTTCGCGATGAGTATTCTTGCTGCTGTAGTTGCATACATAAAAAAAATTCTATCCTTCTTTGGCACCAATTGGCCGACCATTCCCAGGAGAAAGGCCTCTGGTTTCTTCAAGAAGGTATATTTAAATACCTTTTTCATTTCATTATAAATCATCTCCCAGAATGTCTTAATCCTTGGGCATGTCCCTTTTGGCTAAGGATCAAGTGTAATCCTTTTGGCTAAGATCAAGTGTAGTATCAGGGTACACAGATTCCAGCCAGGCAAAATGTTCCAGGAGTCAGCAAAGCAGTGCTATTGAAATCCAGGGCTCCCTGGGTCTGAGACTCCCCACCCTGACCTAAAGAGAGAATGTGTGTTTGTGCATTTCTAATGTGCTGTGCCCAAGAGCTCATTGTGCAGCTGTTCTGGAGTGGAGCTGTTTTTTGCAGCGCTGACCCTCTTCCTTCCTTCTAGGCTGGTCATGCCCCCCATCCCAGCAGCTCTCTGGCGTGACACAGACCTGTGCTGCCAAGACCCTCGGCAGGGTAAGTGAATGGGGCACAGCTGGGGGGGCTGAGACAATCCTGGCCAGGCTTTCCCATCTGGTCCTACCCCAGAGACATCCTTTTTTCAACTCTCTGGAGTAAGCGGCCCTGCAAGACTTCAGGGAACGCAGTACTTTCTGGGGAATTTGGTTTCCTGAGAATCCTGGTGTCTTGAAACTAAGGGTTGTAGACCCATTGAAATCAGTGGACCCAAGTTGGGCATGCCCATCATTTCCCATGGGTTTACTCTGAGTAGGACTTGCAGTGGAGATGGTGCTAAGTTTCTAGCCCTTGATGCTGGAGAGAAAAGCACCATTGCTTTGAGCCCCAGGTTCTCAGTCAGGTTTCATATTTTTACATGAATAAGAGTGTGAGAAGAAGAGGGGTCGATCAGGCCCATGGGGGCCCAACCTGTCCAGTCTCCTGTCCTCACAGTGACCAGCCATATTCCCCAAAGGGAGTGCAACAGCAATTCTCCTGTAAGGGAGAAATGTGATCCTGTGTGATTCCCCACTTGTGATTCCCAGCACCTTGCATTCAGAGGCATCCTGCTGCCGCAGGAGGCAGTGATGGCTACCAACCTAAGTGGCTTTGAAAGGATTAGGCAGATTCATGGAGGAGAGGACTATCAATGGCTACTAACCATGACTGCTGTGCTCTGCCTCCAGAGTCAAAGGTAGCAATGCTTCTGAATATCAGTGGCTTGAAACCACAGGAGGGGGGAGAGAGGACTCCTGTGCTCAAATCCTGCTTGTGGATTTCCCACTGGAGCATCCTGTTGGCCACAAGAGAAGACAGCTACTTTGGGCTAAAAAAGAACAAAGTCAGAAAGAAGAAGAAACAAGAAAGGGAGAAACCTTAATAAATAGAAAGAGAAAAACAACAGAAAAATAGAAAAGAGGAAAAGGACTTCCGGCTTTCTGTCCTGCAGCTATGTATTATATTCATCCCTTAAAACCCAACCATTCTAGCTTCTATAAACCAGGTTTTTTTTCAATCTTCAAACCCGCTATTACAAATTCATTTTCTCTTTCACGCAAAAAGTCCATAAGAAATTTCCATTCCTTAACAAACGTTAGTCATGATTTTTCTCTAATTAAACATGTTAACTTTGCCATCTCAGCCAGATCCAATAATTTTATCAGCCATCCTTCTATCGTGGGTATCTTTCCATATTTGTGCATGTAGCAGTCTCACCACTGGCTGTAGTGGTCCTTTTTCAAAAGCCTCTTCTGACATTCTTTCATTTCACTGCAGAATGTAGACAAGTCCCTTGACCCTCTTTCAGGTGTATCCGTCTAAGAACCAACACCCATTCCACACACACCTCATCACATATTCTTGTTTCCTTGCTGCCTTCCACAAGAGGTGAGTTTCCCTTCTCTCTTTCCAGGAGCAGGTGGCCTTTTTCTCCTTCCCTTTCACCCTGGAGGTCTTCTTCTCCCAGGAAGACGAGTTGGAAGGTGAGTCGTTCCCTCGCATGCCAGCTCCGTGGTGCTGCCAAGCAGCGTCCAGAGGCGAGAGATGGAGGAGAGGTGGTGCCCCTCAAGTCCTTCTCATGGCGAAAGCCCTCTTGGAAGGAATGGGAGCACAGTTTCAGCTGGCCTTGTGCAGAAGGGCTTCTCAGCTGTTGACACATGTGCCAAGTAGTGAGGGTGGGGGTTGCTGTTGACACCAGAATGCCTCCCCACTTTGCACATTTGAGGGTGGGTGTTACCATTGACTCCTGGAGGACATCTGCCCTTCAGCACCTGAGCACCAGCTCAGTAGTCAGGAACATCACTTGGAACAGAAATCGCAGAATCATCTGCATTTCAATATATTTACTGTTTTATATTGTTTTAGTTTTATTAATGTTTCGTTACTTTTAACCGATTGTCATTTTTCAGCCTTTTGCATTTATTCTAATTTGTGTAAGCTGCCATGAGTTCCTGTGGGGAGGTGGGATAGCGACAATTCCTGCTTTGCAAGGGTTTGCAAGATGATCCTTGGGTGTCATTTCCAACACAACAATTCTATGAAAGGAGGAGGAGGAGGAGTGGGTGGTCGGTGTCATCATACTCCTTGCCCCCCTTCTCCCACAGGCCCCCTCCCCCAGTGGCCTGTCCTCTACTTTGAGGTCCTCTCCTTGGACTACTGGCAAAGGTATCGCGTTGAAGGATACGGGTTTGTGGTCCTGCCAGATGTGCCAGGTAAGAAGGCACGGGGGGGTGAAGTGAGGGGCCTCCCAACGAGCTGGTTTTGATGCCAGCTGTTTGCCATGCTCCCAACTGAAGCCAAGCTGGGGCAGATGGGAGTTGGGGATCTAAAACAACTGGAGCAGTGGTTCCCAAACTTTTTCAGGCCACAGCCCCCATGGTCCAGTAAGCTCATCCCCAGGGCCCCCTACCCTATTTAGAAAAGCAATTTACATCACCCGCTAAAGAAGATAATAACACAATAAGATTCAAAACAGAAGCAATTCATTGCACATTTATTCGGCATCCAATTGAAACTCTATAGTTTATTTAGTTTAACAAAACTGATGAACTTGATCCAGTGATATCAGCTTTTCAAAATCTGACTAATTTATACCTCTCGCATTCCCCTGCCACTCCCTTGCCTCTTAGCGCTGCCCCCCCCAGTAATCCCACCTCCCCAGTGGGTGGTACTATCCCCTTTGGGAACAAATGATCTGGAGGGCATCAGATTGTTCAAAGGCTGGCTTGAAGAAACCCAAGAGAGCTTCTGCCAGTCAGAGCAGGCGGTCCTGGGCAAAGCTGCCATTTTGCCTAACTTTGGTACCAGTTGGCTTCAGTTGCCCATTGTCTTTGTGCGTGACTCAATTGCTCCCATTTCTATCCCACCTTTCCTCCAAGGAGCTTCAGGTGGCATACATTGTTTTCCTCCCAAGTGAGAGAAGCAGTGCCTGGCCCGAGATCCCCCAGTGGGTTATATATTGCTGAGCTGGAATTTAAACCCTGGTCTCTTCCATATCGTAGCCCAGCACTCTTTAACTGCAGCATCGCAGTAGTGGCATGTGGCTGGGCTCCATGCCCTAGTTCCTAGTGGCAATGCTCTCAGTGGTTGGTACTGCACATGTCTGCATGTGTGTGTTTGCTGACTGTCCCATGCCCTTTTGAGGGACCGAATAACCTCTTGACCACTCCCAAATCTGCTGGCGCAGGGGCTCACACCATTACAGCATCCACTTGGCGTCCCATGGAGCTGGGAACCTTCTCGGAACTGCAGAGGTTTTTCATTGGGGGGTCGCCAGAGCTGGAGGACATGACCTATGCCAGAGTGCCTGGCACCTTTACGGTGAGTACACGCACTTGGAAAGAAGTCGGTATGTCTCCCCACCAACACAATATAGCATTTCCTACTAGCCATGATAGGGACGTGGGTGCCACTGTGGGTTAAACCACAGAGCCTAGGACTTGCCAATAAGAAGGTCGGCGGTTCGAATCCCCGCGATGGGGTGAGCTCCCGTTGCTCGGTCCCTGCTCCTGCCAACCTAGCACTTCGAAAGCACATCATAGTGCAAGTAGATAAATAGGTACCACTCCGGCAGGAAGGTAAACAGCGTTTCCATGTGCTGCTCTGGTTCGCCAGAAGCGGCTTAGTCATGCTGGCCACATGACCCGGAAGTTGTACGCTGGCTCCCTCGGCCAGTAAAGCGAGATGAGCGCCACAACCCCAGAGTCGGCCACGACTGGACCTAATGATCAGGGGTCCCTTTACCTTTACTAGCCATGATGACAGTGTTCATGAGAATATAAGAAGAGCCTGTCGAATCAGGCAAATGTGGGCCCTTCTAGTCCAGCATCCTCTTCCCATAGTGACCACCCAGATGCCTCAATGGGGAGCTCACATGCAGGACCAGAGCACAGCAGCAGCCTTACCCAGCTGCTGACTGCTAGGCTCTTTGTATGCTCCTGTGTCATTGCCTGGGGGCATCCCACTTCGGGGTTGGCTGGATCCTTGAGGAAGGCATGAAGAGGAGGGCTCCTGGGTGGGGGGTTGGGACAGAGGGGCTACCAAGACTTGCCCTGACCTGGGGCTCATTCTCCCTGCAGGGTGAGCGCCTGAGCCGGTTCGGCTTCCGCACCGAGACAACAGGAAGCGTCACCTTCCGGCTGAACTGCCTGCAACAGTCCAAGTAAGCCACCGGTGTGGGTGCTGCCCCACATTCTTTAGGTATTTCATAGAATTAGAGAATTATAGAGCTGGGAGGGACCCCCAAGGGTTATCCAGCTCCACCCTCTGCAATGCAGAACTCACAGCTTGAGAATTCCTGTTCAAAAACCTCATGTGAAGGTCCACAACCTTCTGAGGTTGTCCGTTCCACTGTTGAACAGCTCTCAAAGTCAGAAAGTTCTCCCTGATGCTTGTTTAGTTATTGCACTTCTATCCTAGTCTTTTTCTCTGAGGAGCTCAAGGTGGCATACATGGTTCTCCTCCACTTCCTCATTTAATCCCCCACAATAACCCTGTGGGGTAGGTTAGGCTGAGGGAGGTAGCAATTGGCCCAAGGTCACCCAGTGAGCTTCCTGGCTGAGTGGGGATTGGAACCCTGGTCTCTCCCAGACCATATTCCAACCCTCTAACTCCTACAGCGCCCTCTGGGCCTCTCTGCCGGGCCCTGCTGGATCAGACCAAGGTGAGGCCATTCTGCCCACCACGGTGGAGCCCTCTCCATCCAATCTGTGGGCTGCCTATCAGGCAAAGAACAAGATAGAGCCTGTGTACAAAAGCTGCCCAGGCAGGCAATTGGCTCTTACTTCAGCACTTATGACTGCACAGCTTCAGGAGGGTTGGAGGTTGGCATTTAGAGCCAGTGTGGTGTAGCAGTTAGAGTGTCAGACTAGGACCAAGGAGACCAGGGTTCGAATCCCCACTTGGCCATGAAGCTCACTAAGTGACTGTGGGAGCCGGTCATTGCCCCTCAGCCTAACCTACCTTGCAAGGTTGTTGTGAGGATAAAGCTCCTTGTAGGAAATGTAGGATGCTGCTGCTGCTAATGTAGGATGCTGCTGCTGCTGTTCTGCTGCTGCTGCTGATAATAATAATAAAATAAAAGAATTTAGGCACGCAGAACCAACCACATGCCACCCACAACTCTTCCTCTTGGCACTCATCTCCGTTGGCATTCACCCCCTCACATCCTGCTCCAAGGCAGTTATGGTACCTCCCTTCTTAGGAACTTTCAAGATACACAAGGTGTTGGGTGGGGTGGGCATACTTGTTCTGACCCTCCTCTTCCACCAGAGCCTTCCTGGACTCCAGCTCCATGAGGAAGCGCATGCAGAGCGTCCTGGACCGGCTGGGCACCTTCGGCCAGCAAGGCTCTCTCTACAATGTCCTGGGTGAGGAGGGAGAGCCGGCGGGATGGGGGGGGGAGGTGTTGGGGTGTTCCTTTGCTCCAGGGTGGGGGGGAACCCCAGTCCAGTTTCCATGATAAATAACCCTATTTATAGAATCATGGAGTTGGAAGGTACCCAAGGGGCATCTCGTCCAACCCCCTGCCACTCAGCTGTGGCTCTTTCCTTCTCAGGCGGGTAATGTGCTTTTGAAGCCCTGAGGCTGCAGTCCTCTACATGCTTCCCTGGAAGTAAGTCCCATTGAACTCAGTTGGGATTTCTTCTGAGGACAGAGAAAGAGCGAGAGCGGCGATTGCACTTCCTAATGTATCTTCAAATGATTAACTTAAAAATACCCCAAAGTAATAGAATATATGGCTATCCTTTTTTTACTCGGGTTCTTTTATTTTTTGATGGCACCATTTGAATTTCCTTGGCATGGAATGATGGGTCACAAAGTGTAGAGCCTGCCTAGTCTAGAGTTGCAGGCAGAGAAGGTGCTGTGGGGGCAAGCCAGCTGCCCAGACTGAACACGCTCCTTCTCTGCTTTCCATCTTCTCAATTTTGCAGAGGCTTTCCAGAGGGCCCGGCACCGGATGCAGGAGGCCCGAGAGAGCCTCCCCCAGGACCTGATCCACACTTCCGCCTCCAACCTCCAGCTGTGAGGAGAGAAGTCTTGGATGATCCCTAATGGCAGTCCTGGCTCCTCCCACTCCCTTGTGGAAGGAGGAGTCTGTGAGAAGCCCCGCCCCACCTCGCCACTGGGCTTTCTTTGCATTGAGTGAATCCTGAGCCCAGGCAGTGGCAGCAGGGGTCGGCTCTGCTTGTCTGGAGGGCATGTCCTGTGGTTTCCTTGCACTCTAGCCCTGAATCCCTCCTTCAGGCATCCACGAAATGCATCCAAGAAAAGCCACATCTTCTCATCCAGCAATCACCAGCAGGACGTCTCCACCCCTCCATTTAACTCGCAGGATGGGTGGGAATTCTCAGGACAGGGCACACAGCGCCCCCCCCCCAAGCAGAGTTGTTTCATCCATGCCTTGAAGATCAGAATCGAACTCGGACGCAGCAGCAGCATCAGAGGAAGCCCTGCTCACAGAATGGTAGAGTTGGAAGGGACCCAGAGGGTCATCTAGTCCAACCCGCTCAAAACCCGCCACCGTCAAGCCCAGCCGCAAAAACTTTGCAAGCCAAAATTGACAGCTACGAAAGAAACAGACTCTGTCTAAGGAGCTGGCCAAGATCAGGGTCCTTCTCCTCTTTGAGGGCGATTTCTGCAAGGGGCAGAGAGAGCCACTCTTTTAGGCTCCAGTCTCCACACTTTGTGGCAGCGTCTCTGGTGGCCCTTCTTCAGAGCCCTGCAGAAATCCCAGCCCTGAAGCAACCTCCTGTTATTTGGATTGCATTTGGTCTGATCATAAACAAGGCCAGTTTTAGTGTTAAGGGTGAGGGGAAATATATTTTATTCTCTTCCAGTTTCCAGCCTGTGTATATAATATTTTGTTAATATTATTGTTCTGAATGTCTGGGGCAGGGGACAATTGAAAGCAGGCCTCCCCCAACCTGGCGCCCTCCAGGGGTCACTGGACTCTTAACTCCCATCAGCTCCAGCCAGGTGGTTGGACATCACTGGGAGTATCACCATCACAGCAGGGGCTGATGGGAGTTGGAGTCCAAAGCATCCAGAGAGCCACCAGGTTGGTAGTGAAGCTGCTTTAAAGGAATGGTGGCAATGCAATAATATTTTATATTGTAGCAGAACTGTATGCAGAAGTGGTTTCTCTGTTTTCTAATGACAAAAGAACAGATTAAACTGCACTAAGGTACTGAAACCCAGATTATTTCAATAAAACCATCTCCCTTCCATTTGGACATTTTTGCTGGTCTGCCATCCTGATCCTCTTTGCTATCCCAGATCTAGCATGAACTCTGGAGCCTCCAGTCAGCTCCAAATCCAGGATCCTGTTTCATGGGACCATGCAAATAGGAAAGGAGGGGTCTGCCCTTTTCTGGGGTGTCATACCCATTTCCCCATGCTGCCCCAGGATGACTCTTCCCAGGGATGGGTTCCTCTGAGCAGACCGTCTCAGTGATGTCACAGAGCCTCCTGGGTGTTGCTGTTCCGTGAGCCAAGGCCACCCTGAGCTTGTCACTTGAGGTCACTTTTCCTGCCGGCTCACCTTCGCTCTCAGCTTCCTTCTCTCTCTCAGAAGCAAGCACTCAGCCCATTACAAAGTGAGCTGGAGGGGATCTCGAGGCCCAATTCATGGAGAGGGAGGGAGCCTAGTTCATTCTTTTGTAGTGAAGAAATCCACTAGTTTGCCATCCCTGGGACTTGATTGCTTGAGCAATCCACCAGTCAGCATTAAGATGGGCAGCATCTCCAGGCTGGAATATGTGAATTGGTTTTGCGCATATTGACTAACTGGGGATGGCTAGATAGATAGATAACAGAATCATAGAATTGTAGAGTTGGAAGGGACCCCGGGGATCACCTAGTCCAAACCCCTGCAATGCAGAAATCTCAACTAGATCATATATGACATATGACCACCCTACCTCCGCTTAAAAACCTGTCATGTGAGTCTGTTCTACTGTCAAACAGCCCTTACTGTCAGAAAGTTATTCCTGATGCTTAGTTGGAATCTCCTTTCTTGTAACTTGAAGCCATTGATTCGGGTCCTAGCCTCCGGAGCAGGAGAAAACAAGCTTGCTCCATCCTCCATGTGACAGCCCTTTAGATTTTTGAAGATGGCTATCATATCTCCTTTCAGTCTCCTCTGTACCAGGCTAAATATACTCAGCTCCTTCAACCGTTCCTCAGAAGACCTGGTTTCCAGACCACTGATCATCTTGGTTGCCTTCCTCTGCACACGTTCCAGCTTGTCAACATCCTTCTTAAATTGTGGTGCCCAGAACTGGACACAGTACTCCAAGTGTGCTCTGACCAAGGCAGAATACTTCCTTTGACCTGGACTATTACTTCCTTTGACCTGGACACTATATTTCTATTGATGCAGCCTAGAATAGCATTAGCTTTTTGTTGCTGCTGCTGCATCAAACTGGTGACTCATGTTAAGCTTTTGGTCCACTAAGACCCCTAGATCCTTTTATGTACTACTGGCAATCCAAATATCCTTCATCTTCTATTTGTGCAGCTGGCTCTTCCTGCCTAAGTGCAGAACATTACATTTGTCCCTATTGAAATCCATTTTGTTAGTTTTGGCCCAGTTCTCAAATCTCTTACAGTCATATTGAATCCTGATTCTGTCCTCAGCAGCATTGGTTACCCCTCCCAGTTTGGTTCATCTGCACATTTGATGAGCATCCCCTCAGTACCTTTATCCAATAAATAGATAGTAATTTCACTCTTCAGCTTAAATCTTTGCAAGAAAAAGTGGCTTGATTTCTTCCTCTGTCTGGAATGTAACACCCAGATATTTAAAAAAAGGGCACTGTTCAATCACTTGTTCATCTAAAGACCATCTAAAGGTGTGGCGAGCTCTAGTAAACACCACAATTTTTGTTTTATCATGGTTTATCTTTAGTGAATTATGGGAACAGTAGGCTGCGATCCCCTCCAGCATGCTGCGTAAGCCTCTTCGGGTGAGTGCCATTAAAACCATGTCATCGGCATATAGCAAAATATTCAGGCGTTTACCTTCAAGGGCTGGAGCCGATGAGTTGTACTTTGCCATGTACTGGACAATGTCGTTTATATAAAAGTTGAAAAGAAATGGGGCTAGCAGGCATCCCTGTTTGACCCCTTCCCCAATGGCAGTGGGTCCGTAAGAGTTCCCGATGGCCCAGTTCTGATTTTGACTGTAATGTCTGTATGTAACTCTCTGAGAATTTTTAAAAGTCGTCTGTCAATGTCCGTTTCATATAATTTTTTCCATAGTCTATCTCTACAGATTGAGTCGAAGGCAGATGTCAAGTCTACGAAGGCCACAAAGAGTCTGCTCTTATACGCTTTTGCATATTTAGCTACCAGGGTCTGTAGTACCATACAGTGACCTATCGTATTGTGGCCCTTTCTAAATCCTGCCTGTTCCTGGTTGAACAGGTTAGAATGGTCCGCCCAATCTACCAGCTTGTTTAATAGGTACCGGGTATAAAGTTTGTATGCGATGTCCAGAAGGCTTATAGGGCGGTAGTTTGCTGGATCTTGAATGTCTCCCTTCTTATAGATAGGGACTACCACACTTAGTTTCCAATTTGCTGGGATTTTACATGTGTTGTTCATTGCCGTAAAAGTTTGGCCAAAAGATGGCCCACCATTGGGCATTTAATTTAAAAACCTCAGGGGGGATCATGTCCTCGCCAGGAGCTTTGCCATTTTTTAAAGTTTTAATTAGCTGTAGGCACTCTGATTCCGTAACAGGATCCCAACTAACTAGATGCTCCTTCTTCAATGGGAGGAGCGGACTCAAATTAGCAGTATTTGAGAGTGTGTATAGCTTGAGAAAGTGTTGATACCACACATCGGATGGAATACTGCTGTTTACAATTTTTCCTTTGGATGAGACTCCCTGTGCTACTATTGCCCAGAATTTTCTATCGTCTCGCGATTTAATCGCCATATCAAGTGCCTCCCATTGTTTCTTCCTGTAAAGGGATTTCTTGAGTTTTAAGGTGTATTTATAGTGAGAGCGCCATCTGTGGAAATTTACCATAGATGACAATGTCCTCTCCTGTTTTACCTTATTTTGTTGTTTCCTAAGCAGGGATCTTAGCTTCCGGCAGTCTTTGTCAAACCAGGCCCCCGATTTGTTATGTTGTATGGGAGGCCTGTAACCATCCTAACACGAAGAACAATTGGTGTTTTGCTTAGTTTCTTCCATACCAGGGGAGGACAATTGGTGATCCCGGCATTAAGAGCTTTCGTTGGGAAAGCTATTCCCCAGATGTTATATGGGATAGAACTCTGGGGGTGGAACCAGAGGCTGTTGGAACGGCTTGAAATTTTGCAAAACTACTATCTCAAGAAGATTCTAGGCCTTCCTCAAGGAACCCCAGCAGCCTTCTTGAGGGTGGAGGTTGGTTTACCCTCTGTGTCTGCCAGGGCCCACTTAAGATTCCTACGATTTTACATCAACCTTGCAAACTCTTCAAACACCTTATTGGCCAAACAAGCCTTCGTATCTTTTCAAAAGAATACCACTTGGCGCCAAAACTTATCTGAGATCCTGGTTAGATACACCCTACCGGAGTTTAATATCCTCAAACGGTGGAGCCCGGACAAAGTCCGGAATGGATCCTGGAGAGAGACGCTCTGTTAGATACCACAAAAATACAGATCCCAGGGTCCTCCCACTGGCTTCCCCGACTGAAAGCAGTCAAAATCTGCGCCAACTACTTGGCGAATATCACCAATCCCACCCTTCGGAGAGCCTTTACTATGGCCCGTTTTCAAACCATTCCCTACGGCCTATCTGTCAGGCAGATATGCAAAAATCCCAGTAGAGCAGCGGATATGTCCTTGTTATATGAGAACCAAAGAGGATCTCATACATTACATGTTGTATTGTCCCATCTATTCGGCCTTCAGGGATGCGATGTTACAAACTATTCCTAAATCAATAGTCAACTCTGAGGACCAAGTAAAGTTTTTACTGGTAGACGCTGATCCACGGATTTCTCACGTGGTAGCGGTCTTTGTGGTGAAGGCTATGAAAACTAGGGTATGGTTCCTGGATGAAACGGTGAGGTCCCTCCCATTGCTCTCCTAACCTGTTGCTGTACCTTCTTCCTTGAATGGTGGGGTTTTTGGGTAGTTTCCTTGCTGGGACAACATGGCATGAATTTTAGCTTACTTTTATAATCTTTCTGGTTTATCTTTTAACAATGTTTTATGGTATTTTGTGTAAAGGCATGGACCTCACAAATTTAATAAATAAATTTGTTTGTTTGTTTGTTCCTCTGTCCCTCACCTCCTCCACCACAAGAGACCTTTGCTGTGCTGTGGGACCATTTGAATGTAGACCTTTCTATTTCCAGTTTGGGTCCCATCCCCCCAGTACACACAAGCAGGGTGTCCCCATATAATCTGGTCTGTGTCAGTGGCCAGGGGTCAATTTCTGCCCTTAGCTTCTGTTAAGAATCTGTGAACATACGAAGAACCCTGCAGGATTGGGCCAATGGGGGCCCATCTAATCCAGCATCCCATTCTCACAGTAGCCAATCAGATGCCCGTGCAGAAGAGCTGGTATTATTTAGTGTCTGGTGTTTGGAGGTAGAATACAACCATCATGGCTAGTAGTCATTGATAACCATGACTCCATGAATTTATCTAGTTCTCTTTTAAATCCATCCAAGTTGATGGCCATCACCATCTCCTGTGGTAGGGAGTTCCACAGTTAAACATTGTGGTGCATGAAGGAGGACTTTCTTTTGCCTGTTCCAAATCTCCCAATATCCGGCTTCACTGGATAGCCCTGAGTCCTAGATTTACAAGAGAGGGAAACATCTCCCTGTCACTTGGAGAACCTGGGGCTTCTTTGGAGGGGAGTGGGGTATGCCTGCCCCTTCGCAGATGCCTTGTGACTTCCAATGGGGCTGACACCAGGTGTGCCACTTGATGGCTTCCGGCTTCCATGGGGCTGCTGGTGGGGTATTGCATGGTCTTGGAGATATGTAATGGGAGCCTCAACATTCATAACGTGTGTGTGTTTGTAAGGGCAAGTTGCAATTGTTGAGCATTTCATCTTGGGACAGAAAACACAGAGCAGAAGGCATATAAGGGCATGACTGACGAGGGAGAATCATCCAGTGAAGGTAAGGGACTTGGGCAGTTTGTGAAAGCTCCATATAATTATAGTAATTCAGGGCCACTGCAACTTCAATCACAGCTTCCAAGGGATCCAATACAACTTTTTGCCCTTGTCTTTGCCTTTCATGGAATTGTAGAGTTGGAACAGAGGGTCATCTGGTCTAAGCCCCTGCAGTGCAAGAATCATTTTGTTCCCTGTGCATTCTGTAGGGATGCCACTCGCCATACCTTGTTCCCAAAGATCACCGCTTTGATTGCACCTTAAAAAGATATGTTGATCTTGCACTATTTCCCAGCAACATAAATAGTACAGTGTGCAAGTTCTCCCTAAATCAGACTTTGTCAACATGGTGTGCTCCATATGGTTTGGACTACAACAACCAGCAGCCCCAACTAATAGGGCCTAATAGTGTGGTGCAGGGGCTGATGGGAGCATGGCTATGCTTGCAGGGGCTGAATAAAAACAACAGAGAAGGGAAAAAGTTTAAAACAAATATCAATAAACCATTGCAGGAGATGTGCTTTAATTGCTTGCATAAGTCTGACAGAATAAAAATGTTTTCAGCAGGCGTTTAAAAGTTGACACAGAATACAACCGCTGGTTCTTCCTATGTCTTTCCCTAACCCTGAGAGGGAAGTTAGACTGAGAGACAGAAACTGGCCCCAAAATCACCCAGTGAGCGTCATGGCTGCACGGGGATTTGAACCCTGGTCTCCCTGGTCATAGCCTGACATGTAGAGGTCCTTCTCATTTACCCCTTCTGCTCCTGTTATGTGACTCTTTCGTCCTGCCTTCGGCACCCTGGCACCCTCTAGAATATGACTCCTAAGTGGCCTCCAAAGAAGCAGCCAAGGGGAACATGCCCCTTTGGGTCAAAAAAGGGGTCGCCACCCCCCTGTTGAACAAATGTAGTGTTTTTCTGCTCATTGCAGCAAGAGGCAAACAGTTATGATGAGAGCTGTAAATCAGGAATGCTTCACGTGTGGTCCTCAGCATAGAATCCTAGAATTGTAGAGAGCCCAAGGGTCATCTAGTCCAACCCTTGTGATGCAGGGATCACAGCTAAAGAATCCCTCAGGCGACCATCTAACCTCTGTTGAAAAACCTCCAATGAAGGAGAGTCTGCCCTCCAAAGTAGTCCGTTCCACTGTGAACATGTGATTGGACTCCAGCTCCCATCATCCCTGGTCGTTGGCCATGCTATTTGTTAGACCTGAGAGGAGATGCAGCTCATCAACATCTGTATGGCCCCAGCTGTAAACAGCACTCAACTTTCCCCTTGTTCCTTTAAAAGTATGCAGAGAGTTTTCACCAGACTCATTGTTTGGTGGCAACAAGGTCTAGAACCTTGAAACCGCCCAGGCCTTCGGAAGTGCCACCTCCCTGCAGAACGTTGGGCAAGCTATCATGATTCTTGCCAGCCTGGTGGGTTGCTGCAGCCTCCTCCGTCCCCTACTCAGGTCGCCTCCACTCCATCAGCCACCTCCTGCAACTCCCAGAGGCCGCATCCCAGAAGGAGGTCGTCCTCTGCATTGTGAAGGCTGCTCGCAGCCAGCCAGCTGCCGTGATACCAGTTCTTGTGGTGATGCTCCAGCAGGACGAGGTAGGAAAAACTGCTTCTCTAACTTAGACCGTTTTCCAAGACCGGTTCCCCCCACCTCAAGTGCCCTTCAGAGATTAAGAACCACAAATTCCATCAGCCCCAGCCTGAGAATTGTAGACCAAATCCTCTCAAGAGCACCAGCACCAGTTGTCAAAGAGTTAAACAACTATATAAGTTTTTGCAGGCATCTGAACGTAACCCTACTTCAGGAAGCTTTTAATGTTTGATGCTGTATTTTTGTTGGAAGCCGCCCGCAACCCAGTCAGATGGGCAGGGTAAAATAATAGAGATTAAATGGACAGGTCCTTCCCTCCATGCTCAGAAACTCTCTCCCTCTCTCTCTTTCCTTCCTGCAGGCTTCTGCCTGGCAGAAGGTGGCCATCTATCGCAGTCTGCAGGCCATGATGGAGCACGGCCTGGAGGTGGAGCCCGCCGGCCAATTCATCCTTGCGGCCTGCAAGCATCTGAGGGCATCCCCAGATGTAAGGATACCACAGATGACTCTCAGAGGCATCTCCCTCCTTGGTGGTTAATTCTGGGTTGTTGTTGTTGCTTTTAAGACATCCTGAGGCCAAACCCTGCTTTGCGAGCTCCCAGCCATGTGGTAGGTGGGCGGGCCAGGATTTTCATCCTGCCTCCTTTGTTTTATTTTATCAATTGCATTTATCTCCCACCATTCCCCATCCCCCACCAAGGAGCTCAAATATACAAACATGGTTCTCCCTCCTCCTCATTTAAACCCCATAACAACCCTGTGACTTAGGATAGGCTGAGAGGCAGTGACTGGCCCAAGGCCACCAAAGGAGCTTCTCACCCTGGGCCAGCAGGGGGATACTGTAGATAGTTCAGATCCACATATGCAAATAAGGGATCGAAAGTGACGTTCAGTGATTAGATAGTTACAGAAAGTTGTTACAGTTACGTTGTAGTGGAGCTCTATATAAGCAGGCTGGCTGAACCCTTCAGTTCAGTTCTATTCTGGCCTGTGAATAAACAAGAGCTGTTTGAAGAATCGCTGTGTCGTCTGATATGTTCACCCACAACTTAACACCCAGTGTTCCTAGTCAGACGCTCTAACCACTATGGCACACCGGCTCCCTTTGCTGCCAGGTTGCTGGACTTTGTGCTTCCTAATCTCATTTCCACCCTCTCAGCAGGAAGTGCCCCGAGAGCTTCAGGCAGCGGCAAGCAGCACCCTGGCCACCTTTGCCTGCTATCACTTCCACCCCATAATGATGGAGCTCCAGCACCAGCTCAAGCCCTTTGCCCCGCCAGATGAGTTCACCCTCCTGACCCTGGGGAAGATCGCAGCCAACAATGGTACAAGGGCAAGTTCCTGTTAGAATTCCTGTTGTCACCCTACACTTGAGTAGGACCCTGGTAGAGACACATGCCCGACTGGCATGTTCCCTCCCTCCTGGTCGATTGTTCGGGAGCTTCAAAAGCTTTCTTCAGCCCGAACATCACAGTGACCGATGCCAACCGACACCGGCACACTTAGAGAACCACAGAGTCTTCCCAGCTTGCGGAACAGACCTCAGCAACTCAGCATTTTGGCTAATCTACTTTATTTACATATAAACACACACGGAGCACTGCAACATGGCTCCCTCTCTCTCTAGCATCAGACAGCAAAGAGAAAGAACAAAGGACAATAGTCCCATTTCACGGAACACAGTAACACAAACATCCTGTCTCCCGTCACTTCCCACTCTGTGGAGTCAAAACATACACCATCATGTGCTAGACAACAATCCCATGACTGCAATCATGGAGCAGGAATTCTCCTGACAGTTCCATCTTCACCCCTGCCCTGAACCAAATTGCCAAGAGTCTAATATGGCTCGTGATCTGTCCCGGGAAGCACCTTGATAAAACCCAGGGGAGGTTTCATTCCCCACCCCAGGGTACAATCAAGCACACTTCCTGCTTTCTCTGCCCATCTCTCCTCAGTGTACAGCTGCGTCCCTTTCCTGGGCATCACCCTAACCACCCTCCAGACCGCCATGCGCCGGATTGAGGATGGACGGAGGCGCAGGGCTCTCTGCACAGGTGGGTCCCGCAGGGCCTCCTTAAGCGATGCTTTGCAAACTTGGGACACCTTACTCTATGGTCTTAACCCCTTCATGCATTAATTAGAGTTAAAAGCATGTTGGTTATATGAGGCTGAGTTATCCCCACCGTTCTCACAGTAGCCAACCAGATGCCCATTCAGGGAAGCCTGCTAGCGGGACCTGAGCACAGGAGCACCCTCCTCACTTGTGGTCTCCAGCAACCAGCTTTCAGAAGCATTGCTGCCTCCATCTGTGGCAGCAGAGTATATGCATTCTGGCTAGGAGCCATCCATAGCCTTCTTTTCCTCCGTGAATTTGTCCTGTCCTCTTTTAAAGTCAACAAAACACCAACACCACCACAAACTGGCTTATAAGTATAAAACCAAATTTACTAGAATAATAACTTCATACTGAGCAAACCATTTTGTATGACTGGGTAAGGTATAGTATGAGACTGATATTTTCTAATTTTTATGGTTTACCACACATTTTAATTGGAGTGCTATTTTGTATCAAGCAGCTTTTCAGACTGTTGAAGCGTGTAGCGAAACCTGTAATATATCCGGAGAACAGGTCTCCTTTTGCCCACTTGCGTTATTCTCACCAGGGTGGTGGCTTTGATTTGCCTTCCTGTGATTGGTCCATGCATATTGCTTTCTGTTTCCAACTCAAGACCTATTGAAGAACATCTCATCCAGTTCAATCTTTGAAAAACAGCTTTGAAAAACTTTTTCATATTCTCCAGTGTGCTACCCTTGCCATTGTGGCGGCACGGGGTTGCCATTCTGTGATTGGACTTACGCTACTTGCTGAATGGTTTATCCAGTCTGTATAACGTTTATTGCACTTGTAACTTGTTAAGATATAGTTGTACATTTATCCACTCCATGTTTACAGTATCTCCTGGCTTTGTTTTGCACATGGCACCTTAGTATGTTTGTTGCTTGAATGGTTACAAGTCTATCTCGATTCTAGTTATTATTCTAGTAAATTTGGTTTTATACTTATAAGCCAGTTTGTGTTGTTGTTGTTTTGTTGTATTATTATTACTGTCACCACATTTGATACTTTGTGTATATACTCTTTTAAAGTCATCCAAGTTGGTGCCCATCAAAGCCTCCTGCAGGAGTGAGTTCCACAGTTTAACTATGGAAGCAGAACTTCCACCTTGGTTAACATGCTCTGCCTTTCATTTCTCTCTCTCCACCCCCTTCTCTGTTATCTGTTTCACATTCCCAAGCTCTGGAGCAGATGTGTGGGGCAATCCGGATATACCTGCGGACCTGGGAGCGAAGCTCTTACCCCCGCATCAGCGTCCAGCAGTTCTCTGCCTACCTGCTGCCTCTCTACTCCTGCATGACCCGAACTTGGCTCCCTGGATGCGATGCACAGGTGAGGGGTGAGGGGCGATCAGTCAGCCCCCACCCCATAACCAGCAGGGTGCCTTCGATCAACCCTCTCCTGGGACTCTCTCCATCTGGGGAGGGGTTCTGGGTGACTTTACTGTCTCCCCAGGGATTGTGCTGCTGGTCCTTGGATGAAAGAGGGACACTTTCTACAGTGGGAAGATTTTGCAGCCTAGAGTAGAGGTGACTGGTCTTTTTCAGACCGAGGGCCACATTGCAGGGGCTGCAGGTCACTGGACATTAAAAAAATTTTTTTAAAGGGTTTCATAGGGCAGAGGACTCGGGAGGCCAGAAAAATCTTTTAGCACCATAGTATCACAGCACAGGAACCACAGGACTAGTCAGTAAAATGTTTTTTTTTTAATACAGTGGAACTCTGGATCTCGAACGCCTTTGTACTCAAACATTTTGGCTCCCAAACACCGAAAACCTGGAAGTAAGTGTTCCGGTTTTCGAACGTTTTTCGGAAGCCAAATGTCCGATGCGGCTATCGGCTATTGTTTCCGGGGCACCTGCACCAATCGGAAGCCCTGCCTTGGTTTTTTGAACGTTTCAGAAGTTGAACGGACTTCTGGAATGGATTACGTTCGAGAACCAAGGTACCACTGTAGTTAAAAAATGGACAGATTTTGGAGGGCCTTGAGAAGGGGCACAAAAACATCTTGGCATCACAGGATCACAGCGGGTGACCTCTTAAATTTAGAACTTAGTTTTTTTTTGTTTTTTAAACTCAGAAAATGGTGGACTCTCCTTCATTGCAGGGTTTTCTATCAGGGATTATTTCAGCACTGTAGGGGGTTGGGCTGGGTGACTCTTGTGGGGGGGGGTCCCTTCTAACCCAACATTCTATCATTTTTAAAAAAACGGTGACTTGAGTGGGACTTGAGCACAGCCTGTTCTTACAGTGGGGGGTGGGGGTGGCTCTGGACCACCCTTACCCCTCTGCCTCTCCCACTCACCAGCAGTCAAATAGCACCTCACACTTCAGTCAGCACTAACCCTTTTTTCTGCAGGCAGATATCTCACTGGGCAAGCAAACTGGCCCAGGCCAAAAACATGTGTGGTTTCTTGCAGCCCCCCCCCCCAAACTAGCTCTCTCCCCTTAGTGACTGGGGGAGGACCCTGCCCTGTCACCAGTGTGGAAGGTGGGTTTCCCATCTTGCCTCCAAATGTCTTGTGACGGCTGCTGCCTCGCCACCCCCAAAGGTCCAGCTGGCAGTCTTGAAGACCCTGAGCCCCATCCTGCGACTCCTGCTGCCCAGGACAGACTTCCAGGCTCAGATCTACAGCGACATCTCTCTGCTCCTAGCCCAGTATGATAGCAGCACGGAGACCTTCCTCGTTACAAAGGTGAGCATTGCGGATTGCTGCTCCCCACTGGCACCCAGGACTTGAGCAGGCCACCCCAAGCTCAGCTGCTATATCAATTTCTATTTAGGTGTATATACATTTTATCTGTTTAAAAATATATATATATTGCCGTGATTTTTGTGGTGTGGGGGTGGTCTTCGATTGCTTGCAATAAACCCTGGAGAGGAGGAGTCAAAGGCAGCTGCGGGGATCCAGGGACCCTTCATCTCAGCAACTGGTTTCAGGGAATGAGCTGTTGTGCTCATTAAGCCCGAGACTCAGCCCAGTTTGTGAAGATAGTGTTTTTGCTAATAACAATACTAATAATTTATTGTTAATATGCCACCCGTCTGACTGGGTTGCCCCAGCTGCCCTGGGCAGCTTTCAACACATTAAAACATGGGTAGGCAAACTAAGGCCCGGGGGGCCGGATCCGGCCCAATTGCCTTCTAAATCCGGCCCACGGATAGTCTGGGAATCAGCATGTTTTTACATGAGTAGAATGTGTCCTTTTATTTAAAATTCATCTCTGGGTTATGTGTGGAACATAGGAATTCGTTCATATTTTTTTCTTCAAAATATAGCCGCCGCCCCCCACAAGGTCTGAGGTTCAGTGGACCGGCCCCCTGTTGAAAAAGTTTGCTGACCCCTGCATTAAAACATTCACAGCAAAACATCAAACATTAAAAACTTACTCATACAGGGATGCCTTCAGATGTCTTCTAAAAGTCAGGTTGCTTTTTTATTTCCTTGACATCTGAAGGGAGGGTGTTCCACAGGGCGGGCACCATCACTGAGAAGGCCCTTTGCCTCACTTCTTGCAGGGAGGGAACTGCCAGAAGGCCCTCAGAGCTGGACCTCAGTGTCCAGGCTGAATGATGGGGGTGGAGACGCTCCTTCAGGTATACAGGGCCGAAGCCTTTTAAGGCTTTAAAGGTCAGCACCAACACTTTGAACTGTGCTCAGAAACATACTGGGAGCCAATGTCATTTTTCTTATGCCTGTTGCAGATCCTGGGCCAGATCCTGGAAGCGTCTCTTGTGAACAACAACCCTATTCCAAGGGAGCATGTGGGGCCCCTCACCTGCGCTCTGGTTCGCCAGGTGAGAGGGGGGAAATTTTGGAGCCAACCCAGGAGGCAGGTGGCAATGGTGCTGTAAGAACATAATTTGAGGCTGCTGGATCAGGCCAATGGTCCATCTAGTTCAGCATCCTGCTCTCACAGTGGCCAAGCATATGCTCCGATGGGAAACCCAAAAGCAGGATCTGAGCGCAAGAGCATGTTCCCTTCCTGCAGTTTCCAGCAATTGACATTCAGCAGCATGGCTTCCTCCGATTGTGGAGGCAGAGCATAGTCACCATGGCTGGTAGCCATTGGTAGCCTTTCCCGCCAATTTGTCTACTCTTTTAACGCTATCTAGGTTGGTAGCCGTCACTTCCTCCTTTCGGAGTTCTATAGCTGAACTACATGCTGCAGGAGCAACAAATCACTGATAAAATGCCAACATCCTTCCTCCCCTTAGATCTGCAGCAGGGGACAGAAATGGCCGCCTCACCCGCAATGCGAGGAGAACTTCAAAGAGATCGCTCGCATCTTCCTGCGCCTGGGTATGGACAGAAAGAGGGGAGGCTCCCCATCCCAGCTCGAACCAAGGGGAAGAGGGTGAAAAATGGTGGTCACCCACCCCATGGGCCCCTACACTTACTGGGAGCATGGGAAGTCTAGCTCAACATTCCCTACACTGACTGACAGCAGCAGCTCTTTGTGGGTTTCAGGCTGTAGACATTCCGAGCCCTGGCTGGTGATGCCATTGGGGATTGAACCAGGCAAAGCAGGTCCTCTAGCACTTAAGTTTCTAGTCCTCATGGTTCCAGATCAAGAGCTGATTTGAATAGGAACAGAGGAAGCTGCCTTATTACCAAGTCAGCATTATCCACACTGACTGGCAGCAGCTCTCTGGGGTTTTCCAGATAAGGAGTCTCTACCAGCCCAACTGGGGATTGAACCTGTGACCTTCTGCATGCAAGTCAGATGCCCTGGCACTGAGCTACGGCTCCTTCTGCTCCCCCACAGCCCGTCTGCACCCCTCTGGGCTGATGGGGGTCTTCCAGGGGAAGGTGGAGGAGCGCCAAGAAGACGTCTGTGCGGTGCTCCTGGCGTTGTTCTCTGAAATTGTCAGTGCCCAGTGTAAGTATCTGGAGAGGAAGGGGGTCTAGGCTCTTACAGCTGCCCCCCCCCCCTGTACCTTAGACCCCCAACTTCCCTCCCAGGGAAAGAGCATCCTAAGAGTGTTAAGTGAGGAAGAGAGTTTCTGGCCCAAATTTGCCCTCAGCCCTGACCTTGTGAGGGAGGCCAAGGCCCAACCCCTCTTCTCATCTGCAACAGGAGGAACCTGATAGTTCTGATCACCCTTGCAGGGCTGTTGTGAAGATTACTGAAGTGATGTAAGGAACGTCCCTTGACAGGTGAAAGAGCTTTCTGCAGTAGGACAGCCTTTAATGGAAGAACTGGTTAGAGCCATTCCTTAAAACCCATAATTATAAATAATAATAATAATACAGTGGCACCTCAGGTTACAGACTCCGCTAACCCAGAAATAGTACCTCGGGTTAAGAACTTTGCTTCAGGATGAGAACAGAAATTGTGCTCCGGCGGTGCAGCAGCAGCAGGAGGCCCCATTAGCTGAAGTGGTGCTTCAGGTTAAGAACAGTTTCAGGTTAACAACAGACCTCCAGAATGAATTAAGTTCTTAACCCGAGGTACCACTGTATTCTTTTTTCCAGCCCGGGACTCAAAGTAGCTTACACAAATTAAAACAACACAGATAAAAGGCTAAAAACATATAAAAGATAACATTTAAAAATGAATTAAATTTTAATAGAATTAAAACAATATAAGAAAAATGGATCAAAATGCAGGTAGTGAAAATAAAGTGACCACTCTGATGAATTGGGGAGCGTGCCTGTTTTTTAATGACAGTTACGCTTAACTTTAAAAAATGATAAGAATATCATAATATTATGATAATGGATAATAACAAATTGATGTGAACTGATGGTTGCCTCTTGTTCTTGTTAATACGTAATGTCGTTTGTATGCTGCCCTTCCTCAGTTCAAACCATGCTCGAGGCGGCTTCCAACATGGGAAAAATACATCAATGCAACGTAATAAAAGTAGTCATAAGCTATAACTGCAACATTTAAAAATACACAAGCAAACTGAGCAATTTCCACATAAATCACAAGAGCTAAAATAAAGATAACAACAACACAAAAACAGTAACAACTCCCCGAGCAACATTATTTTTCCTCCAGGTATTTATTTGTTTGTTGCATTTATGGCCCATCTTTTTCTGCAATGATCTCAGAGGGACTTACTGTACATGGTTTCCCCCCCTTCCTCATTTGATCCCCACAGCAACCCTGTGAGGTAGGCAAGGCTGAGAGGCAGGGCCTGGCCTCCAAGGTCACACCCAGTGAGTTTCATGGCCGAGCAGAGATTTGAACCCTGGTCTCCCTAGTCCTAGTCCAATGCTTTAAACCACTACACCATGCGCTCTCTCGCTCTCTCATTGGACTCTGGCTCCCAGAAGTCCCACTATGGCCAATGGTCAGGGAGGATGATGAAGGGGGCTGGGCTAAGCCTTACCCGCCTTTCTCTTCCAGTGCCTGAGCTCTGGAGCAGGAGGCAGCTGTGCGTGAGGGTAGTCAAGGCCGCTCTGGGGGACGACAGCACCAGGGTGAGAAGGAGAAGGGATTTGGGACGGCCAGCAGCAGGCCCAGGGACTCAGTCCTCCAGGTTGCTGTTGAGTCGTGTGCCCTGGGTGGGACAGGGGCCCCAAACACTTTTAAGTGCCTCGTGGTGCCCCTCTCGGGTGGCATGGGACATTGTCTTTCCTCGCCCGCTCTGGCTCTCAGGTCCGCCTGGCCACGCTCCAGGCCATTGGGAGGCTGCTGCGCACCAGCTACCTGGAGAGAATCGAAGGCTGGCCTCTGAACTACATCTCCCTGCAGATGGCTGTGTCTGCCCACCAGCTGGTGAGAGCGCCCAGGGGCCTTGCCCTGCCCTTAAGTGGCCTGGATATTTCAGGTCAGGGGGTGGGGTGGGGGCCATCTCAGGAGCCTGTTCCTCTTTCAGACGCACCCCACACTGAGCCTCCCCTTGGGCGGCTTGGAGGAGAAGGCCATTGGAATTGCCAGCGCAGAGGTCCTCCACATCGCTGTGGCTTCAGGAAGGGGCACCAGCCAGGTCAGAGACCCCTTGAATTCGAGAATCGAACGATGGCAGGGGAGATGGGGTTTCTAGTTCGTTCTCTCTCACACGTTTTATTGCGTTCAAGATCATAATCATTGGGGGAAGTAAATTAAACCGTTCACATTCCTCAGTGTGTGTGTTCTGAATCTATAGTGTTAATACGAGCCACTGGGGGTTTGCATAATACGCTCTTGTTGGTAATGAAAGTTATAAAAGGGAACCACACTATGCCAGAACAATGTTGTTTGGCCAAACCCGGACAGCCCTGCTGTGGTGAATTAGATATTCCAAAAATGCCGTTCTTCCAGAGAAGAATGGCAGATCAAGTTGATGGATTATGCCAAAATGTCTAAAATGACCAGAAGACTCGGAAATCAAGAAGACCAAAATTTTAATACGGAATGGGGATTGGAATATCACTTGTAGTTTAATGGTGAATTTTGGACACAATGGAGAGGTAAAAGATTTGGATTATCATAAAAGATGCAGGAGGAAATGATTAACAATAGGACCCACAAAGGGGAGGTGATCCCTAGGCTCAGTGGTTTAGACCAGAGCACCACCCGTGTCCATATATATATATATATATATATATATATATATATTTCAAAAAATGAAATTTCCCGTACCCTTTCTAACCATCTGGTTAAAGTCCAGCATCTGGAAGGTACCATATTGGCTACCCCTGGCTAAGAGATCTGATCCAGAACCTTTTGTCCACTTAGCCTTGCAACACGTAGAGCAAAAGGGTGCCTCTGAGCATGTACTGACTGAGAAATTTGCCCCTTACATGTGCAGGGCAGGGAAGTGATGTTGAGGTATGGAGGTGAATGACTGGGGCTTTAAGGAGAAATGGGCTCTGTAGGGCCAGGGAGGCCACTGGCTCCAAGCGCTGAACCCTCCCTCCTCTTCCTGGCAGGAATTGTGGACCAAGTTGCTGAGCTACCTCATGCAGCCCCCCTACATGGCTTTAGTCACCCCCCTCTGCCACGCCTTGAGACTGCTGGCAGAGCAGCGACTACGTCGGGTGGGCCACAAGCAGAATGGCCTGGGGACAGGTGGGTGCCACCATGCCCGATACTCGCCCCTCCAAGGCGGGCAGCACAGGAGTGGGGGAGCAGAATATGCATTGGGAGGCTGAGTTTGGTCAGAATCAAGTATACAATTCCAGAGTTAACACTAAATACAAAACCTCTGGTAAATAAGCCATCATAGCTGCTAAAGGACCTTGAAAATTTGTGTCCCAGGCTTTTTAGACTCGTCTACCCATGTACCACCTGAAACGAATGGGGCACAATTGTTGCCAGATGTGGAATATTTTGGCATTATTTGGCATTATTTTCAGCTCTCCTACCCCACTACAGGCAGCCCCCAAATGCCTCTCCAATCCCATTGATTTAGGGATGCAGATGAAGTTGTCTCAGGGTCCTCTGCCAGTCTGCAGGAGATTTTGGGGTAGACAGGATGAGAAGGGCCATAGCTCAGTGCAGAGAAGCTCCTTGGCAGGCAGAAGGCCCCAGCTTCAGTCCCAAGTGTCCCCCGGCTGAGCTGGGAAAGGCTCATGCCTGAAACCCACTGCCAGATGGATCAACTCTCTATCTCCCTAAGGGCAGCTTCTTACTATGTTCCTATTTACACCAGCCCTCACTTCCCTCCCCCTTGTTCTCTTCCTCTCTCCCCTTTCCAGGGGGTTTACCAACTCCACAAGAATTGATGGCGCAGCTCCTGGTAAGTGATGTGGGTAACTGGGGAGGGGTGGGGAGTGGTTCAGGCTTCTAGCAGTTTCTGAAAGTGGGCTGCCTCATTGCTAGACTCTTGGAGGAAACTGGACCCGAACTCACATATGCTTCCTAAGAAACAAGGTTGGGGGAGGCCCAGTTCAGTGGCAGAGCACCTGCCCGGCATGCAGAAGGGCCCCGTTGCAATCCCCACCGGCATCTCCAGCTAGGGCTGCGAGAGACCCCCTTTCCCTGCCTAAAACCCTTCAGAGACATTGCTGCGAGTTGGTGTGTAGTGTTGTAAACAAAATCTGCCCTTTTTCCCTTATGGGGTATCCAAGAGCCCGTATAGAGTCCTTACGTGGGTTCCCTATTGGTAGGAGAAAATAACAGAGGCCAACCAGAGAATATTGAGAAGCAAAGCAGCTAGTAAGCCTGATCTTTATTAAAGCTGTTGCAACAGGGTGCTCCCCTCACATACAGGAGGACAGAGGAGGACCCAGAACAAAGGTGTGTCCGCCCTTATATAGACATTTTAAATTGCCCACCCCGGAGTCCAAGACCCCCAGAAACATCATACATACATCACAGAAGAGGTTGTCTACAACAGAAATCTGAGTGCGTTGTTTATCTCCTGTCTGGCAGGTTACCTGCTAATGGTCACTTGATTAGATTACCTGGGGAGCCTGGCCAGTCTTTTGTAATGATAAATACTTAGTTCCTGAGCCAGGTCACAGGCTCACCCTATTCATACACAGACATACCCGTAAGACAGGATTTGTGAACGAAAAGACAATGGGGAGGCTGTTCCATTTTCCTTCAACCTTGCAGAGAAATATTTGAGGTCAATTTGGAAGGGACAAAATGGTTTCAGGACTTTTTCTGTGGGGTTTCAGACATGTGGTTTATATATGCAGTTATGGACATTTATCATATAATTCTTATAATAGTAGAAAATAGAGAGTTAGCTGAAACAGGTGACTTGTTTAAAAATAAGTAAATAAAGCCTCCCTACCAGTCTGTGTTGGGTGTGGATTTAGGCTGGTGAGCATGGGGCCCCAGTGGCCTCCAGACTCCAGAAGGCCACAGAGGTGGAAGCAGCCTGACCTGGGTGAACCACCTTCCTGACCTGGAGACCCTTGCTCTCCTCCTCTGCAGGCCCTTGCTGTCTCCCCCTTGGAAGGGACTGGCCGAGGAGCTGCCGTGCTGCTCCTGATGAACGCCCTACGCCCAGAGGCCTACAGGGATGTGGGGGAGCACTGGTGGGTGGAGATACCTGCCCTGGTCCGCTACCTGGAAGGTGAGATGAGAGGAAAAACCAACCCTCCCCTCCCCTGCCCTGCCCTGCCGAGCTCAGCTGACACACCTGTGTGTGCAGAGGGTCAATTTTTGCCAAGAGTTGCTGGCGGACGACCCCTCCTCTAGGATGGTGTCTGACCAAGCCAGCAACTCCACATCTGCCACCAGGCCTGAGCCTGGAATCTCCTGACTCTTCCCCTAAAAAAGAAGAAGAAAACAAAACAAAAAAGCCTTGGGGGGGGGAAATATATAAATTATTTCTTTGCTTATATATATTTATATACTGCATTTATGGGTTGCATTTATTGGTTTATATATTTTTTATTTTATCTGCAGACGCAATAAACATAAAAACAAACAAATCATCAAGCTAAAAATAACAATAGGAACAGTCATAAGAACAAGAGGAATAAAAACACAAGATAGCAGAACCAGAAAACAATAATAGAAAGCTTTAAAAAAGGAATGAGTAGCATTTGGCCACCTTCACATATATTTGGCATGTTTTGAATAAATATGAGCCTTGTATTCCACTATGGAATGCATTTTATGCAATTTGTTGCATTTATATCCCACTTTTTTCTCCAAGGAACTCAAGGTGGCACATGTGGGTTCTGACCCACTCCTCATGTAATCCCCACAACAAGCGTGTGAGTTAGGTTAAGGTGAGAGGCAGTGGCTGGCACCCAAGGCCCCCATTGAACTTCATGGCTGAGTAAGGATTCGAATCCTGGTCTATCCCAGATCCTAATCCAACACTCTAAACATGACACCATTCTGGCTCTCTCCCCAGAACAGTGCTGGGGAGGCCCCACCCAGCCACCCACTATCTAGATCTGCTCAATTGCAGATGAATCCTTAGAGGTCTAATCTGGCAATAAGCAGCATCAAAATTCACACGCAATAATAACAACAGTAACCAATTCACTTGGCCAGGGAAATACTGTTAGTGAGTCAGAGTAACGCCTGGCAGCAGGAGTCCTACAGAGTTCTTCCCCCCTCTGAAAGTATGCCTAAATTGGCACAGTTGATGCAGATCTGTGACATGGCCCTATCGCAAGAGTGGTTCAGGTGCCAGCCGCAACCCCAGTCTGGCAGTGGTTTCTATATGTTACTGAGTGGCACCTTGTTTTTATGATTGTGGGTTATCTATGGGTGTGACTCTGGCCGATCTCCAGCCTATGCCAGAATCACCCAGCCCTCCTTGTCTTCCCCAAAAGGAGCACTGACTCCACTCCCCAGTGGCACCCCCTGCCTCAAGCCCTGGAGAGCTGCTGCCAGCCTGGATAGGCAGCACTGGGCTGGCTAGTCTGATTCTGTCTAATGCTGCTCCTCTCCCAAAGGCCACAGCAAGTACACGCTGGAGCCCGCAGCCTGGGAAGCCAAACTCTTGGAGGTAACGCCAGTGGGGCGAGCAAACGCACTGTTCCTGTGGCACTGCTGACCCTCCTCGGTGACCCCTGTTTCCACCGGTGCCTCCTCAGTTCCTGCAGAAGTCCTTACGGAGGAGCGAAGCGGGAGGCTGGAACCTGGTGCTGGGGAAGGAACTCGCCAAGCAGCTGAACACCTACCACAACTCCTCTGCGGAGAAAGTCAGTGCTTTTCCCCTGCCCCCTCCCCCCACAAATACCGAGTATCTCCCCATCCAGCTGTGCACAATGAATGCCCAGCCCCTCACCTTCCTATGAACAGCTGGGCTGGAGCATTTGCCAAAGGGGTGGGGGAGGAATTTGATCTGGTTCACCTGCAAAGCCAAAGCACTTTGTGAAGCAATTCACAAATCGAAACGCATGCCCATTCTTCGAAAGTTGCGCTTCTCTGAATTTTGCAGTGCGGTTCTACACCCATGTGTCCGGAAATGCATAGCTATTGACAGCCCTCTCCTCTGTGCATTTCTCCAGTCTAACCTAGTAAAGGTAAAGGGCCCCCTGACCATTAGGTCCAGTCGTGACCGACTCTGGGATTGCGGCGCTCATCTCGCTTTATTGGCCAAGGGAGCCGGCGTTCAGCTTCTGGGTCATGTGGCCAGCATGACTAAGCCGCTTCTGGCGAACCAGAGCAGCGCACGGAAACGCCGTTTACCTTCCCACTGGAGCGGTACCTATTTATCTACTTGCACTTTGACGTGCTTTCGAACTGCTAGGTTGGCGGGAGCAGGGACCGAGCAACGGGAGCTCACCCTGTGGCGGGGATTTGAACCGCCAACCTTCTGATCGGCAAGTCCTAGACTCTGTGGTTTAACCCACAGTGCCACCCGCTTCTAACCTAGTCTAACCTAGATGGCTTTAAAAGAGTATTAGGCAAATGCTTGAAGGAGACGGCTATTGGTACTTCTTAGCCTTGATAGCTATGCTCTGCATCCATGGTCAGAGGCAGCGATGCTTCTGAATGCCAGTAGAGGAGAGGGTTGCTGTTGCACTCAGGTCCTGCTTGCAAGTTTCCCACTGGTGTGTGTGGGTGGCCACGATGTGAAGAGGATGCTAGTCTAAGATGGGCCCCCTTTGGCCCAGCTGCAGGTCCTTCTAATATACTAGAGGTAAATTGTGCCTAAGGTCTTAGCCGCAGTGGGTGATACACCTTGGTTGTGCATGTATGTGTCTGCTATGTCGTTGGCTGGCTGGGGTCTGTGCTGCTCAGCTTGCCACCACCCTCCCTCTCCCCTCTAGGGCTTCCTCTACAAGGCCTTGGGGATGGCGCTGTCTGCCGCAGGGGACGCGGATGGGGTGGCGCAGACACTTCTGGATCTGCTGCTGCACACAGATTACACGGAGGAAGCCCAGCGAAAGGCAAGCCCTGCTACTTGGGGGCGGGAGGGGGGCGGTGTATGCCCTCCATTAACCTGCTCCCCACCCCCACCAAATGTACCCAAATTTGGCACAACGGTTCCAGAGATCAAGCTGTGACTCCTGCCTTGCAGGGGTTTGGACTTGACGATCCTCGGGGTGTCAGGGGCTCAGTCTACACTCGAGTAGGACCCTGGTAGAGACACATGCCCGACTGGCATGTTCCCTCCCTCCTGGTCAATTGTTTGGGAGCTTCAAAAGCTTTCTTCAGCCCGAACATCACAGCGACCGATGCCAACAGACACCCGCACACTTAGGGAACCACAGAGTCTTCCCAGCTTGTGTAACAGACCTCAGCAACTCAGCATTTTGGCTAATCTACTTTATTTACATATAAACACATGGAGCACTGCAACATGGCTCCCTCCCTCTCTAGCATCAGACAGCAAAGAGAAAAAGAACAAAGGACAATAGTCCCACTTCACGGAACACAGTAACACAAACATCCTGTCTCTGTCACTTCCCACTCTGTGGAGTCAAAACATATACCATCATGTGAAAGACAAAAATCCCATGACTGCAATCATGGAGCAGGAATTCTAACACGGGGATCCCTTCCAACTCTACAATTCTATGGTTCCGGGAACTTGGCGGTTAGTGGACTCTCCTTCACTGGAGGTTGGATGCCTGTGGGTTATGGATTCTTCCTGAAATGCAGGAATCACATCTAAATAAAACCCCACAGGTGAGCATCTGAGCTCTGCTGAAAAGCCTGCAATGAAGGATAGCCCACCACCTTTTGAGGGAGTCCGTTCCATAGTCGAACAGCTCTTACCCTCAGTAAGTTCTTCCTGATGTTTAATCAGAATATCCCTTCTTGTCATTTGAATCCATTGGTTCAGGTCCTCCCCTCTGGAGCAGCAGAAAACAGGCTGGCTCCATCTTCCACGGGACAGCCCTTCAGGTATTTTGAGACTGGCTCTCATATTACCTGTCGGTCTTCTGTTCTCCATGCTAAACATACCCCGAGATCATGGAGCAGGTTTTTGTTTGTATTCTGAGACAATTGGATGCTGCTCTGAATCAAGACGGTGGGCTGAACCTTTCAAAATTACACTGATTTTAACCAAATTTGATAGGAATGTATATTCTGCTTTACCTGACAACCTGAACATGAAAATGCATAGTTTGTTTTTTCACCAAGGGACTAAAAAATTAAGTCATCCCTCTATGTATCTTTTTGGTTTCTTCGTATTCCAGAGAAATGCTCGGTGCATAATGTTAGGGGAAGTTTTTAAAAATGTGAATCTTATGCAAAATTGTACATTAGGAGAATTGGGTGATGCATCTTCATAAGGACTTAAAAACAATCTCAAAGTTATGCAGAAATATGGAGAAAGGAACCTTAAGATTGGAAAATTGAGCAACTGAGAAATACAAAAATTGACTGATTCACCCATCCCTATTTAAGGCTAAGTAGGGGCTGCACCCCTGCTTGCTCCTACTTCCCTTAGGCCTCACCAACCCGCATTACAGCTCACCTACCAACTAGCATCATCAGTGTGAGGTGGCCAGCAGCAGCAGAGCAGAATAGTTGCTGGGGAGCTGCCCTAGCCTGTCCTGACTGGTCCTCTGTTTGAACTGCCAGTCTGTCCTCTCACTTGTCTGCCTGGGGCATGTGCCTGATAACACACAGGGGAGGCCCAGCCACTTGCCTGCCAGCCTCCACCTCCACTTTCCTCCTCCTTGCTCTCTGACCATTGTCACAATGGCCCAGCTTGTTGTCATGCTGTAGTTTGTAGTGCCACCTGTTGGCCAGCATGAGAATTGCAGCACGATGACGTTCTTTCATTTTTATTATATTTAAGAGATAAACTTGAAGTGTAGATAGACCCGGAGGAAGAAGATGGAAAAGCGGGTGGACTGGATCCTGTGGGAGGGAGTCCGGATTTTTCTGGAAGCTGGTTACAGCCTAGGGTCATTCCTTCTCACCCGCAGGGGGTTTGCTGGTGTGTGGTCTATTGCGCTGAGGGACAGCTGACGGCTGTGCTCCAGACCCTGAGTCGCTTTGAGGAGGTGATCTCCGAGGGGGAGGATTCAGCTTACCATCACTTTGGCCAGGTTCAGACTTCCCTGCTTTCCCCCTTTTCTTTCTTCCCTCTCTCCCCCAGCGGCTGTGGAGTTGGGGAGGCTTGAGAGCAGAATTTACCATTTCCAGGGCCATAGCTGAGTTTCAGAGCGAGTGACTGAAACTCTCATCAGAAGAGTCTTCTGCTCCCGCTTATGGAGGCAAATGGGAGCCCTGGGAGACAAGACGGCTTTGCCACGAATGCGAATCTTCCTCCTCAACCATAGAGCTTGCCGGAGCCAGGGAGAAGCAGCGTGAAGAGTGCCCTCCTCCTGCTTTATGGCAGCATGGCGGTCCGTGCCCCCCAGGAACAGCTTCTGCCTCTGCTGGCGAACGAGATTGTGCCACGGATCCTGCGCCATTACACATCTAGCGGCCCAGAGTTGACTTACTTTACGGTGAGTCTTCTCCACCACAAATGGAGGGGAGCAGGGATAAGGATTGGGGCCAGAGTATGGGCAGGAGGGGTAGAGGGGCAGCTGGGAGGGAGCTAACTAGAAAGAGGGCAGGAGCCCGTAGGGAGGGGATGCCCGTAGGGAGCCTCGCATAGCTTGTGGCTCACATGTGGGTCAGCACGTTGAAATCCCACCCAGCCACTCAACAGGGTGACCCTGGGCAAAGTACTTTTTCTCTGTGCTTAATCTATCTCGCAGGGTTGTTGTGGAAGCAAAAGCGGGTGGCTACCACTTTCAGGGCTGCAGTCATGGAGATAGTCTAGATGCAACATGTCGGCCTTCCCCAACCTGGTGCCCACTGGGTGCAGTAGGGGCCTTGTGGGAATTGTGTTCCCAAACACCTGAAGGGTACAACATTGGAGAAGGTGGCAGTGGGTGCTAATAAATGAAAAAGGAGGAGGTGGGAAGCAGGTGCTCTCTGGATCTCTCAACTTCCCGTCATTGGCCAGGAATTGTCAGTGAAGGGACAGAGGGACATAGCCCAAGAGGAAGGAAACAGAATGGGGGCCATTCTGACAGCTGTCCTTTCTGTCTTGCAGGAACTGGGCTGCCCCACTGGGCGAAAAAAGGTACCTACTTGATACACACAGGTTGTGGGGCTGGCTGGGAGTTGTTTAACTAGCTTTCCTTTTTCAGCGAAAGGACCATCGTAGCTCAGAGTCAGAGCACCTGCCCTGCATGCAGAAGGTCCCAGGTTCAGTCCCTGTCAGCATCTCCAGGCAGGTCTGAGATTCTCCCCTGCCTGAAACCCTGGAGAGCTGCTGCCAGTCAGTGCAGACGACACAGACCTTGATGGTTGTCAGGAGTAGGTCAGCAATAATTTGCATGATGTCCGTGAAGTTAACTCTTTATTCAAAGCAACAAGACAGCTCAGGCCTAGTGAGCACATCAACTTTTCCTGGTAGAGCTTGCCCCAAGGAGGCAGTTGTGAGGACTGAAGGTCCCCACCTTCCCACAGCTGCCTAAGTTCTTTCCAAGCAATCGGAGGCTTTATTGTCTTGCCTGTATTTCCTCCACCCTCTTCATACCTCTTCTGGTTCTGGGGAACCAGTGGGGAGGGGAGCTGGTCACAGCAGGAGGGGGAGACTCCCTGGCTTCTTCAGCAGCCTGCCTCCACTCTTGGGCCTCCTCCTCTCCAGCCTCTGCTTCTGCCTCTGCCTCTGGACTGCTCTCTGCCACAGCCTCTTCCTGCTCACTAAACCCTGTTACCTCCTCCGCTCCTGACACCTCCTTCTCCTATTCTGCTCCCTCTGACCACTCATTGCTGTCTCACCACCAATCCCCTGGCTCTGAGCCTTCTTCCTCTGGGGGTTCCCCAGCCAGCGCCTCCCACCATTGTCTCCTCCACATCCAACCAGTCCACCACAATGGTTCTGACTGGGTATGAGTCAGCTTCCCATATACTACAGCTCAAGTCATAAAGAATCTGCAGGAGGTCCTAGGTTCAATCCCCAACAATGTCTCCTGGCGGGGCTGTCACCTTTCTGAAACCCTGGATAGTTGCTGCCAATCATGGTTCAGCAATACTGAGCCAGATGGGCTCCGATACCCCATGTTCCTTTTCTGAGATGGGAGCGGTGGGGTTAGAAGCCAGGAGAGAAAGCATAAATCCAGTATATGCTCCTTTTGATCGCTGTTCTGGGAGTACATGATGACAAGGGTGTGATGGATGGAATGAAACACTCCACAGGACAAAGGAGTCTTTATTAGCAAGGCTGTGAGAGACTGCCCTCCATTCAGAGCTTCCCCATAACCTCACCAAGGAAAGGTATGTATGTATATATGTATGTCTTTCTTTTTCCTTGTGGAGCCAGCCTCCTTCCTACTCTTTCCCATCCCTCCCAGGGAGCCACGGATGCTGAGCTGGCCCTGAGCTTCTCCCAGTGTGTGTCTGAGATCAGCCTTTCGATCCTGAGCAAAGGCGATGCCCCGACCTTCTGCCTGCCCCAAAAACGCCTCCTGCTTGACCACCTCGTAGTGAGTTCCTTTTGTCTGCGCTTAGGCGAAGCCATTGGAAAGGGTTAATAAAGTGTGTTTTTTAAAAATTCTGGTTGGGTGGTCAATAGCTCATGCCCTGAAGAGCTGCTGGTGGGAAGAATCATAGAATTGTGGAGTTGGAAGGGACCCCAAGGGTCATCCAGTCCAACCCCCGGCAATGCAGGAATCTCAGCTAAAGCATCCATGACAGATGGCCGTGAATGATGTCAAATTTTCACTTGCCCTGGTCACCCATCAGGTCTGCCCTGGAAGGTGAGTGACAGCCTAAGGTGTGCTGGCCAAAGGATAGCAACTTTTGGGGAGGATCCTTTAGAAGGATTCAAGCCAAGGTCTTGACTTTCTTCCTGACCAAGGTTCATTGCCCATGCCATACACTTCCCTTGCACGCCATTTGTTCCAGGACATCATCAAAGCAGAGCCCCTCGACGCCCTTGTATCCCCTGTCCGCCAGCAAGTGATGGTTGCCCTCCGGCACTTGAGGTGAGTACCCCATTTCCAGCACCCCTTCTTTTTATGGGGTGTCCATCCATCTGAGCCACTTTCAAGCTCTGATTTCAAAGCCCAAGTTTAGTTCTGGAACCCCAAGCGCCTCTGAACATACACAGAGTGCCATATTACTGCAGACAGCCCTTGTTCATCTTAAAAGAATATTTTGTTTTTCCAGGACAGGATGTGACCCAGCCTCTTTCCACTGTTTAGTTTCTCTGCCTTTAATGGTCTGCCCGCCTCTGGGATGGGTTGTTCACAAATGCAGCCCCCCATTGGCTGCTGCAGGCATCAGCTGGCAAACTTTTTGTGTGGGAATCTACCCTTGGGTCACCCAGATCTGGAGCCCTCAGCCACACTGGCTCCAGAACGCATAGAATTCTCGAGTTGGAAGGAAACCCCAAAGGTCATCTAGTCCAACCCACTGCAATACAGACTCAGGGATGGTCAAAAAAGGGAAGTAGCAAATACCTATTTGGTGGTGAACCCTGACAACCTTCCTCCTCTCCCTTCAGCCACGTGCCAGAGCAGCTGAGCCGGGAGGAGAACCAGGCACTGGCAGAGGCAGCCCTGAGCAGCGTCTTCACTCTTCCTCCTTTGGGGCTGGCAGAGGATGCAGGCCAGGTGTGTATGTGTGTTGGGATGGGGCTGGTTGTTTGGGAGCTGATTGCCTGCTGAAAGAGGAGCACTCCAGGGGCTGCAAATGTTCCTCATAAATCTTTTTGAGGCTTTAGTACCCTCAAGTGGTATTTCAATTTTGTTAAATAAAAAAAAACAACAGCATTCTGCTCCTTCTGCACCACTAGGCACTGCTGCCTTCCAGCGCTCAAGCACTGCATACGGGTGCCCTGATATCCCTGTCGGAACTGGTGGAGACTCTGCTGGAAGAAGAGGTGGTGAGGGTGGAGCAAAGGGAGAGTGCCAATTTGCAGTGGTTCCAACAGGCCTTCCAGGTGAGCAGGGCGGGAGGTAGCCTCTGCGTCAAGTTTCTAGCCCTCACTGCTAAATCTGTCTTCTCCCTGCTGCTCTCCTTTTCCTCTCCTCCCACATTTTGCTCCCAAGCCAGAAGGAGGGCAAAGTAGATGTCACAGGAGTGTACAGGTTCAAAGTTGGAGATAATTCTTTATTAGCAAAAACATGATCTCCCCAGACTTGGTGGAGTGTTATACATAAAGAGCAGAGCAGTTCATTCCCAGCAGTCTTACTCGATGAAAATCAGTCACCAGGACTGAAAATCCCCACCTCTTCCCTACCATCTAAGTCCCCTCCTCTTCAGGATTTTCCCCAAGCAATCTGAGACGGCGCCTGCATGAAGCTAACTTCTCCTCTGCCCTCTTCATGCCTCTTATGGTTCTGGGAGACAAGAGGGAAGGGGAGCTGGTCACAGCAGGAGGGGGAGACACCTGTGACTCCTCTCTGCCTCTTGGCCTCCCTCCTCTCCTGCTTCAGCTTCTGCCTCTGAGTCTGTACTTCTCTCTGCCACAGACTCTCCCTGCTCACTAAACCCTGTTACCTCTTCGGCTTCCGACACCTTCACTTCCCAGTCTTCTCCCTCTGACCACTCATTGTTGCCCCACCACCACTCCCCTGACTCTGAGCCTTCTTCCCTTGGGGGTTCCCCAGCTGGTTCCTTCCACCACTCCTCTGTGTCCAACCAGTCCATGACAGTGGGGCTCTTGAGAAGCCAGAGCTGTGTGTATTTACCCATTTATTTGCATCACCCCACTTCTCCATTAAGCTTCCGTTCAGAGCAAAGCAACGTACAACAAAAGATCAAAAACAACAGAGGCTCAGGCAGAATACAACACATTCTGAGGGGAGATAGAGAGACTCAGTTGGATTAGATCAGCTAAAGCTCTCTTGAGAAGAGAAAATATCACTTTTGGGGGCTTTCTTGATCTCCGGAAGCAAAGGCATTGAGTGAATGTTTGCTGGAAGTGGGTTTCACAAATGCGGGGCCAACACCAAGCAGGCCCCATCTGGAATGATGAACTACTACACCCTGCAAGGGCCAAGAGCACTGCCCCCCAATCTTGAATCCAGCTCTGCTAGCAGGACATTCTCTAGACATGCACCACCCTCCAACTCGCTCTGTGGGGTTTCTGGGAGGGAGAAGCCTTGCCCGCAGTTAACCAGCATGGCTTCTGTGTTGCCAGGGCAAAGGCGGGCTGGTTCAGGCCAGGGGCTGATTGTTCCTCCCCCTCTCCTCCATTTCCCCCGCAGCTCCTGGGGTACTGGATGGTGTCGGAGCAGGAATGGGAGCGTGCCCGGGCTTTGCAGCTTGGGGTGCACTTGCTTCGGGCCCATTGCCAGAAGACCAGCGCTTCCGTGAGTAAGGCCATACTCAGATGGATCAATGGTCTCACTTGATATAAGGCAGCTTCTGATGCTCCTACTTAACTGTCCTTGATTCCAAACCATGAGGACTAGAATCTTATTTTGGGTAAGGGTCATAGCTCAGATTTGCCTTGCATACACAAGGTCCCAGGTTCAATCCCTGGCGTCTCCAAGTAAGGCAGGGAACATCCCCAGCCTGAAACTCTGGACAGACACTGCTGCCAGTCAGTGGAGACAGTACTGAGCAAGATCAGTCAATGGTTTGACTCAGCATAAGGCAGCTTCCTGTGTTCCTAAAAAAATTACCAGTCCAAAGGTTGCTTCTTCTTAAAAGCCTGGCCTGGGTTCCTAGTTCATTCAGAATATTGAGGACCAGAATCTTGCTTTATTCCTAGGGGCAGAGTCTTAGCTGCCAGTCAGTGTGGACAATGCAGACAAATGGCCTGAACTGGTATATGGCAGCTTCCTCTCTCCCTCTTTTTGCACAGCCACGGATCCCCCCGGAGCAATTCAGCCGCCTGGCTGGGGCGCTGGGGCCTTTCACCTGTGACGTGCTGGGCAGCATCCGGCAGGGTGCCGTCGACTGCATCAGGGTCTTGCTAAGCACCCAAGGTGAGCTTGTCTAGCCCCTTTCGCAATGTAGGTCTTCCTTACTTGGGAGGAACTCCCCTCTCCATCCTCATCTGGAGAGCTGCTGCCAATTGGTGCAGACAATATTGGGCTACAGGGACCCGTGTGCTAATTCACTATTTATTTAATCGTTCAATTAATTAACATACCACCTTTATCTTCCAAAAATCTCAAGGTGGCGTACATGGTTCTCCTCCTCCCCATTTCACCCTCACAACAACCCTGTGAGGTAGGCTAGGCTAAGAGGTGGTGACTGGCCCCCAAGGTCACACCCAAGTGAGCTTCACAACTGAGTGAGGATGCTGCTGTGCCCAGATCCCATTTGCGGGCTTCCCATTAGGGAATCTAGTTGATCACTGTGAGAACAGGATGCCAGATGGTACAGAAGGCATAGAATTATAGTGTTGGAAGGGGTTCTCCAAGGGTCATCAACTCCCTGCAAGCCAGGAATCACAGCTCAAGAATCCCCTGACAGAGGACCACCCAACCTCTGCTTCAAAACCTCCAATGAAGGAGAGTCCGTCAGCTTCCGAGGGTGTCCATCCCATGGTCAAGTGGCTCTTGTCATCAGAGAGTTCTTTCTGATGTTGAGTCGGAATCTCCCTTCTTGGGTATCTCCTGCAGGCACCCAAAGGCCAAGGGGCCGCTTGGTGGCCTGGCAGCTCCACTGCATCCAACGCAAGCTCCGGAGCGAGAGCAGCCCCCGGGAGGTGCGCACGGCCTCTCTCCAGCTGGCGAAGGTATTGTAGGGTGGGGACCTCAGGAGGAAGGTGCTTGGGAGAAGGTATCAACCTGGAGAATAGCACCCCTAGGCAGGATTCATCCTCCTGGGGTGGTGGATCATGTGGCAATGGACACGTGCCTTGGCCCTGGGTGATGCCAGTGCCAGCCAAGGGTTGCCACCTTTTAGGCAAGGCAGAAGTTCAACAGGTGCAGCTAAGAGGTTCAGTAATGAGAAAAGCACCCGCTTTTCCCATGTCTACCCATTGTTGTGCTCTTAAAGCAGGCATGGCCAAACTTGGCCCTCTAGCTGTTTTGGGACTACAACTCCCATCATCCCTAGCTAACAGGACCAGTGGTCAGGGATGATGGGAACTGTAGTCCCAAAACAGCTGGAGCGCCAAGTTTGGCCATGTCTGCCTTAAAGCAATGGGCAAAGCCAGATAGGTAGCAGTCCTTTTGAAGAGCTGGATCGACCCACCAACGTCCTGGTGTAATAAACACTGGGAGCTGGGACTGGGATCAGGAGTCCCAAATCCAAGCCCTAACCCTTAACCACAAGGCCTAGGAGAGGTCTCCTGCAAGCTACGTGTATCAGGCAAAATGTGCATACCAAAAAAGAAAACATCTGCACTAACAAGCTGACAGATTTTGTTTCTTTATTGCATGTATATCCCACCTTTTTCTCCAAGGAGCTCAAAGTGGCATCCATGGTTCACCCCCTCCTCATTTAATCCCCACAACAACCCTGTGAGGTAGGTTAGGCTGAGAGGCAGGGACTGCCCCCCCCCACAAGTCACACCAGGTGAACTTTCTCTCCCCATGCTCTGTCCTCATCTTCTGCCAGGCAGCCATCCCAGTGAAACCCAGAGAAGGGCAGGTAGGCAGGCAAGACTCTGGCAGGGGACTTTTGGGAGTTGGGGGGGGGGAGAGATCCTTCTTTTAACCCTACTCTCACCTCCATGTAGGATCCCAGGAGATCCACTTGCAGGCACCTTGCTTGGTAAATATAGTGACAAAACTATTTCAACCCTCTCATACACCTATCCCTACCTCCCACCCCCCAAAATACCCCAGAACCTCCATGACCCTAAGTTAGGTCACAGCACCTGCCCAAGGAAGGAGAGGGTGTGGCGATGACAACCAAAGGTGGGGCGCATCTGAGCACTTTCTCCCCACTACCTGCCTGCCCTGGCTCAGGTTGTCAGCCGCGCTCTGCCCCCGCAAGAGATCCTGGCCTTCCTGCGCACTTTGCTGGAGCAGCTGAGAGCCGTGAGCCCCACCTGCGACCAGGCCGTCCTCCTGTGGTTTGAGGTGGTCGTGAAGGAGCAGAGGGCAGCCTTGAAGGACAAGGTAAGGGCCAGGTGAGGGAGGGACTTGACCAGCAGTTCCCAAAGTGGGAGGTAGCACCCCCCCGGGAGGCAGTGGGATAACCTAGGGAGGTGCTAAGAGGCAAGTGGGTGGCAGGGGGCTGCTAGAGGTGTAAACAGCTATCAGGCTATCGCTGAGTCGTTCATCGATGTTGATTTAATTCAACAAAACAGTTTGAAATGGGTTTTGAATAAATGTGCAATTAATCAATACCGTTTTGGATTTCATTGTGTTATTATCTTCCACAGTGGGTGGCGCAAAATGATTTCCATAAGGTAGGATAGTGGGGTACTGGGGTACTGAGTTTATGGAATCAACCAAAAAGGTTTGGGAAACACTGGGTTAGACCTAAAGGGCTTTCAGATTTTGTTGCACGAAAATGTATAAAATAAATGTATAAAATAAAGCCTGTATTTGGTCCTGCACTTCCTAGAATCCTACAATTGTAGAGTTGGAAGGGACCCCAAGCGTCATCTAGTCCAACCCCCTGCAATGCAGGAATCACAGCTAAAAAATCCTGACAGATGGCCATCCAACCTCTGTTTTAAAAGTTCCAGTGAAGGAGAATCCACCACTTTCCAGGGGCGTCTGTATCACTTCATTATCATTTTTCTCCCTATGTCAGCTATTGAGGCCAGTTTGAGAGCTGGATTACCAAAGAGGTGAATGAGACCCCACTTTAGGAGAGGGCTCTTGTGATTAGTTCCAGCTTCTGGGCTTCTTAGAAGCCCAGTGAGAAAAGGATGCTGGGTCTAGCAGACCCTTCTGATGTTCTTGTGAGATAATCAGCCTCATATAACCAACATACCAAAGTCTAATTAACACATGAAGGGGTTAATGTCATAGAATAAGCTGTCCTGCCAGGCTTATCTGTGTCCATTTACTTTACATTGGGAGGAAATCGGTAAGCTAGCCTATTGTTGCACCTTCAGTCTACCTGAGAAGCTCAGCCTGCGAAGAGGTTTTGAGCTGGTTGCTCCAGCTCAAACTGCATGGCTCTCAGCAGCCATTTTTGAGCTCCTATACCGATAATTTAGGAACTTCCACCGCTTTGGAAGTAAACAAAGTTTTACTGCCTGTGCAACCTGTCTGACTGATGTATGGGAAAGCACATGAACCTGACCTTTGGAGAGTTTGTAAATAAACCATTTTTAACTTACTAAACGTGTGATCTATTCCTATGCTGGGGGAAGAGGGGACTATTTTGGAACTCACTTGGAAATACGTATTTTTAAAAGTCTAACGGCCTATATTTCCATGCTTTGCTTTGCTGCATGTTTTGTGATTTTAGATCAGGCATAGGCAAAGTCCAGCCCTCCAGATGTTTGGGACTACAATTCCCATCATCCTTAGCTAACAGGACCAGTGGTCAGGGATGATGGGAATTGTAGTCCCAAATATCTGGAGGGCTGGACTTTGCCTATGCCTGTTTTAGATCTCTTCTGGGGTTCTCTCACCAAAGAGTACTTGCCGCAAACCTGGATTTGGCATCCAGGGAATCCTCCTTTCCATGTATCTATTCCTCCCCACACCTGAACCAACATGTATTATGATGCTGGACATAAGAAGGCTTCTCTTATGCTCCTAGAAATGGCACCCCAAATATATGAGGGTTACAGAGCTTCTTCCCCCCCCCCCCAACCTTGTCCTTTCTAGATCCCCGACCTGGTGGCCGTCATTTGCTCCTATGTGCAGCAATCAGAGGATGCAACTCAGCGCCATTCCCTGGCCCAGGCCGTCTGTGTACTGACGGAGTGCCACTGCAGGGCAGTCTGTGCCACCCTCCTTCAGCAGGCCCTCCTCCCAGACAGGTGAGTGCAAGACTCCCAGGGCTCAGAAGCAGGCGTCGGGAGTGTGCTCTGCTCTTTGAACTGGAACCCAAGCCCCCCATGCCACCCCCACCCAAGAAAAGCCCTCCTCCTAAAACAACAGGGGGCGATGGACTTCCGGTTAGAAGATGGCACCTGAAGCAAGTCTCCTGTGAGCCTCAGCAGAGTGAGTAGGAGCTTTTAAAAAATAATAAGCGGAAAAGACACACTCCCGGAAAACAAGCTTATATCCCAGCCAGATAAGGACTCCGGGAATCGCCGGACAGCACTTTAAACATCCTCCCTTCCTTTGAGGCTCTTCTATGAAAATTACTTTTTTATTCAAAATTAAAATAAAACATATTATCTAGAAACCCATGATGTTGGGTTGAAATCACGACAGACGAGTGGTAGGTGTCATATGAGAGGCGTCTCTTATCCTTATTTTTCCCCCTTTTTTCCTCCCTCCCCCCTCCCCCCTCCCCCCACAGAACCCACGCACCCCCACCCCCTGACTTCCCTCAGTTCCAGTCTTTGATTTCTCTAAAAATGCTGTTTTCTGCATGTTACACAGTTGTATAGATCCTCAAACTATAATTATCAATAAAAAGTTTGTGAATGTTTATTCAAAACCAGCCAAGGAGTCCAGTCCGCTTTGTTGCATCTTCAAATACTTTGTAAAGGGTTCCCATTCACCTTTAAAGTCACAGTTATCCTTGTCCCGTAGCTTATATGTCAGCCTTTGAGGCTCAATCCTGCTGAAGCCATCCAAAACTCCATGAGGTTACTTAAAACTATCTGAGGCTAATTACAGTGCTCCGAGTTTCTTTCAGACAAAGCCCTCAAATATACGGATGGGACAAAGTACCCCAAATCTAGTCCGGGGATGGTACTCACAACAGGGGGCACCTCTACACAGTATTTTGTGGGCATCTGTACTGGAAACCCAACCCTTGGCGCTGTTCCTGCAGAGTGGCGTTCTTTCTCTGAGTCCGCTCACCATCTGTGCCATTCCCCAGGGCAAGGATGGAGCTCTTGGTGGCTGTAGCAACGTACAAGGATAACAGCGAACCTGTCCTGAGGCATCTGCTCAATGTGGTGAGAGGGGAAGGAAGGGGCACCCCCAGCTACGTCATGGTGAGGGCTCTGCTAAGCATAATTGTTGAATGTGCATTGAAATGGAAATTCTTTTTTAAAAAATTTTAAAAAGTTTTTATTGTTAAAATAATTCAGCATTAATACACACATATTGCGAACATACAAACATACATTTCATACAATCCTTAAAAATGTTCAAACATACCTACACTCAATCCCACAGATAATTCCTTTTCCCATCACCATCCACCACCCCTCACCCCACCTTTGTGTTAGACTTCCAATCTACTCAATTGCAATTTCTTTCCACTTCTATTGCTTTCTTTCACACACCTTTAACCTAATTTCATGCTTCTTTTTCTATTACACATTGTTATCCATCTTATTTAGTATTCCAGTATTTAAAATGGAACTTGTTTATTCTAATAGGAGTTCTGATTTTTCAATATGGTTTTGCAAATATCCTTTAAAATGGAAATTCTAATGGGCCTGTATTGAATACAGGCAACTCTCTGTGGGCTCGGGGGTTGGGCTCCAGGTCATGGCATGAAATTGCGTCAATCGTCAATCCATCCATTGACATTGGAGAGAGATTGAGTTGAGAAATAAGACCAAGGGTACATATTGATATAGGAATGTACTAGATAAAATGTAAAGAAATATACAATAATAAGAGTACATTCATTTGTGGAAAAGGAATATATAACGGGATAGACAGGAAGTCCAAAGTGTTGGTACATATATGATTTTGGAATAGTTTTTTGTCCTTGTTTCTTTTCTTTAGGTATATAAACTTTGTATATAAACTTTGTATACATGCTGAAAATTATATTATAATAAGCCTTGTGACGCTATATGATAATGTTTACCGATGTAACATAAGAACGTTAATAAATAAATAAAACTCAAAAAAGAAGGAAAAAAGAAAGAAAGAAAGAAATTGTGTGAAATCAGAAATAAAAAAATAAAGTTTTATTTAAAAAGTTTTTGCATTACTTAGATAAATAAATAAATAAATAACCGTGTTCCAGGCTCTTGTGTCCCTCCGGGAGGGAGTCCTGGCTCTGGAGGACTGCACCAGCCAGCTCCCGCTGCTCTCAAAGCTGTGCCACGCTCTCTTGTGCCAACTCAGCAGCACGGACCTGAAATCAGAGACGCCCGACCCTTCTTCTCTGAAAAGGATGGCATGCAGCAGAATAGTACCGCTGGAGCCCCGCAGGTAATGCCCGTCTTCCGTCAGTCCCAGGTGGCGTCTCTTTCCGCTGCCCTTCCCCACAAGTGCACTCTTTGTGGGACTTCCTGTGTATTTCCCCCAGAAGCTGCTGTAAGTTAAGAATGCTGCAGCGCGATTGCTGACAGGAACAGAGCCTTGCTGAAATGCAACACCTCTGCTTAAAGAGCTGCACTGGTTGCCAGTCTGCCGCTGGGCCAAGTTCAAGGTGTTCCTAGAAGCATAGAAAGTCCTTAACCACTTGGGAGCAGTTTACCTGCAACATCGCCTTACCTCACTTCTGCCCAATCAAACGCTTCAGTCTGCAGAACTGGCACTGTGACGGGTGCCACATAACCCCTGTTCTGTGTTTGTAAGAACTCCGTCTTTTAGTGTGGCAGCACTTACCCTTTGGAACTCCCTGCCTCTTGACACCAGGCAGGTGCCTTCTTCAGTGTAATCTTTTCAAACCACTCTTGTTCAGACAAGCCTAACTAGACGTTCAGAAAGTCAATGCGAGTTTTATTCTCTTTTTAGTCCGTTTTAACTTTTCAAAACGGGACGCGGGTGGCGCTGTGGGTAAAACCTCAGCGCCTAGGACTTGCCGATCGCATGGTCGGCGGTTCGAATCCCCGCGGCGGGGTGCGCTCCTGTCATTCGGTCCCAGCGCCTGCCAACCTAGCAGTTCGAAAGCACCCCCGGGTGCAAGTAGATAAATAGGGACCGCTTACTAGCGGGAAGGTAAACGGCGCTTCCGTGTGCTGCGCTGGCTCGCCAGATGCAGCTTGTCACGCTGGCCACGTGACCCGGAAGTGTCTGCGGACAGCGCTGGCTCCCGGCCTATAGAGTGAGATGAGCGCACAACCCTAGAGTCTGTCAAGACTGGCCCGTACGGGCAGGGGTACCTTTACCTTTACCTAACTTTTCAAAAGCCTTAAATAGTTCTTGTGAGTTCTTCTTAATGATAATTTTGTTGTTTTATCTTTTTTGCAAAACGCTTTGAGGTTTCTTTTTTTTTTTCTTTTTAACAATCAAGCGGCATGTAAATTTTATGAAATTAAATAAACAAATAAGGGGCAAATAAACAGGGGCTCTGCCTGGCTCCAAACTGACTGGGGAAAGGAGTCTTTGGTTTTGTCTCCCAGGCAGGCTGTGCTGGTGCTACAAGCTGTCCTCAGCAGAGCTCTCCCAGAATCGACGGGGGAGATGGATGTCTCTGGAGACACCTGGAGCTTCTTGATGCAGCCAGGCAGTTACCTGAAGGGCGTCGCCCTCTTAGCCAGGTGATTCTTATGCTCAGATCCTACCTGTGGGTTCCAATAGGCGTCTGGCTGACTATGGGGTCAGGGGTGCAACTTGAATAAAATATATATTTTATTTTAGAAATTTTTTAGCATACAATATTATTTGCATTCATCCATAACAAATTACATATCTTTACAGGGGTTCTTCCGACCCCCAGACTTCCCCCCACTCCTCTCCCCGGTTTCCAATATTTAGCTCTTCTCTTTTCTGCGACTAAATACTTTTATCCAATCTATTAAGTCTCCTTTTTCAATACTTCTTTATCAATACCCTGGGCATATAACATTCTTGCCACTGTTGTCGCATACATAAATAAGACCTTTTTCTCCTTCGGAATCTCTTCTCCTATTACTGTATACCTAATAAGTTTTTTAACAAAAGTTATTTTAAACATTTTTTTTAAATCATTGTTAATCATTTCCCAGAAGGCTTTTGCTGACTTACAGGTCCACCACATATGATAAAATGTACCCTTGTTCTCTTTACATTTCCAACATAAATTAGTCATTTTTAATACATTTTTACAAGTCTTGTAGGAGTTAAGTACCATTGGTACATCATTTTCATATAGTTCTCTTTTAACGAACAGCAAGAGGTAAATAGTAAATCCACTTTCCATAACTTTTCCCATGAATCAAACTGTATATTCTGACCCACATCTTTTGCCCAATGTATCATTACTGATTTTACTTCTGTCTTTTGTCTCCCATTCCAGCAACATTTTGTATACTTTTGACAGAACCTTTGCATTATTTTCCAACAGATCTTTATGTAATCTTGATAATTCATTCCTAAATCCCACTCCTTTATCCATTTTAAAAATATCAGTTAGTTGGTGGTATTGGAGCCAATCAGTAAGTAAATGTCTTATATTCTCATATTTCTTCAATTTCAACTGATTTCCCTCCTCCACCATCAACTCTCTATATGTTATCCATTCTTTTTCCATATTTAATTTTTTAACTGAGAATGCTTCTAGTGGTGATATCCACCACAGAGTCTTATTTTCTAATAGATTCCTATACTTTCCCCATATAGAATATAATGATTTTCTAACAATATGAACCATGAAACCCTTATGTACCTTCGTTTTTCCATACCACAAATATGCATGCCACCCAAATCTGTTATCATAACCTTTCAGATCTAAGATATCTGGATTCTTTAAACTCATCCATTCTTTAAGCCAACAGATACAGGACACTTCATAATATAATTTTAAGTCTGGTAGGGTAAATCCACCTCTTTTGTTTGCCTCTGTTAACAATTTATATTTAATCCTAGGTTTCTTTCCCTGCCAGACAAACTTAGATATATATTTTTGCCATTGTTTGAAGTGTCCTGTTCCGTTAAATATCGGTATCAACTTGAATACAATATAGGGGGGGGAGGTAAGCCCCACCCTGCATAATCAATCACATGACATGTCATTTATGCCGCTGGGCTTTGTTGAAAATGGCTTCTCCATGCAAACCAGGAAGTGACCTCTCCAGACAACGGAACAACTCTTCTTATCACTGTGATCTCCTGGGTGACACGGACACCGTTAGACAGTTGAATATTCATGCATACTCTGTCCATTTCCTGCCTTCCCTACAGTGCTCCACACAGCCCCAGGAGCTGGCAACCCACGTTACGCCATTGGGCCATTGTCCTGATCCAGCAGGCTCTTCTATGTTCTGATCGTTCCTTTTCTCCCCCTGCCCCTCAGGTCCATGGCGTGCTCACAGAATCCCCTCATCAATGACCTCCTGCGTCACCTCCTGCCCCATCTCAGTTCCTCCAGAACAGCCTACAGAGACCTCAGCCTGGTCTTCTGCATGGAGGTATTGTATTTACTGCTATTGTATAAGCATCTCCCTAAGGACTTTCCACGTTTTCATGTTGTGGGTGTTGGGAAGATTAGTGCAGGAGTTTACTGATGGTTCCTTTGCTTGGCTCAGATCCCAGGCCACTCTTTGCTTCACACGCCAGAGATGCTCAACCTCCTTCTGCAAGAGATGCTGGCCAGGTCCCAGGATGGCAGCACCACCCTGCGAGCCCTGGCGCTCCGAGGCCTGGGGAACGTGGCAACAGAAGCCCCCCATGAGGTAGTTCAAGGGGTTCCAAACGGGACCTTGGCAGGTGATGAAGGACACGGCTCTGTGTGTGTGTGTGTGTGTGTGTGTGTGTGAGAGAGAGAGAGAGAGAGAGAGAGAGAGATTGAAATCCAAAACTTTAGCTGCACAGCAGCTCAAATCAGCTTATCATAGCTCAGGAAGCAACTGATGTCTTGCAAGGAACTCTAGATTTTTTAGGGTGGGTGGGAAATGAACCCGTGTCTCTCTCAGGTCCTAGTCCAACACGCTAACTGCTACACCACACTGCTGTGGGTGTGATCGGTGTGAATGAAGGAAAGAGGAGGCAATGAAGAGGGGGAAAGGAAAAGAAGTGAGAAGTGCAGCTGGGTGGGGTGGGAGCTCTGCATATTGTCCTGAAGCCCCCTGGCAAACGGTTTGCTGCCAGCCACTAGATCAGGCCCCTCTAGCCAATCCTGGGTGGTTTCCTGGGCGGGGGAGACTCTGTAGGCGTAGGGGCATCCCAGCCACTGAGGGCTGTGGGCTTTTCTCCATAGGTGAAGAAGCACCAGGAGTCTTTGCTGGTGACTCTGCTCCAAGCTGCGGGCAATGGCGCCAGCCCTGAAGTGGCCTGTGAGAGCCTGTGTGCCCTGGGCAAGCTGTGGGGATGTATCGGGAGACGGCACAGAGTTCGTGCTCTCCAGGCCGTAGCTGGCCTGGCCCGTGGGCACCTCTGGCACGTGAGTTGGCCCTTTCTTCCTGATCAAAGTCAAAGCAAAGGCTCTCCTAGCCCAGAATCCTGTTTCTGACCTTCTGGAAACCCAGGAAGGGGAGGGTCCATTTTCCTTGCCGAGTGCTTCCCAGCGACTGGTAATTCTGAGACTGTCCCTGGAAAATTGGGACACTTGGAGAGTATGGGTGCTTCCCTGTGTCCCGCTTGGTCCTAGCAAGTAGTGACCTTTCCCTCTTTCATAAGATCTTCTCATACCCCACTCCTATCCCTTCCTGCTGTAGGTGGATGATTCCCTCCGTGAAGCAGCCTTTGAGCTCTTGGGCCAGCTGGCCAGGGCAACTCAGCCGGAGGAGGCCAAGTCCTTTGCTAAAGAGGTGGGGAGGTCTTTGGCTGCCCTCCTGCTGCACTTCAGGGAACCCAGCCCCACTGTGGCCAAGGTACGGCATCATACCCACACCCCTCTCCTTGAGCCTCCTGCTCCCAGACACTCTACCTGTGCACCATGAAACCAGGCAGCTGTCAAGAGACCAGGAGTCAACATAACAGCATCAGTAGATCCCTGCTGCGTCAGACCAATGCCCCATCTAGTCCAGCATCCTGTTCCCACAGTGGCTGACCAGATGCAAGCAGGACCCGAGCACAAGAGCAGTTCTCCCCTTCTGTCGTTCCAGAAACTGGTATTCAGAAGCGTCACTGCCTGTGAGAAATGACAGACTAGCCGCTGTTGTTGTTTATTATGTTTTAAATTGCATTTACGACCCTGTTCCAACTAAACATTAGGGAGAACTTCCAGACGTTTAAGAGCCGTTCGGCAGTGGTTATTTAGCTGCGATTCCTGCATTGCGGGATGTTGGGCTAGGTGGCCTTTGAGGGTCCCTTCTAACTTTACAGTTCTATGAAATTGTAATTCTGCACCCAATCAGCTAGAATTACCAAGTCCTCCCCATCCCTCCTTCCCCAGTCTATGCCAGGTGGGGCTGGACAGAGTGTGACCCTCAACTCTTCCACCAGGCCTGTTCCATTGCCTTCACATCATGTGCCCCCTTCGTGGGCCTGCAAGACCTCACAGGGGACATGGAGGCTGGGCAGCTGCTGGCGGATGTCTCTGGTGCACGTCACATCCACTTGATGGGCAAAGTGTGCCGACAGCTGGTGAGTGAGCCTATAAGCTGGGATCAGGCGCCACCTCTTGCCACCATTGCCAGGAAACCTCTCAGCTGCCTCCTGGCAACGAGGAATGCCTTTCTCTCTGGGGCCTTCCTCTCGTGCTGGTCTTCCTCTCCTGCTCTTCTCTCTGTTCACCCTAAACCATGAGAACCAGAAACTTAGAGCGCCTTTGGGATGCTGTCCCCAGGGAGACCTAACTGGGCATCCTTGACCCTAATATTTAGGTGCCAGGTGAAAACATTTTTTCATTTATTTAATATTGTTGCCGTCCTAGAAGTGTTAGAGCAGGCACTCTCTCTTTCTGCTTTGGAAAGAGTTCTAGTTTCACTCTGCCTTTGCTCTAACACAGGCACCCCCAAACTTGGCCCTTTAGATGTTTTTGGGACTACAGAATTGGTCCTGTTAACTAGGGATGATGGGAGTTGTAGTCCCAAAACATCTGGAGGGCCAAGTTTGGAGGTGCCTGTGTTAGAGCAAAGGCAGAGTGAAACTAGAACTCTTTCCAAAGCAGAAAGAGAGAGAAAGAGAGAGAGAGGGCGAGGGAGAGGGATAGGGAGGTCAAACTGTTTTAACTGGAAGGAAAGTGCCACCAGCCCCTTGCTCTTTTCTACCTTAGGTGTCTCCAAATGTGCTGCTTCTTTTGCTCCAAGAGAATTAAGGGCGCATCTAGGAGATCTCTGTTTTGGGGTAGGATTCAGTCACATCCCAGCAAATTAATGCTTCCGCCATCACAGCCAATTTGCAGCCCTGTCACACTTCTACAACAGTTCAGACTTTTTTGTGATAAGGAGAGTTATGGGGAAATGCACCTGCAGAAGTCTAACCTTCCAAGAAACAAATGGGGGCTGATATTCCTGATTGCTGCATTGCAAGGGTCTGTTAGCCGTGATCCCTTCACTGCAGGGGGTTGGACCCTTAACCCTTGGGGCCCCTGCCAATTCTACAATTCTATGATTCCATGACCTTGGAAAGTGGTGGACTCTCTTTCATTGGAGGTTTCCAAACAAGAGTTTGGATGGCCCAGCTGCCAGGGATTCTTGAGCTTTGATTCCTGCATTGCAGGAGATTGCAATAGATGGCCCTTAGGATACCTTCCAACTCTACAGTTCTGTTATTCTTTGACAATGGACCTGCTGGGCAGTGACCTGATGTGGCCTCCCCCCGATTTCTCCTAGGCTAAGACGAATCCAGCGCTCTTGGGGGCCATCCTGGCTGATGTGCCCCAGTACCTGTGCTCTACCTGGGAAGGAGTTCAGATCGCAGCCTGCAAGCTGGCCGGTGTGTGTCTGCACGTGAGGAAGGAGGAGACCAATGGCCCCCTCTCTCTTTGGAGGAGAGGCTAGAGGCAGTGGGGGCGGGGTGGGTTATCCTTCCCCCACCCCTAGCACCAGGGATGGGAGGAGGAGGTCCATGAGTGGCAACCCTGCCCCGGATTGAGACCCAGACATCCCCTTTATTCCTGCAAGGAATCCTTGTGAAGACAGGGGACACTCAGCGCCTCCGACAGCTGGATCTGGACCGGCTCCTGGTGGGTGAGTGTTGCCACCGGATGTATCCCATGGGTGGGAATGGCAAATTGAAGCCTATCTCTCGATGCAACTCTGGAACATCCAGCCTTCAACATACGGAGTGAAAAATGACTGGGAGAGTTTGGGGATGCTGAGGCTGTGATACGCGAGGAACCTAGCATCCTTTCGCAAAGTGCCTCAGGGGTGAGGTCTTGGCTCTAAGGGGACCCCTGTTTTCTAGCAACAATTGCCAGCACCAAAGCTAGGAGAAGTGGAGATTTTCTCTCACTTTTTTTGCAAGCTGCAGAGTATGGAGGGAGAGAAAGCCAATGATGGATGCTAGCCACAATGGCGGCATAACCATGATGTCGTCTCTGGAGGGAACCAGCTCCTGGGAATCACAAGAGGGCTTGTGGGCTTCCCTTTGGAGCATCTGGCTGGCTGCCCAGACTCTTTGGCTTGATCCAGCAGTCAGGTTCTCCTTATATTCTCATGGAACCTCTATATCAAGAGAGACCCTATCTAGGTTCCTTGGTTCTTAGGGACATTTGGCCCCTGTGAGAAGAGGATGCTGGACTAGATGGGCCCTTTGCCTCCTTCAGCAGGATCTTCTTGTGTTCCTATGGAACTCCCTCCCACTGGAGCCAGGGATGGCCACCAACTTGGACAGCTTGAAAAGGGGTTAGACAGATTCATGGAGGAAGAGAGGGCTATCACGCTATGCTCTGCCTCCACGGTCAGCAGCAGCAATGCTTCCAAATGTTGGTTGCTGGAAACCACAGGAGGGGAGTGTGCTGCTCTTGTCCCAGGGTCCTGAGTGCGGGTTTCGCACAGGCTGCTGTGAAGACAAGATTCTGGGTCACCATTGGAGGTCCTTCCTATCCATTTCAGGCCTTAAAGGGAACAGAGTGGGGCAGTGGCCTTAGTGAAACTGGACTGTGAATGAGGTGTCTGTTGAGGGGTCAAAAGCAGGCCCTGAAGATCCCCTCCCCACCCCAGGAGGGTGACTGTGGCCCTACCCCACTGCCCTGCCTCTTCTGTCTCCCCACAGCCCTCCGCCCTCTCTGCCATGACCCCAATGCTGCTGTTGAGATTGCTGCCTCAGAAGCCCTCCATGCCACCCAGCAGAAATGCCAGCAGAGCCAGGCTGGCTCAGCTCGGAGCCGCAGAAGAAGGCCTATGCTGCCCGGCTGGTTGTTTGGCCGGCAACGTAAAGGTCCCAGGCCTGAGAGCCGGGGAGCTGGGCCTACCTGAAGGGGAAGCCTTGGAAAGCAGAAATATATATCTATCTCCCCTTTTACGACTGGTGTCTCCTTCGGGCCGAGGGTAAAGTGGCAACCTCTTGCTGGCTTAATCCTCCTATCTAGAGACTTAGCACGGCAGAGAGTGTTATGGGGGCCCCATGGGGAACACTGAAGTGGGAGTCCCACAAGGAGGTCTCAGCTCAGGAAGAGAACAGAACGTGCCAAAAGGAGGGCTACCCTCCCACCAGCACCTCCTATACCTGTTGACTGCAGCTTCCCTGGCCCCTATTTGTCACAAGCACAGAATGGAGGAGCTCAGGAAGGGGCACCCTCTGGGATTCCAAGGGCAAGCTGGGGAATGGGGAGAATGGCCCAGGAAAACCTGGATTGGGGCCAGGAATCAGAGGGCTGCCAGCTGTTCAGATCCACCTTTGTCTCCTACTTTCCCTGTGGGACCCCCTTTTGTTCAGCATTTTCTCTGGCACACACCCCACTTTGGCCCGGCTGGCTCCAAACAGATGGATAAGCGTCGGCCTTGTCCACAGAATTCATAGAATCCTAGATCTATAGGGTTGGAAGGGCTCTGGGGGGGTCATCTAATCCAGCCCCCTACAATGTAGGAATTGCAGCTTGCCTGGCACCTACTAGTGGCTTGTCGTCCTATTTTTATTATTATTATTCTCCTCCTCCATGTGGGACAACTTTCCTTCCCAGAGGCTGTGCCTGCTTCAAAACAGGCGAGGAAGCTCTGGCTGTGGATCAGATGCAACAGATAGGGCTTCCCCTATCTGCAACCCACCAACTTCTCCTCTGGCTCCCATTTTCTCTGCATGTAGCACAGAAGCCAGACGAGCTCCCCCTCCCTTCAAGAAGGGGTCAGGCGGCTCCATTTCTCTACTGTGCCCCCTGCAAGTAAAGTCAGGGGCTACTCCATTTCTGAAGAAAATATTTATTCTCTCAGCTGTATAAAGGTAGAGGAGGAGTAGGAGTAGGAGTTTGGTCATCAGGCCTGGTCGCCAGGGACTTTCTCTTGGGATGTACTGGGTTCGGTCATGGCCTGGTTGCTGGGGACTTTCTCTTGGGATGTACTGGGGTGGGTTAGGCTGCTGGCGGACGTTCGGGAGAAAACTCTGGACAAGGCATTGGAGACTTTCTCGAAGACGGAGGGCTTCTGCTGGAGTGGCGGTTGCTGCTCGGTGGCAGTTCCCTCTTGATCTGAGAAGCCAAAACAGAGGTTGGTCATGGAGTCAACCTGCCGCTCACAGCCCCTGTGAGTGCATCAAGTGGGAGCAAGGGTGTACTCCAACTCCCATAATCCCCAGCGGTCAGTCACACTGGCCCCATGAGCTAATGGGATTTGGAGTCCAGCAATATCCCGTTAGATGGAGAGCAACGCAGGCAACAAATTCCGGGCAGCCGAGACCCTCACTTGTCTTCCATCAGATAAGCATTTGGCTGCTTGAGTGTCTGGGTTTTGTTTCATTTTTACACCGCCAAAATTTACGGAAATTTTGACCTATTCTTGTTTCCTCCGCCCCCTCAATTGTTCAGGTTTTTAATGTTTGTTTTTTAATTCTAAAATGGTGTAAGCTGCCTTGGATTGTTTAAAATAGAAAGGCATGGGGTGTGTCTATCAATGTTTTAAATAAACTTAATCTCCTATATATTTTGGAAACTTGTTTGCTTATCTGCTATGCATTTGCACACTTCTTAAGACAGTGGTTCCCAAACTCTTTTGGCCACCACCCTCTGCATAAACACATCCCTGATTCCCCCTACCTTATACAAAGCATTATTCAGAATAGTGGTTTGCATGACCCACTAAGGAAGCTAATAACAAAATAATTCAAAACAGTAACAATTAATTGCACCTTTATTCTAAATCCAATAAAAGGGTTTAGTTTTATTAATTCAACAAAAAACTGATGAATTTGATGTAGTGATATCAGCGTCTCAAAGACTGATAATCATTTGTGCCACCTGCCACCCCCTTGCCTTTTAGGACCCCCTAAAAGGATGGTACACCCCCCCCCCCAGATGGTGGTATTGCCCACTTTGGAAACTACTTTGGTTTCTGAGATTAAGGAGCCATTTGCGGGGGGGAGGGGTGTCTTGGTTGCCATTTTGACTCAAGATGGTGGATGGAACCTTCAAAAAAACAGCAATTTAAACCACCGGTTTCAAAACTCCACTGATTTTGGGGTTGTTGTTGTTGTTTTCAAATTCCTGAGCAAGGCTAGGTATGTGGGTGGGACTACTGAACATAAACCCACTTTGTGGTTCCCTGATGTGGACATGTCCATGTCATGCTGGAAGCCTCCCTGTTCCACATCCCTAAGGAGGGAGGTGGCCTGGCGTGGCCTGCCCCCCAACCACTGTTCAAGGGACAAAAGTGACGTCCACACCCCGAAACTGACAGCAAGAAAACTTACGTAGTTCGTACTCTATGACATACTCTGGAACGTCCTGGTAAACAGACATGATCTGCGAAAGGAGGAAGAGGTCAGGAGGGAATAGGAGAGAGGGGCACATAAAATGTCCTTGTCCTAAGTCAGGATAATCAAGTCCATTGCAGGATGAGAGAAAGAGAGCTTATCCACGCTTCTCTTTTGCTCTGCTCTTTCCAGGCACAGCTCCACACTTTAATGCTCTGTGTCTAAGCATGGTTTTTTGTTTCTTGCCTTGGAGTTTTCACTGCAAAGACCCACTCTTTAGCGCTCAATCAGGGCAAACATCAATTCAGATTTTAAGCAGGTTGCCGTTTGCTCCTATTGAGCTTTAAAGAGCAAGTTTTCACAGGGGAAAGCTCCAGAGCAGCGTTTCCCAAACTTGGGTCTCCCAAGTTTTTGCACTACAACTCCCATTATCCCTAGCTAGCAGGACCAATGGTCAGGAATGGTGGGAATCGTAGTCCAAAAACAGCTGGAAACCCAAGTTTGGGAAACACTGCTTCAGAGCAGGGGGGTGAAGCACTCTGACACAGAGCTTCTAAGTTCAGACCGTACCTGAAAAGAGTGTGGATAAGCCCAGACAGCCTCTTTTCTTGCCCAGTCCTGAGTTCTTAAGGGCTTTATATATGTGTCCCTCTAGCAAATTTCAACCAGTACAGATCTCTGAGCCTGGGTGATCTATGTGGACAGGGTCTCATTCCTCTCCACAAACACGCTATGGCAATTTACCTCAAAGGGTCCTGAGACTGCTTCGGTGTCCCGGGAGAGGTGCATCTCAACTGCAGCTGGAAGAAAAGAGGTGAGAAACGGCTGTGTTACAATCCAAGCCGAGGGTGTGGGTGTGCTCCAAGCGACCTCAGCAGGGTGAGGTCGTTCTGGCCCCACAAACAGGCACTCCTTGCCAGCCCGTGTCCTCCCCCCATGAAAACTGTGCTCACAACTCACTGGGTCCTGATTCCCTTTGGGGGCATCCATCTCACAGTTGTGTGCCTAGAGGAGGCCTGGGGGCCACATCTAGGGGGCTGAGAGCCCCTTTGGCACCCCAGCCCCCATGTGGGGCTCTGTACAGGGCAGCTTCTAAGGAGCAGCCATTCTAGGACCATAGAATGGTAAAGTTGGAAGGGAGCCCAAGGGTCATCTAGTCCAACCCCCTGCAATGCAGGTTTTAAACACACAAGTACAATTGTATCAAACCCCAAAGCGACAGAATGAATAGTCACCTTTATCCAGAATCTTCTCTCTATCGCTGAAACAGATACAGAAAGGGCTTGGTTAAAATGCTGCACTTGTAATGTGTCCTCTCCCCAGTTGCACAGTGGCCTGGAGTTTGCCCCTCTGCCAAAGCCTGTTTGGATTGTGGCCTCAATAGGTGCAAAGCCCAAGCATGAGGCAGGCATCCGGGTGGTTGTTCCCGCAAGCGGGATCTTACCACGACACACATAGAAACCACTGGGCAAGTGGGTGGCCTGTGCCTCCCAACTGGAGAGACCTTCACCATTTGCTTGTATGGATTTTGGACTGGATGCAGGGGCTGGATTGAATCGTAGAGTTGGAAGGGACCCCCGAGGGTCATCCAGTCCAGCCCCCTTAAGTACAGGAATCTCAACACATGGTGCCCCATCCAATTTGAAACCATCCCGGACCCTGCTTAGCTTTGCAAATGCTCTAGTGGTTTTGTTGCTGTGCCACTCTAAAAGACCAGCTTGCCAAGCGGTTACAAAGCCACCGCTTCGTCAAAGGAGGCCTGCTTCCACACTCTGCTGCCAACAACAGTCTCCCCACCTTCAATTTCCAGCAGCTGGCATTGAGAGCTTCATTGCCTCCAACAGTGCAAGTGAAAAAAACCAACCAACCCTGAAGTTCAGTGGGGAACCAGGATGGGCTTTGCCTGTGTGTGAAGAAACACATGCAACTCCTGAAAAGTGCCCCTGCTCTCCAAAGCCCAGCCCACCAACAAATGTTGCCCTCGAACCTGTCGGAGGTTGATGAAGGGCCCACACTGGTTGTGCGAGGGGTGCTGCTGGAAAAGGTGACAGGGCTGCTCTCCTCTGTTTCGGTGATGGGCGGGCTCGGCATATTGGTGGTTTGGGCATCCTGCGGAAAGGAAAAGGTAAGGACTTCATTTTAAGCTCTCAAAGTCAACACATAATTCAGGAAAGTGGGGGGTGAGGCATGCATGGAGGACAAATCCCCTTCCTCATTTTATGCATCTTGTTTTGCAGTTTGTTTGTTTTTTAAGTATAAGCCACTCCTTCAAAAGCCATGTGCCCAATAATCCTTTTCACTGCTATTTTTATTATGAAAACCTATTATTTATTTTGGAAAGTTGTCTTTCTGTTCACATTTGAGTGATCGCAACCAAATTTTGCACTATGGTTCCTGAGATCAATCGGACACCATTTGAGGATGACAGACCTTTTAAATGATGCTGTCTTTTAGCCACTGGTTTCAGAACAGCACTGATTTTACGCTTCAGGTTACATATGCTTCAGGTTACAGACTCCGCTAACCCAGAAATAGTGCTTCAGGTTAAGAACTTTGCTTCAGGATAAGAACAGAAATCGTACCACTGTAACGGAATGGAAATACGATAAAGCTTTCGCCAAGCAGCCACACCCAAGACCTTCCAGCTCTGCAAACAGCTAAATGGACAAATAGCCCATCTCCAGAACTGAGCAACTTTTCCCAAGTGAAACCACCTGAGTTTTCAAGTCCTGAAGGGTCAGACCTCTAACTAAACCTCTAATTACACCCATTATTAAATACAGTGGTACCTCGGGTTAAGAACTTAATTTATTCCGGAGGTCCGTTCTTAACCTGAAACTGTTCTTAACCTGAGACACCACTTTAGCTAATGGGGCCTTCCCCCTGCCGCCGCACCACTGCTGCACAATTTCTGTTCTCATCCTGAAGCAAAGTTCTTAACCCGAGGTACTATTTCTGGGTTAGCGGAGTCTGTAACCTGAAGTGTATGTAACCTGAAGCGTCTGTAACCCGAGGTACCACTATAGTATCTCACATTAATGAAAAGATTTCCCAGTTCCTGTCTTCCAAATGGATGCCTACGGTACAACGGATCTGTGTTTTTAAAATGTCTGCCGCGTTTCACTTCAACGGCTTATCTGACCTGATTTCTCTATCACCCTCCTGCTGGGGGGCTTGGGGTGGGCCACAAACTGGGTAATGAAAGGATAAAGGGGTCCCCCCTCTTTCCTAGGGGACCCTCCTGCTCCCGGGGAACACATCCGTCTCTCTCTAGAGGTGAGGGGCCATATTCCCTCACGGACTCACCATCTGCACCTGGCTGGTCGTGGACTGGGCCGTGACCTCAATCTGTGGGATAGGGGGGCCTTCCTTCTTCTCTTTGGCCTCACCGCTGCTGCTGGACAGGGTCAAAGGGGGGCAGCATTTGCTCAGGGACAAACTCTTCTTCCGGCTCGCACTGCTGGGGGTCTTCGTCAGGAGAGGATCGCTTGGGATGCGCTAGTTGAGGGCGAGAAGGGGGGAGGGGAACCTCAGAACAGTTGGAAGTTTGGTTGCATCGCAGCTCGCTGATAGGGCTAGACAGGATTGCCATACAGTTCGTACTACCTTGGATCCTGAACGCCTTGCGAGTGTTGTAAACAAAAATTGCCCTTTTCCCTTATGGGGTATCCAAGACCCCCTATAGAGTCCTTACATAGGTTCCCTATTGGTAGGAAAGAATAACAGAGGCCAACCAGAGAATATTGAGAAGCAAAGCAGCTAGTAAGCTTGATCTTTATTGATCTGTTGCAACAGGGTGCTCCCCTCACCCGGAAAAATGACGCGCAAGGCCTTATAAAGACTTTGGAAATTGCCACCCTGTAGATCAACACCACCCCCCGAAACATCATACATACATCACAGAAGTGGTGTAACCTAAGACCACCCTCCAGATACATCATACCTACATCACAAAAAAGGCGGTCTAAAATAGAAATTTGAATGTTGTTTTTCTCCTGTCATTGTTTATTTCCTGTCTGGCAGGTTACGTGATTGGATTGCCTGGGGAGCCTGGCCAGTCTTTTGTAATGATAAATACCGTATTTTTTGCACCACAACACTCACTTTTTTCCTCCTAGAAAGTAAGGGGAAATGTCTGTGCGTGTTATGGAGCGAATGCCTACGGATGGCAGGGGGATCTGCTGCAGTCGTGAGCAGAGGATCCATGGTTCCCCTTCCTTCCCTCCTCCATGGCTCGCTTTGAAACAGCAAAGCGGGAGAAGAGCCGCTGAGTGGGGAGGAGAGAGGGACAAAGAGCCTGCTTGCTTTAAAGGAGCAAAGCCGGTTGGCTCCTTTAAAGCAAGCAGGCTCTCTGTCCCTCTCTCCTCCCCACTCAGCTGGCTAAATAGCAGCAAAGTTTTTCAGAGAGCCAGGGAGGAGGGAGAGAAGCAGAGCTCTTCTGCATTATTAGCAGCATCCTTCTCCACCCACCCCACACGTGCTCCTTGTCCGTTGAGTGCTTTTCCTTCCCTCCCCACTTAAAACGTGGTTACAAAGCTGGATCCACATGGATCCTCAGGATTTTTGCACTGGGTCACCCCAAATTCACCATCAGATCACATAGTATGTCCATGGCTACAGCCTGCACCAAAAAAATCACGCACCCACTGTTGCCTGGGGCCGCAGTGGTGCAAAAACGTGGTTACAAAGCATGGGTCCACATGCATCCTCAGGATTTTTGCATTGGGCTACCCCAAACTCACCGTCAGATCACATGTCTGTGGCCACAGCATGAACCACAAAAATCATACATCCACTGTTTCGTTTAGAATATTTTTTTTCTTGTTTTCCTCACAGGATTTGTGAGGAAAGACAATGGGGAGGTTTCCCACTTTGACCTTGCAGAGAAAACATTTGGTCAGTTTAGGAATCAAAATGGTTCCAGGTCGGTCTTCCTGTGCTGATCTATGTATGTGCTTGGTTGGTACACTTATGAACATTACCATATATCTAAGACCTCAAAATTCCTATCACACGAGTCAAACATTTTGGCTCCTGAACGCTGCAAACCTGGAAGCGATTGTTCCGGTTTGTGAACGTTTGCTGGAACCCGAATGTCTGACGGGGCTTCTGATTGGCTGTAGGAGCTTCCGAACTTTGGTTTCCTTTTTTTTTTTTTAAATGATATTTATTAAGGTTTCAATAAAAGATTAAACAGAAAAACATAGACGAAAAATACACAATTCAAAAAAGCACAATACATATTCCCAAAAAAAAAGAAAAAAAGAAAAAAAAGAACAAAGAAGAAACAAAATACAAGACAAAAAGAACTATTAAAAACAGTATCACCTTTTCATTTCCATCTTTAAATTTACTTCTTTTCTGGACCTCCTCATACCTCCCTCTTTTGTATTCCAGTTCATATTGTTTGTCCAGCAATTTCTTTCCCACTTTTTTTAATCCCAATCTTTAATCATAATATAACATTAAAATTTTACCTCTTAGAAACCAAATTTCCATTTCCTTAAACTTCTTTGGAACTTTGGTTTCCGAACGTTTTGGAAGCCGAACAGACTTCTGGAATGGATTCTGTTCAGCTTCCAAGGTATGACTGTATTTCAAAAAGTGAATTGGGGGGAGGGGCAGAGTGAAGTTGCTGAGCTAAACAAAATCCAGACTTCCAACATGGGTTTCAGCGATTTCCGCCCAGACACTGTTTCTGACTGCCATATTCCGGCTATATCCAGGAAAATCCAGACGTATGGCAGCCCTAGGCTAAAGCATATGAGGTTAGAACACATCACAGCAAGGGACCCCCAGAGTCCCTTTGACCTCTTTGCCAACTTCACTATCTCCTTAAAGCTTAGACTCTTAGGTTGCATCCTGAGGGGAGAGAGACTGTGCTGACCATCAAATAAATAATAATAATAATAATAATAATAATAATAATAATAATAATAATTTATACCCCGCCCTCCCTGGCCAGAGCCAGGCTCAGGGCAGCTAACACCAGTAAAATTGCAATAAAAACATAATGGGGGGGAACCCAATTTAAAATACAGATTAAAATGCTATTTAAAATGGCTTTTCCCACCTGACTTGCCCCACCCTCCAGCCCTTGGAGCCTTCAAAGCTCTTTCCAGAGGGAATTGCTGCCACAGTCATTATGTGTGTGTGTCTTCTGATGAACTGAGTAGAATCCAATTATGAGTCCTGGGAGTTGGGAGAGTGTTTTTGCGGATTCAACAGTGCTTAAGTTGTTGTTTTTTGGTTGTTGTTAATGTTGCACACCCTTCAACGTTTCTCCAATGAAAATATTCTGTTGTTTTATTTATACCCCGCCCATCCGACTGTCCCAACCACTCTGGGCGGCTTCCAACATATATAAAACATAATAAAACATTAAACATTTTTTAAAAACTTCCCTATACAAGGCTGCCTTCAGATGTCATCTAAAGATCATATAGTTACTTATATCCTTGGCTTGGGGCGGGTGTCACAAAACTCCATACTCTCCAACATTTCCTGTTTTCCTGCTGTGATATCTGTTTTCTGCTAACTTCTTGCCTGTTTAACGGCTATGCAGAGAGAAGACCCTGCAACCCCACCCCACCCCCCGCATCTAACCCTGCTCTCCAGCCTTGGTGATGACCACCAACTTGGACAGCTTTAAAATAAGATTGGCCAAATTCGTGGAGAAGAGGGCTATCAATGGCCACTAGTCATGTGTGCTATGCTCTGCCTCCGTGGTTGGAGGCAGCAATGCTTCTAAGTATTGGTTGCTTTAAGCCACAGGAGGGGAGAAGCGCTCTTGTGTCTGAATCCTGCTTGTGGGTTTCCCCACTTGTATCTGGTCGGCCACTGTGACAACAGGATGCTGGATTAGATGAGTCCCCTTTGGCCTGATCCAGTAGTCTCTTCTTGCATCCTTATGTCCTTGGTCCTACCAGTGTCCCTCCCATTTCCCCCAGACTTCCAAGGATCCTGACCTGAGTCCAGACCAGAGCCGTCTTTTCCATAGGGCTTAGTGATGTGTTGCGCCACGGCGCCAGCCTCTCAGGGGCGCCCCAGCAAGTGGGGGAGCTGTGCAGCTTTGCCGGAGGCCTCCCCTTTCCCTGCAAGCCTGCCAGCGGCACCCCGCCAACCATAAGGCTGGTGGACGTGCAGCTTCCCTCCCAAGCCTCTGCAGGGATCGCTCTCCTCCCGAGGAGGCTTGGGAGGGAAGGTGCGCTCTCCTCCCACGGAGGCTTGGGAGGGGCGCAACTTTACTCCCAAGCCTCTGTGAGGATCGCTCTCCTGCAGCGGCATGGGGGAGATTTGCGCCCCCCCCCCATGGTTGGCAGTGCACAGCTATAGCCACCCCAACACTATCCGTGGTAATTTGGGGGTGCTGGGCGGATATTTGCACCCCGGCGCCACATCTGCTAAAGTCAGCCCTGGTCCAGACCTTCCCTGAGCCCCTGTGGATCAAGAGGCGACTCTCCCTCAGCTAGGAGGACACAGCTGTGGGCTGCACCCCTTCCTTCCCTGAGCCATTTGCTTACCGTGGAATGTGAGCTTTCGCGCCGCTTGGGCGCAGGCGGGACCTCAAAGTAAAAGGATTTGTGCTCCTTCAAGACTTGCTCCTCCCCGTCGCTCTCCATATCACTGAGGTGAGGGGCCCTGCCAGGTTGGTTGTCCTCGATGTCGTGAGCCACGAGGCGGAGGATCAGGTCCTGCTTGCTTTCCACATCCTTCAGGAGCTCGACCTTCGTGATGTCTGGCCTCATCAGGCTTTGGAAGGAGTTTCTGCAGACCGCCTGGAAGTGCAAGAGCAGGATGGGGGGGGAGGACAGTACCTTTTACCTGCGAGGAGAGGCACACCCAGGAGAGCCTCAGCTCACGACTTAACAATTAACAATTGACAAGCTTCGGAATGCAACCCAAGTTACAAAAACCCGCACATGATATTGAAAGTGTTTTCCTATCAACAGTCTATACTAGCAACGCCATCATACAAATCTATGGTGTGACCACATTTGGAATAGTATACAAAGTTCTGGGACTTCCAGGGAGGATCATGGCGGACTGACTGTCTTCTGTTGGCAACTTGCTGACAGAGATAATTATGTAGTGATTAATGATAGCCAAGGCATAAATATTGGCTACTGAAATTCACTCTAAATATGAGAGTGAATGGGGGCTTAACGTGAAGCCTTGATTGTTCTTCCGCTTGGGGCAGGATGCCTTAAACTAGGCATGGCCAAACTTGGCCCTCCAACTGTTTTGAGACTACAGTTCCCATCATCCCTGACCACTGGTCCTGTTAGCTAGGGATGATGGGAGTTGTAGTCCCAAAACAGCTGGAGGGCCAAGTTTGGCCATGCCTGCCTTAAACCAAATCTACTTCTGCACATGCAAAGAAGCCTCCCACCCCACCCTGCCCTGCCTACCTCCTTCGGCCTCACCCCAAGGCGCCCGGCCATATCCAAAGAGGGCCTCCGTTCTTTCTTTTTGTTGGGATCCTGAAAGCCGAGGTTACTAGAGAGACTCTTCCCTGACATCGAGGCTCTCCTCAGCTCCGTGAGGCTCATGCCTATCTTTGACATGCACGTCTTTTTCAGCTTCTCTAGGGGCTCTGTCTTGATGGACAGGACGGCTAAGTGCTCCGCGACGATCTCCGGGTCGACCTTCAGCGCCTTGTGCCCGATGCAGGGGATGATTTTCACCGGCATATCGCTCTTCTGCAGCAGGGTTTCCGGATCTTCGGGCACAGTGGGCAGATCTGCCAAATCCAACTCGTCCTCGTCCTCTTCTTCGATGGAGCTGACCCGAGCATAGACTTTGCTGACAATGCGGTTCAGTTCCAGGGCACTGACGGTCTCGTTCTCTAAGTTTTCGTCACAAGGGTTGCCGCTGATGGAGCAGCTGGAGACCTCATTGATGATGATGCTGGCCACCTGCTCAGGGAAGAGGACCTTGTTGGTCGTCACGTCGTCGTATAGCTCTTGCTGGGACCCGGATTTCTCCAGGACGTTGCTGAAGACGCTGTGGACAACGTGGTCGACCTTCTCCTCGTATTGGGGGTCCAGCTCTGGCTGGTTGCTGTAGGTCACCAGGTCCATTTTGTTCTTTGACATCTTTGTCTCCACGGACGTCTTCAGCTGGCAAGCGATTTCGTTGACATCTGTCTTGGACAAAGCCTTCTTCTCTTGGACGCCCAAGTCATTCTGGGCAAGTAGGATTTTCGTGAGCAACCTGCTTAGGATCTCCTCCAGGAAAGCCACCGGCACTTGTGTGACCAGGGGCCCCTCTGTGGGTTCCATTGCCCCAATATTGCCAAGGAATTTCTCAATGATCTTGTCTGTTTCCAGCTTTATTTCCGCACTGGAGCGGGGCAACTTGTCCTCCATGTTCGTGGTCGACTGGAAATCGCGCCCGGAGATTTCACTCACCATGAAGCAGGCAACCCGGTTGACAAAGTCCTCATTCTTGTTGGTTAAGTCATCGTACATAGAGGCTTCAGAGCTGGAATGTCTGAGGATGTCAGTGTAGACGGAATCCACAACCTCCCCAACTGCCCGGCTGTCTTCTGAGCCCAAGTCCTCCAATTCATCGTGCTGCCAGACTCTCATATTCTTCTTCGAAAGAAGACTTTGCAAGGAGTTAATCATCTTTCTGCCTACCTCCTTCATTAAGGCAACACTCCTTGTATCCAAGTCATCCACAGGGAGGGCATTGAATAGTTTTGAGAGGAATTTAGCAGCCACCTCCTCTATGATGATGGATGACAACCCCTTGAGGTGGGATCGCAGTGGTGTCTCACGCTCTGCACCCTCAGGACCACCCCCATATTGTTCCTCCAGGTTTCTTTCCGCTTCCATGGCCTCCTGCTGTCGGCCGAGCTCCTCCGAAAAGTACGCCTGCATCGGGTTCCCATAAATCTCTTTCATCACCAAGTCAGTGATCCTTTCCATAAGGATCGTGCAGCCTGTCCTGATGCATTTCTCAATGGCCGATGCAGTTCCAAACTCAGGCAGAATCTGGTGGTAGACGGTGTTGGCCACCGTTTGGCTCACAACACGGTTGGGCTGCACCCTGTCAAGGTACTGGACCTCAGCATTCTTGTCCTTGGAGATCTCTGACATCACATTGCTCAGGAGCTTCATGTGAATGAAATCAAACTCTGCGCACTGTTCCTCGGCATCATCGGACGACGTCGTGGGGAGGGGAAAAATTTTGGACAAGAGGATTGCAAGAGCCTCGTGTATGAACCTCTGAGACACCAGGACCGGGTTTGGTCTGTCACTGCTGACTGGGGATGGAGTGCTGCTCTTCTTCACCTCCATCAACACTTTCTTTGCCATCTCTCCCATTTCAAAAGGTTTTGAGGCCTGGCTCTGGGGTGCCCTTGGCAGCCCCTGGATCTGGTATCCTAGAATCTCTTTCTTTATCGCACTGGCCAATCTCTCCACTAACATCTGGTCGCTTTCCTTGCCTGCCCAGATAGGGGCTCCAGGAGCCCGATCTTGCAAGATGCCGCACAGAGAAGCATGGATGATTTTAGCCACGTCCGTCTTCCCCACAGATGGGAAACCCTGCCCTTTGTTGGGGAGCTGCAGGACCTTAACCGGGGACTTGGCAAACTCCTTTAAAATGGATTCCACTAGATTTCTGACGGAGGACTCCTCCTCCACAGGCACTGCCTCTTTCTTCTCCACCGGGCACACACTGGTTGTTGACGAGAGCAGCTTGCTTATCAGCCCGCTAAAAATGTCCTTCAAGAAAGTGGAGGAATAAGCACCTCCTCCATCCTCAAACTGCATCGCCTGCACCTCCCCTTCCCCAAGTTTCATGTGGTGGATTGTCCAGCCAGCTGTTTTTGCAGAAAAGCTGGGGGAAGGAACCGGCGGAAGTTGACTGGGAGGTGAGTATGGCTTTTTGCGCTGGAGCGTCCAGTCATCTGCTTCTGCAGGAAAGGCAGGAGGAGGGTGAGATCCGCAGGGAGGCGAGGGCATCTTATCCTCATAGATTGTCCAGCAGTCTGGTTTTGCAGACGTGGTGGGAGGAGGAGACAAAAGTTGGCTGGGAGGAGAGTGTGGCTTAACGTAGTGGATCGTCCAGCGGTCTGTTTGTGTAGAATAGGTGGGAAGGGGAGACTTTCCAGGAGGTGAGTGTGACTTGGGAAGTGGATAGTCTGGCCTTGATTGACAGAGAAACGCTGCACTCTCTTCCTCCGTGGATTCGTAGTTTTGGTTTAGAGACCCGGGTTTGACGCAGACGGCCTTGCAGATATTGTCCATGAGGCTCTGGATACTTTTGCCTGCCTCGGGCGATGGTTTTCTTCTTGCTTTCTTCCTGGGAGGACTTCTCTTCCCTACACTGCCCAAAGGAGAATCTGGCGAACTTCCAGGGACCCATGATGGAAACATTTTGTGCATTATCTTAAGGAACATCTCTCCAAACATGGAGCCAGAGGGTGTGGTGTCTGGGAGGATGGTCTCCACTCGGTCAAGGATTGTCTCAGCTTCCAGAAACAAGAACAGGTACGGGGAAGTATCCCCAGTAAACAAAGGCATCAGCTGGTATGCACAGATTTCTCTGATTATTAGTGGAGCTAGCTTTTCTGCTAATGAATGTCCTTCATTTTGGAAAGCTTTAAAAATCTCACACTCTGATCCAAGCTGCTCCAACAACTTCTCATAGATGCAGTTGCTTATCTGAATCACTTCTTCAGGAACAATCTTTGGGAGAGGGAGGTCTCCCTCTGCACCATGAATGACCTTGACTTCTGATCTTTTGAACTCGCACACTAAAGCATTGACTAGCCTGGTAACTAGATCCCTCATCTCAGACTCTGATAAACAGCAGTCTTTGGAATATGCCAAAAAGTTTGGGGAGGACAAGATTTTGCAAAAGAAAGCCACAACAACATCCTCTAAAAAGGCTGCAGAGTAGATCCGCTGAGAAACTGGCTTCTTTTCCTTCTGCAATTTAGCACATTCGCGGGTGGCAGAATCACTGCTGTCTAAAAACGGGTGGAGGTGGAAATTCAAAATCTCCCTTATGAGCAAATTGGCAACTTCACGGAGGGTGCTGTTCCCTCGGACCTTGAGAGTACTCTGAAGCTCGCTTTGGGAGTTAGACTTCTGCAAAATCTGGTTGTAAACTGAACAGGCGATGTCCTCTTTGGTCTCTTCGTCCATCTCTGGAGTTTGCCCCGAGGTGTTTCCCAGCAGGATTTGATGTGCCAGAATCTCTGCAATGACATAATGTTTCAGGTTGGCGACCATCTCGGCGAAATCTGTCTCTGAGAAGTCAACCTGGTTGCCGACGCAAGCGCTGATGCTCTCTGGAGTGGGGAATATTCTCTCCAAGAGCTGGTTGAGCATGTCCTCCAGGAGAATGAAAGGGAAGACCGTCATGCAGGAGCTTAGGGAGTCTCCGGCAGAAGGGTCCACATAAGAGGGCACCTCAGCGGATGTCGTAGACTGGAGGTGGTACTTAAACATTTCGTTGATAATGAAGCAAGCTATCTGAGTGACGTACAAGTTCCGCAGGCTCTCTTTGTCTTGTGGGAAAGGCTGCTGCAACATCACTTCGTGCAAGACGTCGCAGTAGACAGAGTCCACCATGCACGCGATGGCTTCTTCTGAAATGCCAGCTTCTCCCCTGTTGCCGTAAGTGCTGATCCAGATGGCCTGCTTCAGAACAATGTCCAGGATGTCTTTCTTCAGCTGTGCAATTGTACTGCTCATTTCAGAGCCAGAGCCACCTTCGCCCTGCCCTAGGCATGCAGTGCTACTAGAAGGAGATGGGAAGATCTGCAAGAGCAGCCTGTCAACGATGGCCTCCAGGATTGGGTAGCAGAGCACGGTGGAGTAGGGTGGTGAAGCATTGGCTCCAGGGACACCCTGGTCCACCACCAGTATCTCATGGATGAGGCACTTTGCTTCTTCCACAGGAGGCGGACCTGCTGTTGACCCCAGCATGCGATCGATGGCACCTTCAAATATCATGGTGGCTGTCTGGCGGGACAACACATGCCTCTCTTCATCAGTATGTTCCTCAGGCTCCATGTCTTGTGTGCTGTCCTTGTAGGTTCTGCCTTCTGGCAGGGAGCCCAGGGGCGGCTCCTCGGCACCCTCTTGGATGTGCAGCTGAGCTTTCGTAAGCTCCTTCGTAAGTGACTTCACCAGCTTCACAGCTGTGTCTCCAATGAAGTCCCCGGGACCACTTAGAGGGGTGTCCGAGAAAGAGTTGGAGATCCTTGATATCAGCTGAGAAATGACTTCTCCTAGGAACGAAGAAGGACTCGACGGGCCTCTCTTCCCCGCCATGCTTGCCTGCCGCAGGTCCAAGGGCTTGACGGTGGTTTTGTACACTTCGAACCTTGACATGGAGTCTCCTGCGGCTGCTCTGTCCCAGGTAGGAGACTCCTGCCTGGCTACAAAAGGCTGGACATGCTGCTGCAGGATGTCACCCACAAGGAACCCGGCAATTCGGTCAATCAGGCTTTTGCTCTTATTCTGCACGTCTCTCTGGACGGCTTCGAGGGAGCCAGATTTCTGTATGATCTTGCTGCACAGGGAATCAGTCATGTTCTGGACATCTTCCTCCGAATACTCACATTGTTCTGGGTCTTTTGTAACCTTGATTTGATGCTTCAAAAGCTTCATCTGGACATCGTTGAGCAGCTGGGTGGAGAGCTTGCTGAAGTCTGACTCCGATAGGTGCCTTTTGTCCATGGATGTGGAAGGGAAGATTTTTGACAACAGTCCAGTGATTAAATCTTTCAGGAATCCTGAAGATAGGAAGGTGCTGAATGGAGACCGGCTCTCGGTTTCCTCCTGGGTTTCAGAAACGTACTCGTGGAATGGAGTTGACGGTGTAGCCTTGGGCAAGTCTCCAGAAAACAGTGGATGGAGAAGATAATCAGAGATGCCTTTTTCAACCAATCTCTTAATCTTGTCAAAGAGGGCACTCTGTCTCCCGCTGCTGAGGTCGTCTGGCGAAGCAACATCTCTTTCTTTCATCAAACTGTTGCACACAGAGTCAACCACATTCTGGACAACAATGTCCATCAAGGGGCCCATTAAACTCGGCTCATCTTCTTTCGGGACTCCGGTAACTGCAGCCTTACCAAAATGCAAGTTGATTGAACAGGCCAATTGCTTTGCAATTCTCTCCAACTCAGCTTCATGCCACCCTTTGCTTGATTCTTTCTTGTCCCTGGAAACAGGCAGAACGTTGGCTAAAACTCTGGAAACAATTTCTTCTAAGAAACGAGCTGGGAAAACTCCTCCACAGGGACCCAGGGGTTCCCCAAGGCTATCTAGAACAGTCCTGACAATGTCCTCAGACAGAGCTTCAGGGTCGGGGCATCCTGAAGAGGACTCCTCTTTAGAGACGAATCTCTGAAGATGATGGTTCGTGATTTCCTGAATTATGAAGCTGGTCATGCAGTCTATAAAATCCATATCCCGACGCTTGATGTCTTTCTGTATAGACTCTTGTGAGCCAGCCTTCTCCAGCATATACCTGTAAACAGAATTGACCATGGTCTGAATCTCCGTCTCCGAATGGGAACGGCAGGGGGCGTCCTTTTTGGCCACCCAGATTTTGTGTTTGGAAATGGACGCCATCACTTGTTTGATCATGTAGGAGCAGAGCTCATCAAAATCTGTTCCCGACACCTCCCTCTTCCCTGGCTTTCGCTTTGCACCCTCGCAGGGCGGGAAGAGTTGATTCACCATCTGGTTGACAACCCTTTCCAAATACTTCTGAGACAAGACAGTAATGTACGCTGGGGTCGGCTGCTGCCGCTTTTGGAATTTGGGGAGGCAGATGCAACATTCGACCTTCTGGATGATCTGTTCGGCCTTGATGTTTCGAAAGGCATTCCGCGGAAGCCTCCGGCAAACCACCGGCGGCAATTGGTAATCCAGAATCTCCGTCAGAATAATTTCAGATGCCCTCTCAGCCAACGACTCAATGTCCCTGCCTATGTTTCGGTCGGCAGCAAGCTGGAACCCAAACTCCCTTAAGATGGAGTCAACTATTTTGCTGACCGTTCGACTGTCCACCTGTGGGAAGTATGCCTTTTCATCGGCCCTCGTCAAGACCCCCACGCCAGCCTTTGTAAACTCTTCCACCAGGGCACTGATAAACAGAGTGTTCATCTCCTGGAGGTCGATGCAGGTGTCCCGGTTGTATTTGCTGTGCAGCGAAGAGAAGATCTTGAACAACAGCTGGCAAATGACTTCCTCCAGGAACGACGCCGAGTAAATGGTAGTGAACTCCGGGTGGAACTGCCTGTGATCCCCACGTCCCGACATGGTCACCACTTCCCTCCGGTAAGTCCTCACGTTGCAAGTGGCAGAGTGAGGCTTCCTTCTCGCATGCTTGCCGCTCGGAGCCCGGGAACTGTATGTCCTGTGCTGCATGGCCGTTTCCAGCACTGTCTTGTTCCTGTCCCGCAAGCTCTTGCGGGCCTGATGCCTCCCCGAAACGGGTGCTTTCCATTCCGGCCGTCTGCCTCTCGGCAATGAGTGGTACATGTCACTTTTCCCGCCTCGCGGGTGCTTTTTGCCAAAGCTCTGCCCCCGTCCCTTTTTGCAGGGCCCCTGTGAGAACCCCACGGCCTTCTTCGAGTAAGGTTTCCCATGCCCTGGATGATCAATGCAGTGGGAAAGCTCTGTGATCACCGGTTTCACCAGGGTATGCGCCAACATGTCGAGCGCTGACTCGTAGGAGGGCACCCCTGCCTCAGGCTCCACCCAGGGCTCCTCGCTGTACTGGATGTCGTATGTCAAAATGGTGGAGGCAGAGTCCGTCTTGTGGGCTTCCACCTCCCTGCTTGAATATTGGAAGAGCTCGCCGTCGCTGGCACTCTTCCGGATGTCACAGAACTGCTCGTCCTCTGGGAACTCGTCGAAAGCAAAGGTGCCAGTGAAATGGTCCGTCGTGATGCATTTGTCCAAGAGGGTCCGGATCAGCTTTTCGCTCACGACGTCCAGCAGGACGACCGATTTGGGCGAGAGTCCCAGGTTGCCACTGAAGATCTCATTGCCCAGCCTGTAGGCATGCGGGCACACAGACGAATAAAGGTTCTGCCTCTTAGGCATCAGGTCTGTGTCGTGATATGGCGACATGTTCTGAGCTCGGGCATCCGGGAAGTGCCCCGCGAAACTGCCCTGAGGCTGACCAGGCCACATCGAGTCCAAAATGATGTGCAGGACTTTGTTGACGACCTGCTTTGCTTCGGTGGACTTCAAGCTGCGGATGAAGCTGTCGAGGTTGGAAGCGACGCAGCTGAGCCGCTGGTTCTTATGGGCAATTTGGTCCATTGCCGACAAGCAAGCCACCCCTTTGATGTCTCCGGGGCCTCGGCAGTCTCCCCTGGAAGCTCCGCAGGGACAACGAGAGGAGAAGTAGGGCTGCTGCTGGGGCAGTGCGTCCCGAGCTTTCCTTTCGCTCATGGATTTGCACCTGATTTCGATTTCCAGGCACAGCAGGTGGGCAACCTCCTTCACGAGAGGGTGGTAAACCTCATCAAAGTCCGCCAGGCAGAGGGGTGGCAGGCAGATGTACCTTGACTTCCTCGTCAGGAAGCCTTTCCTGCTGACTGTCTCCTGCAAGATGTTCCTCTCACACAAGATGCTCAGGATCCTCTCGGATATGTGGAACGCCAGCTCTTTGATGTTGACGGGAGCTGATTTGGGGCCCCTGATTCCATGCTCAGGGCAGCAAGAGTCCACCGAGCAGAACATGGAGAGGCTGGTCTCAATGCCATCGCTTCTCTCTCTGGCGCCTTGCCGGGCACAGGGGTTCAGGATGCTCCGGATGACGTTGGAGACCACCGCCTGGGTCAAGGGCTCCCAAAACACATCAAGGCAGGAGGATTGCCTCTTGCAGTGGGGCAGGTAGGTGCTCCTCCAGATCCGTTCCTGGAGCCACCTTGATTCGGATTGGATCATCTCCTGCTTCCATGCTGGGCAAGAGGCCCTGTAACCCTTCTCGTCCAAAGCATCTGGGGGAGGAAACACAGACAGGTTTACTATCACACACCTCAGAGAGCTTCTAAAGCCCTGGAAGTACCACGAACCAATTCTGGAAGTCCCAACTTGGGTGGTTTGGGGCAAAAACTGTTACTGTTAACCATTAACGGGGTTGTGTGCCCAGCTAAGTTCTATGCAGAGTTAGACCCATTGAAATTAACAGCTCACCATAGCCATGGCAATCAATTCAATGAGTCTACTCTGAGTAGAATCGCGTTGGGTGAACTGGTTCTTTCTGCCTCTGGGTGGGACTTTCATCCCTGGGAACCCGTCTCACGTAGCAGCAATGCTGCTCATCAGACGCTTATGCACATTCTCAAACACACTGGCCACAATGTCCCTGGCAATGGAGCCGATCTCTGCCTGGGAATCAGTATGGAAAAGCCCCAGAACCTCTGATCTCTTGAAGCTGCAGCAGAAGAGCCTCTCACTCAGCTCGCCCTGTGCCTTCTCCAGGGTGCAAACAGACAAGATTCCTGGTCTTCATCAGAACCTCGCTGACGATGCTCTCCGCCACTTGCAGCATTTTGAGGGTTTTGTTGATATTCGTGTCGGTCAGCAGCCGCTGCTCAAATATCTCTTTCAAGATGCCCCCAACAATATGTATTATGTATTTATTTATTTTTTAAATTCTGCACCCTGTATAAAACAGGCAAATCAGCCCAATTTACATCACAATAAGTAATGTTAAGCTTTTTACTAACTTTAAACGGTATTTCCAGCCTGCAAGGGATCCTTTCGCTGGGATTTCCACATGGCAGGGGGTTGGGATAGAGGACCCTTGGGGTTCCCTTCCAACTCTACAATCCTATGATTATATGCTGCAGAAATGTGAAGAACCGGATTTAAGACCGGGGGAAACAAGAAACCAAAAGGAACCCAAACGAACTGTTGTCTCCATCCCTGTTTTCGGCTGCCGCAGAGCATAAGTCAGCTCCTTGAAAGGGGCCGCCACAACATAGCCCCGAGGCTTACCTTTTGGCCGGAAGGCGATCAGCTCCTTGATGACACTCAGGACAATATGGTTGGCCAACGTCTGGATCTCGCAGAGGTCTGGGACGTGGAAGCAGGCGAGGAGTTCCAGGTCTTTATGCCTGTCCGGACTCTTGCTTTTGAAGATGTACTGATTGCTCTCCCACTTGGAAAGCAAATTACTCCCTTCCTGCATGAAGAAGCAGCTTTCCTCCGTCGTTGCCCTTTCGCTGGAATCGCTTTGCCTCTTATCCCACCGGCTGAGCAAGCCGTGCACCCCAGGCTTGGAGCCCTCCCTCAGCGGGAAAAGGTGCGTGTTCTTCTCGTAGCACAGGGACTCGCTCTCCACACCAAACTCACAGAGAAGGGTGTTGACAATTTCCTCGGCGGCGTGGCCCAGCTTCAGAGGGCAGATGGCGGAACAGCAGCCGCTCTCTGGTGCAGGGCCTCTGGCAAAGGGCTCATGCTGGTGCATGGTGCCAACCTTGCTCCGGTGCCCGGTTTTAGTGTGTCTTGGGACAGCCTCGCAGTCCCCTGTTTTCTTAAACAGCTTTTCCAAAATGGTCCCCTCAGGAATGGAGCTTTGCCTGGGGAGCCAGTCGTCCTCCGGGAAATCCAGCCGGAATCTGTTGGAGACCCTGTCCTGCCTCCGTCTTCCAGAAGGCCTCACCCTGGGGGCCGACAGGCAACCAGGCAAGCACTGGTGCCTCTCTGGCCCCACGTGAGCATCCCACTCCGAATACCTGAAGACGGAAGGGAATTTGGAGGGCGTCTCCTCCTGCACCTCGGCCTCTTCTTCTGAATAGATCACCATCCCAGGGACGTTGATCGGGGGGAAGCTATCCCTCGTGTCTATCCTCCTGATTTTCTTGGACGTAGTTTTCACATTGCCTGGCGACGCGGCGAGATCCTGAAAGAGGGTTTTGTCCTTGCCAAAGGCTTGCCCCGACATCTCCAGCTGCAGGTTTTCCACCATCAGCTCGGACGTGATCTCGGTCAGGCTCTCGTTGCAGCGGTCCAGCATGACGCTGATGGTCTCGCTGAGGACAAGGCTCTCCGAGGAGCTGCAGAACAGGGTGGCTTCCTTCTGGGTGAGCTCCCGGTCCAAGGTGTGCTTGATAATTTCCAGGACGCTGCTGACGGCGTTGTTGGCGTAAACATTCAACTCGGCATGGAGCATCTGCACCTGCCGGATGGCTGTCTCAATGCACTCCTTGGTGACGGCACTGCCCAGCCTGGAGAAGTCCAGGAAGTTATGGGTCGAGCCCAAAGTTGGCAGCCCTCCTTTCTCTTTCTCCCCCTGCAACTTGTTCCGAAAGCCATCCATCGTAGTTTCCGCCACATTCCCGACCTGGGCCGAGAGAGAATCCAAAGAGCGGGTCAACTGTGCAAACGAGAGGCTCTCCAGCGGGAATTTCACAATTTCCAAAAAGTTGCACCGGAAGTCCCGCCTGAAATGCCGGGCCACAAAGGTCTCCAGCATGAGGACGGTGCACTCCACTGTCTCCTTGGCTATCTTGTCGATTGTATCCATGGCCCCCTTCAGTGAAACATTATAGAAAGGAAAATCGGGTTGGGTGAACCGGTTCTTTCGGCCTTTGGGTGGGATTTTCCTCCCCGGGAACCCGTCTGACGTAGCAGGAATGCTGCTCATCAGACACTTATGCACATTCTCAAACACACTGGCCACAATGTCCCTGGCAACTGAGCCGATCTCGGCCTGGGAATCACTGTGGAAAAGCCCCGGTGCCTCCGATCTCTTGAAACTGCAGCAGAAGAGCCTCTCGTTCAGCTCTCCCTGTGTCTTCTTCAGGATGCAAACAGACGACTCAAGATCTCGGGTCCTCATTAGAACCTCGCTGACGATGCTCTCCGCCACTTGCAGCATTTTGAAGGTTTCGTTGATGTTCGCATCGGTCAGCGGCTGCTGCTCAAATATGTCTTTCAAGATGCCTTCCTTGGGGAGCACTTGCTTGAGGTAAGTCAGAAAGTCCTCGTAGAAAAGGCACTTGGGTTTACCCCGGATGTCCTTTGTGGTCGACTCAATCTGGAGATACATCTGCCCGTTGTCCATCCTGAAAGACTTGGCGGTGGTGTGTTGGTGCACATGTGAATGTGGGCCGTCAATGTGCAGGTCTTGCACAATGGAATGCACTAGATCACTCGCAAGGGAGATCTGCTCCGACGATAAGGTGTTGACCCGTAGTATTGTCCGATGGTAATCTTCGGTTTTGAAATCATCAATGATGGTTCCCAGGACTTTGCCGACGACATCCTTTGCGTACACTGTCAAGTCTGACTTGCACAAGCTCGCTCTCATCAGGGAGGTTTCGGAGTCATCGGAGAAGGCTTGGGGCCTCCCTGCAATGCCGTCACCACCATGCATTTCATACTGGAAGCCGGAGTGCCTCCTCCGCTTCTGCTGCATAGACTGTGGGAGGACCTCTTCCAAATTGGATGCGGCAAAGCAGGCGATTTTGTTTAGCACATTCTGGACCAGTTCTTCCCCAATGGTCTGTGGTGTAGGGTGGAGTTGGGAAAGGGCCAGAGTCATCTTCTGGATCTCTGATTTCCCTGTAGGGGAAGATGCCTCCACAGATGGGTCTTTTTTTCTGCCTGAGGTGTCTCCATCCCTTGAGCCAAACAGCATTTCCATGACAATGGAGTAGATCTTCGTGAACACGCTGTCCACAATTTCGCCAGCTACACTCCCGGCATTTGCCTGGGAGATGGCATCTATCACCCCATTATAGGCAGAAGACTTTGATTCGGAACCAAAGCATAAGGACTCGGTGCGAAAAGACGGTAGGTGGCCCAACTCGCCCACAACCTTTTGGGTCACCTGATTGAGGACATCTTCGACTCCCGTCACCAGTGGGAAACCTCCTTTCTGCCCCGACGGCTGCTGCCTAAAAATCCTTTTCAGAACCCTTTTCTGAACCTCGTTTTCCGTCAGAGCTATTTGGACAGACAAAATCTTGAGCAGGTCATTCATGAGCTCATTGGCAGAGGCGTTTTCTTCATACGGGATGATGTTCTGGCAAGAAAGCATCTCCCGTTCCAGGTCCGCCTGGATGACTTTCAGGATGGTACTGGTCAGTTTCTCAGCACAGAGTCTCAAGTTGGACAGGGACTCTTGGACGACAACTTTGGCTTTGTTGCGGTGGCTGCCCGCCTTGCCCTCTCCGGCTCTCGGCTGACCATCTGTGGCCAACTCAGATTCCAGCTTCTCCTCGGCAAACAGCTCCAGCCTGTGGAAAATGTTGTCGACTAAGTATTTTGCCATCCTTTCTGGGGAACAGTCCTTCAACTCTGATAGCTGCTTGGATCCAAACTCTGCTGCCTTTCTGCCTTTTGTCAGGCCTGGAACTTTGTGGCGATCTGCTTTGTGATCCAGGAAATGGCTCCTGAGTCCGCCCTTGGCCTCTCGTCCAGCCAGCTGAGTGAGAGGCTCAACAGTCCTCTGAATAAGGTCAAAGAGGAGGCACTGGAGTCGGTCAGAGAGGGCTCCCCTTGTATTCAGAACAGTTGCAAGGCCAGAGCTTAGATCTTCAAGCACAATGTCCACCACGTCATGGGAAACCAGCGAGACGTCGGGTTTCCCCACCAAAGGAGCAGAGGGGACTTTCTTGGCGCTGAGCGTTCCTGCCTTAGAAGTCCCAGGTGTGTGAAGTTTCTCGGTGGCCAAGGGAGAAGGCGAAGCGCTTCCCACATCCAACATGACAGTCTGGTAGATTTCATTTAAAAACATCTCAACTGTGTTCTGGATTTGGGCCTGGATATCTCTTTTGTAGTCAGGGTTCTTCCTGAAAAGCTTCTCCAAAATGCTGTCTTGCCGGGGTAAGGAGCACTGCACTTCCGAAGGGGCAAAGACCATCAAAACCAGGCTGACGATCTGGCTGGCGGCGATGCTTTCGGAGAATATAACGGGAGGCATGGAAATCTTCTCCACTTCCCTGTCCAGCCCATGCTTCAGGCTCTTCAGCACCATCTTGGACACTTCCTGGGCATATGGTTTTAAGTTCGCGTGAGACGACCGCAGCGCCTTTTCCTTCCCACCTAAAACAGAACTGTTCAAAATGCCTTCTAAGCAGCTGGGCAAACCCCCACACTGATTCGCCAGCATCCGCCTGAGTTCCTGCTGGATGGCAGAGGAGAAGTCTGAACTGATGCACGTTTTGAGGTTTTTCATGTCTGAGCAAAGCTGGGATTCCACTTTGCAGGTGACAAAGGTTTCCAGCTTTGAGATAAATGTTTGCACCAGTTCGTTAGCCAGGTCTGATTTGGGTGGAAGGCGATACTCGGGCTGGCTAGCCCTGGCTGAATCTTCTGCAGTGCTTGTGGGGCTGGTCTGTGTTTGCTCCTGGGCAGGTCTTGACTGACAAGCTGCCTCTGGTTCTCTGAAATGCACCGTCGGTGGACTTTTGCTGGCATCTCCAGGTACATTAAGAGGGAAGATGTCGGTGATAATCAGACTCGAGTGCCTGCTTCGGATGCCCTCCGCCTCAGTTTGAGTGGCGCGCGAGATCTTCTCAAACGCCGTCTTCACCAGATCGCAGGCAAAAGTGCTGACGTCTGCATCCGGGATCACAGCCTGAGCCCTGAGCTTGGCAGTGTGCCCTTTGGAGGCTGGCTGCTCTTCAGGCGGGCACCGACTGATGTCCATGTGGGCAAGAGATGGAGGAGGAGGGCCAGGGGGCCAAACCGGTTGTTCAGCCCAAATATGCTGGAACATTTCATTCAAGAGATTCCACACGGTCCGGATTATCGGAGATTGCTCTTCCTCCTTGAAGTCCTCTTCCATTTTCTGCAAGGCCTGCTCCAAGGACCACTCACCAGCTGTGGCCCATTGTCCTTTCTGCTGACCTCCGAGAGATGAGAAAATGGCGTCTTGGACAAAATGCTCCATGTCCTTTTCTGCACCTTTTGCATCAGTCCTGCCCTCTTTTTCCACTTCAGCTGATTTGGGGCTCAGTCTGTTCCACTGCCGGGATTCCAGCCCAAAGCTTTCATACCTTACTTTATCCGGGGCCTCTTCTGTCAGCAGCACTTGCCGCTCCTTGTTGACCGATGACAAAGTTCCGTCGGGTTCCCTTTTCTCTTTTTCCTCCGCTTCCATCTCAGAATAAATGACCATGCCGGGGACATTAACGGGAGAGAATGGCTTCCTTGGCGATTTCTCACCTGACACATGTGTGGCTCCCGTTACCGTCGCGGCCTTGGGATCAGGAGAAGCTCCGCGGCTGGGAAGCTCCCCCTGCAATCTGAGGCAAGGTCTCGGTTTTGCCGCTGGATAAATACCCTGGAGTTTTTCTGTACTCAAGCTGTTGAACACGTCATTGATTAGCTGAAGCACAATCGAGCTCTCCCTGGTAGGTAGTGTCCCTTCTGGGCACATTTGCTTCTGGATGAAGTTTAAGATGCTGGCAATCATCTCTTCCACATACTGGAGGAGGTTTGTCTCTGAGGAAGCAACTGTTTTGGAAACTATCTTGCGGATGGTGTCCTTCACTAGGGCGTTGGCTGCCTCGGACTCTACCGTGTGCGGTGGGACTGATGCACAAAGCTGATTCAAAGGCATCCCGATGGCTTTAATCTTGGCACACAGTTCAAACTGGGACACTTTCGTTTGGCTCGAGGTGGCGAACACTTTCAGCTTCTCAATGATAATCTGGACAATCTCCTCTGCGATCTCATACGTCGACTCGAGGGACAGGGGCATCCGAGACCGCCAGAAGGACGGGTCAGGTGCAGAATGCTTCCCGGACGCCATGACGCACATGACTTTGCACTCGGCCATGAAGCCGTCCTTGGAGATGGTCTCGAAATACTTCTTCTGAGTGATGGAGTGCAGCTTGCTGAGCACGCTTTCCACAATGTCAGCAGCCACAAAGCTGGCGATCCTGGAGACTGACCCGGCAACTGGCTGGCCTGAAGGCTGGCTGCCTAAAAGGCTTTCGGAGATGGATTCCAGGAGGTCCTCCACAGAAATGCTGACGGAGCAGCCCTGGTCCACCAGTATCATTTTGAAAACGTCATCGAGGATAATGGCCGTGATTTTGGTGAGGGGAAGTTTCAGCTCGGCAAAAATGCTCTTGAGGTCCTTCAAGCAGATGCCCTCTCTCTGGTCTATAGGGCCATGAGGAGGCGGCTTTTGTTCTCCTTCCACAAAGGAAAGCCCTTCTGTGTCCGTGGTGGTGGTGCCAGTCGTGGTAGTAGTTGTCGTATCTTTGCCAAAGAGACCCCTCGACATCATGCACTTGCGCTTGCCGTGATACAAAGCGCCCGGCTTCTCAGGGCTGTCGACGGGACCTTTCTGCATCTGGGTGATCTGGCTGTCCGATTTGGAGCTGCGCATGCTGGTGGTGGTGGACAGAAGCCCACAGTGCTTGGTCGGGGACAGAAATATGGCCGTCTTCCCTCTCTTCAGCTTCCCTTTGATGAGGTCAGTGTCCAGCGAGACCTGGGTGCTCTTGGTAAAAGAGGTGTAGGAGGACTTGGAGGAGAGCAGGGAAGCAGGCTTCCCGCTGATGGTCCGCAGGTCGCTCGAGGTGGCGGGCTTGATGCTGGTGTCCGTGAAGCTGACCTTCCTGGCAGACATGGTGGGGAGGGTCCTGTAGGTTTCATAGAGGTCCTCGTTGCAGCTGCTGCAGCTGCTGGAGTTGTCCGAGGACAGCACAGACTCTTCAGAAATGGTGTACACTCTGGTCCTGACCCGCTCTTCGAACTTGGTGAGGGCCGGGTAGAGGATGCTGGTGACGGCCGACACGACCCAGGTCATTATATTCTGGATGATGCTGTTAAGCTCCGGAGCAGAGATCTATTATGGAGAGGGAGTGGGAGAGAGAGAAAAGGGGTGATTGACTTCACATGCAGAAGACACTGGCTCAGGTATGATGTTTAGGGAGGGTCCCTGAACAGAGCACCCAACATTTTGATTTTCATCCAAAAGTAGTCAGGCAGGTGGGAGGCTCTGAATTTGATTGGGTGGCAAAACTGTGGGGGCATAACCCCTCCCTGTGCAATGTTTTCCCAATCAAAACTCAAGGAATCCGAGACCAGGGAGAAGAGTCGGTGGAAGAAGATTGGAAGAAATTTAAAGACTATTTACAGAAATATTGCAAAATTAATGAATGTTAGAATGATGTTGGAATGAAGCTAGGTGGTTTAAGCAGTAATGCCATAAAGGTGTATGTAAAAAAGGATTGATAACAGATGAAAATTTAAAGTTATAGTATATTAAGTTAAAGGATCATGAGAAAACAAAGAGGGAAAGAAATTGCTGACTTAACTAATTGAACTGGAATACAAAAAGGGAGGTATGAGGAGGTCAGGGAAACAAGGATATGAATGTAAGCTATGGAAAGATTGATCCATTTTTCTTTTTTTCTTTTTAAGTGTCTTTTATTCTGTATTTTGTATTTTTCTTGTATTTTTACTTCTTGTTTTTGTGTAATTCTTTTTTTTCCTGAAATTTTAATAAATATCATTTAAAAAAAAAACAACTCAAGGAATTTGTAGCCAAATTTTCCATGCACATTCCTGAGTTTGATGAGTGTTTCAGCTATGCTTAGATATGCAACTTGGACGCCATTTCAAATCAAGATGGCGGACTGAACCTTTTAAAACTTCTCAGCTCATCCGCTATGTAATGTATCAGCACAATTCATGGAGCAACCTACTTTTCCTCTTAGGCTTTCCCGGATTCCAGACTGGTCTCTGAAATAAAAGAAAAAAAAGAGGAAGTCAAAATGTTGGAGTGAAGTTGTATTTACATGTGCCTAGGATTGGGCCACTTCAATGCTTTCAGGGGTGATCTGGCCAACTCGCGCACCAGTGAGTATCACGGCAACAGCTTCCTGGCCCAAGCAATTGAGACAACTCTGTTGTGGCCAGTTCTGGTGTAGAAGGGGAAGGGAACTCGTGGGATTTCCCCCCCCCCCCAGAGCAGGATCAATCACATCCATCCACCAGAGCCCCTAAGCCATAGCTCTGGCAAGTGAAAAAGGCAACAACAAGGCTTTCAAGTTTGCATTCGGCAGATTAGCATAGGGAAAGCAGACGATGGGGGTGGGAATAACCAAGCAGAGGCTAGGCACATCTCGCCTGTTCTTGAACAGGGTCCCTACTTCTCACTAGCAGTTCGAACAACAGCACTTTCTTGAAAGATGGTCTGCATTTCTAATTAAAATCTAATTGCTGTATTTCACTTGGCTGGCAGGGCTGATGTGAGCTGCAGCTGGGGGACATCTGGGAGGCAGTTACATTGGCTACCCATTCTCTAGAGCAGAGGAGAACTATGCAAATTCCTTATCATGCTTCATTCCAATTCTCTCTGGGGCACTTACGAAGTAGAAAGCAGTTGGTGGATATAAGCTGAGTAAGAGGACTCAGAATCCTCATTTTCCTGAGATGTTGAGGCCATACGCTCTGCAAGAGGAGATAGACCTTGGGATTAATAATCCTGTCAGGGTTGCAACTACAATCCAAGCTAGTGGTGGTGGGGAAACAGTGAGGGAGGGGGCACATGGGGCAATGCCTCTCCCCCTTTGGCCCACTTTATGCACCCTGCACAGGGCTTTATGCGTGAACTGAAATAAACTTGAGACCTAGCCTCTCTAATTTCATAAATCAAGCCTGGGCAGGGCATATCCAATCTGCTTCCAGACCAGACTTGCAGGTATAATTTGAACAGAGGAGGCCTCCAATGTGTCTAGCTCTGCGAGCTGCACTGCCAAATCCATGATGGGAAAGCTACATTCAGTGGAGACCTCCATTTCTCAGCTCAGACCTGGGTCAAGACATGGGCTGGCCACACCCTCCGCCAGGGCTTGACTTGTGAAATTAAAAATCCTGGAACTCAAGTCTGCTAGGAACCCATTCTCTCTCCCGCTTCTTCTTCCCCACCTCCAATCCCATGGGAAGATAGTGGTAATGCGATGGTGACAAGGGAAGTCACCAGAGCATGTGGAGTACAGTGGTCAAGTCACCTCTGTCCAAAAGAGGCTGGGGCTAGCGAACCAGCTGGAGCATGAAAAAGGCGCTCTGAGCGACTGAGGCCACCTGAGCCCCTGCGGACAGTGCTGAAATACATTTCCCACTTCACAAGAATTCAAGCAGACCCTTTTTCCATTTAAAAGAAGGTTGGGGAGCAGAGAACAGGCTCAAATCAGTGGGTGTTTACACACACACACACACACACACACACACACACACACACATTCTAGAATCATAGAATTGTAGAGTTGGAAGGGACCCCAAATGTCTTATAGTCTAACCCCCCACCAAGGATCATCTGATAGTTCAATCTCTTAAAATATCCATGACAGATGACCATCCAACCTCTGCTTAAAAACCTCCAAGGAAGGAGAGTCCACAACCACTGGCAGAAGAAGGGGGGTGCGGTCTGCCCCAAGTGTCATCCCTGAGGGGGAGTGACATTGCCACTCTGCCCTCCTGGGATGCTGACCCTGCCCCGCGGGCAGCTAGCCCCGCCCTCGGGTGCCATTCCGGGTGCCGGAGCAACTAGCTCTGCCTCTGTCCACAACCTCTTAAGGGAGACAGTTCCACTGTCGAACAGCATATGTCAAACACACACACACACACACACACACACACAAACCAAACACCACACCATAAAGTATGAGATGCTTAGGATACTAAATGGCCACTTCCGGAAGCCTGGAAGGCAACCAACCTGCCTCTCTCGCCATGTGGGGCCTGTGTTCAGTATGCTCTGTACCTATTTTGCTCTTCTCCACTCTCCTCTTCTTGCTTGAGCTCCTCTCCTTGGGCTGACTTTCCTTCTCACTCTGGGCAAACTAAAGCAGACATTTAAAAGCAGAAGTATTTGTTAGCATCTGTTGAGAGTCTCCTGCGGCTTTGCCAGATGAATTTTAAGCCACCCCAAAGTTTGAGGAATCCCTTTATATCTTACTCTTTTCCTCCAGGGAGCCCAAAGTGGTGTACATGGTTCCCCTCCTCTAAATTTTTATTCTCACAACAACCCTATAAGGTAGACTAGGCTGGGAGGCAGTGACTGGATCCCAAGGTAACAACACCCTGTGGGCTTTGTGGCTGGCTGAGGGATTTGAACCCTGGTCTCTCCCAAGTCCTAGTCCAGCACTCAAACCACTATGCCTCACTGGCTCTGAAAAATAAGCTGTGGGCCCTTTAAGGATTGTAGATGGCCTCCCAGGTGGGGCGGAGCCACTGGAAAGAAAGGTCTTGCCAGCCTCCTTGAACCTTCAGGTGTCTTTGGTCCTTGGCTGACACAACATCTCCCATCGGTCAGCCAGCAGATGATCTGTTCGGCTCTCCCCCACACAAGCCCTAGCGACTCCCAACCTATTTTGAGCCTGATGCTACTTCCTCTGGGCAGCTTTTAACTTTTTGCCGTGGAGGATTTCAACCATGTACCATTAAGGTTGCTCGCTTCTTCTGCTTCCCTTTGCCAGAGCCCTCGTTAACAGTATGATGGGGGGTGGCTGAAGAGATGTTGGCTTTGTTGGAAGGCTTCGAGGATGATCGATTGGACACTCCTAGAACGAAAGGGGGAGGCATAACTGGCATTTGAGGCACAGAGATCTGGAAAACCTTGACCTTGGCTCTTTGCCCACCCAGGTGCTCCATTGGCACTCTGCCACTGATGCTGCAATTCTAGGGTTGCTTACCAAGATCTGTATCTCCCCGTGCCCAAGATCCAGTTTTCATATTCACTGTAAAGACCTGCTCAGCAATGGTCCTCTTCAATGTTAATTAAAAGATTCCTGTTTGCAGAGCTTAATGGTTTTGTTGCTTTCTGTTCAGCGCAGCTGGAAGACCAGTAGTGAGTTTAGCCTATGAATTGTCCCTTATCAGCCTCTGCTTGAGCCTGCAGCCCCTTCAGCATCCTGCTCTTCTCCTTCTGACCTCTCCTTGGTGTCCCACCACCAATCCCTGGGGTCTGAGCTTTCCTCCCCTGGAGCTTCCCTGGCTACTCCTCTTTGTCTAGCCAGTCCCTGACAGTTGCAGTGATTTAAAAGCAGACAGTGCTGTTGTTGCACTCAGGTATTGCTGGAGGGCTTCCCACTTTAGCATCCAGCTGACCACTGTGAGAGCAGGATGCTGGGCTAGATGGGACATTGGCCTGAACCAGCAGGTTCTCCTTACATTCTGCATGTGCATAAGGTGTGTGCCTCACATAAAGCTGTGTGGCAGTGATGGGCTAACTCTGTCCCCTGTTTCTGCTCCAGTGCCAGTCTGTGGTTAAGAGCTTGGCAGTCTAGAACAGGGAGACTTCCACGCTCAGGGAAGCTCCCTGGTTGTTTAAACACCTGGAAAACAGAAACTTTTGCAAGCACACAGAATCTAATCCACAACTTTCCTCCCTGCCCTGTATATTTCAGGTCAAGCTTTGATCCTGCCACTCTGCCAAGCCATTAAACGTACCGTCGACGGGGACCTTGCCACTGCCGCCGCTGCCTCCATGCTTGCTGCTGCTGCCGCCACTGGAATCGTAGCCACCGGTCACTTTCCCACTATGCCTGTACAACCGGCCTGAGCCAAAGCCAGACTTGTTGCTGCAACATCCGCCGGAACCACAGCAGGACCCCTTGCTTCCGCAACCGGCCGATCCGCAGCAGGAGCCCTTGCTTCCGCAACCGCCTGATCCGCAACAGGACCCCTTGCTTCCGCAACCGCGTGAACCGCAACAGGACCCCTTGCTTCCGCAACCGCCTGATCCGCAACAGGACCCCTTGCTTCCGCAACCGCCTGATCCACAACAGGACCCCTTGCTTCCGCAACCAGCCGATCCACAACAGGACCCCTTGCTTCCGCAACCGGCCGATCCACAGCCTGACACGCCACCCTCGTTGCTGATGACTCCGCCAGAGGCAGAGGGTGTGATTTTCTCATTCATGCTTTCTGCGACACTGGAGGCAATCTCTGTCGGCGGGTTGGTGTTACTGGTCAGCGACGCGAGGTCTTTGCCGGAGCTGAAGGAAACTTTGCTGCTGCCGCCGCCTGGACCAGAGATGGCCTCGCCCACTGCACAGGACAAAAGGTGACATCTAAGATGGGTGAGTTTTAATGTTGGAAGCTGCCCTGGGACGGTAGGGTGAAGGGCAGGCAATAAATAAAATGACAGCTCGAGATTTTGGTGACTTGTTTTTAAGTACTGAACCTGAAAATGTAAACAAACTGCACAAACCAAGCTTTTGGTGTCATCGGCCCTGTCCTGTGGAACTCTCTGCCACTAGAGATCCAGCAGGCAGCTTCTGTGCCAACCTTTTAAATGTTTCGTGGCTGAGTGGGGATTTGAACCATGGTCACACCCAGGTCTTAGTCCTGTAGGATAATCAGCCTCATATAACCAACATGCTTATGTCTAATTAATGCATGAAGGGGTTAATGTCATACAGTAACCTGTCCTGTCAGGTTTAGCTAGATCACTCCCCATCACGTTGGGAGGAAGGTAATCAAGCCTATTGTTGTACTCCAGTCAACCAGAGAATCTCAGCATGTGAAGTGGATTTGATCTGGTTGCTCCTGCTTAACCACATGGCTCTAACAAGCCTTTCTTGTGTTCGTATACCCATAATTTAGGAACTTTCACTACTGTGTAACTGTCAGGGAACTGCCATCGGACGGAAGGGAGGTGAAAGGGCTCACACAGGTTGGGAGAGACGCAGCAGCTGAAGAGGGAACCAGCAGGGAGGTGAAAGGGCTCACACAGGTTGGGAGAGACGCAGCAGCTGAAGAGGGAACCAGCAGGGGTAGAGGAGCTGAGCTGGAGGGATGGCTCAGAGACACTTCCAGCGAAAACAGTGGGGAGGTTTCAGGACCTCCTGTAAGAACACCCACTCCTCGCCGGAAACTGTCACGCAGAGAGTCCAGAAGACGTGTTTCCGTTAAGGAGCTTTTATGTTGGAAGCGATTACGAAAGCAACCACTGTCGGAATCTGCTAGTGACTAGAGGAGCCATGTCTGAGGGCTCCGTCACAGACAGAGGTTTGTGGACTTGAACAAACTCTGAGGGGATACGATTTTACGCACAAGCAGCTCATCATCCCATCACAGCATTCCGACAGTCTTTGAAAGCAGCTTGTGCAGGAGAAGGCATCATGAGCAACCCAGCCGGAACCGGAGAAGCAGGAGCTGGAGCGGGTCCAAGCCTGGAAGAAAGGTACCGGGTGTTGGAGGTCCAGCTAGCGATGCAGACGGCGAGGCTTGAGGAGAGGAGGGCTCAGGATGCAGACAAAAGGGGAAAGCCACCCAGCTCGCCAGAAAGGTACCAGGATTGGTGCAGAAGTTTGGGGGGGAGCCCAAAACTATCATGGCTTTCGGACAGAAATGCAATATGCCCTCAATCTGCAGTTTGATGAATTCCCTGACGAGGAATCACGAGTGGCTTTCGTGATTGAGCATCTGGAAAAGGGGGGCGAGAGACTGGGTTAGACCCTGATGGCAGCAAATAGTGACGTCCTAAAGGACACGATGAAGTTCTTTCGCGCCATGGATCTGATGTTTTCCAGCGATATTGAACAGGGAGTGGTGCGCAGACAGTTAATGGCTTGCAAACAGGAAGCCGATCTGTCCGTGAGTACTGGACTGAGTTCACCATGCTTGTTCACAGATTGGGGTGGGACTTATCGGCGGAACCCATTCAAATGCTCTTTGAAGAAGGGCTTTCTTCGGCTGTGAAAGACGAACTTTCCCGGGCGCCCAGGGCGGAGTCTATGGACCAGCTGACCAAATCAGCGCTGGCCATAGGAGCGCGCCAGGAGGCGAGAGCATTGGAGAGGCGGGAAGGGAAAGGGGAACGTTGGAAGGAGTTCCGCATTCCAGACATTCCAGAGCCAACTTTCCCGCCGGCAGAGCCGATGGAAATCGGAACAGCGCGCGCGCGCAGTTTCAAAGCCCAGTGAGGGGGGAAGAAGGAGGGAAAAGGCGCCCGGAAATGCTATCTCTGCCAACAGCCAGGTCACTTTGCCAGAGTCTGCCCCCAGAGGAAAGAATGGCAAGGGATGGTAGGAGCTGTGGATGGAAGAGAGGAAGAAATACCGGAGCAAGTAAAAGCCAACGCCTGGCTGCCACTGTCGGGGCACAGCAGCCAGGCCAAAGAGCAGTGAGAGTGCCCACGCCAGAACCTCCTAAACCCGCCCTAGTGATAGAAGTGACGCTAGAGCTGCCAAACGGACACCCTCTAAAGATAAAGGCGCTGTTGGACTCAGGCAGCTCCTGCAATTTCATGAGCAAAGAGTTTGCAGCTGAACACCAGATACAGACGATCCCTTTAAGCAGCCCCCTGCAGGTGACCACGATCGATGGCAGGGAGCTGTTGGGAGGAGAAGTCAGCTTGCAGACCGTCCCAATGATAATGAAGGTAGCAAGGCACACCGAACTGATAGCTTTTAATGTGGCCACCTTGGGAGGAGCTCCCATTATATTGGGGATGAGCTGGCTAGCGTTACATGATCCGCTGGTGGGCTGGCATCAGAGAGTGGTTTCTTTTGGTTCAGCACATTGCTTAGAACACTGCAAAGAGGGAAAGGGTTTGGCAGGGGTCCAAGCCACCCTAGCAGGGACTGAAGTAACAGAGAACGTGAAGGTACCACGACAATATGCAGATCTCCGTGACGTCTTCAGCGAAAGGGAAGCTGACCAACTACCCCCGCATAGACCCTTTGACTGTCAAATCAATTTACTCCCTGGAGCACAGCTCCCTGTAGGCAAGCTGTACGCCATGTCAGACAGAGAGATGCAGGAGTTAAGAGAGTTCATTGACAAGAACCTGAAGAGAGTCCAGGGCGGTGGGGGGCAGCCCAGTGTTTTTTTGTGGATAAGAAAAACACGAACAAGCCGAGGCTGGTGTGTGACTTCAGGGCCTTAAATGCAGTGTCAGAACCAGTAGCCTTCCCTATGCCCAGGATTGACGACATTTTGACAAGGGTGCGGAAGGGAAAGATTTTCACAAAGCTGGACCTAAGGGGGGCGTACAACCTGGTACGAATAAGGAAGGGGGATGAATGGAAAACCACTATGTTCACCCCTTTAGGGGCATTTGAATATTTGGTTATGCCCTTCGGCCTACAAGCAGGCTCCGCAACATTTCAATCGTTTATGAACCACGTCCTGGGGCCTTTGCTTTACAAGAATTGTGTGGCCTTTTTAGGCGACGTGTTGGTGTATTCTGAGAATGAAGAGCAGCATGTGAGAGACGTCAGAGAAGTGTTGAGCAGGCTGCAAGCCAACCAGCTGTGGGTGAAACTGGAGAAGTGTCAGTTTCATACCAAGGAGGTGGAATTCCTGGGGTATCGCCTGTCAGACAAGGGATTGGCCATGGATCCCGGCAAGGTCCAGGCGGTGCTGGAATGGAAAACACCCAAAACAAAGAAGGATGTGCAGAGGTTCCTAGGATTTGGGAACTTCTATCGTAAGTTCATCCGAAACTTTGCCCACCTGACGGCGCCCATTACGGACTGTCTCAGCAGTAAGAAGAAGTTCGTGTGGACTGAGGAGGCGGAGCGAGCATTTGAGGAACTAAAAGGGGCCTTCGCCTCGGAACAACAACTCCTGCATGTGGATTTACAAAAACCGATGAGAGTGGAAACTGACGCATCAGACAGAGCGATTGGGGCGGTGCTTCTCCAGCCAGGGAAGAAGGGGTCAGAGTGGAGACCGTGTGCCTTTTTTTCGCGAAAGCTGAACAAATCCGAGAGGAACTACACGGTGTATGACCGAGAACTACTAGCCATTCATGAGGCGTTCCGGAGATGGAGGCACCTGCTAATTGGCGCACAACATAAGGTGCAAGTGTGCACTGACCACAAGAACCTAGAGTATTGGAGGACGGCACGAGTGCTCAACCAACGGCAAGTGAGATGGGCCCAGGAGTTCTCCAAATTTAACTTTGAGATTTGTTACGTGCCAGGCCCAGAGAACATTAGGGCGGACGCTCTCTCACGCAAACCTGAATATTTGGAGGAGGGGGCACCCGAAGAGAGACATGTCATTCCAGAGGACCGCTGGGTGTGTGGGGCGGCATTGGTGGGACAAAGAGAACTGGTAGAGGAAACAGAGAATGATGAATACGCCCAGAATAAGCTCAGAGGTCTTAGGGGTGAAGGAGAGGAACCAGGGGGTTTCGAGGAAAGAAATGGAGCTTTGTATTACAAAGGGCACTGTATATCCCTGAAGGAGAGTTAAGGGGGAGGGTACTCAAGCAGTTGCACGACAGCCCTACGGCGGGGCATTTTGGACAACACAAAACCATGTGGTTGGTCACCAGGGAATTTTGGTGGCCTAAGGTGAGGGAAGATGTACGTGAGTATGTAAGAGGGTGCGAGCAATGCCAGCGAGCCAAAGGGGAAAGGCGGGCGCCGGCGGGGCTATTAGAACCCTTACCAACCCCAGAACGACCTTGGGAGGCAGTGTCGATAGATTTTATGACTGATCTGCCGAAGTCCAAAGGGAAAACAGCCATCATGGTGGTGGTAGACCTACTAACAAAGATGTGCCACTTTGTAGCTTGCTCGCATGCAGTCACGGCGGAAGAGACAGCGAAGTTATTTGTAGAACACATTTTTAGGTTGCACGGGGTGCCATTGAGGGTGGTCTCAGACCGAGGAAAACAATTTACTTCCAGGTTCTGGAGGAAGCTCATGAGCTTACTGCAGGTGGAGGTCAATTTTTCGACTGCCCGGCACCCTGAAACCAACGGGCAGGCGGAAAGAGCAAACGGTGTCCTCCAGCAATACCTGAGGTGTTATGTCAATGACAGAGAGAATGACTGGGTAGAAAAGTTGGCGCTGGCGGAATTTGCCTACAACAATGCCGAGAATGTGTCCACAGGGATGAGCCCCTTCTTGGCTAATTATGGGTGTCATCCCAGGGCTTTCCCAGGGGAGATGGGGAGAGATGGAGCGTCCCGGCAGCCGAGCATTTTGTGGAAGAAATGGAAGCAATCCATCGTCAGCTCCAACTCAACTTAGAAAGGGCGAAGGAAGAATACAAGAGGCAGGCAGACAAGAACCGAAGGGAAGGTGAAACCATAAGGGTGGGAGATAGGGTGTGGCTGTCAACCCAAGGGTTGCCGTTCAAAGGAGGTTGTAAGAAATTAAGACCCAGGAGGTTGGGTCCCTTTGAGGTCATTCAACAGGTCAACCCAGTGGCTTTCAGGCTCCGGTTACCCAACCACATGAAACTGCACCCAGTATTTCACAGGTCGTTACTGTCACCGTACGAAGGGGGACGAGAAGGGCTGGCCACTCGGGGACCGGTCATAGAAGAAAGAGAATGCAGCAGCCATGTGGCAGAAATCCTCGACGCCAGGTGGAAGGGGGATCAGGTGGAGTATTTGGTAGCGTGGGAAGGAGAACCGGAGTCAGAAAACACTTGGGTAATGGCCGAAGATATCAATGACGAGGTATTGATAGAAACGTTCCATCAAAGGTTCCCAAGGAAACCTCAGCCTGTGGAGAGGTTCCGGAGGGAATACTTTGGGACCACTGATGAGGGGGAGGAGTTGGAAGGATTCCCGGACTCGGAAGGAGATGGACTCTGTGGAGGAGGTGTACTTCGAGACCAGGAACCGCAACAGGTTGAGAGAAGTGTTCGAGACATCGGAAGATGAAGGAAGTTCATCCGGGGTTTTGCCTCCTCACCGCCCGTAGAGGAGGGGGCGAGAGGGGGTGAAGGGGGCCCTGGAGGGGAGGTGGATGTCAGGGAACTGCCATCGGACGGAAGGGAGGTGAAAGGGCTCACACAGGTTGGGAGAGACGCAGCAGCTGAAGAGGGAACCAGCAGGGAGGTGAAAGGGCTCACACAGGTTGGGAGAGACGCAGCAGCTGAAGAGGGAACCAGCAGGGGAGAGGAGCTGAGCTGGAGGGATGGCTCAGAGACACTTCCAGCGAAAACAGTGGGGAGGTTTCAGGACCTCCTGTAAGAACACCCACTCCTCGCCGGAAACTGTCACGCAGAGAGTCCAGAAGACGTGTTTCCGTTAAGGAGCTTTTATGTTGGAAGCGATTACGAAAGCAACCACTGTCGGAATCTGCTAGTGACTAGAGGAGCCATGTCTGAGGGGCTCCGTCACAGACAGAGGTTTGTGGACTTGAACAAACTCTGAGGGGATACGATTTTACGCACAAGCAGCTCATCATCCCATCACAGTAACTAAGCCAAATTTTATTGCCTCTGGTTTTTTACTGCTATGTGAAAAAACACATGAATCTGACATTTGGAGAATTTGTAAGTAAACAATTTTTAACATACCAAATGTATGGTCTTTTACTATGCTGGGGGAAGAGAGGGCTGTTTTGGAACTCAGAAGGGCATATTTTAAAGGCATAACAGCCTATATTTCCATGTTTTAGCTTGCAGCATGTTTTGTGATTTTAAATTTCTGCTGGGCTTCTCGCACCAGAGTACTCACCCCAAACATGGATCTTAGCATCCAGGAATTCTCCTTTTATATAGCTATAATTTGCTTGCCAGCCAACAAGTCCAATACACTAAGCCATCACACCACACTGGCTTTTGCCCAATGGGCACCAGGCAAGGCTTTTGGGGGTACATCTGTACTCAGAGATGCTGTGCTGGCAACACCTGAATCAATCAGTTCAAAATATCCCAGTTCTTTAAGCCCTTGTCCCTGGCCCCCGAAATAAAACCAAATTCTCCCAGTGTTTCAGCAAAAGACACTGAAAACCCCCCAGTCCTATCAAGTACAATATACAAAGCTGATGAATCAGGAAATAGAATGGAAGATTAAACAGATGAGGCAAAAGACATTTGAATCGGCAAATAAGTATGGAAAATTGTTGGCCTGGCAAATGAAAAAAAGACAAAAACTTAATACTATTACGAATTTGGAAGTGGAAGGAAAGAATATACAGAACCCAGTGGAGATCAGGAAGTGTTTCCAGAGGTATTTCAAACAACTTTATACACAGGAGAAGCAGAAAGAAATGGACATTGATAGATTTTTGAAAATAAATGGACTACACAAAATCTTTCAGGAAAAACAGCTAATGTTGAATTACAAAATAACGGAGCAGGAGGTGGAAGGGGCTATCCAGAACATGCAATTAGGTAAATCTCCAGGACCAGATGGTTTGACTTCAAGATATTACAGATCCTTGAAAGAATGGTTAATACAACCATTGAAGGAAGTCTGCAATGAAATATTGGAAGGGAGAAAGGCACCAGAGTCGTGGAAGGAAGCTTACATTACACTTATACCGAAAACAGAGACTGAAAAGACAGAGCTCAAGAACTACTGCCCCATATCGCTGCTTAATGTGGATCACAAAATTTTTGCAGATATTTTGGCTAAAAGATTAAAAAAGGTGTTAGTAGAAGAAATTCATAAAGACCAAGCGGGCTTTCTCCGGGCAGACATTTATCTGACAACATGAGGAATATAATTAATATTCTAGAAAAACTTCAAGTGAATATCAATACTAAGGCAGTCTTGATATTTGTGGACGCAGAGAAAGCCTTTGACAACATTTCTTGGAGCTTTATGAAGAAGAATCTACAGGGGATGGGGGTAGGTCAAGGTTTTGAAAATGGTATAGGTGCAATTTATTCAGAACAAAAGGCAAAATTAATTGTGAACAATGTAGTGACAGAAGAGTTTAAGATTGAGAAAGGGACACAACAAGGTTGCCCAATTTCTCCATTGCTCTTTATATCGGTCCTTGAGGTTTTGTTAAATATGATTAGAAAGGACCAAGAGGTTAAAGGTATACAAGTGGGAGCTAAACAATACAAACTGAAAGCATTTGCTGATGACTTAGTATTGACTTTACAGGAGCCAGAATCTAGTACTAAAAGGGTATTGGAACTGATTCAAGAATTCGGACAGGTAGCAGGTTTTAAGTTGAACAAGATGAAAACTAAGGTTTTAGAGAAAACTTAACTGTGAGTGAGAGAGAGAAGTTTCAGGAGGAGACAGGACTAACATTGGTTAAGAAAGTGAAATATTTAGGGGTTAACATGACTGCCAAAAATGTGAATTTATTTAAGGATAATTATGAAAAATGTTGGATTGAAATGAAAAGGATTTAGAAATATGGACAAATTTGAAGTTATCATTGTTAGGCCGAATTGCTGTGATAAAAATGAATGTGTTGCCAAGGATGTTGTTTTTGTTTCAAACATTGCAAATTTTGGATAAGATGGACTGTTTCAAGAAGTGGCAGAAAGATATTTCCAGATTTGTTTGGCAGGGCAAGAAGCCTCGAATAAAATTTAAGATATTAACTGATGCCAAAGAAAGAGGTGGATTTGCCCTGCCAGACCTTAAACTTTATTATGAATCAGCTGCTTTTTGCTGGCTGAGAGAATGGCTGCTTCTTGAAAGCACTGACGTGTTGGATTAGAAGGCTTTAATAATGCATTTGGCTGGCATGCATATTTGTGGTACGATAAGGTAAAAGCACATAAAGCGTTTAAAAATCATATTGTTAGAAAAGCATTGTTTAATGTTTGGATAAGATATAAGGATTTTTTAGAAAAGAAAACCCCAAGATGGCTGTCACCAATGGAAGCGAAGGCACAGAAAAAACTCAATATGGAGGCCAAATGGCCGAAATACTGGGAAATTCTGGAACAAGATGGAGACAGATTAAAATTGCAGAGCTTTGGGGACTTCCGGGGGGCGGCGCGAACGGCAATGGCGGTCTTCTCCCGACGGGAGAGGAGGCTCCGCTGAAATCGGGTCGTCCGCTACGGCGAAGCGGAGACCCAACGAGGAAAACCCCAGGCAGCAAGAGCCTGGGGTCCTGAGGCTCGGCGGGCGCCACGAGCAGCCCTCCAACCGCAGAAGGAGCCTCGTAAGGGGCTCCGGAGCGTGGAGGGGGGTTGCGGCGCTGAGAGCCGCTTCACAGTCAGCGGAGTGAAGCCGCGCTGCTGCTGCCGGTGAGCGCTGATCCCTTTTCCTGTCAAAATTCGGACCTGGAAGAAAAACAACTTATTCGTGAGTAAAGACTGAATCACTTGGAATTACAAATTTTAAATGAGAAGGTTTAATTCGGCTTGAACTTGGCTGAAAGCGGAGAGACGTGGAAACAGGAAGTCCGTCTTCCGCAGCCATTGAACTTGAAAAAAAAGCAACTAAGGCGGAGGAGTGGAGGCTGAAAGAAAGAGATTTTAAACTCTACACAGCCAAGCATCTATGGAACTTACAATTTAAAGTAAAACCAGTAAGCTAAAGATTTGGATCTTTTATTTGCACTTGACTTTCCCCTTTTATTGGATTATAAATTGGAAGGTGAAACCCAGAGTCAGGATTGCTTGAGCACTGTAAGAGTGAGCTGTCAGTGTTGATTTGGATACTGTATATTAGAATTTGCAACAATCTGAGGGTATTGAGACCTTTTAAATTTGAAACATTCTTTTTGGAGACAAATAAGCACTGTCTGCAACAAAGTGATTACTTTTAAACTCTGCTTAATACTTATATTGGAAGGTTCTGGGACATTAAATCAGACTCTGAAAGACATCTTAAGCTCCCTCTAGAGGATTGGATTAAAACAGTGACTTTACAAATACATTTACTTTCGATTCCCTTGTTGTTTGCTTGCTCTGGGCCTTTCTATTCCTGTGGGAAAAACTCAGTGTGACCTTGACTGATAGATAACATTGGAATGAGTGGTACAAGAAGAAGAGGAAGAGGCAGACAAACAACTTTAACAACTCTAACCTCAGCCTCGCAGACACGTAGATCATCTGTGCCTACTTTGCCCTCAGAAGTACAACTTGAAGAAGCTGCCTTGCCACAGGCAAAAGAGGGAGAGGGTGAAGCAGAGCAGTTACAATTGGAAGATATGGCCTCAGGAGCATCTGTTTCTGTGCTAGAAAAATCTTTGAAAAATTGGAAGCTTTGGACAAGAAAGTAGATGCGCAATCAGCAAAGATTGATAAAAATACAGATTGTCTAAACAAATTAACTACACAGGTGGGACAGAATACACAAGCAATTGGACAGTTAACGGAGGCCTCAGTAGAAAACCGAAAATTGGCTGAGGATACCAGACAAAAATTGGAAAATTTAGAGCAAGAGGTAAGACCACTCACTAAACAAGTTGGGGAACATCAGACTTATCTTTCTATGATAGAACTGCGAAATCGTGAGAATAATTTGAGGATTAGATCATTACAAGAGGCAGAAGAAGGAAATCTAACTGAGTTTTTGACCAAAGAACTTTCCAAGTTCTGGAATTTGGAAGAAAAGGACTTTAAAATTGTGTCAGCTTTCAGACTTGGAAGATTTATAAAGAAGGAGAGGCCCAGGGATTGTTTGATTACATTGAGATCGAAGGAGGAAAGGGATAAGATTTTGGGTCTACATTACGAAAAGTCACTGGAGGTTTTGGATAGAAGAATTGAGATATATAAAGATATTCCAAGACAACTGTTGGATCTCAGAGCCGCCTACTCTGAACTTGCTAAACTATTAAGGAGCAACGCAATTCCATTCAGGTGGGAATTTCCCCAAGGATTATCTTTTACCTTTAGAGGGAGAAAGGTCAAAATTAGAACATTGGAAGAGAGAGATAAATTTCTGGCTACATACGGAGAGGACCTACAAAAAGGAATTGAACTACCTTCCGGGCCTGGGGCAAAGCCAGCATTAATACCTGCACCTGGGGAACTTGAAGATCCAGAGAAGACACCACCCCGGGAGAAATAACCAGACAGATCCAGGATGTCTCTGCAACTGTTGAGCTGGAATATTAATGGTTGTAACATTCCGGAAAAAAGGAAGAAAATATTTCATATATTAAAAAAAGAACAATTGGACATTATCTGTTTACAAGAAACACATGTGACGAGGCTCCACAGAAAAGTGTTAATAAATAAAAGATTGGGCCAGGAATTTATTTCGTCGGACAAAGTGAAGAAGAGAGGAGTGGTGATATATGCAAAAGAGAGCCTGTCACCTAAATTTCTATTTAAAGATGAACATGGAAGGATTTTGGCTATTGAGATACAATATCAAGGAGAGAAACTGCTGATATTAGGAATCTATGCACCCAATGAAGGGAAATCGGAATTTTACAAGAAGTTGCAGGGGACAATGCTGGATCATCTGGATTACAACAACATCATAATGATGGGAGACATGAACGGGGTCGTATCAACTAACATGGACAAGTCGCAAAGTCAAAATGTTACAAAAGATGGCAGACTACCTAAAACCTTTTTTGAAATGACTGACAATATGGACTTGATCGACATTTGGAGAACAAAGAACCCACTAGGTAGAGAAGGAACATTCTTTTCTGAAGCCCAACTGACCTGGACAAGAATCGACCAAATATGGATTTCTAGAGGCCTGGCACCTAGGGTTAGAAAAGTGGAAATCTGCCCAAAGACCTGCTCTGACCACAACGCAGTAAAGATGGATATGACACTACTACCAACTGGATCCTTTAGATGGAAGATGAATGACAATTTGTTTAGAGATCAGGAAATTACCAAGAAGGCCCAAAAAGTTTTGAAAGACTATTTCGAGATAAACATGAATAATTCGGTGGAAAAAGAATCGTCTGGGACGCAAGCAAAGCTGTCATGAGGGGATTCTTGATACAACAGAATGTAGTAAGGAAAAAAACACAAAATGAGAAAAAGACAAGATCTTGGATAAAATAAAAGAATTAGAGAAGAAATTAAGAGTGAATCCAAAGTCACAGCCAACTCTGAGAGAAATTAAACTGTATCAAACACAATATTCTAAATTGATAAATCAGGAAATTGAATGGAAGATTAAATTAATGAAACAAAAAACGTTTGAGTCGGCGAATAAATGTGGAAAACTGCTATCTTGGCAGTTGAAGAGAAGACAAAGATTAAATACGGTTACAAATTTAGAGGTCGATGGAAGAAACATTCAGAATCCAGTGGACATTAGAAAGTGTTTCCAGAGATATTTTAAAAACTATATACCCAAGGGCCGCAAGACGAAGTCGAGATTAAACAATTTTTGGCAAAAATGGATTATCTAAACTGTCACAAGAAAATAGGACAACCCTGAACTCTAAAATAACACGACAGGAGATTGAACAAGCTATTCAGAACATGCAACTTGGCAAATCTCCAGGGCCAGACGGGCTGACCTCCAAGTATTATAAGACACTAAAAGACTATTTGATACAACCCTTGATGGAGGTTAGCAATGAAATTATGGAGGGGAAGAGGGCACCGGATTCGTGGAAGGAAGCGTTTATCACATTGATACCAAAGTCAGAAGCTGAAAAGACACAACTGAAGAACTACCGTCCCATCTCCCTTTTAAATGTGGATTACAAAATATTTGCAGATATTTTGGCAAGTAGATTTAAAAAGTTTTAAATGAAGTAATTCATAAGGACCAGGCCGGTTTTCTCCCAGGTAGACATCTGTTTGCTAACACAAGGAACATTATTGATATCTTGGAACTTCTCCAAACTGACATAAATACAAAAGCAGTTTTAATTTTTATAGATGCGGAGAAGGCCTTTGATAATATTTCTTGGAAATTTATGATGGGAAACTTAAAAGAGATGGGAGTGGGACGGGGTTTTGAGAATGGGATTGAGGCGATATATTCAGAACAGAAAGCTAAACTGATAGTTAATAATGTGGTTACAGAAGAGTTCAAAATTGAAAAAGGGACACGACAAGGTTGCCCTATCTCCCCTTTGTTATTTATTTCGGTTCTGGAAGTGCTATTGAACATGATTAGAGGGGACCAGTTGGTGGAAGGAATTCAGGTTGGTCAGAAACAATATAAACTAAAAGCTTTTGCAGATGACCTGGTTTTGACCTTGCAGAAGCCAGAGCCTAGTACGAAAAGAGTATTACAATTGATTAATGACTTTGGTCGGGTGGCGGGATTTAAATTAAATAAACAGAAAACCAAGGTTTTGGGAAAAATTTGACTGAGACAGAGTCAGAACGGTTTCAGAATGAGACGGAACTTAATGTGGTTAAAAAGTAAAATACCTAGGGGTAAACATAACAGCAAAAAATCTAAGTCTATTTAAGGATAACTATGAAAAATGTTGGACAGAAATTAAGAGAGACTTAGACAGTTGGTCAAAATTGAAACTTTCTTTGTTAGGCCGAATTGCTGCGATTAAGATGAATGTATTGCCAAGAATGTTGTTTTTATTTCAAACACTTCAGGTTTTGGACAAAATGGAGTGCTTTCAGAAGTGGCAGAGAGACATTTCGAAGTTTGTCTGGCAGGGCAAAAGCCCAGAATTAAGTTTAAGATACTAACTGATGCAAAACAAAGAGGGGCTTTGCCCTGCCGGACTTAAAGTTGTATTACGAAGCCGCAGCGTTCTGCTGGCTAAAAGATTGGCTACTTCTTGAAGACACTGATGTGTTAGATTTGGAAGGGTTTAACAATGTTTTTGGATGGCATGCATATTTATGGTATGACAAAGTTAAAGCAAATAAGGCCTTTAAGAACCATATTGTTAGAAAATCACTGTTTAATGTCTGGACAAAATATAAAGACTTGCTGGAAAATAAAACACCAAGGTGGCTTTCACCTTTGGAAGCTAAGGCCCGAAAAAGACCCAATATGGAGGCCAAATGGCCAAAATATTGGGAAATACTAGAAAAGATGGAGACAATTGGAAATTGCAGAGTTTGGAGAAAATGAAAGACAAAGTGCGAGATTGGTTACATTATGCTCAGATTAAAGAAGTTTTTAAAAATGATAAGAAACTAGGGTTCCAGGTGGAGAAATCGAAATTAGAAACAGAATTGTTAGAACCAAAGATTAAGATACTTTCAAGGATGTATAACTTGCTGTTGGAATGGAATACACAAGATGAAATGGTTAAATCGGCTATGATAAGGTGGGCACAGGATATTGGGCATAATATTATGTTTGAGGACTGGGAAAGGCTGTGGAGTAATGGATTGAAATTTACTGCATGTAATGCTTTGAAAGAAAATGTAATGAAAATGATTTATAGATGGTATATGACCCCAGTCAAACTCGCAAAAATTTACCACCTGTCTGATAACAAGTGCTGGAAATGTAAAGAGTGTGAAGGAACGTTCTTTCACCTCTGGTGGACCTGCCCTAAAGTGAAGGCGTTCTGGGAAATGATTTATAATGAATTGAAAAAGGTATTTAAATATACTTTCACTAAGAAACCAGAGGCTTTCCTTTTGGGTATTGTCAGCCAAGGGGTGGCAAAGAAGGACCAAACATTTTTATGTATGCAACAACAGCAGCAAGGATACTACTCGCAAAACATTGGAAAACTCAAGATCTACCCACACTGGAAGAATGGCAGATGCAACTGATAGACTATATGCAACTGGCTGAAATGACTGGCAGAATCCGTGACCTGGGAGAAGAGAGAATCGAGGAGGATTGGAAGAAATTTAAGAACTACCTACAAAAACATTGTGATTTGACTGAATGCTGAATAAGATGCTAGACTAAATAACTGAGCACCACTTAACTTAGAAGTTTTTAAGAAAATAAGAAAAACTGTGAAAGTTTAACTCTTTATGAGAACTATAAGATCATGAAATATCGAAGAGATATAAGAATTTAAATAAGATGATAAATTGCTGACAAAATGTTATAATGATGAAGGTGGGAGCGGGAGATGTGAGGAAGTCCAAAGAAAATGTGAAATTATGTTAAGACGAATGTTATATTGTTTATTACATTTATTCCTATTGTAAAATCCAATAAATTGCTTTAAAAAAAAAAATAAAATTGCAGAGCTTTGAAAAATTGAAAAACAAAGTGCGAGATTGGCTCCATTATTATCAAATAATGGAGGCATACAATCTGGACAAAAAAGTTGGTTTCCAGGTGGAAAAATCAAAATTGGAAACAAAATTGTTAGATCCAAAATTCAAGAATTTGTCAAGAATGTATAACTTGCTGTTGAAATGGAACACTCAGGATGAAATGGTGAAATCAGCTATGATTAAATGGGCACAAGATGTTGGACATAATATTATGTTTGCTGACTGGGAACAGTTATGGACCACAGGTATGAAATTCACGGCATGTAATGCCCTAAGAGAAAATTTAATGAAAATGATTTATAGGTGGTACATGACACCAGTCAAGCTTGCAAAAATTTACCATTTGCCCGACAATAAATGTTGGAAATGTAATGAGACTGAAGGTACATTCTTTCACCTTTGGTGGACATGCCCAAGGATTAAGACATTCTGGGAGATGATTTATAATGAAATGAAAAAGGTATTTAAATACACCTTACTGAAGAAACCAGAGGCCTTTCTCCTGGGCATGGTTGGCCAATTGGTGTCAAAGAAGGATAGAACTTTTTTTATGTATGCAACAACAGCAGCAAGAATACTCATCGCGAAGTATTGGAAGACACAAGATTTACCCACCCGGGAAGAATGGCAGATGAAGTTGATGGACTATATGGAATTGGCGGAAATGACTGGCAGAATCTGAGACCAGGGAGAAGAGTCGGTGGAAGAAGACTGGAAAAAGTTTAAAGACTATTTACAGAAATACTGTAAAATTAATGAATGTTAGAAAAATGTTGGAATGAGGTTATATGGCTTTAGTAGAAATGTTATAAGGAATTAAGTATAAATAGATTAATAGAGTATTACAGGGAAAAATAAGGTTAGAATCTGTTAAGATAATTATAGGATAGAAAGCAGAGGAAGATGGAAAGGAATTGCTGAAACAATTAATAGAAGTGGAATACAAAAAGGGAGGTGTGAGGAGGTCATTGAAATAAGTGAATGAAAGATAAGATATTGAAATTGTTTGATGTGTTTTAAACTGTTTTTGTTTTGTTTTGTTAGTTTAATGTGTTAGTGTTATGTAGTGTTTTCGTATTGTATTGTATTGTATTGTATTGTTTTTTGTTTTTTTTGTAGTGTTTAAATTGTTGGAAAAGTAATAAATATTATTTTCAAAAAAAAGAAGAAAACCCCCCAGTCCATACCCTGCACCCTCATCCACCTTGCAGAATGAGACCAGGAAGAGCCTCTCACCTGGCTCCAATTCAAGAATCTCCTTCTGTAGGTCTCTCTCGCTAACAGCACCTTCATGCTGCAAAGAAAAAGCAGTACAAAAGGCAGGCATTTTAACAGACTCATTTGGGTTGGAACTAGGCTGCAATAGACCTCAAAACTCCCTCTGGGAACACAGAAAGAGCCATCCTGGATGAGTCTCAAGAACCCTCCAGCCCAGCACATTTTTTCCCTGGGAGGGGCCCTGCTGAATGGCCTGATGGAACAACTCATGCATTGCATGCAAAAGAGGACCAGTACAACCCCAATAGCATCTCCAGGTAGCACTGGGAAGGAGAGCATATTTCCCCCACTATTTATTTAGCAAGATTTATATACCACATATTAATATATATAAGCAGTTTGTAGGTCCCCAGAGACCGGTAATTCGGATTTATTATGGAGGCAGAACAAAACCTCCATGTCATTATTTTAGCCAATCCTCTTTCATAAGTCCTTTAAACTAGTGACCATCACTGCATGCACTGTAAATGTTTGTTGACTGTTTCCAACATATAGGGCCCTCATACAGCCAGGCCAGCTGCCCTCTTCCTGGGTCGGTGGCCTTCAGAGCACAACTCGGCCACTGGATTCTGACACCAGGTCTACTCACCTCCAGGGATGTGGCAGACTTGCTTGCGGCTTCCTCTGCATTGGGCAAGGCTAAGAGGGTTGTCATGGACTGCTTAGTCCCATTCTTCCCTTTGGCAGCGGACAATTGGCTCCCCAGCCTGGTCGCACTGGGGCTTCCTCCCGGAACTGGGATAGGTCAGAGAAGGAGAAGAGGCGGGTGTGAACAGCCTTGCAAGATGGGCAGCGGGCAGGGGGCTTTGGACAAGTGTGAAGCACACCATTTGTCTTTCTCTGGGGGGCCCCTAGCCTTGACTCCACTCCCAGTTCCTTTTCCCGCACCCCCCAAAAAAGCAGAATGTACCTTTTCGAAGCTCTGGTCCTTTCTTGTCCAGGAGGCTGGTGGACTTCCTCTCAATTGTTGAGGTCTTACTGGCCTCCTCGGTGCTTGTCTTGGGCAAGGAGGAGTCTTTAATCATAACCATAATCATAATCATAGTCAGCCTCTAAAATAGCTGAGATGTCTACGGTGGAGCAGAAAAGCCCCCAAATGCGGCGTTTAGCCTCTGCATTTGACATGCAGGAAATGTATTTAATTTTAGTCATGGAAAGTGTTTTTTTTTTCTTTAAAAATGTTTAGGTGTACTCTCATTTTCCTACTCATATTGAAATACTGCCCCTCAATGAGGACAAACAGTTTCACAAAATGTTTAGGGGTATGTGTACCCCCAAGGAAAAAAAGCACTGGGTTTCATATTTCAATGGAACTCTCTCAGCAGTTTATCAATCCAAACAAAGGCACACAGTTTAAATTCTACATGTTAATTTTTCTTGTTGAAACTCTCACCGTTTCACCTTTTTTGCAAACTGCTTCGAGGGAGTTGTTGTTTTTTGCAAGCAAGTGGTGTATAAATTTTATGAAATAAATAGTAAGGCAAGAAAAGAAAAACAAAAAGGAAACTTATACAGTGTATCATCTAAAACAGGCAGAAACCAGCAACAGGGAATGGCTGCAAAAGTTCTTAAAAGCAGCGCAAGAAATCTACTACAGTGGATTCTTTGCAGCTAGGAAAGGGAGGAAGGAAACAAACCGGAATGGATAAAAAGAGGACATAACTTAACCTACGCATAAGCCTTGAGTGGGAAAATCAGGATCGGGACTCAAAAAATGGTTTGTCCAGGGGAGCCTTAAGGAGACTTGAAAGCATCCCAGGAGAAAGAGGAAGTGAGAGAGAGAGAGAGAGAGAGAGAGAGAGAGAGAGAGAAGCAGGAGGTCATTCCATGAAAGCCGTTCCTGGCCATGTACCTTGTTTTTTAGCTGGGGGTCCCCGATCTCCGACATCCATTGTGTGGACCATCTTGTCAGAAGGGAGCAAGAAGCCTTCTCTCTGGAAGCGTTCCTGCAGTTTCCTCAAGTGGTGAGCCATCTTCTTCTCAAGCATGTTCTGTTTCTGCAGGGTGCAAAAAGGGCAGAGCCCCGTCACTGTTTCGGGATTCATTCCAGGGTCCTTTGCAACCTCTCATCATGCTGGATCCAAGGGGAGATGCTGGGGGGCCCCCCAAACTGGCAAAGGCACTGCCTCTTTCATTTTGCACCATAGACACTCAGAAGCAGCATGAGAGAATTCTTAGTTTGCATGCCTCACCTCTTTTCAGGCTGGGGGTGGGGGGCCCACTAAGCATGCCTAGCTGGAACACACACACACAAAAACCCAACAGCAAGTACTGGGTGTAATTCATGGACCAAGTTATTTGGCAACTGCCCAATGATCAGCTGGATAGCTCAGTTGGTTAGAGTATGGTGCCAATAACTCCAAGGTTGCAGGTTCAATCCCCTGCTGCTGTATTGCAGGGGGTTGGACTAGAGACGATCTAACAATTCTATGATTTGCCAGATTTTGCCCCTATGAACTGGGCATCAGTACCTTCTGTCTGTTTTCTATGATGAATTTCTAATTTCTCCAGTCTAAACAGAGCAATTTTGCTATACCAAAGGGGAGCAAGTGAAAGGAAGCCAGTAGTTAAATCATTCCCTACGTAATGAACAGGAACTGACCAATTGAAGGACACTTAAGAGACAACTCTGTACTCCATGCTTGATAGGAAGTACAAGGAATAAAAAAAAAATTTTGACGAAAGAAGAATGGATACAAAAACTTATGGCAAAACTTACTGGAAGAATAATAAATCAGGATAACAAACTTTTTATGAAGGAATGGAAATGGTATATTGAATATTTACAAAAAGATTGCAAACAGATAAAAACATTGGCAGGACTATTGTAATAACCTGCAGTTTTTTAAATATAGATATATGAAAATAGATGAATAAAAGAATGATTTAATATAACTTATAATATGCAGGGAATGGTGATATAAAATTTAACAAATCACAGAAAAAGAAGGAAGGAAGTCGATATTTGAAATGTCTGAATTATTGTTAAATTGCTACTGAAATGTATATAAATGAAAATCATATTGTTTTTGAAAAAAGGAATAAACTTTTAACTAACATTGCAGGGGGGCCTTTGCTAAAGGTTGCTGTTGGGTAAACATTAGGGAAGGGTCTTGGCTAGGAGGATGGGAACTTCTGGATAATATAGAACTACGTAGATGGAATGCTGGGCAGAATCTCCTTTCAGCTGATTGTGGCACCCTACCATGACCGCTCAGATGTCAGCCAAGACCCACACAGCTGCCAGCCGCCTTCCCTGCCCCTCTTCCACTTACCCTTTTCAGCTTGTCTTCCTTGCTCTTCCTCCTCTGCTCTTCAATCCTTGCTTCCCGTTTAACGTCGTCACCAATTTTCATCAGGAGCAGCATTTCCTTCTTCCTCCATTCCTGGGAAACAAAGACTCATCAGCCGTTAGTCACCTGTTTCTGTGCTGTCCCTGTTTTCAGCTGGGTGTAAAACAGCAAAGGGGACCCAACTCCAAGCAGCCCCAGTGGCCAGGGCAAATGAGGATGGGTGCCACCTCCCGTTCCAGCTTCTGTGCTGTCCCTGTTTTCAGCTGGGTCTAAAACAGCAAAGGGGACCCAACTCCCAGCAGCCCCAGTGGCCAGGGTGAATGAGGATGGGTGCCACCTCCTGTTCCAGCTTCCCTTTGTGGTTACCTCTTCCATTTTCTTCCGAAGGAGGAGCTGCTTGCGTTTTTCCAAGCCTTGCTTCTTTTTGTCGTCCTGAGCCAAGGCGAGTTGTCGGTTCTCTTCTGCCAACTGCTCCAGTTTTTCCAGCTCCTGGTTAATCAACTCTAAATATCTTTTTGAAGAAAAAAGGCAAAGGATTGATTAGAATGGCTTGGCTGGTCCTCACCCCATTTCCTCTTCTTTGCTCAAGTTTCTCGGCTAACCTGGGGACTTCAGGTAGGCCCTGGAGGTCTGGCAACTTGATGTAAAGCTGAAAGCTCATTCCCCCCCTCCCCGCATGCCCTCTGGTGGCCCCAAACCAATTTGTGGAAGGGTAAGAAATTGATTGCTTGTAGGTTTGAGCCCCACTTTGAGCTAAAGATTCCTGCATCACAGGAGGTTAGTCTAGATGGCTCTTGTGGTCCCTTCCAACTCTTATGAACTGCTGTTCATTGTTTCGGCCCATTTCTCCTGCTTTTAATTCCTGTTTTTTCTTGCTGTTTATGCAGAAGAGGATTGCAAGAGAGGCTTCAAAGGAGCACCAGGCCCAAGCGGGGCAGGCTGGTTTTGTGGTGTCACTCAGCAAACTGCACAAAGGTCCGCTTTAGACCTCATGTGCAAAAATGCCCTCAAGACTCCTCCCCCTACCCATCTGCTTCGGGCACCTGTTCCTCATCACGGTCTCCTGCTCCTGTATTGTGGGCCTCTCCTCTTTCAGCATCCAGTCCCGATATTTCGACGTGTCGGCAGCCTCCGGAAGATGCTGAGTGTCTTGGAGCTTGGTGATCTGCTTCTCAAGCATTTTCTGGAATTCAGAGGATTAGAGGGATGTAGGCATCAGGGCTTTTGCTTGGGACATTGCTGCCAGCAAGTCGTCACTTGGGGTTGGGTGAGCAGAGGAACGCATCAGACCAATTTAGTGGGGCAGGAGACCTTAAAACAATGCCAATATTTTTCACATCTGGCACCCAATAGGCCCCTTGGGTTTCCGATAGTAGTACATGGGGTAAGGTAAAGGTAAAGGGACCCCTGACCAGTCGTGACCGACTCTGGGGTTGCGGCGCTCATCTCACTTTATTGGCTGAGGGAGCCGGTGTACAGCTTCCGTGTCATGTGGCCAGCATGCCTAAGCTGCTTCTGGTGAACCAGAGCAGCACATGGAAATGCTGTTTACTTTCCCGCCGGAGCGGTACCTATTTATCTACTTGCACTTTGACGTGCTTTCGAACTGCTAGGTTGGCAGGAGCAGGGACTGAGCAACAGGAGCTCACCCCGTCGCGGGGATTTGAACCACCGAACTTCTGATTGGAAAGCCCTAGGCTCTGTTGCTTAACCCACAACGCCACCCGTGTCCCTTTAGTACATGGGGTAGATGGATCTGAAAAGCCCGGGACACAAATTTTCACGGCCATCCAGCAGCTACGGCGGCTCATTTACCAGAGGTAATGTATTTGGTGTTAACTCTGGAAGCGTATACTCAACTCTGACCAAACAAAGCACAATATACATCAGGAGCCCAAGATGGTCACGTGGCTCTCCCGTCCACATTTTATCCTCACAACAACCCTGTGAGGTAGGTTAGGCAGGAAGTCATGCCTCTTATCAAGTTTGCAATATGCTCTTCGTTTGTAGCAGCTGAGCAGAGGCTGAAGGAGATCTTAAAAAATGGTCCCATGACTTGCCTGTTCTCTGATGTAGTGTTTTTCAAACTCCAGCTTGAGGGAGGTCAGGTACTGCCTGTATTCGTTGAATTCCTTCAGGGTGCACACCACCTAGGAGGCAAAAAGGAGTCAGGCATCCATGGGAAAGGTTCTTTTAAATAAAAATTATTTGGTTTTTCAGATTAAAGTTTTACAATCACATATCCAACATACAACATAAAAACAAGATTCCAAGGAATCTCTTGGACCTCCTCCCCTTTGTGGGTCCTTTTGTTAATTATTTCCTCCTGCATCTTTCATGATAATTCAGATCTTTTACATCTCCATTATGTCCAAAATTCACCATTAAACTATGTTATTCCAATCCTACTAACAATGTTAGCTGTTTAAGATGGTTTTTAAGATAAATTATAAATTTCCCCTATTCCTTATTAAAATTTTGGTCTTCCTGATTTCTGACTCTTCTGGTCATTTTAGCCATTTCTGCATAATCTATCAACTTAATCTGCTATTCTTCTCTGGTAGGGACTTTATCTTCTTTCCATCTCTGAGCCACCATGGGACATAGCTGTCAACTTTTCCCTTTTCTTGCAAGGAATCCTATTCGGAATAAGGAAATTTCCCTTTACAAAAGGAAAACATTGACAGCTATGCCATGGGAAAAGTTCAAGAGTCCTCTGTGCATTTCCATGCTCCCCCGCAACAGTGCCGACATCCTAAGGCCCTGTCTGAAATCTGTTTACTCAGAAGCTACAGCTCTTCCCCTAAGATTCTAGTCTTCATGGCTCTGGAGAGAAGACAGATATAAATATAAACACAGGAAGCTGCCGATCAATCCACCTAGCTCTGTATGGCCCACACTGGCTGGCAGCAGCTCTGTGGGGTTACAAGCCCAGAGTCTCTCATAGCCCTACCTGGATATGCTACAGCCCTACTCCTTTAAGATGTTTATTTTTTTTCTATAGGATTTGCAGCTTTTAATATAACTTCTAGGCTGTTTTGAGGTGACATCAATGGTGTTGTTTGTTGATTGCCTTCTAAAAAAATGTTTCTGGCATGGTGTTGTTTTTTTAAATGGCTGTCATTTTGCAGTCCTGATTGTTTCACTAGAAAAGCACAGGGATGTAGCGGCATCGATGTCTGAAGCAGCTCAACTTGCCTTGTTCTTGTCGGTGATGTGGCCTGCCTTTTTGAGCCTCCGCAGGTTGTCTTTCCGCTTGTAGTAGGCACGCAGGTGTGGGTCGTGGAGGCTCTTATAGCTGGGTGCCATGAGTTTGCAGTATGGGTCGTTCAGGTCAAAAGTGGCAGATGGCTGGTAAAGCTGGGGATTATTATTATTATTATTATTATTATTATTCCTATACCACCATTCATCCAAAGATCTCAGGTTCACAGCATAAAAACACAAGATAAAAACACACAAAATGCACGCTAAAAACAAGAACAAAACAAAACAATAGCCCCTCCTGTGCAGACATACAGCAATACGTCAAAAAGGGTCAGGGAACGAGACAGGACATTCCATTCAAGTATCAGGAAGAACTTTCTGACAGCAAGGTCTGTTTGACAGTGGAATGGACTCCCTCGGGAGGTTGTGGACTCTCCTTCCTTGGAAGCTTTTAAGCAGCGGGGGGATGGCCATCTGTCAGGGATGCTTTAGTGGAGATTCCAGCATTGCAGTGGGTTGAACTAGATGGCCCTTGGGGTCCCTTCCGACTCTACAATTCTATGATTCTAACAAAGGATTTCTCAGACTCCGAGGCAGCCTTCTTCCTCAAGCTGTTGGGTCTCCAGATGCTTGTGGACTACAACTCCCACCAGCCCCAGCTGCTATGGACATCAGGAGTTGTATTCCAAGAGCAACTGGAGGGCGACTGCTTGGGGAACCTTACTTTAAAACGAGGGGTCAACACAGTTCTAGGTGCATTGCTGGTTCCACAGAACTAACTGCAATGCCTATTTGGAATGCTTTATTGTCTAGGACTGGAGCATGGCCTTTTCAGCAGCGGCTCCCCTTTTGTGGAACACTTTCCCCAGGGAACTTCACCTGAAGCCATCATTAAACATCTTTAGGTACTGGGCCATTCCCCGCCCCCTCTGTCAGGCTTTGGGATTTAAATTATCTGTGGTCTCGTCCGGGGGGTGGGGAGTGGGATGTTTTAGTCCCGCCTTTTTAAAATGTGGCTGTGTGCGTGCATAGATGTCCTCTGTTCACCTTTTCACCCAAATTGGTCCTGTAGAACATAGTGTTTGAGCCTGGCAGGAAAGGGATTTTGGTAAAGAGTGGCATGTCCAGGATCTGGTTGGGTCCCACGGCTGGCATCTGCTTCCCAGGCCCCACCTGGAAGAGTCAAAACATCCACGTGTCAGCAGGGAGAGGAGACCAGTTGCTGCAGTTGCCCATTCACTTCAGGGTTTCTTTAGAAAGATCTCTTGAGGATGCAACAAAAAACCCACGCCTCACCAGTGTGTGCTTGGTACTGCCAATTGCTTCACACAACTGCAGCTCCAGAAGCACACCACAAAGTTCCAGTAACTTATTTTCAAGCACATGTTTTCAAGCTACATAGCTACTCTGCTGCTTGCCCAGTGTATTGGGCATGGGATAGGCCAAACAGCTTTGTGCTCAGAGTGTCAGTGGCCTAGGCTGGCCCTTAGCCTGGCATCCTTCAGACATTTTGGACTCTGATTCCCATCAGCCCCAGGCATCAGGTTGGGGGATTCTGGGTGGGTTAGTGGGACACAGAGCAAACCTCCCCCAGAAGCAGATTGATCTTCGGTCCCAGAATGTGGACCTGTCCATTGCCTAGCCTAGGAACACGAGTCAGAGATTTCCCCTCCCCGGCTTGCATTTCTCTCTGGTTCCCCCTCTCTGACTCCAGCTCCAAAAAGAGGGTGGTTCAGCACTCACGTCTACAACGTCTTCGTCCGGTTCCATAGCTTCAAGCGCCGTCCTGGCGCTCTCGGTCAGGTAATGTCCCATAGCTGCCTTCAGCAGCCCTCGGTTGGGGTACGTCATCTTGAGGTTCAGTCTGGGTTGTTGCCCTCAGAGGACATGGCCTCCAACTGCCACCTCCACATAGCCCTTCTAGAACTCTCCGAGACATTGTTAGCAACAGGGGAGTTCCACCAGCAGTTCTCTGTGGAGCTCTCAAGATCTTTGATGTTCCGTTCCGAGGGGGGAAATCAGGCGATGGAATCCACCGTTGCTGTCCGGATTCTTAATGACTCCAAAGCTCACTCACCTCTGCACCACAGAGGATGCTAGCAGGCTTGCTTTGCTAAACATGGGGATTATTATTATTATTATGCAAATATATTTGTTTCCTTTTATAGTGTATACCAGAACAGAGAGAACAGTTATAACAACAGATTAAAAAGTTGAGAAACAAAACTATAAAACAGGCACGCAGAATGAATGCAGTTGCACATGGGTTAAAAAAAACCAAGTCCAAGTAAATGCACTAATATTAGCATCATCTGATGATGCTAAAGTCACAGATCTGCCAAGCTTTCGACAAGAGTTGTCTTGAAATCCTGCTTTCTGGGCCTATTTAGTTTTCTATGTGTTGTATATATGTGTAAATAAGAGCATATAGTCCTAGGACACCCTAGTCTCTGCTGACCTTTGTGTCCCAAGGAAACCAAACCCTGGGTAAGTACAGTCGTACCTTGGTTTTCAAACAGCTTAGTTCTCGAACGTTTTGGCTCTCGAACACTGCAAACCTGGAAGTGAGTGTTCCAGTTTGCGAACTATTTTTGGAAGCCGAACATCCGACGGGTCTTCTGTGGCTTCCGATTGGCTGCAGGAGCTTCCTGCAGCCAATCAGAAGCTGCGCTTTGGTTTCCAAACATTTTGGAAGTCGAACGGACTTCCAGAATGGATTCCGTTTGGCTTCCAAGGTACAACTGTACCTGGAACCGCTGGGTTTTCTTACCGCCCAGAGATTGGGTTGGTGTGTAACACTACTTTATCCTGAGGACTCACCTATAACAGTCAGGATACCTCTGTGGACATTGTGCCTCTTGCAGATTGGGCACTGCATGCTGAAAGTCTCCTACATGTATTGATCACGGAAAGGAAGAGATGGCTCTTCCCATGCTACGCAGTGAGCAGGAGGAATTGAATGTCCCAGTATGTGATGATGATCACTGGTCTCAGAATACCTTTAGAAAGGGGGATGGTGGAACAAATGGACAGAGGGGCAAGCCTGATGTGCTTGTTCGCTTGTTCCATAAAATTTATACACCGCCTGATTGTAAAAAAACCCCAACCACCTCAAAGCGGTTTATGAAAAAAATGAAACCATAAAATTATCAGTTAAAACAACTCCTTAAAACCAGCAACAAATTGCAGGGCGCATCTTAAGGGCACAATAGTGGCAGCTTTTCAAAGGATGATGACTTTGCAAAGATCTCTCATAAAAATACACACACATCCTATGAGGGTTCAGTCTGTGGAATCTGTGGATGGTTTCACACCACGGTCTTGCTGTAATGCACCAGGTCCCTGATTTACATGGTTTTGTTAACAGAGATAGATGTGATCTGTGATCTGGTGATGGTTGGGGGAGCGGGCAAAATATATGAAAAATTATGCCATTTTGCCATTTCCCGGTATTTGATACGTGTGCCTATTCTCCCTTTTTGTCCTCATACAGTACATGCAGTTTCACACTTTTTCCTCTCTTGCCTCCCTCCAGGACATTCTACTTTCCTCCTCCCTCTCAAATGGTTCCCTTTCCACCCCCACCTTCTGAGTTGCCCCACTTTTTGTCTGTGGGGCTGCATCCCCTGTCTCTCAGGAAGATCGTCACAGCAAGGGGGAAACCAGTGTAGGAGCAGCTGCTTCGGTGTTTGATTTCCTCTACCCTCCCCATTCCTTTTTCCTTTTGTGCTGCGTCTGTTTCGTGAGCTTGCAGCTAAGGATTGTCTTATCCTTTAATGCACGGGCAGCAGTTAACAAAGTGTTAAGTGCCTTGCAACTGTTAAGATACATAATGCCAATTACATGGAAATGAGTACTAAACATGTGCCATTTTCCATTGTGTGAAAGCTCCGATATAATGTGGAAATTAAGAGTTAGGGGAAAGTCGGGAAATGGAATCGACGACCATGTGAATGCAGCCTCTTTCTGCCCTCTCCAGCCCTGCCTGGCTGGGATGTGTCATTGACCTGTGATGCAGCTGCCCCTTGTTCACATCCCAGGTGCAGGATGGAGAGAGGAGTAGAACCCTCTGACTTTTCCGTGGCTGGAATGCAGCCTGCTGTACAAAGGCCAAGCGCCACACCTGTGCTCCACCCACGTTTACCTCTGGCCCCGCCCACCTTTGGCACATGGAAGGTTGTCCACAAGGGAACTTCTGCAGGAGGAGGTTTCTGATCCCTGGCCTATGCAGACAAGGTCAGACCTTTCGGTTTTGTACATTTTTATTCTGGGTGACAGCTGAAAATCCAGATGAGCACGAGACCTGCAGGGGAAAGGAGAGGGAAATGCAAGCACATTAGGAGCAGGGGACAAAGGCAACAATTCAAGGGCAAATATTAATAGAGAGAAATATTAACAGATACAAAGACAGATTTATATTATGGCCATTGTTTATTACACTTGTATACCACCTTTCATCTGGAGAGCCCAGGGTGGTTCACAATAGAAAAGTACAAAATGATCACCCATATGCATGCCTCATTGTCACAATACATTATTACTATTATTATTATTATTATTATTATTATTATTACTGATCTGCCCTTCACACTAGGGTACCTGGACAGGTTACAACAATTTAAAATGCAGCATTAAAAGCTGTTTTAAAAACTTGCAGTTACTAATAATACATCTAATAGAAACAGCAATAACCTCTAACAAAAATTAACAAGTTCATACAGTTGCTTACTTAGATTTCCAATAATTAACTTGCAATAAGGATTCAGGTGAATTAAGAAAATTATTTTGGTAGATTGATATCCCACATCTAAAATCAACTACCTGCAGGTGTAGATAAGATACAGAGTATGACAATTATTCCATCTAGCTTAGTACCCTCTGCATTGACCGGCAGCAGTTCTCCAGGGTTTTAGGCAGGAAACATTCCCAGTCTTACATGAAGATGTTTCCGGGTTTGACCCTGGGACCTGCTGCATGCAAAGTGTGTGCTCTGCCACTGAGCTACTCCCTTTCCACAAGGTAAGATTCTAGTCCACATGGTTCTGAATAAAGGAATGTAATAAACTGGAACATAAGAAGTTGCCTTCTATCGAGTGAGACCCTTGATCCATCTAACTGAGTATGGCAGAAGCACTTGGGGTTTCAGGTGGGGAACATTCCCAGCCCTACCTGGAGAGATGCTGTTAGGGATTGAACCTGGGACCTTCTGCATGCAAGGTAGGGGCTCTGCCCCTGAGCTACGGGCCTTCCCTTAATGGGGGACTTCCTTTGATCAAACACACTAGGGCAAGCAACATGTCAAAAGGTGGTGCCAACACATTTCTGCAACCTTTCTGACTCTTCCATTTTATTATGTGCAAAATGAGCGTCCTGCTATCTGGCTGCTTAGAAGCCCTCAGGACAGCTTATATTATCTCAAGCTGATGCAATGATCTCAGTTAAAAACAAGATTTTGTTTAATGACAGAAATCAGCATCAGAAAATATAATCAACAACCAACCGATCTCCCATGTTAAACCCACAATACGATCTCCAGCCCATCGTGCTTATAAAGAGGTCCTAATTTCCACATGGCTAGAAAGATGTGCATCTTTTGGGCTTCAGGGTGTTCCATAGATGTGGGGATAGTCACCCCAAATGGGCACAGCCTCTTGCGCCTGCCACTTCCAACACCACTGGCACTCAAATGCTGTTGCACTTGGGTCCTGCTTAGGGGCTCCCCAGAAGAGGCATCTGGTTGGCCCCACTGAGAACAGGAAGCTGGACTAGATGGACCCCCTTTGGCCTGATCCAGCTACAGGGCTCCTCTTATGAGCAGGATTGCCTGAGGACTGTATTGTGCAGCCATCCAGGGCATGCCTTCAAAGGGACTAGTTGCATGCCCTGCTTTCTCAGATTGCTTGCAAGCAAAGCAGACTCCTTTGAAGCTGATCAAATCAGCTTTGTGCCCTCAAAGGGACTTTCTTTCAGAGCCAGTCAGCTGTTTGACACTGACAGTGAGCCCCTTGGCTGCACTAGGGAGTTCCTGGTGGGTAATCCCAGAAGGACTCGCTGTCGGTGTCAATCAGCTGATAGTAAGTGAGCCCTGCTTGCAAAGGAACAATTGGGAGCTCACTTTAAGGAAGGAGAGTGTGGTTTTTGGGGAAAATACCCTAGTGGACCAAATCAGAAGGTTCCTTCAGGGCTTCTCCACCTCTGAGCTACAAGCTGCGTGAATCTGCATTTATTTCCCCATCGTTCTGCCCAGACACTGAGGTCCAGCTCTGAGGGCCTTCTGGCGGTTCCCTCACTGAGAGAAGTGAGGTTACAGGGAACCAGGCAGAGGGCCTTCTCAGTGGTGGCACCCTCCCTGTGGAACGCCCTCCCATCAAGAAATAAGCAACTATTAGACTTTTAGAAGACACCTGAAAGGCAGCCCTGTATAGGGTAGTTTTTAATACTTGATGTTTTACTGTGTTTGATGTTTTAATTTGTTGAAGCCACCCAGAGTGGCACATGCAACCCAGTCTGATGGGAGGCATATAAATAAATTATTATTGCTGTATTATTATTATTATTAGCTCAAACCCTCACGGGTGTAGCCAGGATTTAATTTAGGGGGTATAAATAGCCTGTGGGAACCTTCCAGTTGTTTAGAAACTAGACAGGCCCTGCAGGTGCACCTTCACAGGAGAAAATGCTGGAAACTATGAGAAACTTCCAGAACAGAGCTACCCGCAATGGGATTGGTCAGTTTGCGGAACTACGCCTATCATTCAGTCGGATTGCCAGTTGAGTCGCTAGAATGTGCCGCAACATCATCCAAATGACCTCAGCAAGAATTTCAATTTCAATTATTCTGATTATTCCTATTTTTATTTATTTACTTGATTTAGGGAGGGCAGCTGCCCCCCTGGCTATGCCTGTGCTAACCCTGGGAGCAGAAGATCATCACCCCAGGTTCCTACACAGATGCCTCCTCCCCCTTGATACGCACCTTAACCAGGTAAGGAGGGAGAAGTCCTGGCAGAGTAGAAGGCTTTACATTGGCGGGTGATGGTAGAAGTAATAGCCCCCGTAGGCCATTGTTCCGAAAGACAGCGCAGCTCCCAACAACTGAATAAACCTTGATTTGTCTGTCCAAGTTTCGCTCACTTGAGGGTGGAGGGGAAAAAACAAACAATTCCTTTCTATAGCACCATAAATGTGCATCACACTTTGCAAAGTGCAAAGTGAGAAGTCTCCGCCCCCAAGGACACTACAGTTTGCCCCGAGGGAGATGGAGGCAGGTGCTGCCATGTCACTGTCACATGATTAGACTTTTGTTATACAGCAGGGTAAGAGGTTGCAATTTATCTTATAACATCGTCCATATGATGCCCATTAACAGCATCCTCTGGGCAGCTCACAAGCAGGAAAACATGAAAATATATAAAGAAGCCCAGAACAATAAATCAAACCAGAAAACAAATCCCAGCATAAGCATTCCTGGCAATGCTCTGAGAAGATTTGATTGCATACGGGCCTCAAGAGAAGGAACAGCCACACCAGCCTTCATTAACCTGGAACAACTTTCTGAGGGAAAGAACTGTTTGAAAGTGGAACGGACTCCCTTGGACTTTTTTTTTAAGGGGGTGCGAGGTCATGTGTCAGTGCTGGGGTGGCTTGCCCATGGCTGCTGGGTGTTCACTGACTCTTCTGCAACACAGCATATGATACTGAAGAAGAGATCCTCTGAGCATGCACAGAGTGACTCCTATCCCACGCAGCTAGTAGCAAGCCACCAGATTGACAGTTATTTGAGCAGTAGCCCACCTTTCAGCCCCAGAGGGGAGCATTCAAAATGGTTTGGGAGTACAGGTGGGGGGGGAGGTGTCTCACAACTGCTTGTGAGTTGCAGGACCAGACCCTGAAGCCTCCTTTCCTCTCTCTCGCCCCCCAATTTCATGTCAGAAAGACTCTCCTCTTTCATCGTGAGAGCTGGTGGTTGGATTATGACCTGAGAGGCCTGATTTCGAATCCCCATTCGGAAAGGAAGCTCACCAGGTGACAATGGGCCCTTTAAAATCTCTCAGCCTAACCTACTTCACAGGGTTGTTATGGGGAGGAGAAGCACCAGGTACACCAGCACCTTACACTCCTGGGGGGGGTGGAGTGGTATATTAATGTAATAAATAAATGTGCCAAGCAAAAAAGACTTGGGGGGGGGAGTGAGGACTAAAATAGCTAGTGGAATGGGCCTTGCAAGGGATGGTTGCCACTCTGCACATGCCCAGAAGCAGCTTGTGCCACAGCAGGAGTTAAGCCCACATCAAGTCTGTGCAGCCACTGAGGGTTTGATTTCAGCCTCCGCTGTTGCAAGTGATGAAGAGTGCCCCTGAGCATACCCAGAGTGCTTCCCGCTCCCCCAAATCTCACTGTCAGAAAGACTCTCCTCCATCATATTGCAAGTAAACAAGCCTTGCAGGGAATGAGGACTAAACTAGCCATTGGAGGGCACTTGTCGGTTAGTGTGGAAACAGGACGGGGCTTTGCAAGGGCTGGCTGGCCCTAAGCACATGCCCAGAGGCACCTTGTGCCACATAAGGAGGCTTGCGCAGCGACGGCGTTCTGAAAGCGGTGAAGAGCGCCCCCTCGAGCAAACCCAGATCGCCTCCCGATCCCTACTCACGCGTTCGCTTGGTGGCGACGCGGCCCTTGACGCGCCGGAGCTCGAGGGCCCCGTCGGGCCGGCCGGGAGCGAAGACGGCCGTGTGGATCTCCATAGAGCAGGCGCCCTCGACTTCGAAGACCTCGCGGAGCAGCTCCTCGAGGCGACTCAGGGCTTCGTACTCCTCCTCGGGCCGCGGCTGCACAATCACGCCCACCAGGGCGGCCGGCGCGCCGCGGCTCTGGTCCCGCACGCCCTGCAGTACCTCCCGCAGCCGCGCCGCCCGCTCCCGCAGCGACGCCGCCCGGCACAGGAAGAAAGTCAGCTGCCCCGACGGCGCGACCGAGGAAGTGCAGGGCGGCGACTGAGTGCCCAGCTGCTGCTGCTGCTGCTGCTGTTGTTGGGACTTCGCGGTGGGCTCGGCACCAGGGGCCTCTTGGGGGCCGCCCCCCGTTGTGGGCAGCACGTGGTGCGCGAAAGAGCTGAGGACCTGCTGGCCGCTCTCGGCCCCCCACGGCTCGCCGGCCAGGAGCACCACTTGCGTTCGCTGCACCACCGCGCCCCCGGGTTCGCCCTCGCACGGGTCCTGGTGGGCGTCGGTCCGCCGCCCTCCGCCCCGCTGCTCTTTCCTCTCCATTCCGCCCGGCTCCAGCTGCTGGTGGCGCCTCCCGACGGGACGGGCGCCACTCGCACGGTGTCACAATCCCTCCTCGCGTAAGGGGTCCTTGCTGCTGCCACTGCTGCTGCGTGTGCCCACGAAACGCCGCGCGCTTGGCCTGGCTGCCCGTGCGCCCTGGGCGCACCGGCTAGATGTGTGCGCCCTGGGCGCATTTGGCGAGCCCCCTGTTCTTCGAAGCGCCCAAGCAAGCGTGCAAGAATTTTGGCCACGATTGTTGCCTCCTCAAAAGCTTTCGAGGCTTAGAGAGAGAAGCGACCGGGGCGAAGAATGTGGGAGTCAGCCTCCTTGGCACCAGGTCCATTTGGGAAGGCACGGCCCTCCGCTCTCATTCTATTGCTCGTGGCCTTTCGCGAAAGAAACGAGGACGACAACTCTTTAAGTGACACCGCTCAATGCAGGCATGTTTACTCGAAAGAAAGCCCTACAGAGCTCAGTAGTGCAGGTACTGGGGATCTCAAAACTGGATTACTGCACTGCGTTCTGTGTGGGGCTTCCCTTGTGCTTCATGATCCAGAAACTAGTGATTGCAAAATGCTACAGCAGAGTTGCTGACAGGAGAAACATTTTTGTTTAGGCAAACCAATCCAGGTACATAGTTGTCAATGTGGTTTAATCTCTTTTACTCTTAATTTATTTTTAAAGGTGTCATTTCTTTTATTGATAATTTTATTTTTTCTTGTAAAACGTTAGAGGATTTGCTACAATCAAGCAGTATATAAATTTTGCAAAATAAACATTTTTACATTTGCTCCCAAGTAAGTGTGTTTACCATGGCAGACTATATGGGTTGTTCCTGATGGTTGGGTGGGATTCAGCCACATACTGGCAAATTCATGTTATGCAATAGAAGTTGATTTGGAGCTCATGTGTGACAAACCACCTGCCTCCTTCCCTCTCAAAAAAACCCTGACTTTTGGGGATAAGGAAAGTAATGGGAAAATGCACTGGAAAGGATGCATTTTTTTCCAATCCTGTAAACTTTGTTCAAACAAATAAAAACCTAATATGGGCCTGTTGGATCAGGCCAAAAGGAGGTCCGTCTAGTCCTGCATCCTATTGTCACAGCGGCCAACCAGATCCCTTTAGGAAATTTGCAAGCAAGACTCGAGCACCATCACTTCCCCTTTCCTGCGGTTTCCAGCAACTGATGTTCAGAAGTTTTGCTGCCTCAGAATCCAAATGAATGCTCAATAAAATGGACATCTGAAAGAAGCCTTTGCAAGGAGGTTGCAACTTATTCTGTTTGAGCATATACTCTGGTTTGTGGAGAGGTCAGATGATGTTTCGTCATGCACTTTCCAGCACACTCATCATTTCCCTTTACTGCAAAAAATCCAATGTTGTGTGTACCCCAATTTCTGAGCAACAAGATAATCCAGGGGTTCCTCCTGTGCATGCTCACGATTTGGTTTCCTTGGAATGAATCTCAGTGGAGACTGCTGTCTTAAGAGTATATTACTTTATTTACATGTATATTGTTTCATTCTGTCATTGCACCTTTTCCTTTAAGGAGCTCAAGGTGATATATACAAGGTTCTCTCCCTCTCATTTACTTCCCACAATGGCCCTCTGACGTAGGTTAATCTGAGTGTCAGGGACTGCTCTGAAGTGTGTGTGGTGGAGGCAGGAAGCCAGGACAGTGACCCAGGAGACGGGGACAGCAATTTAGGGGGTTTGGTGCCGCCTACAAGGCAGGAGCCAGGGCAGCAGGAGGAGAAATGGGCCTTCTTTGGCTAGGCAGGCAGGGAGGGAACATGACACTGAGAAGCAGTGACTGGTCCTTAAAGGATCACTCAGTGAGTTTCATGGCCAAATGGAGAATTGAACCCTGGTCTCTCCCAGGCCACAGTCTAAGCACTACACCAAACTGGCTATATCCAACCTGGACAGATCTCACCTGGAGTACTGTTTCCCGTTCTGGGTGCCGCATTTTAAGAAGGATGTTAATGAGCTGTTATGTGTGCAGAGGAGGGCAACCAGGATGATCAAGGAGCTGCCTATGTTTAGCCTGGAAAAGAGGAAACTGAGAAGACATATGAAGGTAAAGGGACCCCTGACCATTAGGTCCAGTCATGGCCGACTCTGGGGTTGCAGCGCTCATCTCACTTTATTGGCCGAGGGAGCCGGCATACAGGTTCTGGGTCATGTGGCCAGCATGACTAAGCCGCTTCTGGTGAACCAGAGCAGCGCATGGAAACGCCGTTTACCTTCCCACCTATTTATCTACTTGCACTTTGACGTGCTTTCAAACTGCTAGGTTAGCAGGAGCAGGGACTGAGCAACGGGAGCTCACCCTGTCACGGGGATTCGAACCGCCGACCTTCTGATTGGCGAGTCCTAGGCTCTGTGGTTTAGACCATAGCGCCACCCGCGATATGATAGCCATCTTCAAATATCTCAAGGGCTGTCACATGGAAGATGGAGCAAGCTTGTTTACTCCTACTCTGGAAGGTGGGACTTGAACCAATTTCTTCAAGTTACAAGGAAGTAGATTCCGACTAAACATCTTTCTGACAGCAAGAGCTGTTCGCCAGTTGAACGGACTCCCTTGGGAGGTGGTGGACTCTCCTTCCTTGGAGGTTTTTAAGCAGAGGTTGGATGACCATCTGTTCTTTTGCCAAGACTCCTGCATTGCAAGGGGTCGGTCTATATGAGCTCTTGCCTCCCCATTAGGGTCCTAGGGAAGCCCCAAGCCACAGCTTTGGGTCCAGCACAGAGCAAGACAAGCCTCTGTGTCTCCAGCTTCCAGCACCAGCCACAAACATACCAAACCTAGCTCTCCTGGACCCCTTCTGGGACTCGGTTGTAGCTGCTGCCACTGGCCTTTTGACGAACCATTCACATGTGGAGCTGAAAGCCCCAGGCTGTGATGCAGCCCCTAGGGATGAAGTGAGTGGGTGCTATGCTCCCGAGCTGTGTGAGGGAGGGGCTGCTGCAGGCTCTGTCTGCATCTGTGTGGGTGGGCATTGTGACATCGGCAGGCCGTGTGGCCTGGAAGCCCTTCAAGGTTTAGCTAAAGGCAGGCGGCCACGGACTCCATGCTGGCAGGACATGACCAAGGAGGGGAAGGGCTCCGAGCAGCTTCCCGAAGCAATATGCATCGCAGGGCCCGGGAGCAAGGTTGCCAAGGACCTCCAGGTCCTGGTGAAGAAGGTGGCGGGCCAGCCTGATGTCCTGCTCATTGGGGAGACACTGGAAGGCAAGGACATCCACGGGATGATGGACACCTTCGTCAAGGACCTCTTTACCACCAACTGCTTCCCCATCCACCCCGGAGATTCCCTGAAGGAGCCCTTGGCCGCCACCACCTGCAACATCGGGGGCACGCAATGCCAGCTGATCTTCTTCCTCTGCCGGGCTTCCTGCCTCCAGGGGAAGCAGAAGGAGCTCCGCAGGGTCATCAAGGAGGTGAAGAAGTTTGTCGAGAAGTCCCCCTGTGCCCTGGTGGGCGTCGTCATGGACCCCAAGACTTCGGAGGCAGAGGCCGCCCGCGACCAGCTGCTGCGCATGCTTCGGGGCGCCTTCCCCAAGGGGTCTGTGCAGAAGCAGAGCAAGGCTGGAAAGGCTGCGGAGGAGGTCAAGAACGGCCCAATGGAGCTGGAGGACGTGGAAGTGGAAGCGGAGATCTACACCCCAGGCCACCCGCGGGGGAACCTGGCCATCGTGAAAGCAGCTTGCAGGGCTTCTGAAGCCCTGATCAAATCCAAAGGTGTGAGGCTCCCGGTTCTGGCACAGGGGTCATGTAAGGCAGCAAGGGCTCCCACAAGGTTGACTGGTAGTGCCCTCTAGTGTGACATGGCCCCTTTCCTTGGAAGGAAGATACTGGAGGTTGCCTGCCACTCTGCCTGATTGGAGAGTTGGAGGCAGCATTGTTTCTCAATATCAGTTTCTGGAAGCCCCAGAAACTGGGGAGAGGGCTCTTGTGTTCTGGTCCTGCTTGCCAGTTTCCCAGCAGAGGCATCTGGTTGGCCACTGTGGCCACAAGATGTTGGCCTAGATGGGCCATTTTGGCCTGATCCAGCAGCCAGGCTCGTTATGGAACCCCCAGCTCCAGAGGCAGTCTATCTAGATTTCTAGGTTCTGAGGGGTATTAGGCCACTGTGAGAAAAGGATACAGGGCTAGGTGAGCCATTAGCCCAATCCAGCCGACAGTCTCCTCTTAAGTTCTTCTGTATACAGAGGTATCTCAGGTTAAGTACTTAATTCGTTCCGGAGGTCTGTTCTTATCCTGAAACTGTTCTTAATCTGAAGCACCACTTTAGCTAATGGGGCCTCCTGCTGCCGCCGCGCTGCCAGGACACGATTTCTGTTCTCATCCTGAAGCAAAGTTCTTAACCCGAGGTACTATTTCTGGGTTACCGGAGTCTGTAACCTGAAGCGTATGTAACCCGAGATACCACTGTACAGGCTGAGTGTAGGTGGCAATAGAGTTTAACTCCAACAGAAGTCCCAAATTCACTGATCCCTGCCAGATTTCTAGGGGAATCACCAGGACCATCATTTTGTTGTTGTTTTTAACAGAGAGCAGTCCAGCCCTCTGCGTTTCTCACCCCCAGCTTAGCCAAGCTGACGGGCTGTAGCTCAGAATGCAGGAGGTTCCAGGTTCAATCACCACTGGCATCTCCAGGAAAAGACCTGTGACTGACTATCTGGAGAACCGCTGCTGCCAGTCAGTGCAGACAGTACTGAGCTAGATGGACCAGTGGTCCAACTTGCCATAAGGCAATCAGCTATATTTTGTCTGCCCCAGAACAATGAACAGGGTGCATGCTTTGTTCTCTCCCTCACAAGGCCTGGCTTGCCCCCTCTCTCCTGTGCTCATGAAGATTCCTGCATTGCAGGGGGTTGGACTAGATGACCCTTTGGTCCCTTCCAACTCTATGATTCTATGATCACTCAACAGTGACTCAACATCAGTTCTGGTGTGTGGTGACTTACAAGACAGAACCCCATGCATCAGGCCCCTCGTGTCAAAGGTCCAATATTGACCTCCCTGATCTGTGTGGTTAAGGATAGACAACAGAACTTCCTTTCCGCCTTAGGACTCGAAGCTTCTGCCACATGCAAACTGCTTAGAGCTAACTTTTGGGGGTTGCTGCCCCCTTGATTATATAAACTTGTCCCCAGTGCCCCCTGCCTCAATCCTATGAAAAGCATTGTTCAGAAGAGTGGTTTGCATGACCCAGTAAGGGAATATAATAATGCGATAAAAGTCAAAACCATGGCAATTAATTGCCCATTGATTCAAAATCCATTTAAAATTATGTAGTTTAATTAATTCAACAAAACTGACAAATTTAGGACCAACAGGATAGCAGAGTTGGAGGGGACCCCCTGATGTCATCTAGTCTAACCCGCTGCAAAGAAGGAAGCTCAACTAAAGCATCCATGACAGATGGCAATCCAACCTTGGCTTGGAAACCTCCAAGAAAAGAGAGTCCATGATCTTTGACTCCACTGTCAAACAGCTCTTACTGTCCAAAAGTTCTTCCAAATGTTTAGTCAGAATCTCCCCCCCCCCCCCCAGTTTGGGTCCTCCCCTCCAGAGCAGCAGAAAAGAAGCAGGCTCCATCTTCCATTTGACAGCCCTTTGGATATTTCAAGATGGCTATAATGTCACCTCTCAGTCTCCTCCTGTTCCCCTCCCAGAGCTACAATGCTCAGAGTAGTCCAACCATAATTCCCTCGTTCACAGGGAATGCTGGGAACAGCAGCTCTGTGCAGGGAGGAGGGGACTCCCAAACTCTCTCAGCACTCGGAGCAAAACACAGCTCCCAGTGGGACCATCTTTTCAAAGTCTGGTGGTCATTGCCACCCCCTTGCCTCTCAGCCACCCCACCTCCTGGAATTCCTCCCGCAGGAAGCACTACACCTGCTTTGGGAACCACAGGCTTAGAGGTTCCCAGAGCCTCTGAAAGGTCAAAAGGGGGTATGTAAATTTTGCTTAATAATAATAATAATAATTTATTATTTGTACCCCGCCCATCTGGCTGGGTTTCCCCAGCCACTCTGGGCGGCTTCCAACAAAGATTAAAAATACATTAAAATGTCACACATTAAAAACTTCCCTGAACAGGGCTGCCTTCAGATGTCTTCTAAATGTCAGGCAGTTGCTTCTCTCTTTGACATCTGATGGGAGGGCGTTCCACAGGGTGGGCACCACTACCGAGAAGGCCCTCTGCCTGGTTCCCTGTAGCTTTGCTTCTTGCAGTGAGGGAACTGCCAGAAGGCCCTCGGCGCTGGACCTCAGCGTCCAGGCAGAACGATGGGGGTGGAGACACTCCTTCAGGTATACTGGGCCAAGGCCGTTTAGGGCTTTAAAGGTCAGCACCAACACTTTGAATTGTGCTTGGAAATGTACTGGGAGCCAATTTAGGTCTTTCAAGACCGGTGTTATGTGGTCTCGGCGGCTGCGAATGGAAGATAAGAGGTGTGTTTTTAAGAATGGGTACAGGAATGGGAAAGTGGGACTACCCCCTCGATCTAGTTAACCCAAGAATTCCTGTGCAGGTATGCCGGAGGAGGCCCCTAACGCCGAGGTCACTAAGGATTCGCTAACCATTACAGGTTCGTGGACTTCGTTTGCCGTCAAAAGTTTCGTGGGGATGACATTCATTGCCTTGGCTTCCGCAGCAGGGTGGTACGCCTACAACCAAGGGATGATCCCGCCAGAGGTGTTGCAACTCCTGCACTTGCCGCCTGTCTGAGGTGTGTGTTTCCTTCGGCTTTCTCTGTCAAGAGCCTTGTTGGCTTTGAGCAAGAGAACTTCAACTCAGGCCCATCTCAGAATGCCAGCAATTGGGCGTCATCCAAAAGCCGTATGGGGCGAGCAAAAGAGAACAGCTCTTCAGCCAGATTGCACACATAACTTGTGGGATTCACTGCCACAAGATCTGGTAATGCCCAGCAAAGGGCTTCTGGCTTAGCGGTTCAGCTTCAGCTTCCCATGCAGAAAGTCACAGGTTCATTCCCCAATGGCATATCTGGGCTAATCTGATTCGGTACAAGGCAGATTCCTATCTTCCTATTTAAATTTGCCCTTTCTCCAGAACCATAAGGACTGGGATCTTACTTTACTCTTAGGGAAGAACCTTAGCTCAGTGATAAGGAATCTGCTTTGCATGCAGAAGTCCAGGTCGGGCTGCTCATGCCCCCATCTGGAACCCTGGATCGCCACTGCCAGTCCATGTACTGAGTTAGATGGACCAGTGGTCTCACTCAATATGAGGCAACTTCTTAGGTTTCAGTAGCTTAGATGGATTGAAAACAACAACTGATTTTACATACTTATGGGTATTGTCAATGAGTATTAGCCAGGACAGTTGAAAGCGGAGCCTCCATGTTCAGGAGAAGTTTGACACTAATAAAGCAGATACCTATCACTGTTGGTAAATGTGGATGTCAGGAGCTAATCAAGACAGACCCTAGAGCCATGAGATGGCGTTTCCCTTTAGGTTCCCAGCAAGACCAAATGCAAAATAAAGAGAACACATTATATTGTTTTTGTGGCATGGCTGCAATCCTGTACATGGTTTCCTGGGTAGCCTCCACTGAACTCAGGGGTGCTTCTTCTATGACTGCACAGGTCCAACATGCAGAACACTTAAGCTCCAGCCAGCTAAAATCCAAGCTTTGGTTTTTAATTAGAAATGTAAATAAGTGTTACTTTTTAAACTGCTGGTGTAAAGCAGGGCCCCATCAAAGAAAAGGAAAAGGCGAAGCCAGCCTCTGCTTATTTTCCTAATCCTCTGACTTTATACCAACTGGCCCCAAACCAGTAACACTTGAAAGCCTCCTTATCCCCTCATTCACTGGAGGGACCTGTCACTGCAGTGTTGGGGGCCGAAAATTAGTTGGGGGCCCTCCAGGCCAGTTCTGGCCTGAGTACTGCTGGTTCCCTGCCCGCTCCACTATGTAGCCATAATGGCTATTAGCACTGAAAGACTTGTCATCCATGGCTTTGTCTAACTCCTATCTAAAGCCATCTAAGGCTGTGATCTTCGTATGTTGTGCCAGTGAGTTCCCCAGAATAATTGGGTGTTGTGCAAAGAAGTGCTTTCTTTTGTCTCTCCTGTTTAGCATTATGCCGCAACAGAAGCCCAGGATGTGCACTGAGACATGTGTTCAGATCAGATGTTTTTTAGGCATGGTCTGCATGCTTACTGAAATAAGCTGATTGCTCCTGTGGGTGGGTTTTTGGCCAATAGGTGTTGCATTTATTTTATCACTTAAAGAAAATTGAATGCAATAACACCCACCCCTTAAAAAGGAGGGAAAACCATTGACCTGATGGTTTTATTCTGTTTTCTCTTCAGATTCCGAGTTCTTTGGGGTTTCAGCTGTCCTGCAAAATAAAATCAACAGCATGGCACCTCTGTGTGTGTGTCATGTATTTTACCATCCTGCACTGCGAAAACCATTTGCTATCTGTCTCTAGTGCCCCTTTCAAAAAATCACAAATGGGCCTGTAGCCTTTCTAATCCATGGGTAGGAACTGTACCCCTTCAGGCCTTTTGCCCTGTGCCCTACCCGCTTGCTCTTACAGCATAGGCAACTATTTCGCCTTGGCATTCAAGATCACCAGGGCAAAGTTGAACTGCCTTCTAACCCTGGGACCTTTACACATGCTCAGAAGCACCGGCTTCTTTTCAGTTCACACGTTTTTTAGTTATAAACCTCGGCCAGGAAAATAAGTTACGAGCAGAGGGCACAAAAGGAAAACAAGGCCCCCTCCCGCAGCAAAGTTTCCCACGGTGCTCTGGAGCCGCTGCTTTTTTAAAGGGCGCTGCCCCTTTAAGCAGAGGCCGCGCGCCACTCGCTCAGACAAAAGCCGGGCAAGCGGGCTTTTCCTCTCTCTCCCTCCTCCCTGCACTCAAATCCCCGGATGAAGCCCCGTATTCTCATTGGCAGCGGGAGGCGGAGACATAATAACAGCGACACACAAAATGGCGCCGGGGCGGTCGGCGCGCTACTTTCTTGCGCTTACATAATGCGACCTCCCTCGCTTCTTTCCTCTTCCCCCTCCTTTTCTTTCTCTCCCTCGCGCAAGCAAACGCGCCTATTTGAGTGACGTGCCACTCCGCCAATGGCACGGCGGGGCATTCCGAGCCAGACCAATGGCGGTCCGCGGAAAGGCGCGAGAAATCGAGGAGGCGGGTCTCCTTAATAGTTAAATTTAAGAAGAAAAACCCGCCACCGCTCTTCTCTTTAATTCTCTCCCTTCCTTGACTTCTTTCTGTGGTGGTGTTGTTGTTTTTTGTGTATTTCACTCTGTGTGTGAGAGAGAGTGAGAGTGTGAGTGTGTGTGAACGGGAGGGGGGGAGAGTTGTTTGCGCACGCGCAGAGCGAGCGAGCGCGAGAGCGGCTGAGGAGGGACTGAGCGGGCTTCTCCCTCCCGCGCTCTCTCCCTTCTTGTGAGGAGAAAAAGGAGGAGGAGGAGGATCATCATCACTGTCGCTGCCGCCGCCGCCCGCTTTTCCCCTTCTGTGTATCTCCCGCCATTTTCCCGGCGGCCCTTCTAGCTCCGGACCCGCCGCCGCCTTCCCGGGGCCTGGTGGCCGGGCGATGGCGCCGCTACTGGGCCGCAAGCCCTTCCCGCTGGCCAAGCCTTTGCCGCCGCCGGGAGAGCCGCCGGGGGGAGACGAGAAGGAGGTGGCGGAGGAGCGCTTCGTCATCGCCCACACGCAGGAGGCCTTCCGCACCAGCGAGTATCCTACGGACGGCATTTACCGGAGGGGGGCAGGCGGGGGGGGGAGAAGGGGAAGAGTATGGCGCCCCCCTTGTTTACCTCCGAAAGAGAAAAGGAGAGAGAGGTGGGGGGGTAGTGCATGGGGGGGGGGCTTTGTTGTGTCTGACTCTGCTCTCCTTCCCTTCCTTCTCTCTTCCCTCCCTCCTTCTCTTATCCTGACCTGACCCGATTCGGGCGAAGGAGGAAGGCTGCCTCCGCCACTACGTCGTCCTGCCTCTCCGCTCCCGGCTCTCCTCCCTCCTCCTATTTCGGCTTATTCTCGCCTCCTGCCTTCCTCCTCTGTCGGGCCTCCTCGCTTGACGCGTCTTTTCCCGAGGTTTTTTGGGGGGAGACGGGACGGGACGGATCAGGGCAGCAGGAAACCTCCTTCCTTCTCTTTCTCGGGACTTTCCCAGCAGCGGTCCTTCCCTCTCTCTCTCTCTCACCCACCCACCCACCCGGCAGTCGGAGGCAGTACGTATATACTTAAGGATACCAGTTCTAGGAAATGGCAAGTGGGGAGAGTCCTGCTTTTGTGCTGGCGTCCCTCTTGGGGAGCCCTAATCTTTTGCTTGTGGGCTTCCCATTAGAGTACTGTATTTGGAGAACAGGATGCTGGGCTAGATGGGCCCCCTTTGGCCTGATGCGACAGCGGGGCTTTTCTTGCATTCTTACAGCCCAGTCTTCTCCTCTCACTGGGGCCATCTATACTTTGGACCTCAGTGCCTCTTGAGGGAATAGAAGAAGGCCTGGCCCAGTATATGTGGGGACAGAAGCCCCATCCCACAGTCCTTTTCTTGGGGCTCCCCCAGCAAGTGTTAATTCACAGGGTTCAGCTTCTTCCTTCTCACCTGCTTAAAAATTGGTCCTGCAGCTGGATCAGACCAAAGGGAGCCCATCTCACCCTGCTGCTTCATTCCTGTAAGGGGCCTGTCTGGTGTCTACAGGCAGGGTAGGGACATCACTTCCTCCTTGATTCCCTGAATTCCTGTTGTCAGGGCTCAGGGCGGCTGCAAATTCCATATGTGTTTTAGGCTGAAGCAGGTTTATGGCTTTAATTATCTTCTCATTAGCCAAGAGAGTTTGAAATTGAGCCTCCATAGCCAGAGGCCATTTGCCTCTGAATACCAGTTGGTGGAGGAGGGGCTGTTGCCCTTGACCCTGCACTTGTGAGCTTCTGAGAGGCTCCTGGCTGGTCAGTGCTGGAAAAAGGGTGATGGTGATCACTTTGGTCTGATCCAGCCAGGGGAAGCCTTCTATGCATCCTTAGTTACTTTTATATCAAGTAATTGGAGCGGCACAGTTGTGGTTACTAGGAAGTCTTCACTCTCCAGGCTGACAAGACCCTGACCTGCTTAACTTTAGCAGAAGTAAATTAAGGGTAGAACCTTGCTGTACAGCGGCTGTCTCCTGTCATGTAATACCTCCAGTGAAGCTGATTGGCAGAAAGTTCATGAAATGTGAGTGGTAGTTCAGAGTAATGGAAGTTGCTGCCTCCTGTGGTGGTCTGCATAAATTAACTTGCCCTCACAAGTGTTGGAAGCTGTTAGCTTATATATCTTTAGACCAGTTTTATGGTGGAATTAGTTCAGCTGCAGCAGTTGACTCTAATGGTAAAATGGAGCCTCCATGTTCAGAGGCAGTGCATCTCCAAGTACCAGGTGCTGTGGACAAACAGCAGGGGAGAGCTATTTTCACACACTGCTTGTGAGTTGCTCTGGGCACCTCCCTGGCTTCTGTTGAAAATGGCCTTTGCCAGCCTGGCAGGCCAGCTTCCAGATGCTGCTGAACTACAATTCCCATCAGCCCCAGCCAACATGGCCATGTGATGCTGGGGATGATGGGACTTGTAATCTGAAACATGGAGGGCATCAGGTTGGCAAAGGATGAGTTAGATCAGATGGTTCTCTTGGTTTGATTCCTAGGATTAAATTATTTCTCCTAATTCTTGGTACTTTAAAAGTTAGTGTGGTGTGGCAAAAATGACTGTTTAAGGCCCATTGGCTGCCACGTGCAGGGGCTTTCTCTGCATTCAACAAAATATTTGTGCTAGTGCTAACACAACTCATTTGTGCTAGTGCTAATGCAATTCATTCTAACACAACCCCCTGCCTAGGAGCCTCACACTTTCCCATATGTTCTCAGGACTGTTGGGGGAATCTCCAGAACAGATTTAGGGGTTTGTGGTAGGAGGAGAGGGGGGGGGGAACATTCAATTGCTGATGAAACATTCACCATAGCGCTGTGCTGACTATAACCCTGAATGTTGGAGCCAGCCTTGGGTTTAACTGGTAGCTGTAGGTGGTGAGTTGCACGCAGGCTGAGCAGGGATAGAGCAGCTTATTGCTCATTTCTCCTGGGTTGTCAGGGTTGAAATCACATGAACCCCTCTGCCAGGCATAAGTAGACTGTCACTACTCCCCCCCCTTTTTTTTCTTTTTGCAGCCTAGTCACTTTTGTGAGCTTATTTCCAATGTTGATTTGAGGCCTAGTGCCTGGAAAGACCTGGCCATACTGATGAAAGTTTTCAGTGTAACTTGTCACTTTCTTCAGACACTTATTTTTACAAATACTGTGTTAAAAGGTTATGCCTGACATGTCCTTGCCCAGGCCACTTAAAGATCTTTTGATGACTGAGCAGAGATTTGAACGAGGTCTGCATCTAAGCCCACTGGTGATTGATGTGTAGTTCAAGGAAAGCTGCTATTTAAGAATTGATCACTATAATATTGTTTGCTGCTCTGGCTTCATCTTCTACATGCTTCGCTATACACATGTTGCAGTTGTTTTGATGTTTTTCAGACTTTGATGGAGATGGATTTTTGTCCAAGGTTAGCCAGCCAATGAAGTTAATAGCTAAGCAGGGAACTGAACTTGAATCTGCTGTCTCCAAATTTCTATTCATTACATTGCTAGACCTACAGTAGATACCCATTTCTTTTCTCCTATAAAATATAATTATCTCTGAAGTTTTAGGTCGAAGGTTGGTGTTGTGAGCATCTTAAAAGCCCAAAGAGCTGATTTTTATAGGCCTAAGCAATGAAATTTAGCATCCATACAAGGAAAAGCTTTGTTCCCCTCTTCATTCTCGCTTCTTTGTCTTGTACCCAAGAGAGCCCTTTCCTCTGACCCAACCCTCTCCTTTCTTTCTCTTTCTTTTTCCCCTCCCCCTCCCCAGTTCTGTCTGAACAGCCTGGGCTGTTCTGGTCATCAATGGTTGAGGTTCTTTTAGGAAGCAGGGCTGGTTTTTTGGGTTGTTTTTTTTTTTGCAGTGTCTTGATGGATAATCTAAAGCAAGAGATTTGAGGTGGAAAGTGATTTCTCCAGAGTGGAATTTTCTGCTTTCTGTGTTTGTAACTTGTTTACTATCATGTGACCAGAAGTTGTTTTGTGAAACTGGAGCTCTTCAGTCTCTGTGCACAGATCTGACTGGATAAGGCAGAAGCATGTCGACAGTAAACTCATAGTCCTCAGCCCACTTCCTTTGGAGCAGCTCCTTCGGGCCTGGATTGCAGCTTGCATAACCCATTCATGCTAGCTTAATTCTACTGGTATCCTGTGGACTGTCTGCAATCTGTTTTATCATTAAAAAAAAATGCTTGCCCCTGTGATGGGGGCAGTAGAGCAAAGTCAAGCATGATATAGAACCCTTCTGATGCAAACAAAACAAAACAAAACCCATTGCAGGACAGGCTGCTTTGAGTTGAGTAGTCCCTGCCCCCACAGGGTGTTGGTGTTAAGGAAGTCCAAACCTCTGGTGAGGAGGGGCTTGAGTTAGCCATATCCCTCTGCTGGCAGGAGGGCTGGCTTGTGGGGAGCATGCTTATTGAGTGTGTGTGTTCAGGACCAATAGCCTTCCTGAGCTAGCAACAAAGACTGCCTGTCTTGATCCAGCTTCTTTCTGTCAGGAAAGCCCTTGGGATGAATCTGTACATGGGCTGCATAACTGCCAAGTGAGGTGACGGGGTGCCAGTCAGAAGAAGAGAATGTGATTGGCAGGGGAATCTCCTTGGTGAGTGTGAGATAAGCAGTCTGGAGCTGTCAGTTGGAGGGTGGTGCGAGGGCAACGGCAGTGCACAGGTTGTTATACATGTTAGTGGAAAATTTGAGTGATATCAGTGAGTGGAATATGCTTTGGTGGGGTTACTTGATCTTAAACTAGCTGGGAATGCCTGCACTTTAGGAATCTAGGTGCATTAGAATTCTGCACCAATGCAGGAAAAGTCACTTTCTGTGGGTTTTATCCTCCCCAATAGTATGTAGACAGCAACACCAGTGTTTATTCTTTGCTTTCTTCACTATTCTGACCTTTGCTGCCCATCCCACGATCAGCCCAAGGCATATAGTGCTAGCAAGGGCAACAGAGCTACATGTTTCTACTTTAAAAAGATAGGCTGTTGTGTGCATTGTCATATAAGGAGAGATATTTTTTTGTCAGTAAGAGCTGAGTTTTATAAATGCAGCTTTTGGGGCTTCTGTATGCCCTAGAAAAGAAGGATGACTCCTCTTGGTTCATCTTTTTCTGTAGCGTGACATGCTCCTGCAAGTCACCTCCAGGACGTCTTGCTAAATTACAGTTGTCTTTGCACACCTGTGTTGGCTTGCCCGAGTCCTCTCACTTTTGCCCCTTGGCTCTATAATTTAGAACACTTAGAGTCTGACTGTGGTGCACAGATTTGAATGCATCTGTGCTTTTCCTTTCACCATCTCAAATCTCCACACTTTCTCAAGAGCCATTCTTATCTGCTTTAAGGTTTTAAGTGATAAGGTTGTCAGCTATCATAAGCAAGTTGGTCTTCAATGGGCCTCTGGTCTGGTCAGCCACAGTTCTTGATCAAATCAGTAGAACGGAGAGCTTGGCTGTTGAATTGTGCAGAGTTCAAACGTTGTTCTGCTTCAAATCACTTTTCTCCAGCAACTCATCCTGGAGGTGTTTGTGGAAGTTAAGAGAAGTTCAGGTTGGGCTGTGGTGAATCCTGTTTGTCTGACAAGCATACAAAAAGTATGACATATACTTTGATAACAATTGTAGCTGTATACACGTCTTGGATTTGTTATAGTTGGTATACATGTTTTGGATTTGTGTTCACATAGTCCTCCGTCAGATGCCCAGAGTCAAATTATGGGCTCATGCATGCCTTTCTCTCTCCCTGCTATCCCTCCTCTCATGGGCACAGATTCCTTCCCTTAATATTCTGCTTTGAGGTAGCTGTAGTTTGTTGGGAAATCTGGATTAGGTAAACAGTGCTGATGGCAAATCTTTGTCTTTAAACTAAAATTGGAAAGCCACTTCAATGTGCAGTTTCCAGTTTGGTAAGGAAGCAAATTGTTTGTTTGGTGGCCGGATAAAGTGGCTCAAAATATATCTGATGGTAAAAGGTAAAGGTACCCCTGCCCATTCGGGCCAGTCTTGCCAGACTCTAGGGTTGTGAGCTCATCTCACTCTATAGGCCGGGAGCCAGCGCTGTCCGCAGACATTTCCGGGTCATGTGGCCAGCGTGACAAGCTGCATCTGGCGAGCCAGCGCAGCACACGGAACGCCGTTTACCTTCCAGCTGGTAAGCGGTCCCTACCATATCTGATGGTAGCAGTAAATAATAACACTTTGAAAAATATAATGGGAGCAACCAAGCACAGTATCAACAAGTAAATATATCTAATAAAAATACTAATCACTCCATGCAACTTGTGTAAAGCAGTGCAGATAAAGTGACAGCTGCAAATTAAACACGATGTTTTCCTGAGCTGTTGCTCCTTCAGAGAGTATGAAGCACGGCTGGAGAAATACAGCCAGCGAATATGGACCTGCAAAAGCACCGGAAGCAGCCAGCTGACACACAAAGAAGCCTGGGAGGAGGAGCAGGAAGTCGCTGAGCTGTAAGTAGCAGAATCCAAAGCATCTATTTTTAGAGACCAGGGCATGAGCCCTAAACGTAGGATGCTGGTTGTTTGGCAAGTGGCTGACTGTTGCTGTGACAATCATCATCAGAAGTCTGAGTCAGCATCCAAAGAAGGATTGAATAATAAATATTATTTAAAAAAAACAAAGAAGGATTGAACATCTTTCTCCACCTGTGTTGATCAAGGGGATCAGCTCCCAAGTTAGCTTTGGCCTTGCTGCCTCTTCTAATTCTTGCTTTTGTTTTGTTAGGGCCTTATTTTTCTTGTTGCTTATAAATGTACAACTTGCCTTTTTTAGTCCAATATGCTTTATTTTTTAATTGGCCTTACTCTGTTAAGGACTCAAGGCAGTTATTGATCCGGTTGATATTATACTGCAGTTAAAATCAAATCCAGATGTATTGCACAAAAAAGCAGTAAGAACGCCACTCTTTGTAATCATCTCAACACTGTTTTAGAGGCTTTCTGGAAGATCTTCTCGTGCTGGATATTCATGTTGAAAAGCCACTCTAGGCACATTTCCCCCTTAGGTAACAGTTGCATGTTTGTTCAAGACATCCTTCTCTGCAAACCAGGCTCCCAAAGGGCCCAGTGTCTGAGGTGAAAGTTCCTGACCTAATTCTGTCTCTCAGTAGGTGGAAGTGGTGTGTTTGTGAGTGTTGGTCTGCAGGTGGAGCTTATGTCAAAAAGTTCCTGCACATAGAAATCTAGCATATCGGGAAGAATACAACTTGCCTCCACTCAGAACAAGGTTCATTGAGCCTCTGCTTGCAGTCTTAGTGGGGTAATATTGAGAAGCAGGTTTATTAGCTCATCTGCTGTTTGTGAGAATTAGACCACAAACTTTTCACCTTGTCTCCAACCTGTCTTTTGATAGATTGACTAAATCTTCCTACTCAAGTTTTACAGTTGTCTATCAGAGCAGGCAGAGTGTTGCAGGCTTGTACAGTTCCCTTGATATGTACAAGTTTTGTACCAGAGAACTGCACACAGCTTCACTAACATCTTTCCCTCCCCCTTATCTTGGAAGTTGCAAGGCAGCTTCCTATGCCATGGTGGGTTTTGTCATTCTCAGCTGACATTGCTGATAGAGGGATTTGTGAATTGCTTCATGAATGTGGCTTCCCCTGTTGACTGCTGATTCTGTGAGTTTACTGTTGTCCGTTTTGTAGTAGTTGCCACTTAAATGGAATGTGTTATATCCCCCTCTCTCTTTTGATGATATTTTTAGCTTGAAGGAGGAATTCCCAGTTTGGTATGAGAAACTTGTCCTGGAAATGGTTCATCACAACACAATTTCCTTAGAAAAACTGGTAGACACTTCCTGGCTGGAGATCATGACCAAGTTTGCTGTGGGAGAAGAGTGTGACTTTGAGGTAAGGCCCCAGCTTGAATGGATCCGGATATCCAAGGCTGTTTCTCTTTTCTGGGCCTACTTGTTCTTATGCACCTTCTGCCATCATGTCCAAAAGGTGGAATACTCTTTCCCCACCTCCAAACTGATGTAATTGGTTTCCAGAGGAATTTCAGTGTAATTATTAGATACAACATACCTGGGAAGAGGGTACATGTTACCTTGGAACAGGTTCCTCTTCCAGTCACGTGACTGGAACAAGTGACCAGTTATCTCCTAGAGGGTATCTTTTGGGTGAACTCAGGTGCCATGTCTTGTTCAGTGACTGCAAGCAAACCTCTACAAGAGTTCTATAAAAGCCATTGCTGGGCTTCAACTGTGGATGGCTGCTGGGTTTTGATCTGTTTAGTGCTTCTTTTAAAATGTGTATTTGCACTGTATTTTAATTTTGCATTAGTGGACTGTCATACCATCGTGCCTATTCCAGCCATGCACAAGGGGGTGTGGGTGGTAAACTTAGCCTTGCTCCAGGTGACTAGCAGCTCCCCGCCACCCCCAACTGCATGCATGAACCCCCAAGTGTCACCATTTTGTAAGCAGCTCCATGAATCTAGTCATGTGTTCACTTTGGGCCTCCCTACCAGTTCTCATCGGTTTCCCTCTTCCCATCAGGTTGGGAAAGAAAAAGTGCTGAGAGTAAAAGTAGTAAAAATCCATCCTTTGGAGAAGGCAGCAGATGAAGAGGCACCTGAGAAGAAAGCCGACGGGGCCTGTGATTCCCCGTCCAGTGACAAAGAAAATTCCAGCCAGGTGGTTCAGGACAACCAAAAGGAGTTGGCACTGAAGGAAGATGACAGCCGGAGAGAGAGTCTGAGTGAGTAGCAAGCCACGCCCTGGCCTGAGGGATGTTGGTGATCCACTATCTTTTATCCGGGTAGTACAGGCTGCCTTCAAAAGATCTATTGGTTACCCAGGTTGGGGTGTGGGGGTGTGGTGGTGTGTGCTGATCTCCCTTCCAGGTTTTCCCAGATTGCTTTGGGGAGAGAGTCTATCTAGACGACAGGTGACTTTGGTCTGCTGGTGACACCCAACTTGCTCTCTGTTCTGGCTAAGTCAAGGCCTCCTGTGTCTGTCATTGTAGGACTGATACTTAGTTGAAGAAGCATTAGGAAGCCCCCATTCCCTTTGTTATGGGTCACTGGCCCTGTGCAAGGCTGCAGCCTTTTTTAATGTGTGTGTCTGAAGGGTGTTGCCTTTGGTCTTGCCACTTCTGTATTAATAATCCACTTGATTGCCCTTTGGGTCAGATAAATGGAGCATTCCGTGGAAAAAGGCAGTCATAGTTGTGGTCGTAGCTTAAATATGGTATGCAGGTAGATCCTTTGTGTAGCGTTTCATGGGAAGTAGTTCCATTGGCTGGTGTTTTATGCCCACGCTTTCTCCAGCAGCTTCTATAGATTCTAGTTAATGTGCTTTGCTGTAGGAAGTTTTCACAAACAAATAAGGTGCATTATGTGGTTGGGCAGCACAAACATTTCAGGTATGCTGTTCGCAAGCAGGGAAACTTATAGACGGAAGCCAACTAACTTGTCACATTCTTTGATTAAGTCTCAGTGTACTAACTGAGCATACTTAAGGGTTTGCAAGCAGCAACAAACAACATCACTGGTGGTGCTCAAGGAAACTGTCTTTCAGAGATCCTGGCTCCTTTCCAAAATTAGGGGTGCTCTGCCCTGACTTTTCTAGTTCACACATTTAAAATATTCAATAGCGGTGCATATGCTACCTTTATGTGCCTCCATTGGAATAAAGTCAGAGGTCTTTGTGCAGGCAGAAATCGTGTGCACATTGGAGCCTCCCCATGTATAAGATTCTGCTAGTGGGCTGCCAGTCCTCTTTCCCTTGACAAACATAAAACACTTTACTTGCTAGAATGATGGCCATCTCCTCTCATAATACTCAAACTTTGGATCACCTAATGAAATTGATTTGTAGAACATTTGCCGGGGGGGGGGGGGAATGCAGGAATGCAATTCACAAGAGTCTGCTGCTGCTACAGGGTGCCTTTAAATGCTAAATCTTAATGCAATATTGTAATTTAATGCTGGTATTTTATTTTTATTGTTCTGCTGTGTCTTGTTTCGTTGTGGTTTTTTTGTTCTGTTCTATAAAAACACTTCACAGGAGAGATAGATGGCAGCTCTGAATGCCATAAGATGTGGTGGCAGTGGCAGCAGTTCCTAACTTTAGACGGCTTTCTAAAAAACTCAATTAGACAAATTCATAGAATAGCTTAGGTCTGTCTCCTGCAATGGCTGATTGGAGCTCCCTTGTCCAGAAGCTAAATACCAGGAGCTGGAGACCAGCAAGGGGGAGGCTGTTGCTTCTGGGCCCTGTTTGGGGGCTTCCAGTTCTATCTGTAGATGCAGGATGCGGAGTTGTGGATAGACCTGTGGTTTGATCCTGCAGAGGGCACTCAGTATTAATCCCCCTTTAGAAACTTCCCTGCCTGCTCCTTTGGTGTTGGATGGTGTGTGTTTATTCCTTGGCCATCTGTGCTTTTGTTGCCCATCAGTACTGCATTTCAGCCTAGGCCTTTTGGGGCATATTGTGCTGCTAACACCCCCCCCCCATCTCTTATGCAGGTGACCGGGCGCGCCGATCTCCTCGGAAGCTTCCTACTTCTCTGAAGAAGGAAGAAAAAAAATGGGTCCCTCCAAAGTTCTTACCGCACAAGTATGATGTCAAGCTGCAAAATGAAGACAAGGTAAGGGAGTGAGAGAGAATTAAGGGTCCTTGACTGCCCGTTGGTGGTGAGGAGGAGGAGGCGTGGCTGGTTAAGGTATCAGCACTGCTGCGAGGTCAGGAGCAATTAAAAGTAACTGTTTCTATTTTAAGTGGTATTTAAGTACAGTGGCAAGCTGTGGGCTGACTGCCACAAGCTGAGGAATAGAAGAGTCTAAAGGCTTGTTTCTTTGTCTCCCTAGATCATTAGCAATGTGCCAGCAGACAGCTTAATTCGCACAGAGCGGCCGCCAAACAAGGAGATTCTGCGCTACTTCATTCGCCACAATGCACTCCGGGCTGGAACAGGAGAGAATGCTCCTTGGGTGGTCGAGGATGAGTTGGTGAAGAAATATTCACTTCCCAGCAAGTTCAGTGACTTCTTGCTTGACCCATATAAAGTGAGAAATAAGGCAATATCTGTCTTGGGTTGTGGGTTGGGAAAAGGACAGGAGTCTCTGTTGATGCATAATGGTTACTTTTTGGGGGGGGGCAGTGTTAGCAAGGGTGAATCTTAGCTCTACAGCAAGCCCTTGCCAGTCATCAGGTGCCAAAGGGATGATTCTGGTGAGGCTCAGACTTGACCCTCCATTGCCTTCCATGTGGTCTGCCTGCACTGGAGACACCAAGCTGGCCTGCCTCCATCTCTGCAGTGTGCCTTCCCTTCCCTGTGACTGCCGTGTGCAGATGTCTTCCAAGGAGGAGTGCATTTGGGACTCCAGATCCACCTCTTTTGTACTTCTGCAAACCTCAAGGTTTCCCCAACCATCCTTATGCCTCCCTCATGCCAGGTTTTGCAGTCAAGATGGCTACAGTATGTGTTTAAAACAATGGAGTGTGCATTGTGTCTCATATGTTTTGCATCTGGGTGACTACTGTAATCCTAGAGCACGTTTTTGACTAGGTGGGATATGCAGAACGATATATGTTGCCGGCAGCATGCTCCAGGTGACATTGAGGGATGCTGTTGACTGAAAGGTGGAAAGGGCAGTTTCTCTAGAAATGTATGTGGTTGTCCCTTTCTGCATCGCTAGCATTCAGGAGCACTTGAGGCTCCAAAGCAGCCTCAAAAGTTCTGTTGACTTTCGAGCAGCACATTGAAACAGATCCCCAGTTAGATTTTCCAACCTATCCCTTTCCTCCCTTGTGTTTCTTTCCCCCCCCAAGACTAAAATTTACCTTTGCTTCTTCTTCAATTCCAGTACCTGACGCTCAATCCCTTGACCAAGAGAAAGAGCACGTCATCCCCCGATCGGAAGCCTTCCAAAAAGCCTAAGTTGGATGGCTCTGCTCCAGGTCAGGGGCTAAGCCCCTCTCTGTGGTGCAGTGTGCACTTGAAGAAGTCTATTATGGGCTCTCCGCTGAAAGTCAAGAACTCCAAGATCCCCACGGAGGAGCTGGAGGAGGTGATGAAGATGATGTCTGCTGGAAAGCTTGGCAACTTCAACAAGAAACGACAGAGGAATAAGAAGCTGCTGAATGGGCAGAAGGCTACTGGGAAGTCCCGCTCCCCCAGGAAGGACTCCAAGATGAAAATGAAGCAGATGACACTGCTGGACATGACGACCAAGGGCACCCCCAAGGTGTCGCGAGCGCCCCGGGGCTCAGGAGGAAGCCCCAGGTCCTCTGGCAAGCCCAAGCACCTCCCACCCGCAGCTCTCCACCTCATTGCCTACTACAGAGAGAACAAGGACCGTGAGGACAGGAAGAGCGCCCTCTCCTGCATCATCTCTAAAACCGCCCGGCTGCTCTCCAGCGAGGATCGTGCCCGCCTTCCCGAGGAGCTGCGGGGGATTGTGCAGAAGCGCTTTGAGCTCCTCGAGCACCGGAAGAACTGGGCCTCCATGACTGAGGATCAGCGGAAGGAATACTTGAAGAAGAAGCGGGAGAAGTTGAAGGAGAAGCTGAAGGAGAGAGCCAGGGAGCGGCGGGTGAAGGAGATGATAGAAAAGTTGGAGAAGCAGAAGCGCTACGAGGACCAGGACATCAAAGGGAACAACCTGCCCACCTTCAGGCTTGTGGACACTCCTGAGGGACTCCCCAACACCCTATTTGGGGATGTGGCCATGGTGGTGGAGTTCCTCAGCTGCTATTCAGGGCTGCTGCTGCCAGACGCCCAGTACCCCATCACGGCCGTCTCCCTCATGGAAGCCCTGTGTGCTGAGAAGGGGGGCTTCTTATACTTGAACAGGATCCTGGTCATTCTCCTGCAGACCCTGCTGCAGGATGAGATTGCGGAGGACTACCGTGAGCTGGGCATGAAGCTGTCGGAGATCCCCCTCACCCTGCACTCTGTTTCTGAGCTAGTCCGCTTGTGCCTGCGCAAGTCGGATGTGCAGGAGGAGAGTGAGGCCTCAGAGAACACGGAGGAGAACAAGGACCTGGCTGCCTTTGAGGACAACGAGGTGCAGGATGAGTTCCTGGAAAAGCTGGAGACCTCAGAGTTCTTTGATCTGAGTTCTGAGGAGAAGCTGCAGATCCTCGCCGCCCTCTGCCACCGGATCCTGATGACCTACTCTGTGCAGGACCACGTGGAGTCCAAGCAGCAGATGTCAGCTGAGCTGTGGAAGGAGCGGCTGGCCGTGCTCAAGGAGGAGAACGATAAGAAGAGGGCGGAGAAGCAAAAGCGGAAGGAGATGGTGGCCAAGAGCAAGGAGAATGGCAAGGAGGAGAGCAGCTATACAGGGAAGGGGGAGAAGAAGAAAGGAGAGGCTGTGGCAGCAGTGGCAACAGAGAAAGGGGTCAAGACGGAGCCACGGGTGGAGTTGGAAGCGGAAGACATGATCAGCGCCGTCAAGAGCAGGAGGCTACTGGCCATGCAGGCCAAGAAAGAGAAGGAGCAGCAGGAGATGCAGATGAGAGGTAATGGTGATTCAAGGCCCAGAAATGCCACTGTGGAAAGAGAAGAGAGGCTGTAAGCTCCTGTTCCTGCTGAACCTCTGATTCCAACCTCTGCAGTGGAACCCCTAGGGAAGGGGGTGGGTGGGTGGAGTTTGTGGAGAGGGATTCCCTGCTGCTCAGCCTTGGTGGAGGCCTGTGTTCCACTGATGTCACAGCAGGCAGATCTGAGCTATCTGTGTAGGTCTTCACCAGAAGCATTTTGTTCATAGAGGCCCCCTAGGCCAGAAACTCCCAGGTTTGGTTGTTGATGTCATGCCCATCCTGCTCCTTAAGGCCTCCAGTCCTGACACCCAAGCACTGTAAACATTTGCATAGTGACTGCCCTTTGCTCAGTCCCCTTTTAAGTGTGGGTTGGTGGCGGTAAGTCACCTGGGGGCTGTTTCACCTGCTCAGTATCTCAACATTTGATGTCTGTAGCTGAAGGTGTACCTGTGTTCCATGGGACGCTGTGGTGCACCGGATCTGGATAGCCCCTGGATATGAGAGCCCCGGATGGGGCTCTCATAGCCCCAGCCCCATGCATTTTCACTTGGCAGATGTTCCACCTGTGAACCAACCCTAAGTTTGGTTGCTTTTCTCCACCCCCCACCCCATACAAAAGTGTGTGTGAATGCTTCCCTGATTGAAACAATGTGTGTTTCCTGATTGGCTCTTAATTGAAGGAAGGGATAGAGCCCTCTTATGAGAGAGCAAGTTAGTTTCTCACCAAACTTTAAAGGTGCAAGAGCTCACACTGCTGGGTTTTGTTCCTTTTTCTTCCCCACCAGTGAAGCTTGAAAGAGAAGCAGAAGAGGAGAGAATCCGCAAGCACAAAGCTGCAGCTGAAAAGGCCTTCCAGGATGGCATTGCCAAAGCCAAGCTGGTCATGCGCAGGACACCTATTGGCACAGACCGTAATCACAACAGGTAAGGGTGAGGAATGGAGAATCTGGCTGTGTGGCAGTTGGGAAGCTGCCCGGATGGACCATTTGGCTGTGTGGCTCAGTGGGGTGGGGAGCCTGAGGCCCTCTAGATGTTGCTGGACTCCCAACTCCCGGCAGCTAGCCTGCTCCAGTGATCAGGAATGATGATGGGAGCCGGGAACTCAACCGCATTTGGAGGGCTGCAGGGGAGAGCCCATCCCGGGGGGGGGGGGGGAGAGGTAAGAAGTGCAAGTTCTGAAGTGCAAAACTCACTACACAGGAGCCCTGGAGGCAGAGAGAGCACATGGGGATCGATGATGGTTAGTCCGTGGTTAGCCAATGTGGGGCCGTCCATATGTTGCTGGAGTCCCAACTCCCACCATTCCTCAGCGTTGACCATGGGTAGCTGGGGCCAATGGGAGTTGGGATCCAGCCACATCTGGGGGACCACTCCTCTGATTGGCAGCAACTCGCCAGGGTTTCTTTAGTCAGATCATCATAGGAACACAGGAAACTGCCTCATATCAAGTCAGAGAATTGATCCATCTAGCTCAGTATTGTCTAAGCTGACTGGCAGTAATGGCTCTCGAGGGTTTGGTGGGATGGGTCTCTTCCAGCCCATGTGGAGATGACACGGATTGAACCAGTGATCTTGAGCATGCAAAACAGTTGCTCTTTCCACTGAGCTACATGGGCTTTCTCTGTAGTCCAAGGAGGAGGCTTTTCTTCCCTTTGCTTCTGCTCATTTCCCTCCTGCTGCTGCTTGAGACACCCATGTCTCTGCTTTGCAGCCTGTTCACTGCTTGCTCTGTTTGTAACTTCAGCTGGGTTCCTCCTGCCAGCACGTTGCTGCCCTTCCTGCATCTTGGTCCTATAAGACACCCTCCTAAAGACTGTTATTAGTCATCACAAGCACTGTACTGCCAACATTCTACAGCCTATGCTTTTTCCTCAGTGACCTGGGTGTTTCTTGGCAAAGTTGCTCATCTCATAATACCTGGTGCCTCTCTCACACAAAGATCTGGCATCTATCTGGTCTCTCTAGGTATTGGCTGTTCTCTGATGAAGTTCCCGGGCTGTTCATAGAGAAAGGCTGGGTACATGATGGCATCGACTATAACTTCATGCCTCCCCACAAGGAGGAGGAGGACGATGAGGACGATGAGGAGGAGGAGGAAGAGGACGATGACTACCACCAACAAGGCAAGGCTGACCATTCTCACAGGTTCTTGGTGAAGTTGCTGGATGTATTGGGCGGTATTTGTCTTGGAGTTGACCCATTGAAATTAATGAACATGGCTAAGTTAGGACCATTAGTTTCAGTGGGTCTACTCAGAATAAAACAGATGAATATCACTTGCTATATTTGAGAGTATGAGTTGCTGAATTTCTCAGCAAGAAAAAAAAAACTGAAGCAAGTTAATCATTAAGCAGCCCTTAATCAGAAATTGTCCTCCGTGGCCTGTGAAACAGCTGCCTCCATTTGGTGGGGAAGCAGGTGCTAGGGCTTCGCTGGGCCTTTGTTCACGTCACTGGAGGACAAGCCCTGTCAGCCAGCTATTCGTTTTCTTGTGCTGGACAGGTTGCTTGAAGCCATGTTGTGCACTAAGCAACCATTCAGGAACAACTGGCATGTTATTTTAAAGTAAGAGCCCACAGAGCAGCGCTCTGTAGAAGGCTTCTCTTATTTAGGGGCCTGAGTGCCCAGTTGACTTGCTTTGCCTCTGGGGTGCTCAAAGGAAGCTGTGGGTCAAAGGATGATGATGACGATAGTGGTGCTCCTTGTTCACTGTGTGTGTGTGTTGCTTGCAGACACTCAGGAGAGCCTGGTGGAGGGCAGCGTCTTGAACACTCCGCAGGGCGCCCTACTCATCCCGGAAATCCCTGTGGAGACCACGGCGCCCAAGCAGGGACAGAACCTGTGGTGAGACTTGCTCTTGGCAATAGAGATGTGTGGGTTCTTGCCCACCAGTAAAATTGGGGATTTAGAGGTGGGGGGAGCATGCAACAGCCGGGAGGTGAGAGAGTTTCTCAGCGCTCTTCAGATTAGGAGGCTCCCTTGCGCATGGCATCTTCAAAGGAGAGCCAGGCAGCAGCCCTCCTGGCTTGCAGAAGTGCAACCTGGATTTTGCCAGTAGGCCTGCTGCATCCCATTGCATTTGACACCACCCCCATGTGGCGAAAAGGTTCCACTATGTGTTACATTTGCTTTGATCAATTAACTGCTGTATGCTTGAAGCTTCTCAGCTACGCAGCTGAGTCTTGGGCTAATTGGCAGAAAGGCTTCTGGAATCTGCTCTGTACAAAGTACTCAGTACTGCAGGGTACAAGATCTGTTAATTAAACTATTGTTTAAAGGTGGCTAGAGAGCTGTGTAAAATGTAGGACTCACAGCCCCACCCTTGAGGGGGTGTCATGGACGGCTAGGCCTCTCTCTCCAGCTGAGCTGTTCGGTTTTCACATCCCATGCTGATGTGCCTCTTTACCAGCAGGGGGCAGTAATAGAAGTCCTGTTTGTGCAATGAGTCATGGCCACATTCCCTAGCTTATGGTTTAGCATTTAGTCCCTCTTTTGCTTCAGGAAAAATGGCAATCCAGAACATTTAAATTTACGGCAGCTTGGTGTGAGAGTGGAACGTGGTCTTCTCTGATTGAAACATGTTTAAACGATTTGAAGACTTTGTTAGTGGTGTGGGCTGGTGAGAGACTGGGTTATGGGTGCCCACCTGTCTCTTGGTGTGAGCTTTATTTTCCTGCTGCTGAGAGTGGCATTGAGTAAGGTGTCTGGTCTCCTCCTCCAGGTTTCTCTGTGACAGCCAGAAGGAGCTGGATGAGTTGCTGGCCGCCTTGCACTCGCAGGGGATAAGAGAGAGCCAGCTGAAGGAGCGACTGCAGAAGAGGTGAGGACTCACAGGCTGTTTTTTGAGTATTGTGGAGGAGCGTCCCTGGATGCTGGTCAGGCAAGGGAGGGAGAAGAAGTTGGCATTTGATGCCAGGATCGTTTCAAGGGCTGGTGAAGAGCAGTTTGGAGGAGTGGGGTGTTGTTGTTTTTTGAAGCCATCAGGTCACCTCTGTGTTCTTTTTTGCGGCTTTTCTCCTTACGCAATGATCCTTTTCTTGGGGTTTGGGATTTACAAGAGCACAAATCTTTCACATCTTGGACAAATGTTTGTGGAGGGATAAAATTACTGAGTGGGTTTGCTGGTGTTGCTGCAAGTGTAGACTTTTAGGCGCCTTAGTGCTTTTAACAAACATTGTACGTAACAATGCAATTGCAGCACTACATGAGTGATCCTTTATGGGCCATTGTATACTTCTGGACAAGACTGTGGAAGTATTTAAAAATTCTTTTAGGCACCAGCATTAAATCAACCCCTAAATTTCTGAGCATCAGTGTAAACCACTGGTAAACCAGTGGTTTGGCCCAATGAGCTCACACTGCTGATTCAGAATGGCAAATAAACATCCTCATGCTTGGAGTGTGTGTCAAAATACAAACCTTCAGGTTATAGAGCTGGATAGTTCTGCAACCCTCATAAGGTAACTGAGCATCGTCTATGTCTGAGGACCCTTGCTTAGGCTAGATAACTCTTCTGTAGAACTCGGAAGGTAACAGAGCATCTCCAAAGGCCCTACCTCATGAGAGAGACAGTCAGCTATACATAATGACCGTATATTGTCTCCTCTCCCAGATATCAGGACATCACTCATTCCATTCACTTGGCTCGGAAGCAGAACCCAGGTCTGAAGTCTTGTGATGGCAACCAGGAACTGCTGAACTTCCTGCGCAGTGACCTCATCGAAGTGGCCACCCGGCTGCAGAAGGGAGGCCTGGGATACATCAGCGAGGCAGAGTTTGAAGCCAAGGTGAGCACCAGCATTGCAAGAGGTGGGTGGCTTAACAGTAATCAATCACCCAGGCAGGGCTTCTCAGCTTGGAAGCAGCTGTCAAGTGTAGTCTTGCTGACACTGGGCCTTGGCTTCCGGGCATCCCTCTGGGTGGGCCACATAGCCCTGGACTAGCTCTTTGCTTTGAAGTCCAGAAGCTCCTACTATTAAAGTGTCTTCTGAAGGGTCATGTTTGCTGGTGGTACCTAAAGCCAACAACACTGGGAGACTTGCTTTGAATTGGGGCAGTGGTGAAGGATCTGCCTTCTAGGAGCTGGGGAATATTCCTGGTCCCTGAAACAGATGCACATTAATTGTTGCTGACCACGGGGCAGGCAGACTTGAGTTTGCAGCAGAGTTGAAGCCCTGATGAACCTCAGGAGCTGCTTGCTGATACACTAGGGGGCTCAGACAAAACAGTGCAGTGTGCCACTGGCTGGGTTGGCTGGGGAAATGTCTCCAGGCCAGGCGAGACTTCCGAGGTCCCTGCTCTTCCAGCACAGAGAGGCTGTAGCCACGTTCTTGCCAGTTATCCCATCTGGGGAGCTCACCTCTTAGTTGCTTGGATAAATGAGAGCTGCAAAGCCCCTCTGCACATGAGAAGGGAATCATAATAAGAATGTGTTTGTGCCTTTTTGATCAGGTTTGCACACTGGAGAGCCTGAAGGATTTCGGGGAGTGCGTGGTTGCCCTCCAGGCCAGCGTTATTAAGAAGTTTCTGCAAGGTTTCATGGCCCCCAAGCAGAAGAAGAGAAAACATCAAGGCGGGGAGGATGCTATTGCCAAGGCAGAGGAGGTGGATGAAGAGAAGAGGGTGGCGGAAGAAGCCAAGGTCTGGATCAGGACAGATAAAGTCGGAGGGAGGGAGGATGGGAGGATGGGCAGAGAAGCTTGGGCAGCTGGCATGAAACTGTCGCCGCTGTTGCAGGTTGCAGGCATGGATGGGAATAGGGGTGAAGGAATGAGGGCAAAGGCCTTTGCTTCCTTGCCAGAATTATGGCAGGGAAGATACTTTATCCCCTGTCAAACCAAACAAAGAGGAAGAAGCAGCTGCTGCTAGCTGAGCCTTCTGGAAGAACAAAACTGACTCCAATTCCTGAACATCTTACCTTGAAATAAATTGGGGGTGGGACTTGCTTCCAGGTAGGCTTGATGAGTGTTGGGCTGCAAAGGGGCTAATTCTCTGTTCTGAATGGAGAGACTTTCCATGAGGATTACTCACCAATTTCAGATATCAGAATGGGGGATCAAAGACCTTTTCCAGCTTGTCTTTCACATCCCCTGGGCTGTTCTCACTCTCCCAAAAGTCTCTGCATTGCCAGCAGCTGTTTTTCTTTGGCTCTGTGGCTCCTGTGAGCTGCCTGGTCCACCTTCTATCTGTTTCTCATCCTCCCTATTGGACCATTGGTGGTAACAGACAGTATTTAGATGACCAGTGGAAACACTGTGTGGACAGAGGCCAGGCCAACGGGTCAGAAAGGCAAACTGCAGCCCACCAGGCTCTTGGGTGGCCACTTGGCCCCAAGGCTGCCCTCTTCCCTGCCCTGGTTCCTTGACAGCAGGTGATGGATGGCCTTGAACTGGCCTCATTTCGAGACAGATACTTCTGTCTCCTTGGCCATAAATTGCCCCACCTTTATGGCTGACAGAACCCAGTGTTGGTGTGTCTTGCACGTCTTTGTGTTTTGTTTGGTACTTACCGGTACTGTCAGCTGCCCAAGGTAGATTGCTGCGCATTGCAAAAGTTTCTCATTTGACAAGACAGGCAAGGGCAGTTAGTGTTACTGGGGAAGGCCACTCTGGGCCTCCCATGTGCCCTTTGGCCCTTCAGCTGTGGGCATTTCTCTGCCTTTTTCTTCCCTTTTGTATTACCAACTGGGAGCAGATGCCTTTGGTTGGGGCAGTGAGTCACCTGAGGGAGAAGCCCTCCCTCCCTCCCCCACCCCGGTTTTATAGTGCCTGGGAAGCCACACTGGAAGCTTGATGCTTTCTCCAGTGCCTGGATCTGCTGCAGGTTTATCTTGGCCCGTCATCTTAGCAGCCGAACTCTGGGAGGAGCTTCTTGGAAAGCTGATGTGTCTGAGAAGGCCCAGGGCACATTCCGGGGGGAAAACAGACAGGCTGATCAGGCTCCCAGCCTTCCCCACCGCCTTGGCTGCTGCCTCTTGCTCCAGGTACTGAACCTGGGAGCCATGAGGAGGGAATTCTAGACTGGGGCGAGCGAGCCACTGTTTTTTTAGGTGTCCCATTCACACTGCACTTCCTCTGATTCAGTGGGAGGGGAATGTGCAACTCTGCAGAAATCCAGGTTTTGCTTGGCTCCTGAACTGCTGTTAGCAGCAGAGCTCAGCCATTCCCCTTGAAGCTCGACTGCCCTGACTAGGAGTAAGCAAACTGATGCTGTGAGCTTTCCCGCTGCTGGTGCAGGAAAACAGGGCTGGGGGGTGGGCACAGTGGTTGTGGACAAGCGCCCCCCCCCCCCCCGTTTATCTGGCTCTTGATAGCTTCTGTCACAAAGGGACAAAGGGTAGGTGTCCTGGCTGAGTGGAGCTTGGGCTAGAACTTGACGTGCCTGCACAGTTCTGACCCCTGAAGACATTCCAGACATGAGGACTTCTTCCTTGGGGCTGGTGGCTGCTGCCACCACTTGCCCACTAGGCATCACCTCTGGGCTTGTCCAGGGCACCATTACTCAGAGGTGCCGCTAGAGGGCAGGCCAGGCTCTTCTCGGGCTCCAGGCCCTGAACTTTGCCTCTCCAGCTGTCCCTGCAATTAACAGCTAAAGTTCTTGGCTGTTTGTTTTTCCTTGATGGACAAGGATTTGGTTTGGATTTCAAAGTCAAGAATGCAGCCCCCAGTTTCAGGCTGGCTGTGTGGGATATGTTGAGCAAGGCTTGTGGGCCTCTGAGCTGGCGGTTGGGCAGGGGGTGGGGGTGGAGGAGAGGAATGTGTGCTGTCGCCTGAATGGCAGCTGCCAAGAGCCCCAGGGAAAGGCTGAGAATGCCTCTTGAACCGCCTCCTCTGCCCCCAGGTGGCTTCCGCCCTGGAGAAGTGGAAGCTGGCCATCCGCGAAGCGCAGACCTTCTCGCGCATGCATGTGCTGCTGGGCATGCTGGACGCCTGCATCAAGTGGGACATGTCGGCCGAGAATGCCAGGTGCAAAGTCTGCCGCAAGAAAGGTGCGTGTGTCAGGCCTGGGGGCATCCAGGGCTTGGGGTAGAGGGAATCATGCTGGGGTTGCAATAGGCAGTTGCCCTCCCAGAGAGAGTAGCAGAGATGTGGTCAGTGCTTCCTCTTTTATGACATGGGGGGGGGCGCTTCCTTCCAAGGCTATTGTACCCACAGCATCATGCTGACTTTTGATATCCCCTCCGCTCCCAAATGGGTGGGGCAGTGAGGGCCCCTTGCAACAACAGTCCCTTTCTGGGTCCTTTCAGAGCAAGCATTTGGATCCTTCCATCCCCTCAGGGCCAATGCTTGCCCTTCACGGGTGTGAGCCCAGGAATTTCAGTGGGCCTACTCTGACTGGTCTCCTACCTGAGTTTCATTTCCCTCCCTTAATCTTTCTGTCTTTCTACTCCCTGCTAGGTGAAGATGACAAGCTCATTTTATGTGACGAGTGCAACAAGGCCTTCCATCTTTTCTGCCTGAGGCCGGCCCTCTACGAGATCCCAGAAGGCGAGTGGCAGTGTCCGGCTTGCCAGCCTTCTGTTGCCAGGCGCAGCTCCCGGGGCAGGTGAGGTTTCTTTTGCTGGTTAGGAAGAGGCAGCTGGCCTCAGTGTGGGCTTTGCTCCTCTCTTATGGTCACGGTAAAGCATCCCTGGAAATTGGGATGAATGGGCTGGCCACATCTACCCAGGCCAGGCCTTTTTCCTGCCAGCCCCAGGTGGGAAGGCTGAATGCAATTCCAAAAGACATGTGCGTGTTCTCCAGTTCAGGAGAATTGGATTCCGAGGCTGCTTTTGGCTTGGGCTGCTGGCAAGCAAAACCCACCTCAAGCTGACATGGCACAGCAAGGGAAAACAAGGTGGCCCACTGCAGGACAGGGCTGCTGAGGCCTCTGGTCTACCACAGCCTTTGAGGAAGCAAACTCCTGATTCTGGTGTGTTGAACCTTCCCTGTAGAAACTATGCTGAAGACTCTGTGGAAGAGGAGAGTGATGCTGGGGAGGAGGAAACCGATGAAGACGACGACGATGAAGGGGAAGAGGAAGAGGAGGAAGACTATGAGGTGGCTGGATTAAAACGTACGTACTTTTTCTCTCCCCCCACAGCAGGTCAAAAATGTCCTCTTCCTAAATCTGGCATGACCGGCAGGCAATTCTGGGCTAAGGAGCTGCCTGCCAATGCCACCAAGCCATCAACAGCCTTGTTGGTGAGGGGGTCTTTTCTGGATAATAGCTGGATTGCTTGAGGCAGGACCACTAGCCAAACTGGACTTTGCCATGCTCTGGTAGGAGGTCTGTCCTGGGTTTCCCACTCAATCCCATTCCTGAAATTGCAGGGCCCTCTTTCCTGTCTCACACAGCAATGCTTCACTTGCCGCGGTGAGGTGGAGGTAGAGACAGGGGTCTGAATTCAAACTGTGTGCAGTCAGTGGCTAGGGGAGCAAGGCTGAAATTTCTGGAAGCGGGTGGAAGCGATTGGCAATGTTAAAAAGTGCCATTATGTTTTTAATCGTAGCAGCCTTTGGTGGTGGAAATGTTTGAGGGCTGCAACCTGCATCCCAACATTCTTGGGCTTGGGGATTTTCCGGACTGTGTAATACTGTACAGAAGCAATTGAGATGTCACTGACGTGCAGGCCTGCCCTTTGACTGGAGCATAAATGCTATGACAGGCTCACGCAGGCTTCTGAAATGCCAGCAGCGGATGATTTCACATGCCCTGGATTGCCGCAGAGGTGTTGCAGCAAGAGGACTGCCCCAGGCAGTTTCCCCTTGCTGTGTTGTCCGAAGTTGCCATGTTTCCATCTATAACTATAACAAAGCTTGGCTATTAGCGGAGATGTCAGAAAGCTGAGTTAGGCAGAACCAAATGATTGTGTACGTCAGGGGCTCTGAGCAAACAGCTCCCCTGGAGAATGTGTTGGACTTCAGAGTGTCAGCAACAGTGAATGTGTTGCACTTCTCCCTTAATACCTTGTAGTTGATGATTCAGCTCCTAACACACATCCTGCCCATTGCTTTGCTAGAAGTCAGTTTATTCATTCAGTTAGTGGAGCTGGGGTGGGGGTAGGTGGTGTGTGTGAATGTTCCCTCTTGATTAGAGAACTGAGGTGTGTGGGAAAGCCTTGGGAGAGGGCTGAGCAGAGAGCTCTTCTCTTTTGCTGGCTTTGTAGGTCCAGTGAGTCTCTTTCCACAGAAGACTATTGAAACATGCAATTCCCCTCACAACTACCTGTTGTCTGGGGAACTTCTTGCCCCTTGATTCTGTTGCATGTGTAAACTGGCCACAAGTCTTGGATGGGTTCAGGTAACCATGTTAATGGAATGGTTATTGTAATCAACTGGCCACCTGGTCTCTCTCTCTTAGGAAATTTCCATGACACCTGGTAACCCAGCGGCATGAAAGTCCTTTTTGTTGGGTCAGTTCTCTCTTAGTCTCTTAGTTTCTCTCTCTCTCTCTCTCCCTTCTCATCAAATCCACTTAGGGCTGTAGCCAAATTAAACTTTCCTCAGAGTGGACCCGTTTAAATCCATGGAGCTACATTATCTATGTCCTTTGTGCAATCTGAATCGCATGGGGGAAGCTGCCCGCTGAGCAGGCTGCTACGGGGTGAGGTTTTGCTGAGGTGGCCTTGTGCATTGTAAGCGTGCCTGCTGGCGGAACTTGTCCAGGCTCCTTCCTGCCTAGGCCCAAGCGGGTCGCTGTCACTAAAAATAAAGCCTTAAGCCCCGGCCCCAGCTTGACGAGGCGTTTAATCAGGGGAAGGTCACTGTGGAGAAATCTCCCCTTTCGGCAGCGTTCCGCTTAATCCTGGGCGCGGTGTTGATCCTGAAGGCTCTCCTGAGGAATGTTGGACTGCCGGGCATTTAGCTCTGACTATGCTCTCGACGCAAGGGAGAGCCAGCTCAGGAGCCAGGTGCCTTGTGGCGGCCTCTCTGGTGGTTGTTTGGCTCCCAAGGAAGGCCAGCGCTCCTTCCCTTGCACTGGAGTCTCCTTGTTCCTGCTGGCAGGAATTGCTGCACACCCAGCGCCTGCACAAGCTGCCTGCCCTTGTGGCTTAGGAGGTGCCTTAGCTCACCAGGACAGCCACTTGCTGGTGTCTGGGATGGTTCTTAGCGCAACCCGTCATGTTTTTCTTGGGACATCTAAAACTGGCACTTGACCTGCTGGGAGAAGCTGGTGTTAGGGCTTCTGCACTCCTTCCCTTTGTCAGCTGCCTTTAAGACCATAGGTGTGCCCCACCTACCTTACATGAGGTCTCCCAGTTTTAGCAACGTGGCTGCCTTGTGTGCCTTCAGGGCGAGACCCTGGGAAGAAAGGAAGGCAAAGAGCAAGAAGTTTAGTCCTGTGCTAAAGCAGCAAACCATAAACAGGCAATTCTCCAATTGCACACTCGTGCTGGCAAATGTGCTGTTTTCCGCGCAGAATGGTGGCGGGGCAGAATGGGGGATCCCCTCACATAAGTGGGAAATCAAGGAAGAGCTGCAGATGGGTTAGCAAGGAGGTGTTTGGCGTCCATCATGAGTAATGTGCGGGTGGGGGATGCGACACCATTTCCTTGCTGCCACTTGGGCTCCCCCCCCCCCCCCACGACTAACTCCTTGACTGCCCTCTTTGTCTTACAGTGAGGCCCAGGAAAGCAGCCAAGGGGAAGCAAGGAGGCCCTGCTGCAGACCCTCCGAGGCGGAGCCGGCACCAAGGGAAGAAAAGGGCCCTGCACGGCACTCGCAGTTCCCGGCAGCGGCCGGCTCCTGTCAGCGAAGCAGACATGGATGAGCTGGTAAGAGCCACAACCCCCCCCCCCCGCCCCACCCCCAGGTGACAGGTGCCTCTGTGCATCTCCCCTTGCCAAGAGGCTCCTCCCTCAGTATTGTCCAGAGAGGTCTCAGGCAGGGCGGTGCAAGTATGCCAGGCATCCCTCCAGGGAGGCTGTGTGTGTGCATCTCCCCCTTCTCCTGATGAGCAGGAAGCTTGTTAAAGGCTCTGAAATAGCCGCCAGCGCTGCAGGAGCAGCCGTATGTCTCTGGCGAGAGGCGGGGGGGAAGGGGAGCATGGTGGGTTGTTGGCATTCCTGCAATGCAAAGCACTTGCGTCCCTTCCGATGTCTCCCTAAGGAGGACATTTGTTGCCCAGGTTGCCTGTCCCTGAGCATAATTCAGCCAGCTTGCATTTTGCTTGACGTTTCAAAGAAGATTGTAGGCCTTCATTCTCTCCCTCCCACCCCCCTTGGTAGTTTCTTGAGTGGCTGCTCCTGCCTGCCTGCCTGCCTGCCTTTGTGGATTGTCCCTACATCCGTTAGTGGCCACTTCTAGGGAGCGTGTTGCAGAGTGCAGCTTATGGGCTCACGTGGGTCGTGCTGCTCTCTTGGCCTCCTCCCAATCTCAGATCTTGAAGGAGCAACACTCTCCACCTAGGACAGTTCATCCGCTGGTTCTCCAAGTGCCAGGCTTTCCTTTCACTGCCAGCTGCTTCCTCTTCCCTTTGGCTAGCCCTGCACTGGCCCTGCTGCCCCTCCAGTCCCTTGCTGTGTGTGAAGGGCTGACCTTGGACCTTGCTCTCCTCGCTCCAGCGCAGCAGGGCACTCAGCTGCTCTTTGGCATCCCAAATCTGGCCACCGGGCTCCTTCCACAGCCTGCTGCATCTCCTCCTGCTGCAGGCTGTGTGTTGCTGGGTGGGTCACAGTTTCCCTCCTCACTGATCCCTTGGCTGCTTTTGAAGCTCTTTGAAGACGCCTGCTGCCCCCTGGGGAGGAGTGGGGCTGCCTGGAAAGCGATCCGGCTGGCTCTCCTCTGGGCAGGGCTCCTGAAATCCAAGCTGGCGGCTTGTAGGGGTGGGGGGCACGTTCCTTGGCTGCCCCATCAAAGCTCTGGCAGCCGCCCCGTTTGTTTGGGGCTTTATTGCTGGTGGGCCTTGGAAGTCCTGAGTGTCGCTTTGTACCATGATCTTGGCTGTCCCTGCCCACCTGCTCTCCCTTGGGAGGCTTCGCTGAGCTGCTCCTCCCCACAGGCGCACCTGCTCTTCCCAGTCGGGGCCGCTCGGCGTGTGCCCTGCAGCATGTGCTGGCCCCCTTGGCTTCCAGGGGTGTGTGCTGGGCTAGATGGGGAGGGAGGAGGTTTATTCTGGGCAGCCTCAGGGGAGCTCTCTCACCTCCTCCTGTCTTCTCCCAGATGTACCCAACAAAGAAGATATCTCGCCGGCAGAACCTGGAGCTGCAGAAGTGCGAAGAAATCCTCAACAAGCTTGTCAAGTATCGCTTCAGCTGGCCTTTCAGGTGAGGCCCCAGGAGGGAAAGGCCCCTTGCTGAGCCCCGCACAGAACCTACCCCACATCCTGCCAGGCTCCCGCTCTGCCCCCTTGAATCTGTGTTCCGGCTGTTTCACTTGGAGTCACTCTGGAAGGGCCCTCCTGCCATCCATTCCTTCCATTCAGGAGGGCGGCGTTGACTGACGCACAGTGACATGGCACCTTCCGGGTTAGTGACACAGTGTGTCCAACCTAGCCCTTGTGGCTGGGAACAATTGGCAGCCTTCCTCCACAAACTTGCCTAGTTCTCTCTTAAAGCTGCCCAAGTTGGTGGCTATTGCTGTGTCTTGTGACAGTGATAAGTAGCGCTGCTTAAACAATGTGCTGTGTGAAGTCCTTTCTTTTGTCTGTCCAAATCTCCAAGCATTCAGCTCTGTTGGATGGCCCTGCTGAGCTCCAATAATGCATGAGTGGGAGAAAAACTCTTCACACAGCACATAATTTGATATATCTCTGCCCGGTCTCCAGCCTTTCTAAACCAAAAAGCTCCAAACGCTGGAGCCTTTCTTCATAGGGGAATTGCTGCATCTCCTTTACCAGTTTGGTTGCTGGGTTTTGAACCTTTACATGCCCTACAGGTAAGGCAGATAAAGGTCCAAAAACCAGCAACCAAACTAAGGCGAGTCAACCAGAATGGTCCACAATATTCAAAGTCCAGTTGCAACCCTCAGCTTGTACAGTGGCCTTGCGATACGGCCAATTGTATTTTCAGTTCCTTTCCTAATGATCCCCAAAATGGAATTCACTTTTTCCACACTCCACACTGAAACACTGGAAGATATCACCTGCGCAAATTGGGTAGAAACAATTAAATGATCACTGAGTGGGTATCATGTGAAACAGAATAACTGGTGATCCGAGGGGAGTTCCTTTGTAATCCACACCCACCTCCCAAAAATTTCCTCAGCTGTGCCAACCCTTTCCTGCTTCTCCCCGCCAGGAGGCTACAAATAACCAGCATTCTGTGCAGTGTTTTTTCACAGGTGCATGGAGATTCTTGGCTTTTTCAAAAGAAGAGTTAGGCTCATGGCCTAGTGGTGGGGGATGGGAGAGGAGAGGGTTCCTTTCTGTGCCTCTTGCGCCTTGATGGTGACTTTTTCAGGGAGTGTTAGTCTCTGACCACTTGGACAGTAGAAACAGGGAGGAGTGGCAGGCGAGGGTCAGGCCAAGGCAGCCTTTGGGCTGATGCAGGTGCTGCCCTAGCTGCCCACTAACCCTGTGTCCTTCCTTGGCAGGGAGCCGGTGACCACTGAGGAGGCGGAGGATTACTTTGAGGTGATCAGCAGCCCCATGGACTTCCAGACCATGCAAAGCAAGTGCTCGTGCGGCAGCTACCGCTCGGTGCAGGATTTCCTTTCTGACATCAAGCAGGTCTTTGCCAACGCCGAGCAGTACAACCAGAATGGCAGCCATGTCCTCTCTTGCCTGGAGAAGACGGAACAGTGCTTGATTGACATGATGCACAAACACCTCCCTGGCCACATGTACTCGCGACGGAAACACAAGCGGCCTCTGGCCCCACCCAGCCAGGGACTGGAGGAGGTGGATGGGGACAGCGACCCCGAGGCACTGGAGTACTCGAGGGGGCGGAAGAGGAAGAAATGAAGGGCCGCCCCCTCTCCACGTTCCGGACGGGATGCGGTTGGAGCCGGCTTTGCGCAGGCTGCAGCGAAGGGAGCTGGGAGGCGGCAGGGGCCACCTGGCTTTCCCTCAGCTCGCTCTAGCTTAACTCTCAGCAACTTCCTGAAAGCATTTGATCAGCCCTCAACTGGGAAAGATGGCTTAGTAATTCCTCAGCAGCAGCACAGGCAATTCTTGCAGGTTTTTAGAAGGCAGGAGGGCCAGGGGGATAAGTGGAGGGAGTCCCCTCTAGCCTGGGCCCAGCAGGGGATGGGACGAGGGTCTCCTGAACCACAATGGTCACCTTCCTCTCCTCTGCGGTCCTGGCAGCCAGGGACAGTTCCAGGCTGCCATGCTCCACTTCGGATGCCCAACCCCATAGGCTGACGGATTGTCTTTCTTGACCAGCCCCTTTGAGCAGAAGAAGAAGCCGCCTTGGAGGGCGGGCAAGCACTTACTTTTCCAGAGTGACTCCCCCTTTTTTTCACCAGCATCTCTGTGCAGACCAGCTTTGGGGGTGCTTGTCTCTCTCCAGCCTCCTTATTTTGGATGCAGCAGAGGGAAAGTTGCTCTCCCCACCCTCCGGCCTCCCCTGCCCCAGGAGCAGAGTGTGATAAATCCTGCAGTTTGGCAGGAGGGACGCTGGTTCTTTGACTTTCAATCTTTATTTTTTTCTCTAGTTAAGATTCTTGTTTCCAGCAGTGACCTTGTACAAAACACCTTGTAAGATACAGTCGTCTTTGCTCTGACATGTACTGTACAGTTTATATGAGGATGTGTTTGCTTTATATTCCTTCCTCCTGGCCCCCTCTATAAACCACTTGTTTTTTCTTAGATAAAGTAGCTGGGAGTTGGCCCAGGGAACCCATTGGGGTTGTACACTTCGTAGCTTCGTTCTTCCCTCTTTTCCTAGCCATACCCCATCCAGCCTGCCTCGTTCGTCTCCCCTTTCCTGATGTTGGAATCTGGATTGGGTCAAAGGAGGGTCTCCTTTGCACAATAATCACCCAGGTGGAGAGGCAGCTCTTTTCTGCCTTGGCCACCTCACAGTCTTCTGTTTTGACTTTCCTCCATTTCAAGCGGCATTTATTTCCCCACAACCTTTGAATTCAAGGCTGTGGGATTGCAAACAAGGAATTCTCGCTCTCCCTGGCCACCTTTTGCTTCTCCTGGGGCACGGGAGGATGTGGTGCTGAGGACTCCAGCCTGGGCTCTAGCACTGACAGACACACCTCTGGCGTTACTTGCAACCTGCCCACTTTCTCCCCTTCAGTTTTTGTTCTATCAAGCCCTACCAACCCCATCCCTTTCCAACCTCTACACGATGAAACATTTTTGGACTACATTTTTTTAAAGAAAAGGTTGTTTGTTGGGGGAGGGGGGAATTCTGCTAAGGGCTGTACTTGTAATAAATTGGAAATATAAAAGCAAAACTTGTTTTTCTTCCTGCTTGTATTTACTGGTCTTTCTAGGGTCTGAGAAACTAAGCGAAATTAAATTTGGGGCCTGGCTGGAGAGGGTAAGGTGGTGGTGTCTTTACTCCAGCATCTCTTGATGAAGCCTGTGGCCTCTGCCTGCCTTCTCTTCTTCCTTGGCTGGGATGGTTCTAAGGAAAAGTTCTGCCTTGGGGATGGGGAACCTGCTGTGTTCCCAACTCCCAGCGGTCAGGAATGAGGAAAGCTGGTAGGGCCCCAATTAGCTGCCTCTGTTCTAGCTGCAGTGAAGGGCTTTTGTGCAAACCCACCTTTCTCAAACCAGGAGCCTGGACAGGGGCTCTCAGTGGCAAAGCATAGACATGTGGTATTGGCAGTGTCACCTAGTTAAGGCAGCAATCACAACTAAATAATCCCTGGCAGATGGCCATCCAACCAGTGTGGAGCTTTGCTCGTTGGTCCCTGCGCCACAGGGCTGCCTGCTGCATCAAGGAGCTGCCTTTGGGTGGGCTACTGTTAAAGTTTGCATACAAAAGCACACAATGAACAGCTGTGTCCACAAATAGGTTGATTCAGAAGCATTGACTTAAGGCAGAAAGAAGCTATGCCTCCCACCCATCCCTTCATCACCGTGTCTTCACCCAGGCCAGAGACCACCAGGTCTTCCAAAAGCACCACTTCTTCCAGGAATTGCCAGTGCAGCCCAGGACCCACCACCCAGGAGAGCCCTAAGAGAAGTTAGTGTGCCACTCTGGTGAAGAATTAAGCTTGATGGGTGAGGTAGCAGCATTTGTGGAGCCTCATAATAGCGGGGGGCGTTTAAGAGAGAAGCCACTTGGTGCTAGCCCCATTTCTAGGTAACAGACAGCTCCATCCCATTTTCATAATCCTGCCCTCCAGGAAGCCTGACTTCCCCAGAGGTGGGAGGGAAAGCCCCTGAAAGCTCCTCTGGTGGAAGCAAACAGTCTCCACGCGCAAACCATCTTCTCTCCAGGCTCCGATATCCAGCTGCTTTCAGGGGGCTGTGAGAGGGAGGCGGGCGGAAAGAGAGCTTGTGCTTGCGGCTGCCAGAGTACAAATAGGCCATTTATGAGGGCCAATTGCAGAGGGATTGCAGACCACCCTTGCTTGGCTCCACATGTACACACCCCTCTTCTGCCTGGGCTGAGATACAAATACAGAATTGGTGCCTGCACTTCTGCCGGGATTACTTTGTATGAAATGAGGGGCCTGGTTCTTGGCATTTTGCTTAAATGCCTTCAGTGAGAACTCTAGAGACCAGCAGCCTTGTAGGGTTGAGATTTATCAGCTGTACAGCTTGAGCATCTGACCCTCAACCCATAACAGGGTGCTCTGTAGGTTGCAAGGCTTGGCTTGTGCCGTGCCTGAGCGTAGGAGCTGATGCCCAAGATCTGACCTCCCATTATACTGATTTGCCCAGCCTCAGCCTCAAGCCACCACACAGCCGACCTGAAAACAACGCTCCACTTACATCACCAGCTCCTGTAAATACGTGAAGCTCTTTAAACACTGGAAAAGTTACATCTTCGAATGCTAAACGTGATATTTAAAGAATCTGCCAGACCAGTCCTTTTTTTAAAAAAAAGGTTTATTCAATTAATTTCTTGCTCATTACCAATTAGCATCACTCCCTCATGGGGGCACATGGCCCAGAGAAGGTAGCTGCCTATCTTGTTTGCAGCCTGGCTTCTTCATGCAAGTCACCTTGCTTTTGGGTTAATCTAATCTTTGAAGCTGTCACGGGTGTTTGAATAAAGATCTTGGCATGCCCATCAAAACTTTAAAGCGATGTGATGTTTCTGTGTTTTCTGGGCTAGAAGGAACTTAGTGGTTTTAGTCTAGGGAAGCCAGACCCCCTGTGGGAAAACTCCTCTGATTGCTTGGGGTCTATGGGATCAAGGCACTGCGGTCAAGTTGCGAAATCTGGCTCTTGAGGGGCTTGGGTTCAGTTCCTGCCTCTCCCATAGACGTATATAACTTCATTTCTGCAAAATGGGGAAAGTTGTGGCCTACATCACAGAGGTGTTTACAGGAACAATCAAAATTGTAAAGTGCTTTACATACAGAAGGGCCCTAGAACTGGCTGCTGCTGATGAGAAACAAGCACCTGTTGGGTTTTTCAAGAACAAACTGCTTCAAAATCCCAGCAATCATATTGCTTGCATGGATGGCTGGGCAGGGAGGATAGGAATTACTCCATCTGATCTGAGCCAAAAGGGGCTTTGTGCTGCAGGCTGAGGGATCCGGCAAGTGAGCCCCCTCCACAATTTAGAGGTAGGCTTCGCCACCAGTCTTTGAACTTTTGCTTCCAAGCCTATATTTCTCTGCAGCTAAAGAATGCCCAATTTGTATAACTGGTCATATACATGCACAAGTGTGTTCATTTCTTCCTCTGCTTTGCTTGCAGCAGCAAAAATGTTGGGTGAGGGGTATGCAGACTGAAAAAGTTGCCTGCAGAACCCCTACCTCCCTTTTTCACGTGCTGCACTGCACACCGCCTGTTCCCCACTCCCTGAATTTGTAGCTTTGACATATTTTATTTCTAAGCAGGAGCTTCTTTCTGAGACGATCAAAGGGATCAAATGCAACACAAGACCTGTGCCACCTAGCTTTGGCCACACGGTGGCCTGTCTAGCAAAATCAGAGTGCAACACTGACTGCATGCTCTGTCTCTGGGATTTCACCCCATTTTGCAGCACACCCACCCCAAAAAAACAGGCGTGGGAAAGAATTTTTCACGGAGATTAAAGATGTTTGAGAAGCCCCTCTTGTTTCAGCTCAGCCCTTGTCCAGCCATCTATCTAGATCAGTGGTTCCCAAAAGCCCCCAACCACTTGAAAATTGCTGAGGGTCTTGCTAGACCACTTATTTTTCTGCCTGTTGCAGCAAAATTCAAAATGCAATAGAACAAATAATAAAAATACAACTGAAAAGCCAAGGGAATATTCAGCACACTGGAAGGGCCATCTCCTGTCTTCAAACCACACATCCATAGACACACCATGGCCCACTGGTGGTCTGCGGACCACACTTTGGAAACCCCTGGTCTAGATAAGTCTCTTATTTCAAGCGGAGGTCCTCTCTCTAGGAAAGTTGTGCCCAAGCCTGGATTCACCATGTGGGCCCAGGAAACCACCTGACATAATTTACCACTACTTTGCAACCCATCGGCTAGAGAAGCCGATCTCAAAAAAACATTGTGCAATTAAGAAAGTTGTCTAGAGCGTCTTCTAATTGCCTCTGCCTTGCATCCACATACTGAAGGGATGACACAGCCCCCGTGAAGCCTTTGCCCTCTGATGCCACTTTTAAAATTTATTAAAGACATCAAGCCCTGTTCCCCACCACCCTGGAGAGCTGCTGACAGTCAGTGTAAACAGACAAAGGGTCAGCTTGTTAATTTACTAACTTTGGAAGAAGGACGTCTGTTTTTGCTGCCACAGTGCAAGGCATGACAACTGAGAATGCAACACACATCCAGAGCATCTATGCACATCCATTGTGGGGCGGGGGGGGGGGAACACCCCCGTTGGAAGCCCATCTCCAGGTTGACACCATTAAAAGCTCTCCTCACTGGCTTAGCAAGGAATCACATGCCCGTTTGCAGCTGGCACCACTTGGGTGCCCTTCCTGGTGCTGCCCAGGAAGGCCACTCTCTGCAGGTGTCACTGGCACTGCCCCCCCCCCGCCTTCCTGGCAACACTTTGCTCTTTTCTACCCAGAGCAGAAGGACGGGTGTCCCTCGGCCGGCCTTGCCCCACAGTGCTGGTTGCCAGATGTTGTGCCCCTGACCCAGGAAGAGAGCTGGTTATCCCAGTGGCATTTCCTACAGCTGGCAAGGGCAGGTATGTGTGAGCAACAGGCAGCACAGAAGCTCCGCTCTGGGGTCAAAAACCCTGCTGGCGGTTCTTGGCAGCCTGGCTCCACATCAGGTTTCGCCAACCAGGTGTCTTCCAGATGTTTTGGACTACAGTTCCCATCAGCCCCAGGCAGCGCAGCAGTATTATGACCCCAGAGGCAGTAGCAGCCGTAACCCAAAAGAAACTGGAGGGCTCCAGGTTGTTGAAGGCTGCTCTGCGTAGCTCCTCTTCCCAGGAGACTGCCTCATCCAACTCCACTTGCACTTTACTCCAAGATACACTCCCAAACAGATGGGAAAGCTGTTAGCTTGAGACCATCTTCTGCAGGCAAGAAGCTCAGGCGCCTGGTTCATTCAGCGCCCAGCAGGGAGAGGGGTCAGCAACAGGCAGCCCCTGGGCCAAATTGGGCGCCTGAAGGATACCAACTAGCCCTCCTCCCATCACCAGCATGGAGATGAGATTGTGCTAACAAGACTTGAGGGCTTGGCATGATCCAGTACCTGCGTCCAAGTGGTTTCAGCTGCCAGATCAGGCACAGGTTCATCTAGGCCACTCAGAGGCTTACAAGCAGGACATGAGAACAAGAACTTTCCTCTGCTGGTGCCTCCCAGCAACAGGCAATACCCTGGCAGACTACCTCTGCATCTGGAGGTTCTGTTTATACACCCAGACCAGCAGAAGCCATTGCTACCAAACCTCTTCTCTTCCATGAATTTGTCTACCCTCTTTTTCAAACTAACTTCACAGCAGGGGTGGTTTTTTGTTTGCCTTCCAATCAATTTCACAGGGAACCCTGGCCTCTAGTACTATGGGAGAGGGAGGAAAAATCACTCCCTGCACCCATTTCTCCTTGTACAAGATCTCAATCATGCAGACCAGAGCTTTCCAAACTGTGCGGCACGCGACACGTTAGTGTGTCGGCTGCAGTGTGTAGGTGTGCCGTGTGAACACTCCCCACGCTCCTCCTGGGGTTGGAATGGAGTTAGTTTAACCTCCCGTTTGCTAGTAAAACCAAGTTTCTGGGTCGCAAAATGATGCATGTCTAAAAAATGTGTCACCAACATGGAAAGTTTGGAAAGCTCTGATGTAGTAACACATGTTTCTGTACACACATAGCTGCCCAGCTTTCTTTTACCCCTCCAGCTGGTGGCTAAGCATCCCTGGGCAAAGGAGTCTGGAGCCAGAATCAGCCTGGAAAGGTCCCATTCCCCCCAGTTCCATCACTCAAGGGGGCCAGAACCCCAATTTCTAGAGCCTTCCCCTCGGGTGGAAGTTGGGGAACCCAGCATTGGCGAGGGCCTCAAAAACAACAGTGTCTAACAAATTTATTATGGCAGATGGTTTTGCGGGCTTCCTCTGATGCAGGACGCCCGCCCCCCCCTTCTCCTTTCCTCAGGCCTGCTGGTGCCCTTAGCAGCGCCAGAGAAGACTCTAGTGAGCTGGAGGCGCCAAGGCCAGTCACCTGGATGGGAGGGGAGCCAGGGTGGAAAGGATTATTCATCTGCAGGAAGGCCTGGCTCCAGGCGGGGCTGGAGGGCACCCAAACCAGCACTGGGAGCTGAGCAGCTGACCCAGGCAGCCCGGCAGAGCAAGGGGGCTTTGCTGAAAGGCTGCTCTCCACCCCAGCCCCGCTGGCTGCTGCCAAATGATCCCTGCAACCCCCACCCCACCAGGCCCCCTGGCTCGCTCAGCAGCTGGCTTCTCCTTGGCTACTGGCCAGAGCCTCCCTGGGGAAGGGGGAGCTCCCTGCCCTCCTGCTGTGGTGAGAGGCAGGGATGGGGGCCTGGGGAGTGGAAGGGGAAAGGGGGCTTTGGGTGGCATTTCAGCAAGAAGGGGCCAAACCCATCTGGAATGGCGTGGTAGCCGGGCGTGTGGGAAGCCACTGCTTCGCCACCGCAACCACAACCGGGCACTATATGGAGGTGGGGGCTGGCGACCCACACTCTCCTAGCTTCCCTGGAGTTCTTGAGACATTTCACCAAGCCCAACGCCTCTGAAATGTCCTGGGCCAACGCAACACAGCTTCTCTGGATGCCGGCTTCTCAGTTGGCAGAGAGCACCGGAGGCAGTCGCCTCTCCCCAAGCCCCTGGCAGCTGCCCCTTCCTGGATCTCAGCGGCAGAGGAGGCTGAAGGTCACAGCATGGGCAGGCGCTGGGGACTCCCGAGGGGGAGACGGGGTGGGGTGGGGGGTGGGCTGCTGGGTGATGACTCGCACAGCCTTGGCACAGCCAGCTCAGCTTTGTCACTCTCCAGCCAGGCTAAAAATATTTTGACAGCCTCCCGTCCTTGGCCTTGGCTGCTCGAAACAACTTGTACAAGCTCCCCAACTGGGCAGGGGGTGGTGCTGGGGTGGGGGACAGGGAGGCCTCCCCAAGGCAGACCAGCCGTCTCCCCACGCTGGTGGCAAGGCCTAAAGCTCAGGCCGGCTGTGAGAGGATTTACCCCGCTGCTCTCCTTCTTGCAGACATCCAGGCTCCCCAGCTCCCAAACTCTCTTCATCCCCCACCTCCCCTCCATGCTGCGCTTGGAACAGCTGTTTCCAAAGCCTCCTGAATTCTTGCAAACAGCATCCTGACCTCAGTTGAAATAACACAGCCAGGTTTTATTGGGGATTCTTTCTTTCTTTCTCTCCCTCCCCTCCTGCTTTTTCCATTTCTTTCAGCTAATGGATTTCTTCTTTAAAAAAAAAAAATCTAAAATAAATTACAGAATTAAATAAACTTGGACAAATGCTCTCTCCCATCTCGCCTCCAAAACGAAACACTGAAATAGTTGGCTGGGTTTTGGCAACGGAGGTGTCCAACCCGCAAGGCTGGGAAGCGTAGCTATATATATGATTGGGGTGGGGGAGTTGGAGGGAGTGAAGGTGGGGGGGCTTCCATGAGCTGCTCTCTTCAGACCCACAGCGTAACAAAGTTGCTCCCCTGCCCTCCCCAGATGCCCACAGACAGCCACTCCTTCTGCCTCCCACCATCTCCCCCCACCAAGAGATCGGGAGCTCCTTGCTCCTTGACCTGCTACAAACTATGTGCACGGCTGTTTCCTGGAAGCCCCAACCTGCCTCAGACATGCGTCGGGTTGTCCAGGTAAGGGTCCGTCTTGGTCATGTGCAGCACCACAGCAGGCACCTTGTAGTGGCAGTGGGTGCCCGTGCAAGTCACCCCGCTGCAGGGCTTCCCTCTAGTCCTGCCCCCCAGTTTCCGGTTGCAGAGGTTCTGCCAGGTCTGCAGGGTCTTGGAGCTCCACACCCAGACCCCACTGGTGATGCCCACCACCAGGGACATGAAGATCTTGAGCATGAAGATGGCCACAGTGGGCACAGAGGCCTCCAGGGTGCAGTCTAGGCTGCGGCGCCCGGGGAAAGGCAGGCACCCGTGCTCCAAGGCCCGGAGAGTCCAATACTCCACGTTGAGGCGCTCGTAGAAGTAGCAGACGATGACGCAGGTGGCCGGGACGGTGTAGAGGATGGAGAAGACACCTATCTTGACCATCAGCTTCTCCAGCTTCTCTGTGTTGGTGCCTCCCGTCTTCATGATCTTGCGGATGTGGAAGAGGGCGACGAAGCCCGTCAGGATGAAGGAGGTGCCCACCACCAGGTAGCAGGACAGCGGGATGAGGACAAAGCCCGTCAGGGCGGCCACGTCCAGGCTGGCCACGTAGCAGAGGCCCGTCAGCTCGTCACCGGCCACCTTGCGCATGGTGAGGATGACGATGGTTTTCATGGCGGGGACCCCCCAGGCGGCCAGGTGGAAGTAGCTGCTGTGCGCCTCGATGGCCTCGTGGCCCCACTTCTTCCCCGCTGCCAGGAACCAGGTCAAGGTGAGCACCACCCACCAGAGGGACGAGGCCATGCCGAAGTAATAGAGCAGGAGGAAGACCAGGGTGCAGCCCGTGCTCTCCAGGCCCTCCTGGATGACGTAGAGCTGCCCGTCCTCACGGTCGCATGCAATGGCCTCTGCGCCGGCCACCGAGCGGATGAGGAAGGCCACCGAGTAGACGTTGTAGCACATGGAGAGGAAGATGATGGGCCGCTCCGGGTACTGGAAGCGCTGGGGCTCCAGCAGGAAAGTCAGCACTGTGAAGGCGGTGGAGGCGAAGCAGAGCGTGGCCCACACGGCCATCCAGATGAAGGCGAAGTCCTTGTCGCGACGCGCCCAGTACACGTCCACTCCCGGGGAGCAGCGCGGGGCGCACGACGCGCTCTTGGCCACGAACTGGAACTTGTCGCCGTTGGCGCACGGGCCTCCCGGAGCCGAGCCGGGCGGGCTGCCTGCCGGAGGGGGCCTGCCCTCGACGGCGGGCCGGGCCGGGCGAGGGGCCACCGGGAGCATGCCGGCTCCGCGCTGGGGCTCGGCGGTGGCGTTCTCGGGCGCCTCCATGCACAGGGCGTGCGGGTCGTGCTTGGTGGGCAGGCGGGCGCAGTCGAGCGCCTCGGGCCAGCCGAAGTGGAAGTGCGCCATGATGGGCGCGCAGCGCTGGCGCGCCTGCTCGCACATGGGCCGGCAGGCCGGGATGCTGCTGGACACCTGGTCGGTGCACATGGGCGCGTAGAGCGAGCACAGGAAGAAGAGCAGGTGGCCGTGGCAGCCGTAAGCCACCAGCGGCGCGAACTCGTGCAGCTTGAGCGCCGCCTCGCCCTGGTGCTCGTGCCCCAGCAGGTTCGGCATGCGCGTCAGGTTGTAGCCGATCCCCTGGCACATCGGGATCTCGATGGCCTGGCAGCGCCCCGAGCCGCGACCGCCGCCCAGCCGCTCCGACGCGTCGTACGCCCCGACGCCCGCGCCGCCCAGCAGCTCCAGCGCCCGGGCGCCTGGGGACGCCGCCACCAACATAGCCAGCAGGACCCGCAGCGGCAGCAGCAGCCCGGCCATGCCTCGCAGCGGCGACGACCACGACCACGGAGCCGGCCGCCGCTCCCGATCACCGCCACCGCATGGCGCGTCACCAGCTCCCCGTGCGCCCACACGGCCGGCGCTCCGCTCGTGGGCGCCTCCGCCGCGCCAGCAGCGCCGCTACACCCTCGGGAGGCGGGCCCGGCGCCGGCGGGACACACCCCGCGCGGGGCGGAGCGCGGGAGGAGGAGGAGCGGGAGGCGGCAGCGGCTCGGGCAGCCGATTTGCAGCGCGCCTCCCGGGAAGCCCCGCCGGGCCGGCGCTCTGCCCGGGCTCAGAGGCGCTGTCGGCTTCCTCAAGCCGGCTTGCACTCTGCTCTGTCCCTGCCAGCCCATGTTGGTTGTTTCTTCCTTTCTGCTGCTGCCAAGGGTGGGGAGAGGCCTTGGAGCGGGAGCCTGACACGTGAAGCGGCATCGTGTGAGTGGCAGAGCGAAGACATGGCCAGGTCGACGCAGAGTGGAAGCTCCGCCCGCACTATCGACCCCCCCGCCTTCCCTGTCTCGAAAAGCACCAGATTCAGTTTGTGTATGAGTGTGTGGGATATGTGTGTGTCTGTCTCTAGGGCGCCCCCAAGGTGGTTCCTCGAGGGTCCCAGTTAATTTTTGGAAGTGGCTGAAGTTTTTGTACTCCTAATCCAGGGCCAGCCCTCTCCTTGGGCAACTGGCCAGTTGTGCCATGAGAAACGAGCAAATTGTGAGTTGGCTTCTCTGCTTACTTGTGAGTTGCTTGTGGGGTTTTCTCTCTCCTGGGCAGTGGCGTAGCGTGGGGGGTGCAGGGGGGGCTGGCCGCACCGGGTGCAACATCTGGGGGGGCACGCTCGCACTCGCAGCTCTCTGCCCCTAGGGCAGAGGGGGCGCAAATTACTTGCCTTGCCCCGGGTGCTGACAACCCACGCCACGCCACTGCTCCTGAGTGCCCAAACGATGGAGCCAGGCATGGGGACTTTGCACCCCCTGACCTAGGGAGGGGTCTGTGTGGCATTTGTGGTACTGCATCAAACAGGAAAATGCCACCTTGGACCCTGAAATAAAGCAGTCCCACTACACGGGTGAAAGTCAAATGGTGACAGGAACCATTTCTTCCCTAGAGTTGGAGGCAAGGTTAGGGGGCTAACCAGGGAGTGTTAGGGGTGAGATGGTGGGCAGCCCACTAGTGGCGGCAGAAACCTAGAGAGATCTGCCCTAAGGGGCACAGATAATGCAACAGGGAATTTTGAGCAACAAAGCGGGCAGGAATGCCATTCAAATCCCTGCTTGCTATCTAGACTTGCAAACTTGTGCACAAGAATGAAACCCAAATGCACCTCCTTGGGTGCAGCTGTCATGTCAAAAGCCACCCTAGGTCTTCATTTAATTAACCAAATTTATATACCACTTGGTTCCATCTACAAAAAAACCCTCACTTAATCTTTGCTTCTGCAGGCCCCTATAAAGCAGCCCCTCAGGCTTTAAGTGAGCCCAAGGATCCTTCTGAGAACTCTTGAAGCAGCAAAATAGATCTCTGTCTCTCTTTCTCTGGGATCCTTTTTTTAAAAAGACCCTCTTGACCCTCAGGAAGCAGGCTTTCTGGGAGATGATTTATAATGAAATGAAAAGGGTATTTAAATATATCTTTCTGAAGAAACCAGAGGCCTTTCTCCTGGGCATGGTTGGCCAATTGGTGTTAAAGAAGGATAGAACTTTCTTTATGTATGCTACAACAGCAGCAAGAATACTCATCGCAAAGTATTGGAAGACACAAGACTTACCCACTCTGGAAGAATGGCAGATGAAGGTGATGGACTATATGGAACTGGCGGAAATGACTGGCAGAATCCGAGACCAGGGAGAAGAGTCGGTGGAAGAAGATTGGAAGAAATTTAAAGACTATCTACAGAAATACTGCAAAATTAATGAATGCTAGAATGATGTTGGATTGAAGTTAAGTGGTTTTAAGCAGCAATGTTATAAAGGAGTATGTATAAATGGATTGCTAACAGGTGATAATCTGAAGTTATAAAGTATTAAGATAAAAGATTAAGATAAAATCAAAGAGGGAAAGGATTTGCTGAATTAACTAATTTGAACTGGAATACAAAAAAGGGAGGTGTGAGGAGGTCAGGGAAACAAGCAAATGAAAGATAAGATATGGAAAGACTGATCTGTTTTTTAACTGTTTTTATCTTGTATTTTCATTTTCTATTTTTTTTCCTCTTTTTTCTTTCTTTCTTTTTTCACTTATTTTTGTAATATGTTGAAACTTTAATAAATATCTTTAAAAAAAAAAGGGAAGCAGAAGACTGCACCAGAAGGACAGCCGGAGACAAGCAGAGGGCTGTTCCTCTTTCCATGGGAAGGGGAGGGGGTGGGTGGGCATGTTTAATGTATTAGGGCATCTTTAGAAAACGGCTTTGAAGATGAAACAGCCTCTGTTTAAGTGCCTGGGACTATTATGTATGTGTCACACGTAGGCAAGAACCAGGGAGATGCCGGGATCTGCTCAGCAAAAGCTGATCATAAACAGAATATTTAATCACCAGCCTGCCCCTAACAGGCCTTCTCCTCCTCCTCTTAGGCACAAATAATCCAGCAAAAATGGGTGACTCCCCCTCCCAACACAGCTGCATTGATTGAGGGGATGGTTAGGAGAGCCCTACTTCTGTGATATGGGGGACTTTTGCACCCAGCTCGTGACACAGATGGTCCCCCCATGGCTCCTGTCATTCCAGGGATTCAGAGTCCTTGCCCTTGGATCTCTCCTGAGTCGGTGTCAGGCTGAAAGCGACACTGGCCTGTGGAACTCATGGCTGCATGAAAAGGGAACACACTGCCATGTGCACAGGGTTACTGTGTGGGAGGTTCTATACTGTGTGGGATGTGTAGGATGCAGTGCGACCTAGAAGCTGAGGTCCCTTCACCCCCCCATAAAATATTTGAGGGGGTCAGCCCCCCCCCAGTTGATGGGCTTTGCCATACAAATGGCATGTGTGTGCTGCCTCATGTGATTATGTGGGACAGGGCTTACTTGGTACCCCTTATTTTATTCAAGTTGGCACCCCTAACAGCCATCATGGCTAATAGCCATCAATAGCCCTCTCCTCCATGAATTTGTCAAGTCCTCTTTTTAAGTTAGTGGCCATCACTGCCTCCTGCAGCAAAGAGTTCCATAGTTCCAGAGTGGGTTGACACCCAAGCTAGGGTTGCCATATTTCAGGACACCCTGAAAGTTGTTGAACTTTTTTAAGACAAACCCCAAAGTTGTTGAGCCAAAAGACCATGGTTTTTAAATTGCAGGTAGGTAGCCATGTTGGTCTGCCATAGTTGAAACAAAATAAAAAAATTATAAACTTAGTTTAAACTTAGTTGGTCTCTAAGGTGCTACTGGAAGGAATTTTTTAATTTTGTTTTTAAATTGGATTGCCTAAGATCCAAATCAAGGAGCCACTTTTCAGACACCCACCCCCCCTTTTAAATCCCGGTAATGTCTGGGAAAATCTGGACGTATGGCAGCTCTGATCCAAGCAATAGCTCAGCTGTCCCATATGGGGATTGAACCTGCAACCTTGGCATTATCCGCTCCACGCTCTAACCATCGGAGCTATCCAGGCTGACTATTTGACTACCCATGCTGAAATCTGGACCTTTACAAATAAAGGGCACCAAATATTTAACTTGGTAGGTTAATGCTAAACTGAAATCCCTCACAATTTCCACTAAATCACACCTGAGCACTCCAAAATGCTGGGGTTGGGGAAACTCTGGTTTCAGCCATCCCCATCATCACACTGATTTTTCAGTTGCCTCCCTGGTCCAGCCTCACCAGAAAACCTCAGATGTGGCCTAAAATCCAAACCTGTGAGGCTGTGAGATGCCCTTTCACTCAACATTTTGGTGAGATGGCAGAAGCTGGATCATTTTGAGTCTGGGTCCCACAATTTCCACAGATGGCAGAAAGTCAAGAAGTCTGTTTGCGCTCTGGATTCCACTGCTTTGTGCCATTACTTCTGTCTTGAAATAGCACATTAAAAAGTACCACAAAAATAAGTGGATCTCCCACAGGGGAAGAGAGAGGGGGCATCCTTTCATTGCCTGTGCGTGGTCCCTTCTAGGAAGAACTGGCTACCAGCAGCAAAGGCATCTCTGCCTGTTGGACGGACCCCAGAGAAACATGTCCGGCTATGTTGATTTCAAAGCCTGGTTGAGTGACTATGGCAGCTGTCAGAGATCCTGTGGTGTCCACTCCACAGGCACACACAAAAGGCAACATCTCAGTTCAGGGGAATGCAGTTTCCTTGAAGAGAGAGAACAATGGAGACCAAGGACGCCTTTTGTTATAAGCTGTTTATTCAGAAATCTGCAAGTCAAGCAGGGAGCTGAGTAAGCGAGCTGGCAGGTGGGCAGGGCGAGTCTTTTGAAAACACCTAGGACACCTGATGCTGGGGAGCAACTGAGGACCTGCTTTTCTCTCACCTTCTCCCGTCAGATTCAAATATGGCGCCATCCCATGGATCAGGCGGGACGGATAAAGTCATTCTGTCCTGCTGAAAAAAGTGGGTCCAAAAACATTCCTGGGTACTTCATGCAATGAAGATAACATTGCAAAGATAAACACTATTTTTTTTTGAGGGGGGGAATTGGAAAACCACTACTACTACTACTACTACTACTACTACTACTATTATTATTCCTTTTCCACAGACAGGGACTCAAGGTGCCTTAAAGCAACACAGAAGAAATACTAAAAGCTAAGCAGGTATAAAAGATAACCATTAAGAAGTAATTAAACTCTAACAGAATTAAAGCAATTTAAAATTAAAATGTAGAGAATAGAAGCAGAGCAGCGGTATTAAAAGTCCTTTCCTTAAAAAACCAACACAGTCAGTTCCCAAAGGCCTGTCTTCACTTGCTGGCAGAAGGACAGCAAGGAGGGAGCCAGTCTGACTTCGCTAGGGAGGGAGTTTCAAAGCCTCAGAGCATGCTGTGGTTTCAGCAGGGGTAGCTAACTTGGTCCCCTGCAGATGTTGCTGGACTGCAAAACTTCCCATCACCCTTGGCCATGCTGGAACGAATGGGACTTATAAGAGCCCATCCACATCTGGAGGGTATCATGTTGGCTGC